CCATCGAAGCAATCATTTCAGGAGTCAAAAGAACCGGCACTTTCCGACTTCTTTTCCCTTTAATTTCAATGCGTTGAAAATGCTGACACAGCTTTTTCTCAAGTTGGGACAGTCCCAGAGCAATGTCAGAATGGATCCCAGTCTTACTTCTTAAGGTAAAGGCTGTCAGTGGCATCTTTGAAACCTCACCTTCCCTTCTTCGATTGAAAATGATGACCTCACAAAGAGTCAAAACTGCCAGTTTAGACCAATGCTTAGACGTTGGCTCACTTATTAGGGTTTGCACATATTCAGGTCGACATACCTCAATATGTGCATGCATGGCTCTAACGTCCTCAGTCAGAGGGAGCAGGTCCGGAGTGTTCCACTTGGCTTGCCGGAGGGTCTGTAGGGCAGCAGAAGAAACACAGACGTCCCACCTCTTCTCAAAAAGCAGCCGGCTTCGTTGGAGGTTTTTAATAAATAGTTCATCAACACAATGCTCCATTTTTGAGTCACATTCAAGAATATCTGCTAGCTTTCTGAGGCTATGGCCGAGTTTGAGGGCCAAGGATGGAGTCTTGTATTGATTTGTTTCCTCATCATATCCAGCCACAGACCTGACTGCATCAATCACATGGTTAAAGTTGGAAGGAATAAAGAAATCCTTAATTGTTTTCAGTTTCCCTGCGGTTTTTGCTTCGTTAATTAACCTACCGACTTCTCTCATTTTCTGCCTAATGTAATCATGCTTAGTCTTATCATGCCCGTGTTTTAAGTACAGGTGCTCTCCGAGTCTCAGAATCCCCTTTTCTGCTTTGACAACACCCGTGACCTCATCCTGATGCATTGCCGAAATTAAAGACCACAGCTTTTTGCTGATGCCCTCCGGTACAGGCTGGGCTAGGGAGCAGAGGGACTGGACCCTACTTCTACCTGGTTTAGCCTGGTTTAGCCTGGGCATCTTTCTGTGAAAGCCGGCACCTGGCCACATGCCTCCACAGCGACTTTCGCTTAAGCAATGCCCCACAGTCTATACAGTGCAAAAACTCACTGGATTTAACTGGGGAATTTGGCTGTTTAGCTGGGACTAAAGTTCCAATGCCGGCCTTTAAAACCTCAACATTGTGCTCACGGTTTCCACTATTCCTGATCAAATCAAACTGAAGTTTACGTGCTTTAGATTTCACAGGTAGAGCCAATGCTCTGGCTACGTCACTTTCATTTCCATGTTTTCTAGTCAAATGACGGGACATTTTGTAGCAGGACATTGAACAGTAGAGGCAGAAGTGTCTCTTGCTGTATACTCGCCCCCCATTTTTCTTCTTTTGCAGCTGCATGATAACAATCTTATTTGCCTTTGGTTCGTCACTTTCCGAGTCTTGAAGAAAAGTGTTTTTGATTTTTATTTTTCCATACTTTTTTACAGGTTTCTTCTTGACAGTTAAATCGTCAGAATCTGAGTCGACTTCATCAATTAGGGACTCTTGACTAAGCTGCACAAACAACAAATAATTTGTAATCATTCTATATAACAATTTGAAGTCATGACTTGTAGTCAGCACTTACCAGTGGTTTGTAAGCGTGCGCTTCAGTGTGCTGCTCTGTGATTGGCTGCAGCCTAATGAACCACACACTTGCACCTTTTTCTAGCCTGACACCTGATTTCCTCTGTTGTGCTGCTCCATGATTGGCTCCAGCCTGCTGGACTGAAATTGCCCCAGTGTGCCCCTCCTTGATATCCCGCAACCCACCACCAGGGTTCCGACACATAACACACTTTTTTCAGGAAAGTAAACCTCCAGGGGTCCTTTCCATATTTTTACAGAGACTGCATAAGGACCGTTAGAAAAGCATTACCCATTGATTATTAAGCTTGGACCAGTGGGGTCCGGTGTTCGGGCCCCACCACGTAAAACCAGTCCCCATGACGTGAGTGGAATCTCAGGTTATGGAACCCACCAGGAGTTGAAAACAAGTGCACACAGACGCACACACACAGACACACACACACACACGCACACACACACACACACACACACATATATACACACACATACATACGGGCGGCACAGTGGCTGAGTGGTTAGCACTCGCGCCTCTCAGCAAGAAGGTCCTGGGTTTGAATCCCGGTCGGACCAGGGCCTTTCTGAGTGGAGTTTGCATGTTCTCCCCGTGTCTGCGTAGGTTTTCTCCGGGTACTCCGGTTTCCCCTACCACTAAAAACATGCACAATAGATCTAGCACAGGGGTCGGGAACCCAAAATGTTCAAAGAGCCATAATTGACAAAAAAACTAAAAACAACATCTGTCTGGAGCCCCAAAAAAATAACAGCCTTGTATAAGGCTTTTATGAAGTTAACACAGGCTGCAAGATGTATTAGCTATATTAGCCTAATATCTAAATGACAAAGTAAAGGCTACAAATACATAATAATCATTCATGATTATCAAATGTGTGTTTTCACTGCAGCGTGTCGTGAATGACGCGGGACGACTCTGCTTTAGTTTAACTTCCATTTTTTTGCCTTCATGCAATTGTAGAAATACAGTAAATAAATCTGCTTTGGGGTCAGAGGTCACATGCATCACTGTCTGCTCATATCCATCACGTCACAGGCTGAAGTTTGCTGGAGCTGAATTAAAATCCTTAATGGCCTTTTCTTTCACCGTCTTTGAGAAGGTTTTGAAGTCTGAAAATAGGTGCTCTGAATTTTTGATGAATGAATCCTTCACGTAATCACTGTGTACGGTGTTTTGTGCGTCATTGTTCCTCGTGTTGCAACAAAACCTCTCATTACAAACATGAAGCAGTCCTTCCTCATTGACTGAAAGAAAATGTTCATTCTCATTCTTAGTCCAGCTTGTTATCAACTCTTTCTCGTTTTAGCTTTGGGATCCATGTGCACTTACAGTCTATGATGCACACACGCCGGTTTGTTTACAGCAGCGGCTGAAGGGGGCGGAGCCGCGTGACCGCGCGTCATAGGATATGACGCACTACGTTGACAGAAATGTTGAAATTAGATATTACTTATACATATTTTTACAGCATTTAAAAACGTAAAGATTGTTTTTCCTTCTACAGAAACCACATTCAAACTAGAAATAAAATATAGCCCTCACACTCCATTTTCAGACATGTTTGAAAAGGCTCCAGGAGCCACTCCAGGAGCCACTCCAGGAGCCACTCCAGGAGCACTCAAGAGCCGCATGCGGCTCCGGAGCCGCGGGTTGCCGACCCCTGATCTAGCATGCGCCTCCTGTTCGGTGACCCTGCTCCCATCTCTGTGTGGAGTGAGAGACTAATGCCCAAAAATAACAATTGTAAACTGCTTTAAGACTCTGGTCTGTGAAAGGCGGTATATAAATAAAGATTACTAAAGATTACACACACACACACACACACACACACAGACACACACACACACACAGACACACCCACACACACACACACACACACATACATACACATATTATAGGGCGACAGTAGCTCAGTTGGTAGAGCATTGGCCTTTGGGCCTGAAGGTCGTGGGTTTGAGCCCACCGAAAGACCTACTTCACGACTCCCACTGATGACTGCTGTTGTTGTGTCCTTGGGCAAGACACTTAACCCCACTTTGCCCAAAGCCCCCACTGAAAGATCCCAGCTCCTGTGGACTCAGCTCCTGCAAGAGGATCAGTGAGGGCCTGGTGCTCTGACTGCCACCCCCACCCAGACATGGATTAAGGGGAAGAAAATGGATGGATGGACACACACATATATACACACACACACACAGTGACACACACAGACACAGACACACACACACACACACATATATACACACACACACACACACACATATGCACAGATGCAAATGTTACATTATACACAACTTATTATTTCATTCATATTAAATTATGATTAATTTATCATTACCTCATTATTACCTTATTACTACATTATGATTAACATTATTATTAAATTAATACTAAATTCTGATGAAAGGCTCGAGAGAAGCTGTGGATGGCGTTGGGAGAAGCGGCTCCAGTGATGGCTCCTCTGTCACAGGCAGCGATCTGCATGAACTGCACGTCTGACTTCAGCCTCACTCTGAGACGCCACCACTGCCACAGCTGCGGCCAGGTCTGTCCTTATCCTGTGGAGATACACAGGTGTCAGCACATACACAGGTGTCTGCAGGAACACAGGTGTCAGCACTTACACAGGTGTCTGCACATACACAGGTGTCTGCACATACACAGGTGCCAGCAGGAACACAGGTGTCAGCACTTACACAGGTGTCAGCACATACACAGGTGTCTGCACATTCACAGGTGTCAGCACATACACAGGTGTCAGCACATACACAGGTGTCTGCAGATTCACAGGTGTCAGCACATACACAGGTGTCAGCACATACACAGGTGTCAGCACATACACAGGTGTCAGCACATACACAGGTGTCTGCACATACACAGGTGTCAGCACATACACAGGTGTCTGCAGATTCACAGGTGTCAGCACATACACAGGTGTCAGCACATACACAGGTGTCAGCACATACACAGGTGTCTGCACATTCACAGGTGTCAGCACATACACAGGTGTCAGCACATACACAGGTGTCTGCAGATTCACAGGTGTCAGCACATACACAGGTGTCAGCACATACACAGGTGTCAGCACATACACAGGTGTCAGCACATACACAGGTGTCTGCACATACACAGGTGTCAGCACATACACAGGTGTCTGCAGATTCACAGGTGTCAGCACATACACAGGTGTCAGCACATACACAGGTGTCAGCACATACACAGGTGTCTGCACATTCACAGGTGTCAGCACATACACAGGTGTCAGCACATACACAGGTGTCTGCAGATTCACAGGTGTCAGCACATACACAGGTGTCAGCACATACACAGGTGTCAGCACATACACAGGTGTCAGCACATACACAGGTGTCTGCACATACACAGGTGTCAGCACATACACAGGTGTCTGCTGGTGTTGTTGATTGATACATAGTGTCTGTAAACACAGGTGGTGTGTCGCTCCTGCTCCAGGAACAGGTTTCCTCTGAAGTATCTGAACGACCGAGCGGCAAAAGTGTGTGAGCGCTGCTTCATGGAGCTCAGGAGCAGAGGTACCACCTCAGACACACACACACACACACAGGCAAACACACACACACACACACACACACACACACACAGGCAAACACACACAGGCAAACACACACACACACACACACACACTCATGGCACGCAGTCCCGGTACACGGCCCCGGTACACGGTCCTACATGGTCACTGTGTCTGTTCCTCTCGTGCACATGGTCCTATCGTCACTGTGTCTGTTCCTCTCATGGTCCCACATGGTCCTATCGTCACTGTGTCTGTTCCTCTCATGGTCCCACATGGTCCTATCGTCACTGTGTCTGTTCCTCTCATGGTCCCACATGGTCATATCGTCACTGTGTCTGTTCCTCTCGTGCACATGGTCCTATCGTCACTGTGTCTGTTCCTCTCATGGTCCTATCGTCACTGTGTCTGTTCCTCTCATGGTCCCACATGGTCCCACATGGTCCTATCGTCACTGTGTCTGTTCCTCTCATGGTCCCACATGGTCCTATCGTCACTGTGTCTGTTCCTCTCATGGTCCCACATGGTCCTATCGTCACTGTGTCTGTTCCTCTCATGGTCCCACATGGTCCTATCGTCACTGTGTCTGTTCCTCTCATGGTCCCACATGGTCCTATCGTCACTGTGTCTGTTCCTCTCATGGTCCCACATGGTCCTATCGTCACTGTGTCTGTTCCTCTCATGGTCCCACATGGTCCTATCGTCACTGTGTCTGTTCCTCTCATGGTCCCACATGGTTCCACATGGTCCTATCGTCACTGTTGCTCTCGGGGGTCTGTGCAGGGGGCAGTGTGTCTGGCTGCAGCTCGCGGTCGCCCTCGGCCGCTCGCCCGCTGTCCGCCGTCTTCCACAGTCTTCAGCCGCCATCTTTGTGGAAGAGCAGGAAGAGCGCGGTGTCACTCACACAGGTACCAGCTACTCCCCGTCCTGATGGTTCTGCCCGTCCTGATGGTTCTGCCCGTCTTGATGGTTCGACTCCATCTTACTGATGTCACATTTATGGTCCTTCTGACTTTTACACACAATAAAAAAGACCAGAGAGTTACTGTGTCTAAAGAGTCTGACAAGTCAATAAAAGTTAGAGAATAAACAACATAAACGTCTGTAGTAAGTGTTGGACTGAAACACAACATGTTAAAGTTACACACATCTGACTTTGGTGAACAGAGTGTATCGCACACTCCTCCACAACAAAGAACTGAAAACCTTCTGATCCACAAATACACACGAACAATCCACGACACAGAACACACAGAAGTCTTAAAGGGCTGTATTAGTGAGTCCATGCCAATATTCTGTGTACGCCTGTGTACACAGGTGTCTGTCGGGGCGGAGGGCTGCACCATCAGTGGGACTTTACAGCGGAGAAAGAAAAGCAAAAGGAAATGGAAACGTCTGTGGTTCCTCCTCAAAGACAAGGTGCTCTACACCTTCACAACCTGTGAGGTGAGGGGCACCCAGTCCCCACACAGCCCCGAGCTCTCACCCTCTCACTCTCTCACCCTCTCACCCTCTCACCCTCTCACCCTCTCATCCTCTCACCCTCTCATCCTCTCACCCTCTCACCCTCTCACTCTCTCACCCTCTCACTCTCTCACTCTCTCACCCTCTCACTCTCTCACCCAGTCCCCACACAGCCCCGAGCTCTCACCCTCTCACCCTCTCACCCTCTCACTCTCTCACCCAGTCCCCACACAGCCCAGAGCTCTCACCCTCTCACTCTCTCACCCTCTCACCCTCTCACTCTCTCACCCAGTCCCCACACAGCCCCGAGCTCTCACCCTCTCACCCTCTCACTCTCTCACTCTCTCACCCAGTCCCCACACAGCCCCGAGCTCTCACCCTCTCACCCTCTCACCCTCTCACCCTCTCACTCTCTCACCCAGTCCCCACACAGCCCCGAGCTCTCACCCTCTCACTCTCTCACTCTCTCACCCAGTCCCCACACAGCCCCGAGCTCTCACCCTCTCCCCCCTCTCACTCTCTCACTCTCTCACCCAGTCCCCACACAGCCCCGAGCTCTCACCCTCTCACTCTCTCACTCTCTCACCCTCTCACCCAGTCCCCACACAGCCCCGAGCTCTCACCCTCTCACTCTCTCACCCTCTCACTCTCTCACCCAGTCCCCACACAGCCCCGAGCTCTCACCCTCTCACTCTCTCACCCAGTCCCCACACAGCCCCGAGCTCTCACCCTCTCACTCTCTCACCCAGTCCCCACACAGCCCCGAGCTCTCACCCTCTCACCCTCTCACTCTCTCACCCAGTCCCCACACAGCCCCGAGCTCTCACCCTCTCACCCTCTCACCCTCTCACCCTCTCACTCTCTCACCCAGTCCCCACACAGCCCCGAGCTCTCACCCTCTCACTCTCTCACCCAGTCCCCACACAGCCCCGAGCTCTCACCCTCTCACTCTCTCACTCTCTCACTCTCTCACCCTCTCACCCAGTCCCCACACAGCCCCGAGCTCTCACCCTCTCACTCTCTCACCCAGTCCCCACACAGCCCCGAGCTCTCACCCTCTCACCCTCTCACTCTCTCACCCAGTCCCCACACAGCCCCGAGCTCTCACCCTCTCACCCTCTCACCTCTCACCCAGTCCCCACACAGCCCCGAGCTCTCACCCTCTCACCCTCTCACCCTCTCACTCTCTCACCCAGTCCCCACACAGCCCCGAGCTCTCACCCTCTCACTCTCTCACTCTCTCACTCCAGTCCCCACACACCCCTCACCTCTCACCTCTCACCTCTCACCCTCTCACTCTCTCACCCAGTCCCCACACAGCCCCGAGCTCTCACCCTCTCACCCTCTCACCCTCTCACTCTCTCACCCTCTCACCCTCTCTCACCCTCTCACCCTCTCACTCTCTCACCCTCTCACTCTCTCACCCAGTCCCCACACAGCCCCGAGCTCTCACCCTCTCACTCTCTCACCCTCTCACTCTCTCACCCTCTCACCCTCTCACCCTCTCACCCTCTCACTCTCTCACCCTCTCACTCTCTCACCCAGTCCCCACACAGCCCCGAGCTCTCACCCTCTCACTCTCACACTTTCTCACACACCCTCTCACTCTCTCACACTCACACACTCTCTCACACTCTCTCACCCGCTTTACACTGTGACACACTGTACAGTTTAGTGATAGAGTTAGCGTCTGTGCTAGTTAGCGTCTGTGCTAGTTAGCGTCTGTGCTTGTTAGCGTCTGTGCTAGTTAGCGTCTGTGCTAACGTTTGTTTTTCTTCCATCAGGACAAAGTAGCTTCAGAAAGTCTTCCTCTTCAGGGCTTTTCTGTGAAACTGTCGGAGCGTCCGGACGGAGAGGAGTCCAGCAGCGTGTTCCATCTCTACCACAAGAGGGCGCTGTGCTACACGTTCAGGGCCGAGGATCAGCACGCCGCTCGCAGGTCAGCTCTAGGTGACGGGACGACATATTCTCCCTTCAGTACTAACCCTGTGCTGCTCTTTTACAGATGGGTCAATGCCATCGAGGAGGCCACGGTTTTATAACACCTCGTCTCGCTGCAGAACATGTGTTCCTTTGAAGTATCTGACGATGACGAAGTTACAGGATGATGAAGAGGGGAAGATAATAGAGTTAATGAATGATCTGTTTTCAAAGAGCCTTGGACCTGGATATAAACAATAGTTTATGATTTAAACCATTTATGGGAGATATCTAATGTTGATTGTATTTTAAAGTTTATACTGAAGTTATTAAAACGAGAATGTGCCGAGTGCAGTTCAGAGGACTGAGGTCTCACTGCTCAGTCTGTTATCAAAGTACTGTACTCTGAATTAGCCCTTTATTTTTTATATATATATATATATATATATATATATATATATATATATATATATATATATATACATCTGTGTATATATATATATATATATATATATATATATATATATATATATATATATGTATATATATTAAGTGCATTTTTATGTTTGTGAATAAAAGCCAAGAATCTAAAGCTCTAAAGACCAGTGTGAACTGGTTTATAAACTGTTTAAATCCTCCGAGCTCCTCTGGTATTTCTGGTATTTCTGGTATTTCCTGTAAATATAAATGTTTATGTATATATGTTATAAAATAAACACTCTTAAAGCTACAACTTTCATTTTACTCAAAGTCATGTAGATTAGATAGACAGACACACGCACGCACATATTTACACACAAATACACACACGTATGCAAACACACACATATGCACACGCATGAACACATGCCCACACACGCATGCAAACACACACATATGCACACGCACAAACACATGCACACACACACACACACACACGGTGCACTGATTCAGGAGCTTTCAGATGACGCCTGATGCAGGGAACAATGCGACACAACAGCGCCATCTGCTGGCGGAGTGTGCGTGGTGAATCTGCAGTGGAGCAGTGAAGCCCCCACCACCAGGGGGCACTGTTACCACAGCTCTATGAAGACTGCATTCATGAACCTGAGGTCGGTTTGGTCTCCACAACCGCAGGTGGAACTTCTGAAAGTACAGAGAACGGCTCAAAATCAGTTTACTTCTAAAATCCAACTGAAAATGTCACGGACTCACATCAAACCTTTGATTTAATGTTGATCTTTGGTGTAAAAACCCAAATAAAACATCAGAGAAAAGTAGAATATTTACAAATGTATAATGTTGGTTAATGTTTATTTTCTATGTTCAGTTTTAACACAGAGTTAGTCAAACATTTATATTTTTATGCAACAAGAACAACATGTGTGCGGCAGGTGAGTCACTGAGTCTATTTAAAGATGGTGGAATTCCCAGATCCAGATGAACCGGAATGTCAAGGTGTATTGCTCAATGACAGTATCAGGGGAAAGGCCAAAGAGCAGGTCATAGAGCACCATAGAGCAGGTCATACTCTATGACCTGCTCTATGACCTGCTCTATGACCTGCTCTATGTCCTGCTCTATGACCTGCTCTATGATGCTCTATGTCCTGCTCTATGTCCTGCTCTATGTCCTGCTCTATGACTTGCTCTATGACTTGCTCTATGTCCTGCTCTATGACCTGCTCTATGACCTGCTCTATGTCCTGCTCTATGTCCTGCTCTATGTCCTGCTCTATGGCCTGCTCTATGACCTGCTCTATGTCCTGCTCTATGTCCTGCTCTATGACTTGCTCTATGATCTGCTCTATGTCCTGATCTATGTCCTGCTCTATGGCCTGCTCTATGACCTGCTCTATGTCCTGCTCTATGACCTGCTCTATGACCTGCTCTATGACCTGCTCTATGTCCTGCTCTATGACTTGCTCTATGTCCTGCTCTATGACCTGCTCTATGTCCTGCTCTATGACCTGCTCTATGTCCTGCTCTATGTCCTGCTCTATGTCCTGCTCTATGTCCTGCTCTATGTCCTGCGCTATGACCTGCTCTATGTCCTGCTCTATGTCCTGCTCTATGACTTGCTCTATGTCCTGCTCTATGACCTGCTCTATGTCCTGCTCTATGACCTGCTCTATGTCCTGCTCTATGACCTGCTCTATGTCCTGCTCTATGGTGCTCTATGTCCTGCTCTATGTCCTGCTCTATGACCTGCTCTATGACCTGCTCTATGAACTGCTCTATGTCCTGCTCTATGTCCTGCTCTATGTCCTGCTCTATGGTGCTCTATGTCCTGCTCTATGTCCTACTCTATGACCTGCTCTATGACCTGCTCTATGTCCTGCTCTATGTCCTGCTCTATGTCCTGCTCTATGACCTGCTCTATGACCTGCTCTATGTCCTGCTCTATGACCTGCTCTATGTCCTGCTCTATGTCCTGCTCTATGACCTGCTCTATGTCCTGCTCTACGACCTGCTCTATGACGCTCTATGACCTGCTCTATGGTGCTCTATGTCCTGCTCTATGTCCTGCTCTATGACCTGCTCTATGTCCTGCTCTATGTCCTGCTCTATGACCTGCTCTATGACCTGCTCTATGTCCTGCTCTATGTCCTGCTCTATGACTTGCTCTATGTCCTGCTCTATGACCTGCTCTATGTCCTGCTCTATGACCTGCTCTATGACCTGCTCTATGGTGCTCTATGTCCTGCTCTATGTCCTGCTCTATGTCCTGCTCTATGACCTGCTCTATGTCCTGCTCTATGTCCTGCTCTATGACTTGCTCTATGTCCTGCTCTATGACCTGCTCTATGTCCTGCTCTATGATCTGCTCTATGTCCTGCTCTATGTCCTGCTCTATGTCCTGCTCTATGGTGCTCTATGTCCTGCTCGATGTCCTGCTCTATGACCTGCTCTATGACCTGCTCTATGACCTGCTCTATGACCTGCTCTATGTCCTGCTCTATGTCCTGCTCTATGTCCTGCTCTATGGTGCTCTATGTCCTGCTCTATGACCTGCTCTATGACCTGCTCTATGTCCTGCTCTATGTCCTGCTCTATGTCCTGCTCTATGTCCTGCTCTATGACCTGCTCTATGACCTGCTCTATGTCCTGCTCTATGTCCTGCTCTATGACCTGCTCTATGTCCTGCTCTATGTCCTGCTCTATGTCCTGCGCTATGACCTGCTCTATGTCCTGCTCTATGACCTGCTCTATGTCCTGCTCTATGTCCTGCTCTATGACCTGCTCTATGTCCTGCTCTATGACTTGCTCTATGACCTGCTCTATGACCTGCTCTATGTCCTGCTCTATGACCTGCTCTATGACCTGCTCTATGACTTGCTCTATGACCTGCTCTATGACCTGCTCTATGACCTGCTCTATGTCCTGCTCTATGTCCTGCTCTATGTCCTGCTCTATGTCCTGCTCTATGACCTGCTCTATGACCTGCTCTATGACTTGCTCTATGACCTGCTCTATGACTTGCTCTATGACCTGCTCTATGACTTGCTCTATGTCCTGCTCTATGACCTGCTCTATGTCCTGCTCTATGACCTGCTCTATGTCCTGCTCTATGACTTGCTCTATGTCCTGCTCTATGACCTGCTCTATGTCCTGCTCTATGACTTGCTCTATGTCCTGCTCTATGACCTGCTCTATGTCCTGCTCTATGACCTGCTCTATGACCTGCTCTATGACTTGCTCTATGACCTGCTCTATGACTTGCTCTATGTCCTGCTCTATGTCCTGCTCTATGTCCTGCTCTATGTCCTGCTCTATGTCCTGCTCTATGACCTGCTCTATGACCTGCTGAAGGGCTTTCAGCTCAAACCCTGAGGAACTATTTTGTCCTGATCCAAAAACCATCATTTAATGTTTGTTGAGTTCTGCTACAGTTACAAATGTGTAAAAAGTGGGATGTGATCACACTCCTCAGACTCAGCGAGGTCTGCTCCAGTCCCTCACCTCTGGTCATGAGGGAGCAGTGTCTGCAGTCAGAGCTCCCCTCCCTCACCTCTGGTCATGAGGGAGCAGTGTCTGCAGTCAGAGCTCCTCTCCCTCACCTCTGGTCATGAGGGAGCAGTGTCTGCAGTCAGAGCTCCCCTCCCTCACCTCTGGTCATGAGGGAGCAGTGTCTGCAGTCAGAGCTCCCCTCCCTCACCTCTGGTCATGAGGGAGCAGTGTCTGCAGTCAGAGCTCCCCTCCCTCACCTCTGGTCATAGGCTTTGGGTAAAGACCAAAGAACGAGATGGCGGATACGAGTAGAGCTGCTGCTTCCTTAGAGATAGAGGAGCTCAGTCACTCGGAAGGAGCTCGAAGTAGAGCCGCTGCTTCTCCACATCGAGAGGAATCAGTTAAGATAAGATAGATAGTTACCGTGGGTGACAATGTTTACTGTCCCTGACAAATTAATAAATGTAAATAAAAAGGTTTGTGTGGGCCCCTGCAACATGTCATTCCCCAAAGCAGCAGGGGGTCTGGTCTGGTCTGGTCTGGTCTGGTCTGGTCTGGTCTGGGTCTGGGTCTGGGTCTGGGTCTGGTCTGGGTCTGGGTCTGGGTCTGGTCTGGGTCTGGGTCTGGTCTGGTCTGGTCTGGTCTGGTCTGGTCTGGTCTGGTCTGGGTCTGGGTCTGGTCTGGTCTGGTCTGGGTCTGGTCTGGTCTGGTCTGGTCTGGTCTGGGTCTGGTCTGGTCTGGTCTGGTCTGGTCTGGGTCTGGGTCTGGTCTGGTCTGGTCTGGTCTGGTCTGGTCTGGGTCTGGTCTGGGTCTGGGTCTGGGTCTGGTCTGGGTCTGGGTCTGGGTCTGGTCTGGTCTGGTCTGGTCTGGTCTGGTCTGGTCTGGGTCTGGGTCTGGGTCTGGGTCTGGGTCTGGGTCGGTCTGGGTCTGGGGTCTGGGTCTGGTCTGGTCTGGGTCTGGTCTGGTCTGGTCTGGGTCTGGGTCTGGGTCTGGTCTGGGTCTGGGTCTGGGTCTGGGTCTGGGTCTGGTCTGGTCTGGTCTGGTCTGGGTCTGGGTCTGGTCTGGGTCTGGGTCTGGGTCTGGGTCTGGGTCTGGGTCTGGTCTGGGTCTGGTCTGGTCTGGTCTGGTCTGGGTCTGGGTCTGGGTCTGGGTCTGGGTCTGGGTCTGGGTCTGGGTCTGGGTCTGGGTCTGGGGTCTGGTCTGGTCTGGTCTGGTCTGGTCTGGTCTGGTCTGGGTCTGGGTCTCTGGTCTGGGTCTGGGTCTGGGTCTGGGTCTGGGTCTGGGTCTGGGTCTGGGTCTGGGTCTGGTCTGGTCTGGTCTGGTCTGGTCTGGGGTCTGGGTCTGGGTCTGGGTCTGGGTCTGGTCTGGTCTGGGTCTGGGTCTGGTCTGGTCTGGTCTGGTCTGGGTCTGGGTCTGGGTCTGGGTCTGGTCTGGCTGGTCTGGTCTGGGTCTGGGTCTGGGTCTGGGTCTGGTCTGGTCTGGTCTGGTCTGGTCTGGGTCTGGGTCTGGGTCTGGTCTGGGTCTGGTCTGGGTCTGGTCTGTGGTCTGGTCTGGTCTGGTCTGGTCTGGTCTGGTCTGGTCTGGTCTGGTCTGGTCTGGTCTGGTCTGGTCTGGTCTGGTCTGGTCTGGTCTGGTCTGGTCTGGTCTGGTCTGGTCTGGTCTGGTCTGGTCTGGTCTGGTCTGGTCTGGTCTGGTCTGGTCTGGTCTGGGTCTGGTCTGGTCTGGTCTGGTCTGGTCTGGTCTGGTCTGGTCTGGTCTGGTCTGGTCTGGTTGGTCTGGTCTGGTCTGGTCTGGTCTGGTCTGGTCTGGTCTGGTTGGTCTGGTCTGGTCTGGTCTGGTCTGGTCTGGTCTGGTCTGGTCTGGTCTGGTCTGGTCTGGTCTGGTCTGGTCTGGTCTGGTCTGGTCTGGGTCTGGTCTGGGTCTGGTCTGGTCTGGTCTGGTCTGGGTCTGGGGTCGCTGGTCTGGTCTGGTCTGGTCTGGGTCTGGTCTGGTCTGGTCTGGTCTGGGTCTGGTCTGGTCTGGGTCTGGTCTGGTCTGGTCTGGGTCTGGTCGGTCTGGTGGTCTGGGTCTGGGTCTGGGGGTCTGGTCTGGTCTGGGTCTGGTCTGTCTGGTCTGGTCTGGGTCTGGTCTGGGTCTGGTCTGGTCTGGTCTGGGTCTGGTCTGGTCTGGTCTGGTCTGGGTCTGGTCTGGGTCTGGGTCTGGTCTGGTCTGGTCTGGTCTGGTCTGGGTCTGGTCTGGTCTGGTCTGGTCTGGTCTGGTCTGGTCTGGTCTGGTCTGGTCTGGTCTGGTCTGGTCTGGTCTGGTCTGGTCTGGTCTGGGTCTGGTTGGTCTGGTCTGGTCTGGGTCTGGGTCTGGTCTGGGTCTGGGTCTGGGTCTGGGTCTGGTCTGGTCTGGTCTGGTCTGGTCTGGTCTGGTCTGGTCTGGTCTGGTCTGGGTCTGGGTCTGGTCTGGTCTGGTCTGGTCTGGTCTGGTCTGGTCTGGTCTGGTCTGGTCTGGTCTGGGTCTGGGTCTGGTCTGGTCTGGTCTGGTCTGGTCTGGTCTGGTCTGGTCTGGTCTGGTCTGGTCTGGTCTGGGTGGTCTGGTCTGGTCTGGTCTGGTCTGGTCTGGTCTGGTCTGGTCTGGTCTGGTCTGGTCTGGTCTGGTCTGGTCTGGGTCTGGTCTGGTCTGGTCTGGTCTGGTCTGGTCTGGTCTGTGGTCTGGTCTGGGTCTGGTCTGGTCTGGTCTGGTCTGGTCTGGTCTGGTCTGGGTCTGGTCTGGTCTGGTCTGGTCTGGGTCTGGTCTGGTCTGGGTCTGGTCTGGGTCTGGTCTGGTCTGGTCTGGTCTGGTCTGGTCTGGTCTGGTCTGGTCTGGGTCTGGTCTGGGTCTGGTCTGGTCTGGTCTGGGTCTGGTCTGGTCTGGTCTGGGTCTGGTCTGGTCTGGTCTGGTCTGGTCTGGTCTGGTCTGGTCTGGGTCTGGTCTGGTCTGGTCTGGTCTGGTCTGGGTCTGGTCTGGGTCTGGTCTGGTCTGGTCTGGTCTGGTCTGGTCTGGTCTGGTCTGGTCTGGTCTGGTCTGGGGAAGGCCGAGAACCAGGAACACAGTAATGACGTCACCATTAGTCATGACGTGTGTTCTTTTGTTAGCTCCTGCTTTTGTCTTGTAAATGTAAAGCCCATCATTATCTGAAGACTTTAATTCTTTAATTTAATAAATCGCGACCACTGGATTTTTTTGTCTGTGTTTTTATGTTAAAAAGTTGTAGAATAATTTTCAAAGTTTAAGCAGAAAAACAAGCTCCGTGCACTTTAGTTTAAATCATATCTTTAAAACAACATAAACGCGCCCAGTGTATATAAGACCGAAACTGTCAAAACTATAAATGATTAAATGTCATAATCTACAAATATTTATTAAAACAGCGAAACAAATCATGACATTTAATAAATATAAATATTATATTATTATACAATCTGTTAAAAATGATATAATTGAACAATAAAGCTGTATTATTTTGACAGCTTGGTCCATACACGTTTGTCCTTTGTGCGGTGCGCGTTCCCGTGAGATGGAAACCCACAGTGCGCGTCCCCGCGGCAGTGCGCGGACTTCACCTGCACTACGTCACGCAGCGCAGTGAAAAACACTTGGAACAAACTTGTTTCATGAGATTTGGCTCCAGCTCCGAAGAGTCGACACTGCACAGACTCAGCACCGTCTAGAAGTCCCGCGGAGAGGGAAAGGTTCGAGGCTGAAGTCTGAAGCTCAGCAGCGGCTCCAAGGCGGAAGAGGTGACACACACTCGCACCAAAGACGCGCTTCTCTGTTTAAGTTTCGGTGTTAGTTTGAGACAGAAGTGCACGTTTCCTCAGCTTTGGTTCTGCTTTAGTTTGGATCATTCTTTAGTTTGGATCGTTCTTTAGTTTGGATCATTCTTTAGTTTGGATCATTCTTTAGTTTGGATCGTTCTTTAGTTTGGATCCCTTTGTCACATCTACGTCTCCAACAATAATGTAAAGTGACAGATTCTTACTTTTTCTGCTCCATCTTCTGAGTCTGAGTATTTTAAACCAGATCGATCGAAACGGAGCAGCCTCAAAACACCTGTTTTTAGTTTCGCTTTGGGTTTTCTCTAAAGTGCGAGACATAAATCCAGCCGCGGCTCAGAGACTGCAGCAGGATATTCATAAGCTCTGGTTCCACTGGATACACACCTGACCCTGGCACAGACCGAGACTGAGACCCAGACTGAGACCGAGACTGAGACCCAGACTGAGACCCAGACTGAGACCCAGACTGAGACCCAGACTGAGACCCAGACTGAGACCCAGACTGAGACCCAGACTGAGACTGAGACCCAGACTGAGACCTAGACTGAGACCCAGACTGAGACCCAGACTGAGACCCAGACTGAGACTCAGACCGAGACCCAGACCCAGACCGAGGCAACAACAAAACCAGACCAACACGCCCTATAATAATTAATGCTGTGCCTTGATTTCATTGTTGTGTGTTTTTCTTTGTGTGTTTTTCTTCTGCGTACTTTAGTTCAGCCAAATATTCAGTAAATGTCATTTTTAATAATTGAATTAAACAGAACAAAGCACAAAACAATAATACCCCCAAAGTTTAAAGATAACTCTGAGTCCTGTGTGTCAGAGGTCGTTGGTTCGAGTCCCAGGACTGAGTCTGAAGCAGGTTTGGTTTGTTAGAAACTCTGAATGATCCGAGACTGAAGCAGAAGTGACGATGGCTCAACGCTTCCTGTCGTTTACTCATCTTTACAAAGTCTGTTTCCAAACCCTCGGTCTCCAAACCCTCGGTCTCCAAACCCTCGGTCTCCAAACCCTCGGTCTCCAAACCCTCGGTCTCCAAACCCTCGGTCTCCAAAGTCTCAGTGTCCAAAGTCTCGGTCTCCAAAGTCTCGGTCTCCAAACCCTCGGTGTCCAAACCCTCGGTCTCCAAACCCTCGGTGTCCAAACCCTCGGTCCCCAAACCCTCGGTGTCCAAACCCTCGGTGTCCAAAGTCTCGGTCTCCAAACCCTCGGTGTCCAAACCCTCGGTGTCCAAAGTCTCGGTCTCCAAACCCTCGGTCTCCAAACCCTCGGTCCCCAAACCCTCGGTCCCCAAACCCTCGGTGTCCAAACCCTCGGTCTCCAAACCCTCGGTGTCCAAACCCTCGGTGTCCAAACCCTCGGTGTCCAAAGTCTCGGTGTCCAAACCCTCGGTCTCCAAAGTCTCGGTCTCCAAAGTCTCGGTCTCCAAAGTCTCGGTCTCCAAAGTCTCGGTCTCCAAAGTCTCGGTCTCCAAAGTCTCTGTGTCCAAAGTCTCTGTGTCCAAAGTCTCGGTCTCCAAAGTCTCGGTCTCCAAAGTCTCGGTCTCCAAAGTCTCTGTGTCCAAACCCTCGGTCTCCAAAGTCTCGGTGTCCAAAGTCTCGGTGTCCAAAGTCTCGGTGTCCAAACCCTCGGTGTCCAAACCCTCGGTCTCCAAACCCTCGGTCTCCAAACCCTCGGTCTCCAAACCCTCGGTGTCCAAACCCTCGGTGTCCAAACCCTCGGTGTCCAAACCCTCGGTGTCCAAAGTCTCGGTGTCCAAACCCTCGGTCTCCAAAGTCTCGGTCTCCAAAGTCTCGGCCTCCAAAGTCTCGGTCTCCAAAGTCTCGGTCTCCAAAGTCTCGGTCTCCAAAGTCTCTGTGTCCAAAGTCTCGGTCTCCAAAGTCTCGGTCTCCAAAGTCTCTGTGTCCAAACCCTCGGTCTCCAAAGTCTCGGTGTCCAAAGTCTCGGTGTCCAAACCCTCGGTGTCCAAACCCTCGGTCTCCAAACCCTCGGTCTCCAAACCCTCGGTCTCCAAACCCTCGGTCTCCAAACCCTCGGTCTCCAAACCCTCGGTCTCCAAACCCTCGGTCTCCAAACCCTCGGTTTCCAAACCCTCGGTTTCCAAACCTTCGGTGTCCAAAGCCTCTGTGGAGGTAACTCTATCCTGCTGCAGTCAGTGTCATTGGGAAAAGTCTGGAGGACGAGCTGCTTCTAGATGAGGCTAAAACACAATGTGTTTTATATAAGTATAATACAGTAAATATATGTATATAATATATATGTGTATAAATATAATACAATACACACACATATACTGTATATCCTGTTGTATATAAGTAAACACAAATCTGAGGTCAATGAGCAAGGTCCTCTCCAGGTCCCGGTCCTCTCCAGGTCCCGGTCCTCTCCAGGTCCCGGTCCTCTCCAGGTCCCGGTCCTCTCCAGGTCCCGGTTCTCTCCAGGTCCCGGTCCTCTCCAGGTCCCGGATCTCTCCAGGCCCTGGTCCTCTCCAGGTCCTGGTCCTGGTGCAGAGGTCCTTCCTGAAGAGTTCCAGTTTCTCTGGGTCTTGTTCTCAGTGAAAGATGGAGGTGAGACTGAAGAGGGAGCAGCGTCTGTGTCAATACGACACAACACAATTTATTCTTTTATTTCCCTAAATCACAACAGCATCATCTCAGAGACTTAACAAAACCATTGAAATCACCACAGATCAGAGAATCAACAGTTAAAACACATGAAGAATATAGAACACATGTGATAAATGTCATACATGTGATAAATGTCATACATGTAGAATGTTAAAGTGTCCTGGATCATCACAGTCCTTCTAGTCTGACACTAACTGTCTCCAACAGACTCCTGCATCAGAGGAAAAACTCTAAACCCAGTGGGAAAAAGTGAGAAACCTCGGGGAGACCCATGGTTTGAGAAAGGGATCCGCTCCACGGACGGACGGGCTGTAGATCCAGGAGTCAGACTGTAGAACGAGGACTGAGGCTGTAGATCCAGGAGTCAGACTGTAGAACGAGGACTGAGGCTGTAGATCCAGGAGTCAGACTGTAGAACGAGGGAAAAAGAGTGTTTTAAGCCTGGCCTTAAACGTAGAGACAGTGTCTCGTTCCTTAACGTGTGTGAAGCTGATTCCACAGTAGAGACGCTTGGAGCTAAATGCTCTGTCACTGACAGTGATTTTAGAAACCTGAGGGACCGTCAGACGTCTGGCGTTTTGTGAGCGCAGTGCTCGACTTGGATGATACAGTCAGAGCTGTGTCAGACTGTGGTGAAGAGGGAGCAGCGTCTGCAGTCAGAGCTGTGTCGGACTGTGGTCATGAGGGAGCAGCGTCTGCAGTCAGAGCTCCTCTCCTCACCTGTGGTCATGAGGGAGCAGCGTCTGCAGTCAGAGCTCCTCTCCCTCACCTGTGGTCATGAGGGAGCAGCGTCTGCAGTCAGAGCTCCTCTCCCTCACCTGTGGTCATGAGGGAGCAGCGTCTGCAGTCAGAGCTCCTCTCCCTCACCTGTGGTCATGAGGGAGCAGCGTCTGCAGTCAGAGCTCCTCTCCCTCACCTCTGGTCAAAGGCTTTGGGTAATGACCGAAAGGACCAGTTTCCTCCACAGAGTAGAGCCGCTGCTCCCTTAGAGATAGAGGACCTCAGTCACACGGGAGGAGCTCGGAGTAGAGCCGCTGCTCCCTTAGAGATAGAGGAGCTCAGTCACACGGTCTTAAGACTGCTGCCCCCACAACCCGGCAACGGACGAAGCAGAAGAAAATGGACGTCAGGGTTTTGTGGTAGAACTCATGACCTCTGAGCTGAGAGAAGTGTTAGTGCTGCAGAAAGGGACACCTCTGCTATAGATACACACACACACACACACACAGACACACACACACACAGACACACACACACACACACACACACACACACACAGACACACACACACAGACACACACACACACACACACACACACAGACACACACACACACACACACAGACACACACACACACAGACACACACACACACACACACACACACAGACACACACACACACACACACACACACACACAGACACACACACACACACACACACACACACACACACACACACACACACACAGACACACACACACACAGACACACACACACACACACACACACACACACACACACACACACACAGACACACACACACACACACACACACACACACACACACACACACAGACACACACACACACACACACACACACACACACACACACACACACACACACACACACACACACACACAGACACACACAGACACACACACACACACACACAGACACAGACACACACACACAGACACACACACACACACAGAGACACACACACACACACACACACACAGACACACACACACACACAGAGACACACACACAGACACACAGACACAGACACACACACACACAGACACACACACACACAGACACATACACACACACACACAGACACACACACACAGACACACACACACAGACACAGACACACACACACACACACACACAGACACACACACACACACACACACACACAGACACAAACCTCTTCTATAGACACACACAGAGACACACACACAAACCTCTTCTTTATATACACACAGATACACACACCTCTCCTATAGATACACACAGTCACACACACACACACACACACAGACACACCTCCTATAGACACACACACACAGAGACGCACACACACACACACAGACACACACACACACACACAGAGACACACCTCTCCTATAGACACACACACACACAGGGTGTGTGTGAATGTTTTAAATGAAGCGATTCCCGTCATGAGGAAACACTTCCTGACGGGAACACAGTGGTTAGCCCTCTCACTTCTCAGAAAGAAAGTCCTGGGTTCGAATCCTGGTTTGGAACAGGGTCTTTCTGAGTGGAGTTTACATGTTCTCCCTGTGTCTGGGTAGGTTTCCTCCAGGTGCCTAAAACATGTCCAATAGGTCTGAATGTAATGGAGGGTGTTTGGTCGGAGGCTTTGATGGAGCAGTGTGCTCAGGACTCGCTTCGTCTCTGTGTGTGAATGTCTGAACTGTGAACTTTGTGTCTGTGCCTTTGTGTCTGTGCCTTGGTGTCTGCCTTGGTCTGTGCCTTTGTGTCTGTGCCTTTGTGTCTGTGCTTTGTGTCTGTGCTTTGTGTCTGTGCTTTGTGTCTGTGCCTTTGTGTCTGTGCCTTTGTGTCTGCCTTGGTCTGTGCCTTTGTGTCTGTGCCTTTGTGTCTGTGCCTTTGTGTCTGTGCCTTTGTGTCTGTGCCTTGGTCTGTGCCTTTGTGTCTGTGCTTTGTGTCTGTGCCTTTGTGTCTGTGCCTTGGTCTTTGAATGTGTTATATAAATAAATATGACTGAAGGAGACTTCTCAGTTTCATCTGAAGTTCTGTTCAATAAACAGCATTGTGTCCTTTTCCACCTCCACAGAGTTCACTTTTCCACTGCAACAAGGCCTCTTTGTGTGTCTGTGTGTGTGTGTGTGTGTGTGTGTCTGTGTGTGTGTCTGTGTGTGTGTGTGTGTGTGTCTGTGTGTGTGTGTGTGTGTCTCTCTGTGAGTGTGTCTGTGTCTGTGTGTGTGTGTCTCTCTGTGAGTGTGTTTGTGTGTCTCTGTGTGTGTGTGTGTGTGTCTCTGTGTGTGTGTGTGTCTCTCTGTGAGTGTGTGTGTGTGTGTCTCTCTGTGTTGTCTTGCCGCTCACGGCACGGTGGCTGAGTGGTTAGCACTCTCGCCTCTCATCAAGAAGGTCCTGGGTTCGAATCCCGGCCGGACCAGGGCATTTCTGAGTGGAGTTTGCATGTTCTCCCCGTGTGTGCGTAGGTTTCCTCCGGGTACTCCGGTTTCCTCTACCACTAAAAATATGTACAATAGGTCTGGCATGTGCCTCCTGTTCGGCGACCCCGCTCCCATCTCTGTGTGGAGTGAGAGACAAGTGCCTAAAATAATAACAATTGTAAACCACTTTGTGATTCTGGTCTGTGAAAGGCGGTATATAAATAAACATTACTTACTACTTACTCTGTGTGTGTGTGTGTGTCTCTGTGTCTGTCTGTGTGTGTGTGTGTGTCTCTGTGTGTGTGTGTGTCTCTGTGTCTGTCTGTGTGTGTGTGTGTGTCTCTCTGTGTGTGTGTGTGTGTGTCTTTCTGTGTCTCTCTGTGTGTGTGTGTGTGTGTCTCTCTGTGTCTGTCTGTGTGTGTGTGTGTGTGTCTCTGTGTGTGTGTAGACGACAAATTGTAAAAACTCTTTAAACTCTTAGTTTTTGAAGAAAACTTTCAATGTTTAACTTTTTGTGGAGTTTCTGAAATAGTTTTAGGAAAGTGTGAAGTGCAGATTCTGAGACGTCCAAAGTCCGGTCTCGGTTTTGTTTCCGGTCTCGGTTGTGTTTCCTTATTGTCTGTGTCGCGGCTCTGGGGGTTTTAGGGAAAGTCTGTGTCTTGAATTATTAATTATGCAATAAACATTTATAAGTTTCCTTTTGATCTTTTGGTTTAATGAAACCAAAGTCAACTTGAAGAGTTTTGTACAATAAGCACGTGTGGAAAGTGCACGTGTGGAAAGTGCACGTGTGGAAAGTGCACGTGTGGAAAGTGCACGTGTGGAAAGTGCACGTGTGGAAAGTGCACGTGTGGAAAGTGCACGTGTGGAAAGTGCACGTGTGGAAAGTGCACGTGTGGGAAGTGCACGTGTGGGAAGTGCACGTGTGGAAAGTGCACGTGTGGAAAGTGCACGTGTGGAAAGTGCACGTGTGGAAAGTGCACGTGTGGAAAGTGCACGTGTGGGAAGTGCACGTGTGGAAAGTGCACGTGTGGAAAGTGCACGTGTGGAAAGTGCACGTGTGGAAAGTGCACGTGTGGGAAGTGCACGTGTGGGAAGTGCACGTGTGGGAAGTGCACGTGTGGAAAGTGCACGTGTGGAAAGTGCACGTGTGGGAAGTGCACGTGTGGGAAGTGCACGTGTGGGAAGTGCACGTGTGGGAAGTGCACGTGTGGGAAGTGCACGTGTGGAATGTGAAAATGTAAAACCTGTTGTTGCTGTAAATGAGTTGAAACTTTGCCAAGACTGGGTTTAGAACAAACAGATTAACGTTCTCAGGATTCTGTTCAGAGAGTTTACACATTTATGTTTCTGCTCAAAAAACATGATGATGATGATCATGGTTTGAGCCCAAATCAAAGAAGAACCGGGTCTGGACCTGGTCTGGACCGGGTCTGGACCCTGTCTCCGTCTGTGGCAGTTTTTTGTGTGAAGTGATGTTTATTTCTCTTCTCTGTGTGTTTTCCAGGGGCCTTGGTCTCATCATGGCACCGTTCCTGAGAATCAGCTTCAACTCTTGGGACATGGGTTCGCTGCCCGCTCTGGCCGAGGCTCCCATCTGTGCCATAAAGATGAAGGAGTCTGTCCCCACAGGTGCAGAACGGGCTGCGACCAACAACGTTCTTCACACTGTGTTAACGCAGGGCTTTGTTTCAGAGCGCGGTAAAACCTTAGTCCAGAAGAAGCCGACCATGTACCCGGCCTGGAAGGCTTCCTTTGACGCCCACATCTACGAGGGCCGGGTCCTGGAGGTGGTCCTGATGAAGAACCAGGAGGAGGGTCTGGCCCAGGCGTCCATGGGGGTCGCGGTCCTCGCCGAGCGCTGTAAGAAATCCAAAACAAACGGCCGCTCTGAGTTCTGGTTGGACCTGCTGCCTTCAGGACGCGTGCAGATGGCTGTGCAGTATTTCCTGGAGAATGAAGACTTGGGTAAATTCATCATGAAATAATCCGACTTTTACACATGTTTGTTCTGACGAATCATGTTCCCTGACCGGGATTCGAACTCAGGCCGCGGCGATGAGAGTGTCTAATCCTAACCATGAGACCATCAGGGAATCAGACCTGAGACCAGACCGAGTCTGTACAGCTCTAGTCATGTATGAGCGCCCCCTGCTGTTCAGTCCCACTCAGGCACAGAACGTCTCAAATCATAGAAATTGTTAAAATAATGTGAAACTAAGACTTTTCTTTGATTGTTTGATTCTGTCTGATCCACGAGTTTGGTCTGTCTCTGTGTTTCACACTGAAAGGATCAAAAGATTTATGATAAATAATGAAACAAAAATAATAAATAATTAAAGATGAATAATACATGTATTTATTTACACTTTTAACCTTTGGGCCTTGAACCCAGAGACTTCTCGTGCTGTTATCGGAGCCCTTTCCGTCTGTTTAACGTCTCGCTCTAATCTTGTGGTTCCATTGTTTGCTCTCGTCTTTGCCCTCGAGGCTTAAAGCTCCAGTCGTTCCCTGTTTCTGATGTTTATAACTTATTATTATCAGTTTGTGCCAAAGTGTGTTTGGAACAGTCTTCCTGAAAATGTACTTTATTATTCTGTGCTTTTAATATGGAACATTTTATGTGTCGTCAGATTTTGAATTGTTTTTAGCTTGAATTTTTCAGTTTGAAATTTTTAACCCTGAAAAAGCAAGTTTGAATATTTTTATCTTTACTTTTCAGTCACTAAAAATTCAGTTTACAAATTTAAATGTGATTAAAATTTCAAAATGACATATTCACCCTCAAAATATTCAATATATATATTTTTTCAATGTAAAAAAAATAGACGGAAATTGAATTTTAAATGGACCTGAATTCATCTATTTGAATGTTTTTAACATCTTGAATATTTTTTTCTGTGAATTTCAGTCACTGATTATCAACTTCATAATGTTCAATTCAACAGTCAAAATTCAACGAGAAAAAATTCAATGGTGAAAAATGTACATGACACATCCGGAGTTCTGACGAGTTATGTGCTCTGTCAGTTGGTCTGTCAGATGGCCTGTCAGTTGCTCTGTCAGTTGGTCTGTCAGTTGGTCTGTCAGTTGGTCTGTCAGTTGGTCTGTCAGTTGGTCTGTCAGTTGCTCTGTCAGTTGCTCTGTCAGTTGGTCTGTCAGTTGCTCTGTCAGTTGGTCTGTCAGTTGCTCTGTCAGTTGCTCTGTCAGTTGCTCTGTCAGTTGCTCTGTCAGTTGGTCTGTCAGTTGGTCTGTCAGTTGGTCTGTCAGTTGGTCTGTCAGTTGCTCTGTCAGTTGCTCTGTCAGTTGGTCTGTCAGTTGCTCTGTCAGTTGCTCTGTCAGTTGGTCTGTCAGTTGGTCTGTCAGTTGGTCTGTCAGTTGGTCTGTCAGTTGCTCTGTCAGTTGGTCTGTCAGTTGGTCTGTCAGTTGGTCTGTCAGTTGGTCTGTCAGTTGGTCTGTCAGTTGCTCTGTCAGTTGGTCTGTCAGTTGGTCTGTCAGTTGGTCTGTCAGTTGCTCTGTCAGTTGCTCTGTCAGTTGCTCTGTCAGTTGGTCTGTCAGTTGGTCTGTCAGTTGGTCTGTCAGTTGGTCTGTCAGTTGGTCTGTCAGTTGGTCTGTCAGTTGGTCTGTCAGTTGGTCTGTCAGTTGGTCTGTCAGTTGGTCTGTCAGTTGCTCTGTCAGTTGCTCTGTCAGTTGGTCTGTCAGTTGCTCTGTCAGTTGGTCTGTCAGTTGCTCTGTCAGTTGCTCTGTCAGTTGCTCTGTCAGTTGGTCTGTCAGTTGGCCTGTCAGTTGGTCTGTCAGTTGGTCTGTCAGTTGGCCTGTCAGTTGGTCTGTCAGTTGGTCTGTCAGTTGGTCTGTCAGTTGGTCTGTCAGTTGCTCTGTCAGTTGGTCTGTCAGTTGCTCTGTCAGTTGCTCTGTCAGTTGCTCTGTCAGTTGCTCTGTCAGTTGCTCTGTCAGTTGGTCTGTCAGTTGCTCTGTCAGTTGGTCTGTCAGTTGCTCTGTCAGTTGGTCTGTCAGTTGGTCTGTCAGTTGCTCTGTCAGTTGCTCTGTCAGTTGCTCTGTCAGTTGCTCTGTCAGTTGCTCTGTCAGTTGGTCTGTCAGTTGGTCTGTCAGTTGGTCTGTCAGTTGGCCTGTCAGTTGGTCTGTCAGTTGGTCTGTCAGTTGGTCTGTCAGTTGGTCTGTCAGTTGGTCTGTCAGTTGGTCTGTCAGTTGCTCTGTCAGTTGGTCTGTCAGTTGGTCTGTCAGTTGGTCTGTCAGTTGGTCTGTCAGTTGGTCTGTCAGTTGCTCTGTCAGTTGGTCTGTCAGTTGGTCTGTCAGTTGCTCTGTCAGTTGCTCTGTCAGTTGGTCTGTCAGTTGGTCTGTCAGTTGGTCTGTCAGTTGGCCTGTCAGTTGTGCTCTGTCAGTTGGTCTGTCAGTTGGTCTGTCAGTTGGCCTGTCAGTTGGCCTGTCAGTTGGTCTGTCAGTTGCTCTGTCAGTTGGTCTGTCAGTTGGCCTGTCAGTTGGTCTGTCAGTTGGTCTGTCAGTGTTGCTCTGTCAGTTGGCTCTGTCAGTTGGTCTGTCAGTTGGTCTGTCAGTTGGTCTGTCAGTTGGTCTGTCAGTTGGTCTGTCAGTTGCTCTGTCAGTTGCTCTGTCAGTTGGTCTGTCAGTTGCTCTGTCAGTTGCTCTGTCAGTTGGTCTGTCAGTTGGCCTGTCAGTTGCTCTGTCAGTTGGTCTGTCAGTTGGTCTGTCAGTTGGCCTGTCAGTTGGTCTGTCAGTTGGTCTGTCAGTTGGTCTGTCAGTTGGTCTGTCAGTTGGCCTGTCAGTTGGTCTGTCAGTTGCTCTGTCAGTTGGTCTGTCAGTTGGTCTGTCAGTTGGTCTGTCAGTTGGTCTGTCAGTTGCTCTGTCAGTTGCTCTGTCAGTTGGTCTGTCAGTTGCTCTGTCAGTTGCTCTGTCAGTTGGTCTGTCAGTTGGTCTGTCAGTTGGTCTGTCAGTTGCTCTGTCAGTTGCTCTGTCAGTTGGTCTGTCAGTTGGTCTGTCAGTTGCTCTGTCAGTTGGTCTGTCAGTTGGTCTGTCAGTTGGCCTGTCAGTTGGTCTGTCAGTTGGTCTGTCAGTTGGCTCTGTCAGTTGGTCTGTCAGTTGGTCTGTCCGTTGCTCTGTCAGTTGGTCTGCGTATGCGTCATTTTACTGAGGTAAAGACTGGCGCTAGCTTTCAGCAGGTCCATCGGTTGATAACATGAATCTAACAGGTTGATAACATGAATCTAACAGGTTGATAACATGAATCTAACAGGTTGATAACATGAATCTAACAGGTTGATAACATGAATCTAACAGGTTGATAACATGAATCTAACAGGTTGATAACATGAATCTAACAGGTTGATAACATGAATCTAACAGGTTGATAACATGAGTCTAACAGGTTGATAACATGAATCTAACAGGTTGATAACATGAATCTAACAGGTTGATAACATGAATCTAACAGGTTGATAACATGAATCTAACAGGTTGATAACATGAATCTAACAGGTTGATAACATGAATCTAACAGGTTGATAACATGAATCTAACAGGTTGATAACATGAATCTAACAGGTTGATAACATGAATCTAACAGGTTGATAACATGAGTCTAACAGGTTGATAACATGAATCTAACAGGTTGATAACATGAATCTAACAGGTTGATAACATGAGTCTAACAGGTTGATATGGGATTTCTAATGAATGGATTGTAATGAAACCAAGGCGAATAACAAGATGATACTACATTCATTTGATGAGTTAGTCTTTTTGGGTAAATGTGCTCGTTTCAAATCATTATTGCTGTATATTCCTGTTTATTTCTTTAGGCTGTGTGTTTGTTTGTTGCTATAAATGTTCAACTGTGATGGTTTTCATGAACACAAACAAAGGACAGTGTTATTGTTGGTTACGTTACACAGTATTTGGGTCTAGTTTCCCGTGTAGCAGTTTCCACAGGGCTCACTTGTGTTACTTGAAAAAGAGTTCAATGTAAAGGAATTAACAGAAAACATGTATTCCACAGCTTGAACTCTTGTACACTATATGATATTTTCTGAGTTGTCTCTGAAATAAAGTAACAACGGTAAGAACACCGTATGGCTGCTTATTTCTTGAGCTGTGAAAAGTGACGTGCTCTTTCGGCTCCACTCGCTCCGTAAACAAAGCGAAATCCTCTCTCTCTCTTTCTTAAAGTGACGGTAACGTAAATATTCTAAGTTAAAGCTGCACTAACTGACTTTGGGATTTTGAAGCCGTGGACTCGCTGGCCTCTCTCTTTCTGCTCCCCTCCCCGCACCCACGAAGCTATCTCCCCCACACACACCCACTGTTGGGACGGAGCTAGTGTCTCCCAATATGGATAAACCATGGATATGGATTTGCACGTGGATGGCGTGACCATAGAACGATAGAACCGGGAAGCGCAGAGGAACGGGACTTTCTTTTGGATGGCTGTCTCGCTGTGTAAGCAGTAACTGGTGACGAAGACGAGGAAGCTTCAGGTTAGCTCCTCGGCTTGTTGTGCTAACTCAGCCGTCTATGCTAACGGACCTGTAGATTTCTCACGAAAGTGGGGGCCAGTGGTGCGCTGTGATTGGTCACAATCTGCGACCCAAAACACATTCTCTTCCTTGTTTCATCAAAACTCGATCTAAAATATAATGTCACGCCAGCACAAATCTGCGCTAATTATTCTTCAAAAGGACGTATATCCCAATGCCCTACACGGACATGGATAGCACTTTAGTAATTAATACAAAAATAAAGTCAGTTAGTGCAGCTTTAACAAAATCTCCATTAGTTCTAAAGGGTCTAATGTAGATAACGAGAGTTTCCAACGTCAGTGAAGAGAAAACAGAGTTCATTATGTGCAGAGCAACTGACAGAGCAACTGACAGACCAACTGACAGGCCAACTGACAGAGCAACTGACAGAGCAACTGACAGAGCAACTGACAGAGCAACTGACAGAGCAACTGACAGAGCAACTGACAGAGCAACTGACAGAGCAACTGACAGAGCAACTGACAGACCAACTGACAGGCCAACTGACAGGCCAACTGACAGACCAACTGACAGACCAACTGACAGACCAACTGACAGACCAACTGACAGAGCAACTGACAGACCAACTGACAGAGCAACTGACAGAGCAACTGACAGAGCAACTGACAGGCCAACTGACAGACCAACTGACAGACCAACTGACAGAGCAACTGACAGACCAACTGACAGAGCAACTGACAGAGCAACTGACAGAGAAACTGACAGGCCAACTGACAGAGCAACTGACAGAGCAACTGACAGAGCAACTGACAGAGCAACTGACAGAGCAACTGACAGAGCAACTGACAGGCCAACTGACAGGCCAACTGACAGACCAACTGACAGAGCAACTGACAGGCCAACTGACAGAGCAACTGACAGACCAACTGACAGACAACAACGAGCAACTGACAGCCAACTGACAGACCAACTGACAGACCAACTGACAGAGCAACTGACAGACCAACTGACAGAGCAACTGACAGACCAACTGACAGAGCAACTGACAGACCAACTGACAGAGCAACTGACAGAGCAACTGACAGAGCAACTGACAGAGCAACTGACAGAGCAACTGACAGACCAACTGACAGAGCAACTGACAGAGCAACTGACAGAGCAACTGACAGACCAACTGACAGGCCAACTGACAGGCCAACTGACAGACCAACTGACAGAGCAACTGACAGAGCAACTGACAGAGCAACTGACAGACCAACTGACAGAGCAACTGACAGAGCAACTGACAGAGCAACTGACAGAGCAACTGACAGACCAACTGACAGACCAACTGACAGACCAACTGACAGAGCAACTGACAGAGCAACTGACAGAGCAACTGACAGAGCAACTGACAGACCAACTGACAGAGCAACTGACAGACCAACTGACAGGCCAACTGACAGAGCAACTGACAGACCAACTGACAGACCAACTGACAGACCAACTGACAGAGCAACTGACAGAGCAACTGACAGGCCAACTGACAGAGCACATAACTCGTCAGAACTCCGGATGTGTCATGTACATTTTTCACCATTGAATTTTTTCTCGTTGAATTTTGACTGTTGAATTTGACATTATGAAGTTGATAATTAGTGACTGAAATTCACAGAAAAAAATATTCAAGATGTTAAAAACATTCAAATAGATGAATTCAGGTCCATTTAAAATTCAATTTCCGTCTGTTTTTTTTACATTGAAAAAATATATATATTGAATATTTTGAGGGTGAATATGTCATTTTGAAATTTTAATCACATTTAAATTTGTAAACTGAATTTTTAGTGACTGAAATGTAAAGATAAAAATATTCAAACTTGCTTTTTCAGGGTTAAAAATTTCAAACTGAAGAATTTAAGCTATTGGGCGGCACGGTGGCTGAGTGGATAGCACTCTCGCCTCTCAGCAAGAAGGTCCTGGGTTCGAATCCCGATCGGACCAGGGCCTTTCTGAGTGGAGTTTGCATGTTCTCCCCGTGTCTGCGTAGGTTTCCTCCGGGTACTCCGGTTTCCCCTACCACTAAAAATATGTACAATAGTTCTGGCATGTGCCTCCTGTACTGGCCCCTCCCATCTCTGTGTGGAGTGAGAGACAAATGCCCAAAAATAACAATTGTAAACCGCTTTGAGACTCAGATGTGCAGTGAAAAGGCGGTATATAAATAAAGATTACTACTACTACATGAATCTGAATCAGAAATATGAGGAGGTTTCCTGATCATGTAAAACAGTTAAAGTGATGTTTTAGCAAAACATCAAATTAAATTAAACATAAAAGAAGATAAATTATGTTTTTACATGTTTTTGTCTGTGTTCATGATTAAGTATTCATATTCTGAACTGAATTATGACAGATTAGGGCCCTTTAATAATGACAGATTAGGGCCCTTTAATGATGACAGATTAATTATTAATTATGTTTTTCTAATCTTCTCCCTCTGCATGTCTAACTGTAACTGTTTTTCAGCTTCTACAAACGAGTCGATAAGAGTCGGGCAGAAAAGAGAGATCCCTGAAGATGGCGTCCTGACGATCAACAGACGCAGAGGAGCGTTCAAACAGCCCAAAGTGCACGACATCAAGAGCCACGAGTTCACCGCCACGTTCTTCAACCAACCCACCTTCTGCTCCGTCTGCCGAGAGTTCCTCTGGTGAGACCCAGGACTGAGGCTGTAGACCCAGGACTGAGACTGTAGACCCAGGACTGAGGCTGTAGACCCAGGACTGAGGCTGTAGACCCAGGACTGAGGCTGTAGACCCAGGACTGAGGCTGTAGACCCAGGACTGAGGCTGTAGACCCAGGACTGAGGCTGTAGACCCAGGGCTGAGGCTGTAGACCCAGGACTGAGGCTGTAGACCCAGGACTGAGGCTGTAGACCCAGGACTGAGGCTGTAGACCCAGGACTGAGACTGTAGACCCAGGACTGAGGCTGTAGACCCAGGGCTGAGACTGTAGACCCAGGACTGAGGCTGTAGACCCAGGACTGAGGCTGTAGACCCAGGACTGAGACTGTAGACCCAGGACTGAGGCTGTAGACCCAGGACTGAGACTGTAGACCCAGGACTGAGGCTGTAGACCCAGGGCTGAGACTGTAGACCCAGGACTGAGGCTGTAGACCCAGGACTGAGGCTGTAGACCCAGGACTGAGACTGTAGACCCAGGACTGAGGCTGTAGACCCAGGACTGAGGCTGTAGACCCAGGGCTGAGGCTGTAGACCCAGGACTGAGGCTGTAGACCCAGGACTGAGGCTGTAGACCCAGGACTGAGGCTGTAGACCCAGGACTGAGACTGTAGACCCAGGACTGAGGCTGTAGACCCAGGGCTGAGACTGTAGACCCAGGACTGAGGCTGTAGACCCAGGACTGAGGCTGTAGACCCAGGACTGAGACTGTAGACCCAGGACTGAGGCTGTAGACCCAGGACTGAGGCTGTAGACCCAGGACTGAGACTGTAGACCCAGGACTGAGGCTGTAGACCCAGGACTGAGACTGTAGACCCAGGACTGAGGCTGTAGACCCAGGACTGAGACTGTAGACCCAGGACTGAGGCTGTAGACCCAGGACTGAGGCTGTAAACCCAGGACTGAGACTGTAGATCCAGGACTGAGGCTGTAGACCCAGGACTGAGGCTGTAGACCCAGGACTGAGGCTGTAGACCCAGGACTGAGGCTGTAGACCCAGGGCTGAGGCTGTAGACCCAGGACTGAGGCTGTAGACCCAGGACTGAGGCTGTAGACCCAGGACTGAGGCTGTAGACCCAGGACTGAGGCTGTAGACCCAGGACTGAGACTGTAGACCCAGGACTGAGGCTGTAGACCCAGGGCTGAGACTGTAGACCCAGGACTGAGGCTGTAGACCCAGGACTGAGGCTGTAGACCCAGGACTGAGACTGTAGACCCAGGACTGAGGCTGTAGACCCAGGACTGAGGCTGTAGACCCAGGACTGAGGCTGTAGACCCAGGACTGAGGCTGTAGACCCAGGACTGAGACTGTAGACCCAGGACTGAGGCTGTAGACCCAGGACTGAGACTGTAGACCCAGGACTGAGGCTGTAGACCCAGGGCTGAGACTGTAGACCCAGGACTGAGGCTGTAGACCCAGGACTGAGGCTGTAGACCCAGGACTGAGACTGTAGACCCAGGACTGAGGCTGTAGACCCAGGACTGAGGCTGTAGACCCAGGGCTGAGGCTGTAGACCCAGGACTGAGGCTGTAGACCCAGGACTGAGGCTGTAGACCCAGGACTGAGGCTGTAGACCCAGGACTGAGACTGTAGACCCAGGACTGAGGCTGTAGACCCAGGACTGAGACTGTAGACCCAGGACTGAGGCTGTAGACCCAGGACTGAGGCTGTAGACCCAGGACTGAGACTGTAGACCCAGGACTGAGGCTGTAGACCCAGGACTGAGGCTGTAGACCCAGGACTGAGACTGTAGACCCAGGACTGAGGCTGTAGACCCAGGACTGAGGCTGTAGACCCAGGACTGAGGCTGTAGACCCAGGACTGAGGCTGTAGACCCAGGACTGAGGCTGTAGACCCAGGACTGAGGCTGTAGACCCAGGACTGAGGCTGTAGACCCAGGACTGAGGCTGTAGACCCAGGACTGAGGCTGTAGACCCAGGACTGAGGCTGTAGACCCAGGGCTGAGGCTGTAGACCCAGGACTGAGGCTGTAGACCCAGGACTGAGACTGTAGATCCAGGACTGAGGCTGTAGACCCAGGACTGAGGCTGTAGACCCAGGACTGAGGCTGTAGACCCAGGACTGAGGCTGTAGACCCAGGACTGAGGCTGTAGACCCAGGACTGAGGCTGTAGACTGTGGCAGGAGCTCTGGTGTGTTCTGTCTGCTGCACACTGGGGAGTCTCGCACAGTTATTCCAATGTGGTTTTACTGCAAATGGCAGATCAATGACTCTTGTAATACATGTGAGTAAATGTGTCCTGTCTGTGCAGGGGACTCAATAAGCAGGGCTACAAATGCAGACGTAAGTTTCGTTCTGAATCAGTTTAGTTTTTGGTGGCACTTTTCTGTTTGATGTTTACTTTCTCTGTTTCATGAACCCAGAATGCAACGCTGCGATTCACAAAAGATGCAGTGCGTTGTTGATTGCGCGCTGCACGGGAACCGCAACCAACAGCCGAGAGACGATGGCGAGTGGACGTCCTGAAACACTCTCACTATACTTTTGTTTTCCTCTGAAATGATAAAGTGTTAACGCTGAGGTTTCACTGCAGTCCAACAAAGACTTAGACCCAGACAGGTTACACACAGTCACACACGGTTACACACGGTTACACACAGTCACACACGGTTACACACGGTTACACACAGTCACACACGGTTACACACAGTTACACACAGTTACACACGGTTACACACAGTCACACACGGTTACACACAGTTACACACAGTTACACACGGTTACACACGGTTACACACAGTTACACACAGTTACACACGGTTACACACAGTCACACACGGTTACACACAGTTACACACGGTTACACACAGTTACACACAGTCACACACGGTTACACACAGTTACACACAGTTACACACGGTTACACACGGTTACACACAGTTACACACAGTTACACACGGTTACACACAGTTACACACAGTTACACACGGTTACACACAGTCACACACGGTTACACACGGTTACACACGGTTACACACAGTTACACACAGCCACAGTCACACACACAGTCACACACAGTCACACACGGTTACACACAGTTACACACAGTTACACACAGTTACACACAGTCACACACGGTTACACACGGTTACACAGTTACACACAGTCACACACGGTTACACACAGTCACACACGGTTACACACGGTTACACACGGTTACACACAGTCACACACGGTTACACACAGTTACACACAGTTACACACGGTTACACACGGTTACACACAGTTACACACAGTCACACACGGTTACACACGGTTACACACAGTCACACACGGTTACACACAGTTACACACAGTTACACACAGTTACACACAGTTACACACAGTTACACACGGTCACACACGGTTACACACAGTTACACACAGTCACACACGGTTACACACAGTCACACACGGTTACACACAGTTACACACAGTTACACACAGTTACACACAGTCACACACGGTTACACACGGTTACACACAGTCACACACGGTTACACACAGTTACACACAGTTACACACAGTCACAGTCACACACAGTCACACACGGTTACACACAGTTACACACAGTTACACACGGTTACACACAGTTACACACAGCCACAGTCACACACACAGTCACACACAGTCACACACGGTTACACACGGTTACACACAGTTACACACAGTTACACACAGTTACACACAGTCACACACGGTTACACACGGTTACACACAGTTACACACGGTTACACACAGTTACACACAGTTACACACAGTCACACACAGTCACAGTCACACACGGTTACACACGGTTACACACAGTCACACACGGTTACACACGGTCACACACGGTTACACACGGTTACACACAGTCACACACGGTTACACACGGTTACACACGGTTACACACGGTTACACACAGTCACACACGGTTGCACACGGTTACACACAGTCACACACGGTTACACACGGTTACACACAGTCACACACGGTTGCACACGGTTACACACAGTCACACACGGTTACACACGGTTACACACAGTCACACACGGTTACACACGGTTACACACAGTCACACACAGTCACACACGGTTACACACAGTCACACACGGTTACACACAGTTACACACAGCCACAGTCACACACACAGTCACACACAGTCACACACGGTTACACACAGTTACACACGGTTACACACAGTTACACACAGTTACACACAGTCACACACGGTTACACACGGTTACACACAGTCACAGTCACACACGGTTACACACGGTTACACACGGTTACACACTGTTACACACAGTTACACACAGTCACACACGGTTACACACGGTTACACACGGTTACACACAGTCACACACGGTTACACACAGTCACACACAGCCAAACACAGACACACACAGTCACACACAGTCACACACAGACACACACAGCCACACACAGACACACACAGTCACACACAGTCACACACAGTCACACACAGACACACACAGACACACACAGACACACACAGTCACACACAGTCACACACAGTCACACACAGACACAGTCACACACAGACACACACAGACACACAGTCACACACAGACACACACAGTCACACACAGTCACACAGTCACACACAGTCACACACAGACACACACAGTCACACACAGACACACACAGTCACACACAGTCACACACAGACACAGTCACACACAGTCACACACAGTCACACACAGTCACACACAGTCACACACAGACACACACAGTCACACACAGTCACACACAGACACACACAGTCACACACAGTCACACACAGACACACACAGTCACACACAGTCACACACAGACACAGTCACACACAGACACACACAGTCACACACAGACACACACAGTCACACACAGTCACACACAGACACACACAGTCACACACAGACACACACAGTCACACACAGTCACACACAGACACAGTCACACACAGTCACACACCACACAGTCACACACAGTCACACACAGACACACACAGTCACACACAGTCACACACAGTCACACACAGACACACACAGTCACACACAGTCACACACAGTCACACACAGACACAGTCACACACAGACACACAGTCACACACAGACACACACAGTCACACACAGTCACACACAGACACACACAGTCACACACAGACACACACAGTCACACACACAGTCACACACAGACACAGTCACACACAGTCCACGACACACACAGTCACACACAGTCACACACGTCACACACAGTCACACACAGTCACACACAGTCACACACAGACACACACAGTCACACACAGTCACACACAGTCACACACAGACACACACAGTCACACACAGTCACACACAGACACACACAGACACACACAGACACACACAGTCACACACAGTCACACACAGACACACACAGTCACACACAGTCACACACAATCACACACAGACACAGTCACACACAGACACACACAGACACACACAGTCACACACAGTCACACACAGTCACACATAGTCACACACAGACACACACAGTCACACACAGTCACACACAGTCACACACAGTCACACACAGACACACACAGACACACACAGTCACACACAGACACACACAGTCACACACAGTCACACACAGTCACACACAGACACACACAGTCACACACAGTCACACACAGACACACACAGTCACACACAGTCACACACAGACACACACAGTCACACACAGTCACACACAGTACACACACAGACACACACAGTCACACACAGACACACACAGTCACACACAGACACACACAGTCACACACAGTCACACACAGTCACACACAGTCACACACAGACACACACAGTCACACACAGTCACACACAGTCACACACAGACACACACAGTCACACACAGTCACACACAGACACACACACACAGTCACACACAGTCACACACAGACACACAGTCACACACAGTCACACACAGTCACACACACACACAGTCACACACAGACACACACAGTCACACACAGTCACACACAGTCACACACAGTCACACACAGTCACACACAGTCACACACAGTCACACACAGTCACACACAGTCACACACAGTCACACACAGCACACACACAGTCACACACAGTCACACACAGTCACACACAGTCAACACAGACACAGTCACACACAGTCACACACAGCACAGACACACAGTCACACACACACAGTCACACACAGTCACACACAGTCACACACACAGTCACACACAGTCACACACAGTCACACACAGTCACACACAGTCACACACAGTCACACACAGTCACACACACACACAGCACACACAGTCACACACAGTACACACAACACAACACACACAGTCACACACACACACACACACAGTCACACACAGTCACACACAGTCACACACAGTCACACACAACACACACAGTCACACACAGTCACACACAGTCACACACAGTCACACACAGACACAGTCACACACATCACACACAGTCACACACAGCCACACACAGTCACACACAGTCACACACAGTCACACACAGTCACACACAGCACACACACAGTCACACACAGTCACACACAGTCACACACAGTCACACACAACACAGTCACACAGTCACACACAGTCCACACACAGTACACACACAGTCACACACAGTCACACACAGTCACACACAGTCACACACACACACAGTCACACACAGTCACACACCACACAGTCACACACAGTCACACACAGTCACACACAGTCACACACAGTCACACACACACACAGTCACACACAGTCACACACAGCACACACAGTCACACACAGTCACACACAGACACACACAGTCACACACAGTCCACACACAGTCACACACAGTCACACACAGTCACACACAGTCACACACAGTCACACACAGACACACACAGTCACACACAGTCACACACAGTCACACACAGTCACACACAGTCACACACAGACACCACACACAGTCACACACAGTCACACACAGTCACACACAGTCACACACAGTCACACACTGTCACACACTGTCACACACTGTCACACACAGTCACACACAGTCACACACAGTCACACACAGTCACACACAGTCACACACAGTCACACACAGTCACACACTGTCACACACTGTCACACACAGTCACACACAGTCACACACAGTCACACACAGTGATTATTGTTGTTGTGTGTTCTTCAGCCTCTGGTTAAACAGGAGCAGGACAAAGACGACTGTAACCTGGACCTGAAGGTGGAGCTGAACATCAGGGCGGACTGTGGCGCCCCCAGTGGTGAGACTTTATATTGAAACATGGCATCATAAGCATCAGGCCCCTCCCCTTAAGACTATGAAGGTTCTTCTTTTGAGACCAATAGTGTGAAGAAGTTTTTCTTCATTACCGTGTTTCAGCGCTCGACTGTCGGCACGAGCCTCTTGACTCTCACTTCTTTCTCTTTCAGCGCTGGAATCCGTTGAAGATTCCTCTTCTGCTGAGAACATGACTCCTCCCCCCTCGCTCTCTTCCACAGATGCCACCATAGACCTGACGTGTCGCCCTCGAGCCAAACGTAAACCGTCCAGACCGCAGTCCGCCGCGGGCCTCAGTCCTCGCAGCCCGCTCAAAGCCGAGGTCCAGGCCATCGATGACGAGGAGCCGCCCTCGCAGATGTCGGTGGACCTCACCGAGGACCACAGCCCCGAGCGCAGCCTGGACCTGGCCTGGATGCAGGAGCGCGTCACGCACCTGGGCGCGGCGTACGCCGTGGCGCAGCTGGGTCTGGGTCACACAGAGTCTGCGCACGCCTCCTTCCAGTCCCAGTCCAGCGACAGCTCCGAGGGGCCGCCCACCATGATCTTCCCGTCCTCGGCGCACGACATGGCCGCCTTCGCCGCCTCCTTCGACCTGTCCGCTGTCGTGGCGACGCCTCAGAGCACGTCCCCCGCTCAGGCCACGCCCCCCTCCAGCGCAGGTCAGCGGCGAGCGTTCAAGAGCATGAAGGAGGCCGCCGCCTGCAACATCTGCGGGAAGCTGTTCCCCAGCGCCGCCACCATGGAGATGCACCAGCGCACGCACACGGGGGAGCGGCCGTACGCCTGCCCGCACTGCGGCAAGGGCTTCGCTCAGCCCAACAACCTGCGCGTGCACCTGCTGATCCACACGGGCGAGCGCCGCTACCGCTGCACGCTCTGCGGCAAGAGCTTCATCTCCTCCAGTCACCTGAAGCGCCACCGCACCGTGCACACGCAGGAGAAGCCGTACAGCTGCGCGCGCTGCGGCCAGTCCTTCAGCCAGATGTGCAGCGTGCGGCGCCACCGGCAGCAGTCGCAGTGCGGCCTCTAGACACAGACTGTCTGCTTGAGAGAGACCAGAGACAACAGGGGGAGGGAGGGGGAGGGAGGGGGAGGAGGGTGACCGGTCAAACCTCGTTCTGCTCCGCACCGTTACCGTCTCCGCCCCCTGTCGCCGTGACGTTCCGTGACATTTGCGTTGCTCGTGCCGCAGTGGCTCCTGGCTCCAGTGCATGAAGTCTGTGCCGTCCTGTTTCTGTCTTTTATATCAGTGTTTATCTTTGCATCACGCAGACGGTGAGAGTCTGGTTGGAAAAAAGCAGAAATGTTCCAGAAAGTTTACATTACTTTTCCATGGGAATTATGGGAATGAATCAGAATGAGAATTTGTATTTCCTTTGTAAGTAACGAGCGTTGGCTCGAGGTTGCAAGAGGATAAAGGTAACTTTAGTGTAAGGTTGGAATTTAGAACTAACTGGGAATTAAATATAATGTAATACAATTTTATTATATCCAAGCATTAAATATAAACAGGAGAATTCATCCAAAACGACAAATGGATTTTTAGCAGATTTTTAACAGATCTTGAAAAACTTAATTCACTTTGTTTAGTCCTTAGGATCAAATACAGTATGTGCCTTCAATCGTCTTGTGCTTTGGTGTCAAAGTCTGGTCCAGTCTAGAAATCTTCTGTACATGTGTTGGAGGCTCAGGACCAGCAGGGGGCGTGGTCTCTGCAGGGGGCGTGGTCTCAGTAGCAGTGAGCAGAGTGCTAAGTGCCTGTGATAGAGGACAGACCTGGATATTCAAGTGTATTTTAATGAAATCTATTGTTTTTAGTCAAGATTATACAAAAAATATACTTTTTTTCAACCATATTTAAGTTCTTTATAAAGAGCCAACCTTCAATTTAGACAAATCCCAGTTCATCACAGTTTATTGTGATCCAAATGAATAAGATAAAAATGATCTGACGAAGGCTAAGGCCGAAACGTAATAAATACTAGATCTTTTGGACATCTATCCGAGTGTGCTGTGTATTTTCCAATACATTTAAATCCCAGTTCATTCCCATTAATTCCCACGGAAAGTTTCCCAGTTTGAGAAGTCCCGACATGGTGCAACCCTCGGTGTGAGTCGTACCGGTCCAAGCCTGTAGCAGAATGAGTGCAGCTGTTTCTTCTGTTTTCATTAAAGGTATTGTGACTGAGCGAGTGCATGTGTTTGTCCCACACAGACCAGTCAAAAGAGAAAGAGAGGGAGAGAAAGAACAAGATATGGTGTGAACGTAGCTGTGTCACTTCCTGTGTTTTTCATCCAATCGTATGCCTCGTTTCCACCAGCCAGACTTGGCTCTACTCTCTACTCTACTTAGCCCTTCTCTACTCTACTTAGTCCTACTCTACTCTAAAAGCAGCAAGAAGAATGGACCCACAGAACCTCTCCTTCACAGAGCGAGGGTGGATCCGTTTGTCACTGAAGCTGCTCTCCAGACCTCATTAACCTGCACTGTCCAAACCAAATCAACGATAAACAAACGTATTATATTTTGTAATCAGGCTTTAATGAAACAAAACACAAAACAAGAGAAAACAACTAATTTTAAAAGCGGCAAAATTAGTTGTTTTGGAGACTTCAGCCTGGACAGACCCAGGACCCAAAGGGACTAAAGAAGGACCAGTTGAAACGCTCCCAGTCAGAGTAGGGTAGTGTATGGTAGGGTAGGGCTGGTGGAAACAGGGCTTTTGTAACTCCAGTCGCACTCATTCTGATTGGTTTACCCTGTTTTTCTGTTGTTCGTGTGGAGACCTGCCTGAAGCTGAAATCTTAGACTTATATTAAACATACTTACAGCTCTAAAACCTAAATCCAGTTCCACATGTCACATTTGCGCCTTACTTGCACTGACCATAGACTGTAAACGAGGACTGGCCGAGTGTGACATCACCACAGTGTTAGCCTTAATGCACAAGAGGCCCATTCGAACGTAAGCTAGCTGGAGCTAATTTTGTGTTGTTAGCTTGGCGTCGTAACGGGGGCAGACATGTTGCTAAGACGGTTGCTAAGTTTCCTCTGTGAATGAAGGCTTCTGATTGGTCAATCCTTACTTGGTTCATATCTGGATTTACAAAGACAACATCACATATAAACAAACTAACACCAGGATCAGAGAGAGAACTACAGTATTCATGTGTTTTTAAGCCCAAAATGGTGAGTGTGACTATGGTCTCTCTCTGGTCTTTCTCTGGTCTCTCTATGGTCTCTGGTCTCTCTCTAGTCTCTGTTTTCTTTCCCTGGTCTCTCTCTAGTCTCTCTGGTCTCTCCCTAGACTCTCTGGTCCCTTTAGTCTCTGTTTACTCTCCCTGGTCTCCCTCTAGTCTCTGGTCTCTCTCTGGTCTTTCTCCATTGTCTCTCTCTTTAGTCTCTCCCTCTGGTCTCTCTCTGGTTACTCTGATCTCTTTCTAGTCTCTCCCTGGTCTCTCCTGTCTCTCTCTGGTCACTCTGTTTGATCTCGTTCTAGTCTCTTTCTCTAGTCTCTTTCTCTGGTCTCTCTCTTCTTTGCTAGAACATGATTCAACCTCTTCTATTGAGCTCCTGGTCCTTTTCTCTCATTCTCTGAAAAGTGTAAAATGTTCTTCTGAATGACACACACACACACAGACAAACACACACGTCGGCTGTTGTCTAAAGCTTCCTTCTTTGTCGTTCTGTTAACTTGTGCGTCTGTCGTTTGTGTTTGAGAAAAAGAGCAGATTTGTGTCTGTTGGAGCCGCTCTATCGCCTTCTGAACCATGTGACCACTTCTACAATCACCATTAAACGTACACAATGTTTGCAATGAACAGGACTCTTGGACTTTCTTTAGTTTACATTACACGGTCTCTCTGGTTTTTCTCTGCTCTTTGTGGTCTCTTTTGTCTTTCTGGTGTCTCAGTTCTCGCTGGTCTCTCTCATGTCTCTGATTTCTCTTGTCTCTAGTCTCTTTCGGGTCTCTCTAGTTTCTCGGGTCTCTCTGATCTCTTTTGAGTCTCTCTCTGGGCTCTATTTCTGGGAATTCTAGTAGTTCCAGACTGTGGGAGTTTTAAGTTAAAGTCTGTGAGTGGATTCGTAGTAGTTTCAACCAGTGGGGGCGGGTCCCAGCTCAAAAGTGGCCAAAATGACGTGCGCTGACATGCTGCAATACCACCCCGGGCCGATGGGGGTGGACCCGGAGTAAGAATTTGCCAATGCTAACATTTAGCATTGGCAGACCTCTCGAAAATGTCTTTACAGGAAGGACCAAAAGTTGTCTCTTGGCCCAAAGCTCCGTTCCACATGTGTGTCAATGCTGAGGGAGTGTTCTGGTCCAGTCTAGTTTAGTCGCTGTGAATTTTTGAAGTTTCTCGTTCAAATGAATGGAGCTGCGCCGGCTGACGCATGCACAGATGCGTTTTTTCACAATTTTCTTGTGGGCGGGACCACTGGCGGCCATTTTGGATAGCTCCTGTAAAGCAGAATTTTTGGCTCATTAGTTAGAACGGCGGAGATAGGCGTGACTCTGTCCGTTAATATATACAGTCTATGGTTTCAACACAATTATTTACAAATTACATCATGAATGAATAATAAGTCCAGGATTCATGTTCAGTAAATGACTTGAACTTTTCATCATTCCAACACTTTTTGCCACTTTCGTCGTCTTATGTGAGGTTTCCATCAGATCTTGTATCTCATACCACTGCCAAAAAACATTGTGATAAACAATGTTTCTCATCAGGTAAAAGACACTGCATCTATCAGGACATCTGACCACAGCGCATCCAACGATGATAACATTATTTTAAAACAAAGGATTTTGGATAATAAAATATTACAACTGAACTTGTTTGACAATGTAGACTACGATGATCCCGATCCAGAGATTGAAATCCATCCATTTTCTTCCCCTTAATCCATTTTGGGTCGGGGGAGTGGCCAGAGATGCCACCCGGTACACAGAGCACCAGTCCTTCACAGAGATTGAAATCGATCCGGATAATACATTTTATAGTCAGATGAGCGTAAATTGTAACTATTACTCGGATAAAGACTATAACTCAATTGGCACCAAAGAAAAATTCTCAATAATTCACTTCAATAGTAGAAGCATGTACACAAACTTTGACTGTATTAAAACATATTTAGAGCGTTTTTCTGTCCCATTCAACATTGTAACTATTTCAGAGACATGGTTCAACGAAGAAAAGGGAATTGAGTTGGAAGGGTATAATCTTAATTATGTAAACAGAAAAAATAAGATTGGTGGAGGGGTTGCTATATACTGTATGTTAGTAAACAGTTTAAATACAACGTTATTGAAAACATGTCATTAACAATTGACAATGTACTTGAGTGCGTAACAATAGAAATCAACTGTGAGAAAGCCATCCATCCATCCATTTTCTACCCTTTAATCCATTTCTGGGAGCTGGGAGAGCTTGTCCTGGAGCAGGGATGGCAGGATTGTGTTGAAGGCAGAGCTGAAGTCCACGAACAGGACCCTGGCGTAGGTCCCCGGGGAGTCCAGGTGCTGTAGGATGTGGTGGAGGGCCAGGTTGATGGCGTCGTCTACAGGACCAATTTGTTTCTCAAACCGCCTCTGACGGCGGGACTTCTGGGGCCCTTGGATGCCCCCTCACACATGACTACTGTTCCAAGTCGGCAGAGGCTGGACACCCGTTTTTGCCTGACGCTCGGGTTTTAAAACAGGACATTTCCATAGACATAGAAACTGTTTACTATTCCCCCCAGAGTCAGCTTTCCTCAGACACTTTTCGTTTCACAGGTCCTATGAGAACTGGTAAATCCCAAACCGAGAATAGCATCCACTGGTAAGTTTTCAACCACACCACACTCACAAGATAGGGTGGTCTAAGGCCAGTCACAGTCCATCCCAGACACACACCAAATAGGATAGGGATGGCTATCCCATGCACGCACTGAATATTCCACAGTATGGCTGTAAATCCGTGCCGCTAACTGGAACTGAGTACGTTTTGATCAACGCATTAAAGTGCCAGTATCAAGCAATGCTGTATCGCTTTTTGCCATTGATCAGTACACACACACAGTCACACACAGTCACACACAGACACACACACACACAGTCACACACAGACACACACAGTCACACACAGTCACACACAGACACACACAGTCACACACAGTCACACACAGACACACACAGCACACCCCACACACACACAGACACACACAGTCACACACAGTCACACACAGTCACACACACAGTCACACACAGACACACACACACACAGTCACACACAGACACACACAGACACACACAGTCACACACAGTCACACACAGTCACACACAGTCACACACAGACACACACAGTCACACACAGACACACACAGACACACACACACACACAGTCACACACAGACACAGTCACACACAGTCACACACAGTCACACACAGACACACACAGTCACACACAGACACACACAGTCACACACACAGTCACACACAGACACACACAGTCACACACAGTCACACACAGACACACACAGTCACACACAGACACACACAGTCACACACAGTCACACACAGTACACACACACAATCACACACAGACACAGTCACACACAGTCACACACAGACACACACAGACACACACAGTCACACACAGTCACACACAGTCACACACAGTCACACACAGACACACACAGTCACACACAGTCACACACAGACACACACAGTCACACACAGTCACACACAGTCACACACAGTCACACACAGACACACACAGTCACACACAGTCACACACAGTCACACACAGACACAGTCACACACAGCACACACACACACACAGTCACACACAGTCATCACACACAGACACAGTCACACACAGTCACACACAGACACACACACAGTCACACACAGTCACACACAGACACACACAGTCACACACAGTCACACACACACAGACACACACAGTCACACACAGTCACACACAGACACAGTCACACACAGACATACACAGTCACACACAGTCACACACAGACACAGTCACACACAGTCACACACAGTCACACACAGACACACACAGTCACACACAGTCACACACAGACACAGTCACACACAGTCACACACAGACACACACAGTCACACACAGTCACACACAGTCACACACAGACACAGTCACACACAGTCACACACAGTCACACACAGACACACACAGTCACACACAGACACACACAGTCACACACAGTCACACACAGACACACACAGTCACACACAGTCACACACAGACACACACAGACACACACAGTCACACACAGACACACACAGACACACACAGTCACACACAGTCACACACAATCACACACAGACACAGTCACACACAGTCACACACAGACACACACAGACACACACAGTCACACACAGTCACACACAGTCACACACAGTCACACACAGACACACACAGTCACACACAGTCACACACAGACACACACAGTCACACACAGTCACACACAGTCACACACAGTCACACACAGTCACACACAGACACAGTCACACACAGTCACACACAGTCACACACAGACACACACAGTCACACACAGTCACACACAGTCACACACAGACACAGTCACACACAGTCACACACAGACACACACAGTCACACACAGTCACACACAGACACACACAGTCACACACAGACACACACAGTCACACAGTCACACACAGACACACACAGTCACACACAGACACAGTCACACACAGTCACACACAGACATACACAGTCACACACAGTCACACACAGACACAGTCACACACAGTCACACACAGTCACACACAGTCACACACAGACACACACAGTCACACACAGTCACACACAGTCACACACAGACACAGTCACACACAGTCACACACAGACACACACAGTCACACACAGTCACACACAGACACACACAGTCACACACAGACACACACAGTCACACACAGTCACACACAGACACACACAGTCACACACAGTCACACACAGACACAGTCACACACAGTCACACACAGTCACACACAGACACACACAGTCACACACAGTCACACACAGACACAGTCACACACAGTCACACACAGACACACACAGTCACACACAGTCACACACAGTCACACACAGACACACACAGTCACACACAGTCACACACAGTCACACACAGACACAGTCACACACAGTCACACACAGACACACACAGTCACACACAGTCACACAGACACACACAGACACACACAGACACACACAGACACACACAGTCACACACAGACACACACAGTCACACACAGTCACACACAGACACAGTCACACACAGTCACACACAGTCATACACAGTCACACACAGTCACACACAGACACACACAGTCACACACAGTCACACACAGTCACACACAGACACACACAGTCACACACAGTCACACACAGTCACACACAGTCACACACAGACACACAGTCACACACAGACACACACAGTCACACACAGTCACACACAGACACACACAGTCACACACAGACACACACAGTCACACACAGTCACACACAGTCACACACAGACACAGTCACACACAGTCACACACAGTCACACACAGACACACACAGTCACACACAGACACACACAGTCACACACAGTCACACACAGACACACACAGTCACACACAGTCACACACAGACACACACAGACACACACAGTCACACACAGACACACACAGTCACACACACAGTCACACACAGTCACACACAATCACACACAGACACAGTCACACACAGTCACACACAGACACACACAGACACACACAGTCACACACAGTCACACACAGTCACACACAGTCACACACAGACACACACAGTCACACACAGTCACACACAGACACACACAGTCACACACAGTCACACACAGTCACACACAGACACACACAGTCACACACAGTCACACACAGTCACACACAGACACAGTCACACACAGTCACACACAGACACACACAGTCACACACAGTCACACACAGACACAGTCACACACAGTCACACACAGACACACACAGTCACACACAGTCACACACAGACACACACAGTCACACACAGACACACACAGTCACACACAGTCACACACAGACACACACAGTCACACACAGTCACACACAGACACAGTCACACACAGACATACACAGTCACACACAGTCACACACAGACACAGTCACACACAGTCACACACAGTCACACACAGACACACACAGTCACACACAGTCACACACAGTCACACACAGACACAGTCACACACAGTCACACACAGACACACACAGTCACACACAGTCACACACAGTCACACACAGACACAGTCACACACAGTCACACACAGTCACACACAGACACACACAGTCACACACAGACACACACAGTCACACACAGTCACACACAGACACACACAGTCACACACAGTCACACACAGACACACACAGACACACACAGTCACACACAGACACACACAGTCACACACAGTCACACACAATCACACACAGACACAGTCACACACAGTCACACACAGACACACACAGACACACACAGTCACACACAGTCACACACAGTCACACACAGTCACACACAGACACACACAGTCACACACAGTCACACACAGACACACACAGTCACACACAGTCACACACAGTCACACACAGACACACACAGTCACACACAGTCACACACAGTCACACACAGACACAGTCACACACAGTCACACACAGACACACACAGTCACACACAGTCACACACAGACACACACAGTCACACACAGACACACACAGTCACACACAGTCACACACAGACACACACAGTCACACACAGTCACACACAGACACAGTCACACACAGTCACACACAGACACACACAGTCACACACAGTCACACACAGACACAGTCACACACAGTCACACACAGACACACACAGTCACACACAGTCACACACAGACACAGTCACACACAGTCACACACAGTTCACACACAGACACACACAGTCACACACAGTCACACACAGTCACACACAGACACAGTCACACACAGTCACACACAGACACACACAGTCACACACAGACACAGACACACACAGTCACACACAGTCACACACAGACACACACAGTCACACACAGTCACACACAGACACACACAGTCACACACAGTCACACACAGACACAGTCACACACAGACACAGTCACACACAGTCACACACAGACATACACAGTCACACACAGACACAGACACACACAGTCACACACAGTCACACACAGACACACACAGACACACACAGACACACACAGTCACACACAGTCACACACAGCCACAGAGACGGTAAGGTCAAACTTCCTGGAGCCTGAAGTGAGTCCATCTCAGTGTACTCTGTGTCTAGCCACACATGACTTATTAAAATGAGAACTTAAACAACATTCCAGTGACATGAAGTGTGGTGTGTGCAGTTCCAGAAAGAGCGCTTCAAGATCGACCTACCGCATCGATTCAGATTCTACAACTACAGAGGCCCCACCTTCTGTGACCACTGCGGCAGCCTGCTCTGGGGGCTCTACAGACAGGGCCTGAAGTGTGAAGGTGCAGGATGTTAAAGCATCATCTGTGGAGACTGTAGGCTGTAGGCTGTAGGCTGTAGACTGTAGACTGTAGGCTGTAGGCTGTAGAGGCTGTAGGCTGTAGAGACTGTAGGCTGTAGACTGTAGGCTGTAGGCTGTAGACTGTAGGCTGTAGACTGTAGGCTGTAGAGACTGTAGGCTGTAGAGACTGTAGAGACTGTAGGCTGTAGACTGTAGGCTGTAGAGACTGTAGGCTGTAGAGACTGTAGGCTGTAGAGACTGTAGGCTGTAGACTGTAGGCTGTAGACTGTAGGCTGTAGAGACTGTAGGCTGTAGGCTGTAGAGACTGTAGGCTGTAGACTGTAGGCTGTAGAGACCGTAGGCTGTAGAGACTGTAGACTGTAGGCTGTAGAGACTGTAGGCTGTAGACTGTAGGCTGTAGACTGTAGAGACTGTAGGCTGTAGACTGTAGGCTGTAGGCTGTAGAGACTGTAGGCTGTAGACTGTAGGCTTTAGGCTGTAGAGACTGTAGACTGTAAGCTGTAGGCTGTAGGTTGTAGGCTGTAGAGACTGTAGACGTTAGGCTGTAGGCTGTAGACTGTAGGCTGTAGACTGTAGACTGTAGGCTGTAGAGACTGTAGGCTGTAGACTGTAGACTGTAGGCTGTAGACTGTAGGCTGTAGAGGCTGTAGGCTGTAGAGACTTTAGACTGTAGAGACTGTAGGCTGTAGAGACTGTAGGCTGTAGAGACTGTAGGCTGTAGACTGTAGGCTGTAGACTGTAAGCTGTAGGCTGTAGAGACTGTAGGCTGTAGAGACTGTAGGCTGTAGAGACTGTAGGCTGTAGAGACTGTAGACTGTAGAGACTTTAGGCTGTAGACTGTAGAGACTGTAGGCTGTAGAGACTGTAGGCTGTAGAGACTGTAGGCTGTAGAGACTGTAGGCTGTAGAGACTGTAGGCTGTAGGCTGTAGGCTGTAGAGACTGTAGGCTGTAGAGACTGTAGGCTGTAGAGGCTGTAGGCTGTAGAGACTGTAGGCTGTAGAGACTGTAGGCTGTAGAGACTGTAGGCTGTAGGCTGTAGACTGTAGAGACTGTAGGCTGTAGAGACTGTAGGCTGTAGAGACTGTAGGCTGTAGGCTGTAGACTGTAGAGACTGTAGGCTGTAGAGACTGTAGGCTGTAGAGACTGTAGGCTGTAGAGACTGTAGGCTGTAGAGACTTTAGGCTGTAGACTGTAGGCTGTAGAGACTGTAGGCTGTAGACTGTAGAGACTGTAGGCTGTAGACTGTAGGCTGTAGAGACTGTAGGCTGTAGAGGCTGTAGGCTGTAGAGACTGTAGGCTGTAGACTGTAGACTGTAGGCTGTAGACTGTAGAGACTGTAGGCTGTAGAGACTGTAGGCTGTAGAGACTGTAGGCTGTAGACTGTAGGCTGTAGACTGTAGGCTGTAGACTGTAGGCTGTAGAGACTGTAGGCTGTAGAGACTGTAGGCTGTAGAGACTGTAGGCTGTAGAGACTCTAGGCTGTAGAGACTTTAGGCTGTAGAGACTGTAGGCTGTAGAGACTGTAGGCTGTAGAGACTGTAGGCTGTAGAGGCTGTAGACTGTAGGCTGTAGAGACTGTAGGCTGTAGAGACTGTAGGTTGTAGACTGTAGAGACTGTAGGCTGTAGAGACTGTAGGCTGTAGGCTATAGACTGTAGAGACTGTAGGCTGTAGACTGTAGAGACTGTAGGCTGTAGAGACTGTAGGCTGTAGAGACTGTAGGCTGTAGACTGTAGGCTGTAGGCTGTCTCTGTGCACTGGGACCTACTGCAGGTGTTTTGTGTTTTGCAGAATGCTCCATGAACGTTCACAGTTACTGTCAGAAGAAAGTGGCCAATCTCTGCGGAGTCAACCAGAAGCTACTGGCAGAAGCTCTGTCCCAGATCAGCCTGGTCTGGACTTTAGTTGTTGACATCAGAACGTGCTGAAAACTGGTTGGAAAACATTTGTTCTTTTTGACAGAAAAAGGACGTGTCCTTAAAGAAGCCGGATCCAAGTGCCCCCGACACCGGCATCTACCAAGGCTTTCAGGACCTGACACCAAACCCTAGCGGTAAGTTTAGTTTAGTTTAAAATAAAACATCAATTTCTTCCGACTCTAAACTTTATTTGTTGTGTAAATGTCATGAACAGCCAATGACAAAGCCAAGGCTCCAGGGTCCGCTCCAGGGTCCGCTCCAGGGTCCGCTCCAGGGTCCGCTCCAGGGTCCGCTCCAGGGTCCGCTCCAGGGTCCGCTCCAGCAGCAGTGTCTCGGATGCGGCTGACCCAGAACCAGCTCATCTTTCACAAAGTGCTCGGCAAAGGCAGCTTTGGGAAGGTCAGTCTCTGTGAGAAAATGTAACACCGTCAAACTTCACCGTCTGATCACCAGGGAACAAGTTTACAATGATTTATTACAAAAGAGTCTTTAAAAAGTCTGATTAAAACCAGGGGGATAAAAGCTATTCGGGTTAAAATCAGAGGGGAGAGGCTGGAGTCTAAAACTTAAGGGTGTGAGCTTTAAAAACAGGATTTCAGGTCCAGGCGATAAAGCGGTTTGGGTTGGCCGTGCTGGTCTGGCTTTGTCCCCATAAGGCCCCAGACGCTGCAGAGCCGCTAGCCTTCAGACCGCCTGAGGACCCGAGCTCTGCTAACACCAAGAGGAGAAGGTGCACTGAGCTTTGAAACAGGAAGTACCGCCCACCACAGCTGCCCACTCATCAAAAACATGGCCATTGGCTCAAAGCAAACAAAGAAAAGACACACACCCAAACTCAAAGTGGCAGTGATACAAGTGCCCTGTGACAATACGTCTGAATGATAATCTATAATGTGACGCTGCAGGTGCTGCTGGCCGAGCTCAAAGGGAAAAACCAGTTCTTTGCCGTGAAGGTTCTGAAGAAGGATGTTGTGCTGATGGACGATGACGTGGAGTGCACCATGGTGGAGAAGAGAGTCCTGTCCTTGGCCTGGGAGAACCCTTTCCTCACTCACCTCTACTCCACCTTCCAGTCCAAAGTGAGCAGACACTTTAATACTGAATCTACCTCCACTGGCACCAGCAGAACATGTAAACCCAGGACTTAAAGGGACTTGGCCCCAGAACAAAACTGTTTATTTCAAACTTAAGATAAAATAAGACTTCATGGATCTCACACGGGATAGAATCAGTCAGATACAGTCTTTTCCACACGCGTGACGCTGTGGCGTGTTGCAGGAGCACCTGTTCTTTGTCATGGAGTACCTAAACGGAGGTGACCTGATGTTCCACATCCAGGACAAAGGCCGCTTTGACCAGTCCAGGACCCTGTGAGTCTAAGGCTGTTAAACCAGTCACAGTCTGACTGTAATCATTAACTCTGAACGTTCCTCTGCAGATTCTATTCTGCTGAGATTATAGTAGGACTGCAGTTCCTTCACTCCAGAGGAATCATCTACAGGTGAGAAGTTCTTTCAGAAACAACATGAACAGGACTGACTCTAACTCTGTCCAGAAACATGAACAGGACTGACTCTAACTCTGTCCAGAAACATGAACAGGACTGACTCTAACTCTGTCCAGAAACAACATGAGCAGGACTGACTCTAACTCTGTCCAGAAACATGAACAGGACTGACTCTAACTCTGTCCAGAAACAACATGAACAGGACTGACTCTAACTCTGTCCAGAAACAACATGAGCAGGACTGACTCTAACTCTGTCCAGAAACATGAACAGGACTGACTCTAACTCTGTCCAGAAACAACATGAACAGGACTGACTCTAACTCTGTCCAGAAACAACATGAACAGGACTGACTCTAACTCTGTCCAGAAACAACATGAACAGGACTGACTCTAACTCTGTCCAGAAACAACATGAGCAGGACTGACTCTAACTCTGTCCAGAAACATGAACAGGACTGACTCTAACTCTGTCCAGAAACAACATGAACAGGACTGACTCTAACTCTGTCCAGAAACAACATGAACAGGACTGACTCTAACTCTGTCCAGAAACAACATGAGCAGGACTGACTCTAACTCTGTCCAGAAACATGAACAGGACTGACTCTAACTCTGTCCAGAAACAACATGAACAGGACTGACTCTAACTCTGTCCAGAAACAACATGAGCAGGACTGACTCTAACTCTGTCCAGAAACATGAACAGGACTGACTCTAACTCTGTCCAGAAACATGAACAGGACTGACTCTAACTCTGTCCAGAAACATGAACAGGACTGACTCTAACTCTGTCCAGAAACATGAACAGGACTGACTCTAACTCTGTCCAGAAACATGAACAGGACTGACTCTAACTCTGTCCAGAAACATGAGCAGGACTGACTCTAACTCTGTCCAGAAACATGAGCAGGACTGACTCTAACTCTGTCCAGAAACATGAACAGGACTGACTCTAACTCTGTCCAGAAACATGAACAGGACTGACTCTAACTCTGTCCAGAAACAACATGAGCAGGACTGACTCTAACTCTGTCCAGAAACATGAACAGGACTGACTCTAACTCTGTCCAGAAACATGAACAGGACTGACTCTAACTCTGTCCAGAAACAACATGAACAGGACTGACTCTAACTCTGTCCAGAAACAACATGAACAGGACTGACTCTAACTCTGTCCAGAAACATGAGCAGGACTGACTCTAACTCTGTCCAGAAACATGAACAGGACTGACTCTAACTCTGTCCAGAAACATGAACATGACTGACTCTAACTCTGTCCAGAAACAACATGAGCAGGACTGACTCTAACTCTGTCCAGAAACAACATGAACAGGACTGACTCTAACTCTGTCCAGAAACAACATGAACAGGACTGACTCTAACTCTGTCCAGAAACAACATGAGCAGGACTGACTCTAACTCTGTCCAGAAACATGAGCAGGACTGACTCTAACTCTGTCCAGAAACATGAGCAGGACTGACTCTAACTCTGTCCAGAAACATGAACAGGACTGACTCTAACTCTGTCCAGAAACAACATGAACAGGACTGACTCTAACTCTGTCCAGAAACAACATGAACAGGACTGACTCTAACTCTGTCCAGAAACATGAACAGGACTGACTCTAACTCTGTCCAGAAACATGAACAGGACTGACTCTAACTCTGTCCAGAAACATGAACAGGACTGACTCTAACTCTGTCCAGAAACATGAACAGGACTGACTCTAACTCTGTCCAGAAACATGAGCAGGACTGACTCTATCTCTGTCCAGAAACAACATGAACAGGACTGACTCTAACTCTGTCCAGAAACAACATGAACAGGACTGACTCTAACTCTGTCCAGAAACAACATGAACAGGACTGACTCTAACTCTGTCCAGAAACAACATGAACAGGACTGACTCTAACTCTGTCCAGAAACATGAACAGGACTGACTCTAACTCTGTCCAGAAACAACATGAGCAGGACTGACTCTAACTCTGTCCAGAAACATGAGCAGGACTGACTCTAACTCTGTCCAGAAACATGAGCAGGACTGATTCTAACTCTGTCCAGAAACATGAACAGGACTGACTCTAACTCTGTCCAGAAACAACATGAACAGGACTGACTCTAACTCTGTCCAGAAACATGAACAGGACTGACTCTAACTCTGTCCAGAAACATGAACAGGACTGACTCTAACTCTGTCCAGAAACAACATGAACAGGACTGACTCTAACTCTGTCCAGAAACATGAACAGGACTGACTCTAACTCTGTCCAGAAACATGAACATGAATGACTCTAACTCTGTCCAGAAACATGAACAGGACTGACTCTAACTCTGTCCAGAAACATGAACAGGACTGACTCTAACTCTGTCCAGAAACATGAACAGGACTGACTCTAACTCTGTCCAGAAACATGAACAGGACTGACTCTAACTCTGTCCAGAAACAACATGAGCAGGACTGACTCTAACTCTGTCCAGAAACATGAACAGGACTGACTCTAACTCTGTCCAGAAACATGAACATGACTGACTCTAACTCTGTCCAGAAACATGAACATGACTGACTCTAACTCTGTCCAGAAACATGAGCAGGACTGACTCTAACTCTGTCCAGAAACAACATGAACAGGACTGACTCTAACTCTGTCCAGAAACATGAACAGGACTGACTCTAACTCTGTCCAGAAACATGAACAGGACTGACTCTAACTCTGTCCAGAAACAACATGAACAGGACTGACTCTAACTCTGTCCAGAAACATGAGCAGGACTGACTCTAACTCTGTCCAGAAACAACATGAACAGGACTGACTCTAACTCTGTCCAGAAACAACATGAACAGGACTGACTCTAACTCTGTCCAGAAACAACATGAGCAGGACTGACTCTAACTCTGTCCAGAAACAACATGAACAGGACTGACTCTAACTCTGTCCAGAAACATGAACAGGACTGACTCTAACTCTGTCCAGAAACAACATGAACAGGACTGACTCTAACTCTGTCCAGAAACATGAACAGGACTGACTCTAACTCTGTCCAGAAACAACATGAACAGGACTGACTCTAACTCTGTCCAGAAACAACATGAGCAGGACTGACTCTAACTCTGTCCAGAAACATGAGCAGGACTGACTCTAACTCTGTCCAGAAACAACATGAACAGGACTGACTCTAACTCTGTCCAGAAACATGAAAAGGACTGACTCTAACTCTGTCCAGAAACAACATGAACAGGACTGACTCTAACTCTGTCCAGAAACATGAACAGGACTGACTCTAACTCTGTCCAGAAACATGAACAGGACTGACTCTAACTCTGTCCAGAAACAACATGAACAGGACTGACTCTAACTCTGTCCAGAAACATGAACAGGACTGACTCTAACTCTGTCCAGAAACAACATGAACAGGACTGACTCTAACTCTGTCCAGAATCATGAACAGGACTGACTCTAACTCTGTCCAGAAACATGAACAGGACTGACTCTAACTCTGTCCAGAAACATGAACAGGACTGACTCTAACTCTGTCCAGAATCATGAACAGGACTGACTCTAACTCTGTCCAGAAACATGAACAGGACTGACTCTAACTCTGTCCAGAAACATGAACAGGACTGACTCTAACTCTGTCCAGAAACATGAACAGGACTGACTCTAACTCTGTCCAGAAACAACATGAACAGGACTGACTCTAACTCTGTCCAGAAACATGAACAGGACTGACTCTAACTCTGTCCAGAAACAACATGAACAGGACTGACTCTAACTCTGTCCAGAAACAACATGAGCAGGACTGACTCTAACTCTGTCCAGAAACATGAGCAGGACTGACTCTAACTCTGTCCAGAAACAACATGAACAGGACTGACTCTAACTCTGTCCAGAAACATGAACAGGACTGACTCTAACTCTGTCCAGAAACAACATGAACAGGACTGACTCTAACTCTGTCCAGAAACATGAACAGGACTGACTCTAACTCTGTCCAGAAACATGAACAGGACTGATTCTAACTCTGTCCAGAAACATGAACAGGACTGACTTTAACTCTGTCCAGAAACAACATGAACAGGACTGACTCTAACTCTGTCCAGAAACAACATGAACAGGACTGACTCTAACTCTGTCCAGAAACAACATGAACAGGACTGACTCTAACTCTGTCCAGAAACAACATGAACAGGACTGACTCTAACTCTCTCCAGAAACATGAGCAGGACTGACTCTAACTCTGTCCAGAAACATGAGCAGGACTGACTCTAACTCTGTCCAGAAACATGAACATGAATGACTCTAACTCTGCAGGGACCTGAAGCTGGACAATGTGATGCTGGACCGAGATGGACACATAAAGATCGCAGACTTCGGAATGTGCCGAGAAAATGTCTCTGGAGACGTCAGAGCAACGACATTCTGTGGAACACCGGACTATATAGCACCAGAGGTACATTTGATCATATATATACTGTAAACTTTACTATATACTTTAAACTTTACTATATACTATAAACTTTACTATATACTGTAAACTTTACTATATACTGTAAACTTTACTATATACTTTGAACTTTACTATATACTGTAAACTTTACTATATACTGTAAACTTTACTATATACTTTGAACTTTACTATATACTTTAAACTTTACTATATACCGTAAACTTTACTATATACTTTAAACTTTACTATATACCGTAAACTTTACTATATACTGTAAACTTTACTATATACTTTAAACTTTACTATATACCGTAAACTTCACTATATACTGTAAACTTTACTATATACTGTAAACTTTACTATATACTTTGAACTTTACTATATACTTTGAACTTTACTATATACTATAAACTTTACTATATACTGTAAACTTTACTATATACTTCAAACTTTACTATATACTTTAAACTTTACTATATACTGTAAACTTTACTATATACTATAAACTTTACTATATACTTTAAACTTTACTATATACTGTAAACTTTACTATATACTGTAAACTTTACTGTAAACTTTACTATATACTTTAAACTTTACTATATACTGTAAACTTTACTATATATACTGTAAACTTTACTATATACTTTAAACTTTACTATATACTGTAAACTTTACTATATACTGTAAACCTTACTATATACTATAAACATTATTATATACTATAAACATTATAGTATATAATAAATCTCTACACCAGAGGTTCTGGTGTATCTAACACATGTGTCTGGTCAGATCTTGCTGGGGCAGAAGTACACGTTCTCGGTGGACTGGTGGTCGTTTGGCGTCCTGGTGTACGAGATGCTGATTGGTCAGTCCCCGTTCCAAGGCGATGATGAAGACGAGCTGTTTGAGTCCATCCGCACTGACACGCCGCACTATCCTCGCTGGATCTCCAAGGAGTCCAAGAACCTCCTGGAACTGGTACGGTCTGCATCGGTCTACATCAGTCCACATCAGTCTGCATTGGTCTGCGTCAGTCTGCGTCAGTCGGCATCAGTCTGCGTCAGTCTGCGTCAGTCTGCATCAGTCTGCGTCAGTCTGCATCTGTCTGCATCAGTCTGCGTCAGTCCACATCAGTCTGCGTCAGTCTGTGTCAGTCCACATCAGTCTGCGTCAGTCTGTGTCAGTCTGCATCAGTCCACATCAGTCTGGATCGGTCTGCATTGGTCTGTGTCAGTCTGCGTCAGTCCACATCAGTCTGCGTCAGTCTGCGTCAGTCTGTGTCAGTCTGCGTCAGTCTGCGTCAGTCTGCGTCAGTCTGCGTCAGTCTGTGTCAGTCCACATCAGTCTGCGTCAGTCTGTGTCAGTCTGTGTCAGTCTGCGTCAGTCTGCATCAGTCTGCGTCAGTCTGCGTCAGTCTGTGTCAGTCCACATCAGTCTGCGTCAGTCTGTGTCAGTCTGCGTCAGTCTGCGTCAGTCTGCATCAGTCTGCGTCAGTCTGCGTCAGTCTGTGTCAGTCCACATCAGTCTGCGTCAGTCTGTGTCAGTCTGTGTCAGTCTGCGTCAGTCTGTGTCAGTCTGTGTCAGTCCACATCAGTCTGCGTCAGTCTGTGTCAGTCTGCGTCAGTCTGCGTCAGTCTGCATCAGTCTGCGTCAGTCTGCGTCAGTCTGCATCAGTCTGCGTCAGTCTGCGTCAGTCTGTGTCAGTCCACATCAGTCTGCGTCAGTCTGTGTCAGTCTGTGTCAGTCTGCGTCAGTCTGCGTCAGTCTGTGTCAGTCTGTGTCAGTCCACATCAGTCTGCGTCAGTCTGTGTCAGTCTGCGTCAGTCTGCGTCAGTCTGCATCAGTCTGCGTCAGTCTGCGTCAGTCTGCATCAGTCTGCGTCAGTCTGCGTCAGTCTGTGTCAGTCCACATCAGTCTGGATCGGTCTGTGTGATGAAACTAACCCTGTTGTTCTTGGTGCAGTTGTTTGAGAGAGACCCCACGCGGAGGTTGGGCGTCGTGGGCGACATTCGCTCTCACTCTTTCTTCAAACCCATCAAGTGGACGGCTCTGGAGAACAGAGAAGTGGACCCCCCCTTCAAGCCCAAAGTGGTACGTTCCTGTTTAGAACCTATGATCACAGCCTGTCGGTTAGAACCTATGATCACAGTCTGTGGTTTAGAACCTATGATCACAGTCTGTGGGTTAGAACCTATGATCACAGTCTGTGGGTTAGAACCTATGATCACAGTCTGTGGGTTAGCACCTATGATCACAGTCTGTGGGTTAGAACCTATGATCACAGTCTGTGGGTTAGAACCTGTGATCACAGTCTGTGGGTTAGAACCTATGATCACAGTCTGTGGGTTAGAACCTATGATCACAGTCTGTGGGTTAGAACCTATGATCACAGTCTGTGGGTTAGAACCTATGATCACAGTCTGTGGGTTAGAACCTATGATCACAGTCTGTGGGTTAGAGCCTATGTACAGAGTCTGTGGGTTAGAACCTTTATGATCAGTCTGGGGTATAGAACCTATGATCACAGCCCAACTGTGTTTGTGACCCCGTCAGAAGTCGCCGAGTGACTGCAGTAACTTCGACCGAGAGTTCCTGAGTGAGAAACCTCGTCTGTCTCAGGCCGATAAGAACCTGATCGAGTCCATGGACCAAACGGCCTTCGCTGGGTTCTCCTTCGTTAACCCCAAACTGGAGCAGATGATGAGCAAATGAAGGTTCTAGCTCCGGCTCCGCGACAGAAACAAGTTTATGTTAAAGATGAAGTTCTGTTCATCAAGAGCCTCTTAAATCCGAGCTTTTAGAATAAGTCACTTTTGGGTTGATTTGGGAAACGTCCGATTGAAATGTAAACGTGTTTTGGTCTTGTCACTGATGAACAAATGTTTAAAATAATCCTCATTCAAATCAAGATGAAGTTTGCTCATTTAAAAAACCACCTTTGCACTTTTTATCCCAGAAAATACATGTTCTTGTTGAAGGCAGTTTATCGGATTGCACAGAAAACATGTATAAACTGATCTGTGAAGGTTTTGCTCCGTCTTAAAAACCAGAAATGTAAAAATGGGCCGTACCATGTTCATTTGTCTGAGGGGTGCAACACATTATACCTCTTATTTTTTCTACAAAACTAAATCTGTGTCTATATGTGTCGATCTTTGGAAATAAGGGAATCAGTGTAAAGCCAGCGTCGCCATAGTCACCGCTGGATAATAATAATAATAATAATAATAATAATAATAATAATAATAATGATAATAATAATGTCTTTATTACTTTTAACATTGATGGTACTTGGAACAATCTTACTTGGTCCGTCTTGATCTGTCTTGGTCTGTCTTGGTCTGTCTTGGTCCGTCTTGATCTGTTTTGATCTGTCTTGGTCTGTCTTGGTCTGTCTTGGTCTGTCTTGGTCTGTCTTGGTCTGTCTTGGTCTGTCTTGGTCCACATGGTGTTGGGCGTGACCTAAAGTCAAGCAGGGACTGTCTTTTAATCTCTTAATGATTTAAACCCGTTCTCTTCAGTTTGAGCCACAGACTCCTGAAGAAACACAAAAGCATCAAGTGTCAATGTTTTATTGTGTATTTATTTTAGTTCCACTGCTACAATAAAACCCTTTCATGTTTTTGCTGTGGCCTCGTCTCCACATGATCCGTGACGTCCTCAGAGGCTCTGGGTGCAGACCAATGGTTCTGTTCCATGTTCTGCAGACCAATGGTTCTGTTCCATGTTCTGCAGACCAATGGTTCTGTTCCATGTTCTGCTGACCAATGGTTCTGTTCCATGTTCTGCTGACCAATGGTTCTGTTCCATGTTCTGCTGACCAATGGTTCTGTTCCATGTTCTGCTGACCAATGGTTCTGTTCCATGTTCTGCAGACCAATGGTTCTGTTCCATGTTCTGCAGACCAATGGTTCTGTTCCATGTTCTGGAGCGAGGAAAGTTAAAGTCCGTTTGAACATCACAGTAATGCTGTACTTTTATAACCTTTTACAAACATGAATAAAGTGTCAAACTGAAGCTGGTGTTGTTTGTTTTTATTCTCTGGGTTTGTTTCCCACAGAGAATATTATTTACAATGTTATAGTCCTTTTATTAATCCAATATCAAACTGCTCAAACAGAAACGTGACAAATGTGGGCCTCGACTTTGGGTCCTAAGGTTAATTTAATGTAGCTAATTCTCAAATTCACTTTATAAAATTATTTTGATAGTTTGATGCCCTAGATTGTTATTTGTGAAAAATCTTAGAATATAATAAAGTCAATCACAGCAGGTCCGACACGTTCCATAGTGGGACATTTCTTAGATTGTAATCTGAGAATCCACTGCAGAAGATGTGAGGCTTCAAATGGCCTCGTCCCTTCAAGTGTGTGTCTGTGTGTGTGTGAATGTGTGTGTCTGTGTGTGTGTGTGTGTGTGTGTGAATGTGTGTGTGAATGTGTGTGTCTGTGCGTCTGTGTGTGTGTGTGTGTGTGTGTGTGTGTGTGCACTTGTTTTCAACTCCTGGTGGGTTCCATAACCTGAGATTCCACTCACGTCATGGGGACTGGTTTTACGTGGTGGGGCCCGAACACCGGACCCCACTGGTCCAAGCTTAATAATCAATGGGTAATGCTTTTCTAACGGTCCTTATGCAGTCTCTGTAAAAATATGGAAAGGACCCCTGGAGGTTTACTTTCCTGAAAAAAGTGTGTTATGTGTCGGAACCCTGGTGGTGGGTTGCGGGATATCAAGGAGGGGCACACTGGGGCAATTTCAGTCCAGCAGGCTGGAGCCAATCATGGAGCAGCACAACAGAGGCTGGAGCCAATCATGGAGCAGCACAACAGAGGCTGGAGCCAATCATGGAGCAGCACAACAGAGGCTGGAGCCAATCATGGAGCAGCACAACAGAGGAAATCAGGTGTCAGGCTAGAAAAAGGTGCAAGTGTGTGGTTCATTAGGCTGCAAGAAATCATGGAGGAGCACACTGAAGCGCACGCTTACAAACCACTGGTAAGTGCTGACTACAAGTCATGACTTCAAATTGTTATATAGAATGATTACAAATTATTTGTTGTTTGTGCAGCTTAGTCAAGAGTCCCTAATTGATGAAGTCGACTCAGATTCTGACGATTTAACTGTCAAGAAGAAACCTGTAAAAAAGTATGGAAAAAGAAAAATCCAAAACACTTTTCTTCAAGACTCGGAAAGTGACGAACCAAAGGCAAATAAGATTGTTATCATGCAGCTGCAAAAGAAGAAAAATGGGGGGCGAGTTTATAGCAAGAGACACTTCTGCCTCTACTGTTCAATGTCCTGCCACAAAATGTCCCGTCATTTGACTAGAAAACATGGAAATGAAAGTGACGTAGCCAGAGCATTGGCTCTACCTGTGAAATCTAAAGCACGTAAACTTCAGTTTGATTTGATCAGGAATAGTGGAAACCGTGAGCACAATGTTGAGGTTTTAAAGGCCGGCATTGGAACTTTAGTCCCAGCTAAACAGCCAAATTCCCCAGTTAAATCCAGTGAGTTTTTGCACTGTATAGACTGTGGGGCATTGCTTAAGCGAAAGTGGCTGTGGAGGCATGTGGCCAGGTGCCGGCTTTCACAGAAAGATGCCCAGGCTAAACCAGGCTAAACCAGGTAGAAGTAGGGTCCAGTCCCTCTGCTCCCTAGCCCAGCCTGTACCGGAGGGCATCAGCAAAAAGCTGTGGTCTTTAATTTCGGCAATGCATCAGGATGAGGTCACGGGTGTTGTCAAAGCAGAAAAGGGGATTCTGAGACTCGGAGAGCACCTGTACTTAAAACACGGGCATGATAAGACAAAGCATGATTACATTAGGCAGAAAATGAGAGAAGTCGGTAGGTTAATTAACGAAGCAAAAACTGCAGGGAAACTGAAAACAATTAAGGATTTCTTTATTCCTTCCAACTTTAACCATGTGATTGATGCAGTCAGGTCTGTGGCTGGATATGATGAGGAAACAAATCAATACAAGACTCCATCCTTGGCCCTCAAACTCGGCCATAGCCTCAGAAAGCTAGCAGATATTCTTGAATGTGACTCAAAAATGGAGCATTGTGTTGATGAACTATTTATTAAAAACCTCCAACGAAGCCGGCTGCTTTTTGAGAAGAGGTGGGACGTCTGTGTTTCTTCTGCTGCCCTACAGACCCTCCGGCAAGCCAAGTGGAACACTCCGGACCTGCTCCCTCTGACTGAGGACGTTAGAGCCATGCATGCACATATTGAGGTATGTCGACCTGAATATGTGCAAACCCTAATAAGTGAGCCAACGTCTAAGCATTGGTCTAAACTGGCAGTTTTGACTCTTTGTGAGGTCATCATTTTCAATCGAAGAAGGGAAGGTGAGGTTTCAAAGATGCCACTGACAGCCTTTACCTTAAGAAGTAAGACTGGGATCCATTCTGACATTGCTCTGGGACTGTCCCAACTTGAGAAAAAGCTGTGTCAGCATTTTCAACGCATTGAAATTAAAGGGAAAAGAAGTCGGAAAGTGCCGGTTCTTTTGACTCCTGAAATGATTGCTTCGATGGAGGTGCTGGTGGAGAACAGAAGGGCCTGTTCCATCTCTGACCATAACCCATACTTCTTTTCCCGCCCGGGCGCAGACACCCACATCAGGGGATCAGACTCCCTACGCCAGGTAGCCAAAGAATGTGGTGCGGTGCATCCAGAGATGCTATCCTCAACCAAACTTAGAAAGCACATAGCTACTATGTCTACAGTTTCTCAATATGAAAGGAGAATGAGATGGACATACTTGCCAACTTCCTCGGCCATGACATTCGCATCCACAGGCAATATTACAGACTACCAGAGGGGACACTGGAGCTGGCCAAAATCAGCAAAGTGTTGATGGCCATGGAGCAGGGAAGAGTGACGGAATTCGAAGGAAAGAGCCTCGACCAGATACAAATTGAGCCTGAAGGTAATTCTTGATATTATTAAAATATGTATGATTTTTTTCCCCTAAAGGCCACTTGTATTTTTATTTTCTGTGCGACAGGGAGAGCAGTAGAGATCCTCTCACAAACGGACGGGCTAAAAGAAACTTCAAGCGGAGAACCTTCAACCATTCATCCAGATGCACCCCATGGTAGTGGCAGTGCCCCTTCTGGTAAGTGTACCAGGTGGGGGATTACAGCCAGGCTGCTTGGTCCTCACCCTGGGAGTGTATATTGCTAATATATTTTTATTTCTCTCCCTAGAACGTGTAAGAAAGCCATGGTCTGCATCTGAGGTGAAGGCTGTGGAGAAGACCATGACACCTTTCATACAGACTGGAAAGGTCCCTGGGAAGTCTCACTGCCTGGCCTGGCCTGGCCTGGCCTGCATTAATGCCTCACCAGATGACCTTAGACATCGGACATGGAGTGGCATTAAATTCTATGTCAAAAATAGAATCACTGCAATTCGAAAACAAAATCTAAAATAAAATTCCTTTAAAAGAGTTGTTTGTTTTCTATTGACTGTTTTGTATTACTTAAAGTCTTGGTTCCTCTCTCTCTCCTCTGTCCTCTGTCCTCTGTCCTCTCTCCTCTCTCCTCTGTCCTCTCTCCTCTGTCCTCTCTCCTCTGTCTCTCTCCTCTGTCCTCTCTCCTCTGTCCTCTCTCCTCTGTCCTCTGTCCTCTCTCCTCTCTCTCTCTCTCCTCTCTCCTCTCTCCTCCTCTCTGTCCTCTGTCCTCTGTCCTCTGTCCTCTGTCCTCTCCTCTCTCCTCTGTCCTCTCTCCTCTGTCCTCTGTCCTCTGTCCTCTCTCCTCTGTCCTCTCTCCTCTCTCCTCTGTCCTCTCTCATCTGTCCTCTCTCCTCTGTCCTCTCTCTCCTGTCCTCTCTCCTCTGTCCTCTCTCTCTGTCCTCTCTCCTCTGTCCTCTGTCCTCTGTCCTCTGTCCTCTCTCCTCTGTCCTCTCTCCTCTGTCCTCTCTCCTCTGTCCTCTCTCCTCTGTCCTCTCTCCTCTGTCCTCTCTCCTCTGTCCTCTGTCCTCTCTCCTCTGTCCTCTGTCCTCTCTCTCTCCTCTGTCCTCTGTCCTCTGTCCTCTCTCCTCTGTCCTCTCTCCTCTGTCCTCTGTCCTCTGTCCTCTCTCCTCTCTCCTCTGTCCTATGGTCCAAACTCAGAGGATAAGTAGTTCTCTTCTTTAGGATCCTCCAGTCGTAGAATCTCACACTTTTAAAGAAGGAATGAAGCTGGAGGCAGTGGACCCGGCTGCTCCCATCTCAGTGCGACCTGCCTCCGTCACCAAGGTAACGGCTGCTTTACTCTCCTCTGTCATATCCATCTACATGTACAGTATATACAGAATACTACACATGTAGTCACTAATCATATATACAGTATATACAGAATACTACACATGTAATCACTAATCATATATACAGTATATACAGAATACTACACATGTAATCACTAATCATATATACAGTATATGATACAAATTCACTTTGTAATTGGACGACTGTGTGCGGTCTAATAATCTACAGATGAATTACTATTTTGTGTGTGTGTGTGTGTGTGTGCGTCCTGAGCCCAGTGTGTGTATGACTTGTGTGTCAGCTAAAACACTTGTTGACCACAGCTGCTCCTGCCGTAGGTTTGTAATGATCAGTATTTTGTGGTGACGATGGACGATCTCTGTGGGATGGAAGACTCGGAGAGTCCTGGTCGGTCCTTCCTGTGCCACAGACTCAGTCCCGGACTCTTTCCGGCTCAATGGAGCCTGAAGAACGGACTCACGCTCTGCCCTCCGCCAGGTTTGATTGTTAGAAAGGACTATACTTGGGTCTGAACTCTTCTGATGTATGTTCTGTGTCACTGCGGTCCAGGACACCAGGGGCCAGACTTCGACTGGGCAGACTATCTGAAACAATGTGGGGCCGAGGCGGCGCCGGAACACTGCTTTCCCACAGTACGTTTGGCTCCAACATGGCCTTCGTCGTTCAGGATGAAGAATCCACTCATTCACTTATTTCATATCAATATAGTTTTAACAAATAAGAAGCAACACAAATGTTGTGTTTCCAGGTGCAGAGTGAACACAGTTTTAAAGAAGGAATGAAGCTGGAGGCCGTAAACCTTCTGTCGCCGGAGAACATCCATGTGGCGACTGTGACCAGGGTCAAAGGGCAGTACCTCTGGCTCAGTCTGGAAGGTGACTCTCCTGTGGATCATGGACCATGTGTGGATCATGGACCATGTGTGGATCATGGACCATGTGTGGATCATGGACCATGTGTGGATCATGGACCATGTGTGGATCATGGACCATGTGTGGATCATGGACCATGTGTGGATCATGGACCATGTGTGGACGAAGCACTGGAGTAAATAAGTGTATCTTTCTGTTAGGACTCAAAACGCCGATGCCTGAGCTGATTGTTCACGTGGACTCTCTGGACATCTTCCCCGTCAGCTGGTGTGAGACCAACGGGTATCCTCTCGTCCATGCCATCAAGCCCCCAGGTGACATTTACTGTTTATTTTTATGTGTTTGTTTTCTTTTCATCGGCAAATATAATTCCCTCTCACATCTCTCGTAACGTTGTGTATATTTTGTCTTGGTGTAGTTGAAAAAGAGAGAAAGGTGGCAGTGGTTCAGCCAGAGAAGCAGTAAGTAAAGAAACGTGTTGAGAAAGAATCTTTCTTTATACAATTCTATAACTAAACACTTTCACGGCAGAATTCCACCAAAGTCGTCTTCACCCAATGATGTCAAACCACAAACAACCACTCAGCCTGAACCCGGTCAGTCTCGCCCGGTCTGTCTCGCCCGGTCTGTCTCACCTGGTCTGTCTCACCCGGTCTGTCTCACCCGGTCTGTCTCACCCGGTCTGTCTCACCCGGTCTGTCTCACCCGGTCTGTCTCACCCGGTCTGTCTCACCCGGTCTGTCTCACCCGGTCTGTCTCACCCGGTCTGTCTCACCCGGTCTGTCTCACCCGGTCTGTCTCACCCGGTCTGTCTCACCCGGTCTGTCTCACCCGGTCTGTCTCACCCGGTCTGTCTCACCCGGTCTGTCTCACCTGGTCTGTCTCACCTGGTCTGTCTCACCTGGTCTGTCTCACCTGGTCTGTCTCACCTGGTCTGTCTCACCTGGTCTGTCAGGAGCGTTTATCAGTGCAGTGTATTCATGTTCCTGTTCTTCCATGTTCAGGACAGAGTCACGGCAGATACTACTGTCCAAAGATCTACTTCAATCACCGCTGCTTCTCTGGGCCGTACCTGAACAAGGGCCGCATCGCCGAGCTGCCGCAGTTCATCGGGCCCGGGAACTGTATTCTGGTTCTGAAGGAGGTGAGGCCCACGAGACATTCATGTGTTTGTGTTTATGGTTCTGTCATCTAAGTCTCAAAAATGGAGATCCAGTTCTAAAGGTCCTAAAGGAAGACACGGCTGACTCTGAGCAGACCTGTAGACCCGAGTCCGAGCAGACCTGTAGACCCGAGTCCGAGCAGACCTGTAGACCCGAGTCCGAGCAGACCTGTAGACCCGAGTCCGAGCAGACCTGTAGACCCGAGTCCGAGCAGACCTGTAGACCCGAGTCCGAGCAGACCTGTAGACCCGAGTCCGAGCAGACCTGTAGAACCGAGTCTGGGCAGACCTTTAGACCTAACTGTTGTCTCCTTCTGGTGACAGGTGTTGACTTTGCTCATAAACTCTGCGTACAAACCGAGCAGAGTTCTGCGAGAGCTGCAGCTGGACCAGGAGAGCCGCTGGCAGGGCCACGGAGAGACGCTCAAGGCCAAGTGAGAAAAACCACCTTTTCTACAAACATGATTTAAAATGCCTCAATGCTTGTTTTTCACTCAGGTACAAAGGCAAGAGCTACAGAGCCACAGTGGAAATAGTGCGCACAGCGGACAGAGTGGCTGATTTCTGCAAAAAAACATGTATCAAGCTGGAGTGCTGCCCAAACCTGTTTGGACCTCGCATGGTTCTGGAGCGCTGCTCGGAGAACTGCTCCGTGCTCACAAAGACCAAATACAGTAAGACTTCAGTCCCATCAGAGACTGGCCCCGATAAAGGCCCAGGCTTCATGTCCTAAAGTCTGATTTCATTAAACTACAGCTTATTACTACGGAAAGAAGAAGAGTAAACGGGTCGGCCGTCCTCCTGGAGGTCACTCCAATCTGGAGCCCGGAGCGAGACCGAGAGGACGAAGGAGGAAGAGGAGGAAGCAGCTGTTTGTGCATAAGAAGAGACGCTCTTCAGCATCTGTGGATAACACCCCTGCTGGATCTCCACAGGTCCATACACATGTATACTGTATGTGTATATATGTACTGTATACAGGTCCATACACATGTATACTGTATGTGTATATATGTACTGTATACAGGTCCATACACATGTATACTGTATGTGTATATATGTACTGTATACAGGTCCATACACATGTATACTGTATGTGTATATATGTACTGTATACAGGTCCATACACATGTATACTGTATGTGTATATATGTACTGTATACAGGTCCATACACATGTATACTGTAAGTGTATATATGTACTGTATACAGGTCCATACACATGTATACTGTATGTGTATATATGTACTGTATACAGGTCCATACACATGTATACTGTATGTGTATATATGTACTGTATACAGGTCCATACACATGTATACTGTATGTGTATATATGTACTGTATACAGGTCCATGATCATACACATGTGTGTATATGTATATAATATATATATCAGTATATATAACTGACCATGACCTTTTCCTTTCCACACGTCCTCTTTGAACAGGGAAGTGGAGAGGAAGAGGATCTTGATGAAGATGATTCTTTGAGTGATGACTCTGGTTCAGAGTTTCAGGATGACTCGGAGCAGTCCGTTGGTAAATCTCAGCCAACGACTCCGTCTCCATCTCCACCGACAACGCCACGGCCCACACGGCGCCGCAGGAAACCCCGCTCTCCATCTTTCTCTGACGATGAGAACCACCCTCCGTCTCCAAAGGTGATTCATGAACATGTGACTGTGGACGGTGCAGTTTTATCTGACCCTCACCTTTTCTACAGGCTGCAAAGACTGAGCCTCCTCAGAAGCTGTGTCTGGACCACAGCCCTCTGGACTGGAGCGTCTCTGATGTGGTCCGCTTCATCAGGACCACGGACTGTGCTCCACTGGCCCGGATCTTCATGGACCAGGTCAGATCATGTGTAACATGGATAACTCTGACCGTGTGTTTACCGTGTGTTTACCGTGTTTTAACTGTGTGTTTACCGTGTTTTAACCGTGTGTTTACCGTGTGTTTACCGTGTTTTAACCGTGCGTTTACCATGTTTTAACCGTGTGTTTACCGTGTTTTAACTGTGTGTTTACCGTGTGTTTACCGTGTTTTAACTGTGTGTTTACCGTGTGTTTACCGTGTGTTTACCGTGTTTTAACCGTGCGTTTACCATGTTTTAACCGTGTGTTTACCGTATTTTTACCGCGTTTACCGTGTGTTTACCGTATTTTTTTCCTGCGTTTACCGTGCGTTTACCGTGTGTTTACAGTGCGTTTACCGTGCGTTTACCGTGCGTTTACCGTGCGTTTACCGTGCGTTTACCGTGCGTTTACCGTGTTTTAACTGTGTGTTTACCGTGTGTTTACCGTGTTTTAACCGTGTGTTTACCGTATTTTTACCGCGTTTACCGTGTGTTTATCGTATTTTTTTCCTGTGTTTACCGTGTGTTTACCGTGTGTTTACCGTATTTTTACCGCGTTTACCGTGTGTTTACCGTATTTTTTTTCCTGCGTTTACCGTGCGTTTACCGTGTGTTTACCGTGCGTTTACCGTGTGTTAACCGTGTGTTAACCGTGTTTTAACCGTGTTTTATCCGTGTTTTATCCGTGGTTTATCCGTGTTTTATCCGTGTTTTATCCGTGTTTTATCCGTGTTTTATCCGTGTTTTATCCGTGTTTTAACCGTGTTTTAACCGTGTTTTAACCGTGTTTTAACCGTGTTTTAACCGTGTTTTAACCGTGTTTTAACCGTGTTTTAACCGTGTTTTAACCGTGTTTTAACCGTGTGTTGCAGGAGATCGACGGCCAGGCGCTGCTGCTGCTGAACCTGCCCACGGTGCAGGAGTGCATGGATCTGAAGCTGGGACCAGCCGTTAAGCTGTGCCACCACATCGAGAGAGTCAAACTAGCTTTTTATCAACAGTTTGCCACATAACTGTGCCATAAACCGGTGGTTTACTACTGAGTATAACTGAGCATGTTTTAAAATAACAAGAGTCTAAATCTAAAGGGAAATGAAGTGGTGTTTGTGAAAGATTATTTTGTCTGTTTTCTGAAATGTGTTTTTTATTCTATTCCTTTTGTACTGAATAATCTTTGTACAATATTTATTTCATATAAATATCTGCCGCCATTTTTCTTTTTCAAAATGGTTTAAGTCTTATTGATGTATTAACAATTGTTCAGGCTTCTTTGACTGAAATTAACTTTTTGCAATATTGACTGTAATCAATAGTTTTCATTTCTGATACAGGTATCAAAGGTACCAACAAAGGGCTGAGGTCTACTTTAATGAACAAAGGGCTGAGGTCTACTCCGCTGCAGGAAATACAGTCAATATAAGTGACGGACTCAGTTTGATTCAGATGAAATTTAAAACCTTTTTTCCATTTCTTGTGACACATTTTAGTGGAGTTTGCACTGACAAACATGAATGTTATGTTTATATTGAAGTCTTTTGTTTTCTGTAAGAATCATGTTGAAGCATATCAAGCACACGCATATGAGGCTGTTGTGTATATATTGTATAGTTAAATATTTTATAGTGTAACAGACTTGGAGCATAAACATGTTTAAGATGAAGAGGAATAACATCTGTAAAACAATATTTTAACACTTACACGTGTTTTTTCTTTTCAGTAGGTCTACACCATTGACTGTCAATATGAATACATATTTTTAAAGTCGTATTTAGGTGGCCACTCCCCCGCCGCTTCCTCAAACTTAAACTGAATAAAACCACCTCAGTTCATCTTGTGTCTTCATTCCACTGCTGGATCTTTCATTGAAAACCGTTTGTGTGATTAAATCTGTGTTTTTTTGTGTTATTTCTTCGATAATTTATTTTGTCTTGTAGTTCTTTCTTACTCTTTACACTACATTTCCCAGCATGCTCTCTGACGACGACGTCATACGTAATGTTACGCATGTCAACATCGGCGCTAGTGCAGAAGGAGCCGCAGCTGCAGGAGCCGCGACCTGCAAATGATTTTATGAGACACATTTTTACTCCAGAACTCGGGGAAACCCGCCCAACTCTGTGGGTTGTAAAGTGGGTTTATTGATGAACTTGTTCCGAAACCTACAGACGTGTGCGGAGCTAGCATGAGCACAGTGTTAGCTAGCCAGGCATGATGGCAGCCCTTTAGCATCTGGACAATTCACTCTAATACAACGTTCAGTTCACCCTGGACTTATTTAGCTTTAAGTATTTCTCCTCTTGGACAAGAATAGTGTTTTCCCTGTATTTCAAATCATTCCCGTCCCTCCTGAGTCCTGCACTGATGTGTGGAGTAGGGCAGTAGGCCAGGGTAGGTTTCTTTACTAACAACTGTGAGAATGCTTCAGCCCATGACTCTATGTTCTCTTCAGTGAATGTCGCAGTAAGAGAATGACACCATCCTGTCTCCTGCTGTGACCTCCTGCTGGGACCTGCTGGGACCTCCTGCTGTGACCTCCTGCTGGGGCCTCCTGCTGTGACCTCCTGCTGTGACCTCCTGCTGGGGCCTCCTGCTGTGACCTCCTGCTGGGACCTGCTGGGACCTCCTACTGGGACCTCCTGCTGTGACCTCCTGCTGGGGCCTCCTGCTGTGACCTCCTGCTGGGGCCTCCTGCTGGGACCTCCTACTGGGACCTCCTACTGGGACCTCCTACTGGGACCTCCTACTGGGGCTCCTGCTGTGACCTCCTGCTGGGGCCTCCTGCTGGGACCTCCTACTGGGACCTCCTACTGGGACCTCCTACTGGGGCTCCTGCTGTGACCTCCTACTGGGACCTCCTACTGGGGCTCCTGCTGTGACCTCCTGCTGGGGCCTCCTGCTGTGACCTCCTACTGGGACCTCCTACTGGGGCTCCTGCTGTGACCTCCTACTGGGACCTCCTACTGGGGCTCCTGCTGTGACCTCCTGCTGGGGCCTCCTGCTGTGACCTCCTACTGGGACCTCCTACTGGGGCCTCCTGCTGGGACCTCCTGCTGGGACCTCTTACTGGGACCTCCTACTGGGACCTCCTACTGGGACCTCCTGCTGTGACCTCCTGCTGGGACCTCCTACTGGGACCTCCTGCTGTGACCTCCTGCTGGGGCCTCCTGCTGTGACCTCCTGCTGGGACCTCCTACTGGGACCTCCTACTGGGGCCTCCTACTGGGGCCTCCTGCTGGGACCTCCTGCTGGAACCCCTGCTGGGGCCTCCTGCTGGGGCCAGAGCCATGGCTGCTGTGAGCGGAGTCAGCATGATGCAGCCTGCCCTGACCCTCAGCAACATCTCGGTGGCCCCCAGTCCCGGCCCTGACACTCGGGGCTGTGAGAACGGGGCCCTCATGGACTCTTTTGGGATCTTCCTGCAGGGTCTGCTGGCCATGATGGCCTTCAGCATCCTCATGTGTGAGTATCTCTGATGTTGGTCTGTTAGGATTCATTAACTAATCACGTCATAATGACGTCCAGTGGCTTCGATGTGTTCTGGGTCAAAGTGATAAATGTTGTATAAATATATATTATAAACAACTATTCACAACTGACAGAACAATCTCTTTATTTTTGTATTGTGTTGATCACATATGTTCATCATGTACACAACATTGTTTTCCCTTCTCCTTGTGTGTCCCTTGTGCACCTTAAATAATCCAAAGTAAAATTAAATAAAAATACATAAATGAAAATAAAAACTTTTCCTCGGTTGCTAGATGAAGGAAATGGTCGTTAGTTGCTCTTGTTAAACTGATCCATCCTGATGCTGAAGGTAGGTTGTGTAATAACATATTACTTACACATGAAAGACACAGATACAAGGTAAAGGTGCACTTTATTGTCCCGTAGGGTAATGTGGTGATGTTGCTGCTCAGGACCAGAGCTGGAGGATTGAACCGAGTGTGCATGTTTTCTGTGATCACATGATGTTCTGTGATGAATTATAGTTGTGCAGTTTGGGATTCCATGATCCAATAATAACTGTTCCACTTTTATGTTTCCAGTGAAACGTTTTCGGGAACCCAAACACGAAAGACGACCCTGGAAAATTTGGTACAGTAACTTGGAAGCATACTTGCTAGAACTTGACTTTTTTATTTTCTAGTTAATCATACTTGCATCATAGGAGCGTTTGTGTCGTTCTGTTTTATTTAAGACAGTGTTTCATTTTCCTGACTCCCCCAGACCCTTGTAGTTCTCTGAGCTTCACACAAGGGCCTGGGTCTCCTTCAAAGCGGATGATTTTCAGAATGTACTAAAATCCTTGTATGTGAGGCCAGGTTATTAATACTATTTTGTCTTGCATTTGTCCACCTGTTCAGTACATAGGTCACTGTTTACCACAATTAGATAAACCACTCTGTTATCTAGAATGACATGTTCCTTCAACCACTCACATCGAAGCACATGTCTCAGGGTTGCCAGATGCTGGCATGTTTTTCCTGCCCAAAAATGCCCAAAAAAACACCCTACAATGATTGGTGGTGCCTCTGGTGGATCCTCTGGTGGATCCTCTGGTGGAGCCTCTGGTGGAGCCTCTGGTGGAGCCTCTGGTGGATCCTCTGGTGGAGCCTCTGGTGGAGCCTCTGGTGGAGCCTCTGGTGGAGCCTCTGGTGGAGCCTCTGGTGGAGCCTCTGGTGGAGCCTCTGGTGGATCCTCTGGTGGAGCCTCTGGTGGAGCCTCTGGTGGAGCCTCTGGTGGAGCCTCTGGTGGAGCCTCTGGTGGTGCCTCTGGTGGTGCCTCTGGTGGAGCCTCTGGTGGAGCCTCTGGTGGAGCCTCTGGTGGAGCCTCTAGTGGAGCCTCTGGTGGAGCCTCTGGTGGATCCTCTGGTGGATCCTCTGGTGGAGCCTCTGGTGGAGCCTCTGGTGGAGCCTCTGGTGGAGCCTCTGGTGGAGCCTCTGGTGGAGCCTCTGGTGGAGCCTCTGGTGGAGCCTCTGGTGGAGCCTCTGGTGGACCTCTGGTGGAGCCTCTGGTGGAGCCTCTGTGGAGCCTCTAGTGGAGCCTCTGGTGGAGCCTCTGGTGGAGCCTCTGGTGGAGCCTCTGGTGGATCCTCTGGTGGAGCCTCTGGTGGATCCTCTGGTGGAGCCTCTGGTGGAGCCTCTGGTGGAGCCTCTAGTGGAGCCTCTGGTGGAGCCTCTGGTGGAGCCTCTGGTGGATCCTCTGGTGGTGCCTCTGGTGGATCCTCTGGTGGATCCTCTGGTGGATCCTCTGGTGGAGCCTCTGGTGGAGCCTCTGGTGGAGCCTCTGGTGGAGCCTCTGGTGGATCCTCTGGTGGATCCTCTGGTGGATCCTCTGGTGGAGCCTCTGGTGGAGCCTCTAGTGGATCCTCTGGTGGAGCCTCTGGTGGAGCCTCTGGTGGATCCTCTGGTGGAGCCTCTGGTGGAGCCTCTAGTGGAGCCTCTGGTGGAGCCTCTGGTGGAGCCTCTGGTGGATCCTCTGGTGGTGCCTCTGGTGGATCCTCTGGTGGATCCTCTGGTGGATCCTCTGGTGGAGCCTCTGGTGGAGCCTCTGGTGGAGCCTCTGGTGGATCCTCTGGTGGAGCCTCTGGTGGAGCCTCTGGTGGAGCCTCTGGTGGATCCTCTGGTGGATCCTCTGGTGGAGCCTCTGGTGGTGCCTCTGGTGGAGCCTCTGGTGGAGCCTCTGGTGGATCCTCTGGTGGAGCCTCTGGTGGATCCTCTGGTGGTGCCTCTGGTGGATCCTCTGGTGGAGCCTCTGGTGGAGCCTCTGGTGGAGCCTCTGGTGGAGCCTCTGGTGGAGCCTCTGGTGGAGCATGGTGGAGCCTCTGGTGGAGCCTCTGGTGGTGCCTCTGGTGGAGCCTCTGGTGGTGCCTCTGGTGGAGCCTCTGGTGGAGCCTCTGGTGGTGCCTCTGGTGGATCCTCTGGTGGATCCTCTGGTGGAGCCTCTGGTGGAGCCTCTGGTGGAGCATGGTGGAGCCTCTGGTGGAGCCTCTGGTGGTGCCTCTGGTGGATCCTCTGGTGGAGCCTCTGGTGGAGCCTCTGGTGGTGCCTCTGGTGGTGCCTCTGGTGGATCGTCTGGTGGAGCCTCTGGTGGAGCCTCTGGTGGAGCCTCTGGTGGAGCCTCTGGTGGATCCTCTGGTGGATCCTCTGGTGGAGCCTCTGGTGGAGCCTCTGGTGGAGCCTCTGGTGGAGCCTCTGGTGGAGCCTCTGGTGGAGCATGGTGGAGCCTCTGGTGGAGCCTCTGGTGGTGCCTCTGGTGGATCCTCTGGTGGAGCCTCTGGTGGTGCCTCTGGTGGATCCTCTGGTGGATCCTCTGGTGGAGCCTCTGGTGGAGCCTCTGGTGGAGCCTCTGGTGGATCCTCTGGTGGAGCCTCTGGTGGAGCCTCTGGTGGAGCCTCTGGTGGATCCTCTGGTGGAGCCTCTGGTGGATCCTCTGGTGGAGCCTCTGGTGGAGCCTCTGGTGGAGCCTCTGGTGGAGCCTCTGGTGGATCCTCTGGTGGAGCCTCTGGTGGAGCCTCTGGTGGAGCCTCTGGTGGAGCCTCTGGTGGATCCTCTGGTGGATCCTCTGGTGGAGCCTCTGGTGGAGCCTCTGGTGGATCCTCTGGTGGAGCCTCTGGTGGAGCCTCTGGTGGAGCCTCTGGTGGAGCCTCTGGTGGTGCCTCTGGTGGAGCCTCTGGTGGAGCATGGTGGAGCCTCTGGTGGAACCTCTGGTGGTGCCTCTGGTGGATCCTCTGGTGGATCCTCTGGTGGAGCCTCTGGTGGAGCCTCTGGTGGAGCCTCTGGTGGAGCCTCTGGTGGATCCTCTGGTGGAGCCTCTGGTGGAGCCTCTGGTGGAGCCTCTGGTGGAGCCTCTGGTGGATCCTCTGGTGGATCCTCTGGTGGAGCCTCTGGTGGATCCTCTGGTGGAGCCTCTGGTGGAGCCTCTGGTGGAGCCTCTGGTGGAGCCTCTGGTGGAGCCTCTGGTGGATCCTCTGGTGGAGCCTCTGGTGGATCCTCTGGTGGTGCCTCTGGTGGATCCTCTGGTGGAGCCTCTGGTGGAGCCTCTGGTGGAGCCTCTGGTGGAGCCTCTGGTGGAGCCTCCGGTGGTGCCTCTGGTGGAGCCTCTGGTGGAGCCTCTGGTGGAGCCTCTGGTGGAGCCTCTGGTGGAGCCTCTGGTGGATCCTCTGGTGGAGCCTCTGCTGGAGCCTCTGGTGGAGCCTCTGGTGGAGCCTCTGGTGGAGCCTCTGGTGGTGCCTCTGGTGGTGCCTCTGGTGGAGCCTCTGGTGGAGCCTCTGGTGGAGCATGGTGGAGCCTCTGGTGGAGCCTCTGGTGGTGCCTCTGGTGGAGCCTCTGGTGGAGCCTCTGGTGGATCCTCTGGTGGAGCCTCTGGTGGATCCTCTGGTGGTGCCTCTGGTGGATCCTCTGGTGGAGCCTCTGGTGGAGCCTCTGGTGGAGCCTCTGGTGGAGCCTCTGGTGGAGCCTCTGGTGGAGCCTCTGGTGGAGCCTCTGGTGGAGCATGGTGGAGCCTCTGGTGGAGCCTCTGGTGGTGCCTCTGGTGGAGCCTCTGGTGGAGCCTCTGGTGGAGCCTCTGGTGGTGCCTCTGGTGGATCCTCTGGTGGATCCTCTGGTGGAGCCTCTGGTGGAGCCTCTGGTGGAGCATGGTGGAGCCTCTGGTGGAGCCTCTGGTGGTGCCTCTGGTGGATCCTCTGGTGGAGCCTCTGGTGGAGCCTCTGGTGGAGCCTCTGGTGGAGCCTCTGGTGGTGCCTCTGGTGGTGCCTCTGGTGGATCCTCTGGTGGAGCCTCTGGTGGAGCCTCTGGTGGAGCCTCTGGTGGAGCCTCTGGTGGATCCTCTGGTGGATCCTCTGGTGGATCCTCTGGTGGAGCCTCTGGTGGAGCCTCTGGTGGAGCCTCTGGTGGAGCCTCTGGTGGAGCCTCTGGTGGAGCCTCTGGTGGAGCATGGTGGAACCTCTGGTGGAGCCTCTGGTGGTGCCTCTGGTGGATCCTCTGGTGGAGCCTCTGGTGGTGCCTCTGGTGGATCCTCTGGTGGAGCCTCTGGTGGAGCCTCTGGTGGAGCCTCTGGTGGAGCCTCTGGTGGAGCCTCTGGTGGAGCCTCTGGTGGAGCCTCTGGTGGTGCCTCTGGTGGAGCCTCTGGTGGAGCATGGTGGAGCCTCTGGTGGAACCTCTGGTGGTGCCTCTGGTGGATCCTCTGGTGGATCCTCTGGTGGAGCCTCTGGTGGAGCCTCTGGTGGAGCCTCTGGTGGAGCCTCTGGTGGAGCCTCTGGTGGAGCATGGTGGAGCCTCTGGTGGATCCTCTGGTGGAGCCTCTGGTGGAGCCTCTGGTGGAGCCTCTGGTGGAGCCTCTGGTGGATCCTCTGGTGGAGCCTCTGGTGGATCCTCTGGTGGAGCCTCTGGTGGATCCTCTGGTGGAGCCTCTGGTGGATCCTCTGGTGGAGCCTCTGGTGGAGCATGGTGGAACTACAAGGGTCTATTGAGAGTCGGTGTTATTTTGGGAGTTGACAAAAACGTGTTTTATGTTGCTTGGATCCAACGCTCGTCCTGGGCTCCTTTAAAAAGAGGTCCCTGATCTCAGTGGGACTTTCCAGGTTAAAAATGGTTAAAAGATAAAAACTATAGAGACATTATTAGTGTAGGCCACATTAATATGTGAGTAACAATGATGAAAGTAATTTATACTTTCACTTTCACTTCCTTATCCTTTACATTACGGCCGAGTCACTTTAATCTTATTCTTTGTTGCAGGTTCCTGGACACGTCAAAGCAGGCCATAGGAATGTTGTTTATTCACTTTGCAAATGTGTATCTGTCGGACCTGACGGAGGAGGACCCCTGCTCTCTGTAAGCTCTATGCTAGCTCTCTGTTAGCTCTCTGTTAGCTCTATGCTAGCTCTGTTAGCTCTCTGTAAGCTCTATGTTCTCTCTATGTTAGCTCTATGTTAGCTCTCTGTTAGCTCTATGTTCTCTCTATGTTAGCTCTCTGTTAGCTCTCTGTTAGCTCTATGCTAGCTCTGTTAGCTCTCTGTAAGCTCTATGTTCTCTCTATGTTAGCTCTCTGTTAGCTCTATGTTCTCTCTATGTTTTCTCTCTGTTAGCTCTCTGTTCTCTCTCTGTTAGCTCTCTGTTAGCTCTCTGTTAGCTCTATGTTATCTCTATGTTAGCTCTATGTTCTCTCTGTTAGCTCTCTGTTAGCTCTATGTTAGCTCTCTGTTAGCTCTATGTTCTCTCTCTGTTAGCTCTCTGTTAGCTCTATGTTAGCTCTCTGTTAGCTCTATGTTCTCTCTCTGTTGTCTCTCTGTTAGCTCTCTGTTAGCTCTCTGTTGTCTCTCTGTTAGCTCTCTGTTGTCTCTCTGTTAGCTCTCTGTTGTCTCTCTGTTCTCTCTCTGTTGTCTCTCTGTTAGCTCTCTGTTGTCTCTCTGTTAGCTCTCTGTTGTCTCTCTGTTCTCTCTCTGTTGTCTCTCTGTTAGCTCTCTGTTGTCTCTCTGTTCTCTCTCTGTTGTCTCTCTGTTAGCTCTCTGTTGTCTCTCTGTTGTTGTCTCTCTGTTAGCTCTCTGTTGTCTCTCTGTTAGCTCTCTGTTAGCTCTCTGTTAGCTCTCTGTTAGCTCTCTGTTGTCTCTCTGTTGTCTCTCTGTTAGCTCTCTGTTTGCTCTCTGTTAGCTCTCTGTTGTCTCTCTGTTGTCTCTCTGTTAGCTCTCTGTTGTCTCTCTGTTGTCTCTCTGTTAGCTCTCTGTTGTCTCTCTGTTAGCTCTCTGTTGTCTCTCTGTTAGCTCTCTGTTAGCTCTCTGTTAGCTCTCTGTTAGCTCTCTGTTGTCTCTCTGTTGTCTCTCTGTTAGCTCTCTGTTTGCTCTCTGTTAGCTCTCTGTTGTCTCTCTGTTGTCTCTCTGTTAGCTCTCTGTTGTCTCTCTGTTGTCTCTCTGTTAGCTCTCTGTTGTCTCTCTGTTAGCTCTCTGTTGTCTCTCTGTTAGCTCTCTGTTAGCTCTCTGTTGTCTCTCTGTTAGCTCTCTGTTGTCTCTCTGTTAGCTCTCTGTTGTCTCTCTGTTAGCTCTCTGTTAGCTCTCTGTTAGCTCTCTGTTAGCTCTATGTTAGCTCTCTGTTAGCTCTCTGTTCTCTCTCTGTTGTCTCTCTGTTAGCTCTCTGTTAGCTCTCTGTTAGCTCTCTGTTAGCTCTCTGTTGTCTCTCTGTTAGCTCTCTGTTGTCTCTCTGTTGTCTCTCTGTTAGCTCTCTGTTGTCTCTCTGTTGTCTCTCTGTTAGCTCTCTGTTGTCTCTCTGTTGTCTCTCTGTTAGCTCTCTGTTTGCTCTCTGTTAGCTCTCTGTTGTCTCTCTGTTGTCTCTCTGTTAGCTCTCTGTTGTCTCTCTGTTAGCTCTCTGTTAGCTCTCTGTTGTCTCTCTGTTAGCTCTCTGTTGTCTCTCTGTTAGCTCTCTGTTAGCTCTCTCTCTGTTAGCTCTCTGTTGTCTCTCTGTTGTCTCTCTGTTAGCTCTCTGTTTGCTCTCTGTTAGCTCTCTGTTGTCTCTCTGTTGTCTCTCTGTTAGCTCTCTGTTGTCTCTCTGTTGTCTCTCTGTTAGCTCTCTGTTGTCTCTCTGTTAGCTCTCTGTTGTCTCTCTGTTAGCTCTCTGTTAGCTCTCTGTTGTCTCTCTGTTAGCTCTCTGTTGTCTCTCTGTTAGCTCTCTGTTAGCTCTCTGTTGTCTCTCTGTTAGCTCTCTGTTGTCTCTCTGTTAGCTCTCTGTTAGCTCTCTGTTGTCTCTCTGTTAGCTCTCTGTTGTCTCTCTGTTAGCTCTCTGTTGTCTCTCTGTTAGCTCTCTGTTAGCTCTCTGTTGTCTCTGTGTCAGGTACCTCATAAACTTCCTGCTGGACGCCTCGTTGGGGATGTTGCTGATCTACGGCGGGGTGCGAGCCGTCAGTGCCGTGGTGGAGTGGAGGCAGTGGGAGTCGCTGCGCTTTGGAGAATATGGTCATTACAAACTTTAGACTTTATTTTATACTTTGGCATCAAGGGGATCAAAGGGACGCTCAAGATGATCAAAGGGACGCTCAAGATGATCAAAGGGACGCTCCAGTAGAGGGACGCTCCAGTAGAGGGACGCTCCAGTAGAGGGAGACGCCAGTAGAGGGAGACGCCAGTAGAGGGAGACGCCAGTAGAGGGAGACGCCAGTAGAGGGACGCTCCAGTAGAGGGAGACGCCAGTAGAGGGAGACGCCAGTAGAGGGAGACGCCAGTAGAGGGACGCTCCAGTAGAGGGAGACGCCAGTAGAGGGAGACGCCAGTAGAGGGAGACGCCAGTAGAGGGAGACGCCAGTAGAGGGAGACGCCAGTAGAGAGACGCCAGTAGAGGGAGACGCCAGTAGAGGGAGACGCCAGTAGAGAGACGCCAGTAGAGAGACGCCAGTAGAGAGGGAGACGCCAGTAGAGGGAGACGCCAGTAGAGGGACGCCAGTAGAGAGACGCCAGTAGAGAGACGCCAGTAGAGGGAGACGCCAGTAGAGAGACGCCAGTAGAGAGACGCCAGTAGAGGGAGACGCCAGTAGAGGGAGACGCCAGTAGAGGGAGACGCAGTAGAGGGAGACGCCAGTGAGAAGCAGTAGAGAGCCAGTAGAGGGAGACGCCAGTAGAGAGAGACGCCAGTAGGGAGACGCCAGTAGAGGGAGACGCCAGTAGAGGGAGACGCCAGCCAGTAGAGAGACGCCAGTAGAGGGAACGCCAGTAGAGGAGACGCCAGTAGAGAGACGCCAGTAGAGAGACCATAGAGACGCCAGTAGCAGAGACGCCAGTAGAGAGACGCCAGTAGAGAGACGCCAGTAGAGAGACGCCAGTAGAGGGAGACGCCAGTAGAGGGAGACGCCAGTAGAGGGAGACGCCAGTAGAGGGAGACGCCAGTAGAGGGAGACACGATGGCCGCTGTCTTGTGGCGATGTTTGACAGAATCAGAAAAAGTGTTTGCACGTTTGTTCAGTGAGATTTCAACAGCTGCAAGAAAATAGTTTAAAGATTCTGATTGGACGTTTGAGAAGGAGGAGGCGGAGCCAGCGCCTGCATGAAGCTGAAGGAAACAGAAAACTGAAGCAAGAAATAGTTAAAAAATAACAAAGAAAAACCATTGGTCCAAAATGTCACAATTGGTGCGTCCCTAGAAAAAACCCTGGACCCTCTGATCCCTCTGGTCTCTGGTCTCCTTCTGGTCTCTCTCTGGTCTCCCTCTGGTCTCTCTGGTCTCACTCTGGTCCCTCTCTGGCCTCCCTCTGGTCTCCCTCTGGTCCCTCTCTGGCCTCCCTCTGGTCTCCCTCTGGTCTCTCTCTGGTCTCTCTCTGGTCTCTCTCTGGTCTCTCTCTGGTCTCCCTCTGGTCTCGCTCTGGTCTCGCTCTGGTCTCTCTCTGGTCTCCCTCTGGTCTCCCTCTGGTCTCCCTCTGGTCTCTCTGGTCTCTGATGGTCCGGTCTCTCCCCAGGGGAGCCGGTCCAGTGTGCAGCGTGGCTGGGGCAGTGTATCTTCTACATCCTCATCATGATGTTTGAGAAAGTGATGATTATGTTGGTTCTGCTCATTCCTCAGTGGAAACAGGTCTGTTACACACACATTACACACACATAGACACATAGACACACACATTACACACACACATTACACACACATAGACACACACACACACATTACACACACACACATAGACACACATACACACACATTACACACACATAGACGCACACACAAACAAACACTCATTACACACACACACATAGACACACAAACATCAAAGTGTGTGGTCTACAAAGTAACCTGTCCCTGGTACAGTTGGCGGTTCTGAACCCGATCCAGAACCCGGACCTGGAGCTGGCCCTGGTCATGCTCATCGTGCCCTTCTTTGTCAATGTAAGTCTGTACCTGTGCTCATCGTGCCCTTCTTTGTCAATGTAAGTCTGTACCTGTGCTCATCGTGCCCTTCTTTGTCAATGTAAGTCTGTACCTGTGCTCATCGTCCCCTTCTTTGTCAATCTAAGTCTGTACCTGTGCTCATCGTGCCCTTCTTTGTCAATGTAAGTCTGTACCTGTGCTCATCGTCCCCTTCTTTGTCAATGTAAGTCTGTACCTGTGCTCATCGTGCCCTTCTTTGTCAATGTAAGTCTGTACCTGTGCTCATCGTCCCCTTCTTTGTCAATGTAAGTCTGTACCTGTGCTCATCGTCCCCTTCTTTGTCAATGTAAGTCTGTACCTGTGCTCATCGTGCCCTTCTTTGTCAATGTAAGTCTGTACCTGTGCTCATCGTGCCCTTCTTTGTCAATGTAAGTCTGTACCTGTGCTCATCGTCCCCTTCTTTGTCAATGTAAGTCTGTACCTGTGCTCATCGTGCCCTTCTTTGTCAATGTAAGTCTGTACCTGTGCTCATCGTGCCCTTCTTTGTCAATGTAAGTCTGTACCTGTGCTCATCGTCCCCTTCTTTGTCAATGTAAGTCTGTACCTGTGCTCATCGTCCCCTTCTTTGTCAATGTAAGTCTGTACCTGTGCTCATCGTGTCCTTCTTTGTCAATGTAAGTCTGTACCTGTGCTCATGTTTTGGCTCCAGGCTTTGATGTTTTGGGTGGTGGATAACTTTCTGATGAAGAAGAGCAGAACAAAAGCAAAGTTGGAGGAAAGGGACGAAGAGTGTCGTGGAAATGGAAAAGTGCGTTACAGACGAGCGCTGTCGCACGACGACTCGGAGTCAGAGGTCAGTCCCTTTGTTTGTTTTTGTTGTTTATTATTGTTTGTTATTATTGTTGTTGTTCTGGGCTCCTGTGATGTCGCATGCACCTGGAATGCAGAAAACAATAGTATTTATCAGACACAGGTGAAGGCTGTGATCCTGTCCCTTTGTTTTGAACGATTTACACACTTTCCTAAAGCCTGGTTCACACGGCAGGATTTAACCCGATTTAACCCGATTTAACCCTAACGACAATCTTAACAACGCTCCAATTATTGTTAAAATAATCTGATGGATTAACCATGTTTTAAGACTGCGTCGCTCAGAAAGACTTGGGGCGCTGCCGTGTGCTGCCGTGCGGGGCGCTGCCGTGCGCTGCCGTGCGGGGCGCTGCCGTGCGGGGCGCTGCCGTGTGCTGCCGTGCGGGGCGCTGCCGTGCGGGGCGCTGCCGTGCGGGGCGCTGCCGTGCGGGGCGCTGCCGTGCGGGGCGCTGCCGTGCGGGGCGCTGCCGTGCGGGGCGCTGCCGTGCGGGGCGCTGCCGGGCGCTGCCGTGCGGGGCGCTGCCGTGCGGGGCGCTGCCGTGCGGCAGCGTGTACGACCAAAGAGGTTAGACTTTGGTGTACGACCAAAGAGGTTAGACCCTTGATTTTTTATCTCCGTGTGTGAGGTCTCTCAGGTTTGGAGAATCGGCGACTATTTTAAAATCGTCTCGTGTGAACCAGGCTTAAAACGTCTTCTTGAAATGTGTCCCTCAGAGATCTGTAACTTAGACTTTTCAGGAGAAGAAACAAGATGGCTGCTGTCTTGAGGCGATATTTGACAGAATCAGAAAATGTGTTTGACCTTTTGTTCAGTGAGATTTCAACAGCTGCAAGAAAATAGTTTAAAGATTCTGATTGGACGTTTGAGAAGGAGGAGGCGGAGCCAGCGCCTGCATGAAGCTGAAGGAAACAGAAAACTGAAGCAAGAAATATTTTTAATAAATAACAAAAATAACAAAAAGAAAAATCATTGCACAATCGGTGTGTCCCTACAACTAACCCTGGTCCCTCTGATGGTCTCTCTGATGGTCTCTGATGGTCCCTCTGATGGTCCCTCTGACGGTCTCTCTGATGGTCCCTCTGACGGTCCCTCTGATGGTCCCTTTGATGGTCCCTCTGATGGTCTCTCTGATGGTCCCTCTGATGGTCTCTCTGATGGTCTCTGATGGTCCCTTTGATGGTCCCTCTGATGGTCCCTCTGATGGTCCCTCTGATGGTCCCTTTGATGGTCCCTCTGTTTATTATTATTATCTTAAATAATAGACTTTAAAGAAGTCTGAGTCTCAGCACATCTGTACAGAGACATTACACAGGTGTAGCCTCAGCACATCTGTACAGAGACATTACACAGGTGTAGCCTCAGCACATCTTTACAGAGACATTACACAGGTGTAGCCTCAGCACATCTTTACAGAGACATTACACAGGTGTAGCCTCAGCACATCTGTACAGAGACATTACACAGGTGTAGTCTCAGCACATCTTTACAGAGACATTACACAGGTGTAGCCTCAGCACATCTTTACAGAGACATTACACAGGTGTAGTCTCAGCACATCTGTACAGAGACATTACACAGGTGTAGCCTCAGCACATCTGTACAGAGACATTACACAGGTGTAGCCTCAGCACATCTGTACAGAGACATTACACAGGTGTAGCCTCAGCACATCTGTACAGAGACATTACACAGGTGTAGCCTCAGCACATCTGTACAGAGACATTACACAGGTGTAGCCTCAGCACATCTTTACAGAGACATTACACAGGTGTCTCAGCACATCTGTACAGAGACATTACACAGGTGTAGCCTCAGCACATCTGTACAGAGACATTACACAGGTGTAGCCTCAGCACATCTGTACAGAGACATTACACAGGTGTAGCCTCAGCACATCTGTACAGAGACATTACACAGGTGTAGCCTCAGCACATCTGTACAGAGACATTACACAGGTGTAGCCTCAGCACATCTGTACAGAGACATTACACAGGTGTAGCCTCAGCACATCTTTACAGAGACATTACACAGGTGTAGCCTCAGCACATCTTTACAGAGACATTACACAGGTGTAGCCTCAGCACATCTGTACAGAGACATTACACAGGTGTAGCCTCAGCACACGTGGATCATCCTCTTTTTGCTGCGGACAGATCCTCTTTTCTATTTTCAGTTTGCAGTCTTGTCTCCGGTGGCGGAGCACAGCAGCGCCATCTACTGAGCCTTTTTATAACGTTTTAAAACACGTTCAGATCGTCTTTAAAAGCATTGGCCTTTTCTAAAGCTTCTCCTCAGACACTTAGCACAGAGTTATTACATTTATTATCTTCAGTGTGTTGTGGATGTGATTAAAAGCCTCCTGTTGTGGCGGGAAAGTGCAGTGTTTATAGGGACCAAAGCAGAAGGCTCTGACAGAGTGGGCCAGTGGCGCAATGGATAACGCGTCTGACTACGGATCAGAAGATTCTAGGTTCGACTCCTGGCTGGCTCGCAAATTCTTTTCCACTGTTTTTTGCAGATTTGTTTTACTTTTGTTGCTAACACTGCGCGATATGATAAATACATCCTAAGATAGCATTAATGCATTATTATATGATTGTTAACATATGTATATTTAATGTGTCTCTATATGCTTTCTGGGCCATTAGCACAGTTGCTAACGTGTTGAAGATGCTAATGTATAGTCCTTCGTGCACCAGTATAAAATACAGGTGTCCATGTTCTAGAGGCCACACGCTGTGCTAAGACTAGACTGTTCGACATTCACTAACTCAGCGGGAGTTGGGGCTTGGTCACCCTCCTTCATGTGGGGGCCCTCAGTGGTTTTTTGTGGGGTGGACCGAACTGGCAATGTGGGCCAGTGGCGCAATGGATAACGCGTCTGACTACGGATCAGAAGATTCTAGGTTCGACTCCTGGCTGGCTCGTTCATTTTCATTATAATTTGAGTATGGTAGTTTATCTCTGACGTTTGCAGCTGAAGGATCAGTAATAACAGATGTTTGAACTTGAAACGGATGGTTATTAATTTAAGTTTTCCCAAAGTAAAGTACCAGGATGTATATAAACAGTACATTCAAAGTAATACTTTAAGGTGAGTGCAGAAAAGTGACACAGAAATAGAGAACACACACGCACACACACTACCACGCACACACACTCGCACACACGCACACACACTCACACACGCACACACACAGTACTTGTTTATATATATAATTGTGTCCAAATCTCTTCTGTTTTCCTTGTTTAGATCCTCTTCTCAGCCGACGATGAGATGGATGAATCAGAAGAGGATGATGTCCGCCGCCTCACTGGCCTAAAGACCGTTAAAAAAAAGAAACATCGTTTGGGAATCCCAGTTTAACCCATTCTTCCAATAAACTTTGAAACGTTCCACATCAACTAAGTCCACATTCCCTTTTCCTCAACGTTGAGGTACGCAAAGGAACAAAGACTACTACACTTTTATTTTACTGTGATGTCACATATAAGACTTTACTCCACTTTTGTCAATTATATCAATTCTTAAAACATGGCATTGAAAAACTCCTCAAAGCAGAGTTTTCAAATATAAACTTCTGGCCAATTATTTGTTATTTAGTCTTTTAACAAAATGCATGTTTCATTGTTCTGTAAATTGTGTCTTATCCTGTTCCAGTCTCTGTAAAAAGGACTTTTCTGTGAATAGAGATAATGGTAAACATTATAATCAGGGGCGTCTAAAACTAAGAGGGATTTGTCTAAAAACTACATATTTGTTCAACTACCATTGTTGCTAACACTAATGTCTACAGACTCATTTTCATTCTTTAGTCACATGTAACTGTTTGTAATGTTAATGCAGTGTGAGTCTAACCCTGAGTCAGTGTGAGTCAGTGTGAGTCTAACCCTGAGTCAGTGTGAGTCAGTGTGAGTCTAACCCTGAGTCAGAGTGAGTCAGTGTGAGTCTAACCCTGAGTCAGAGTGAGTCAGTGTGAGTCTAACCCTGAGTCAGAGTGAGTCAGTGTGAGTCTAACCCTGAGTCAGTGTGAGTCTGTGTGAGTCAGTGTGAGTCTAACCCTGAGTCAGTGTGAGTCTAACCCTGAGTCAGTGTGAGTCTAACCCTGAGTCAGTGTGAGTCAGTGTGAGTCTAACCCTGAGTCAGTGTGAGTCAGTGTTAGTCTAACCCTGAGTCAGTGTGAGTCAGTGTGAGTCTAACCCTGAGTCAGTGTGAGTCAGTGTGAGTCTAACCCTGAGTCAGTGTGAGTCAGTGTGAGTCAGTGTGAGTCAGTGTGAGTCTAACCCTGAGTCAGTGTGAGTCTAACCCTGAGTCAGAGTGAGTCAGTGTGAGTCTAACCCTGAGTCAGTGTGAGTCAGTGTGAGTCAGTGTGAGTCAGTGTGAGTCTAACCCTGAGTCAGTGTGAGTCTGTGTGAGTCAGTGTGAGTCTAACCCTGAGTCAGTGTGAGTCTAACCCTGAGTCAGTGTGAGTCAGTGTGAGTCTAACCCTGAGTCAGTGTGAGTCTGTGTGAGTCAGTGTGAGTCTAACCCTGAGTCAGTGTGAGTCTGTGTGAGTCAGTGTGAGTCTAACCCTGAGTCAGTGTGAGTCTAACCCTGAGTCAGTGTGAGTCTAACCCTGAGTCAGTGTGAGTCTAACCCTGAGTCAGTGTGAGTCTGTGTGAGTCAGTGTGAGTCTAACCCTGAGTCAGTGTGAGTCAGTGTGAGTCTAACCCTGAGTCAGTGTGAGTCTAACCCTGAGTCAGTGTGAGTCTAACCCTGAGTCAGAGTGAGTCTAACCCTGAGTCAGAGTGAGTCAGTGTGAGTCTAACCCTGAGTCAGTGTGAGTCAGTGTGAGTCAGTGTGAGTCTAACCCTGAGTCAGTGTGAGTCTGTGTGAGTCAGTGTGAGTCAGTGTGAGTCAGTGTGAGTCTAACCCTGAGTCAGTGTGAGTCAGTGTGAGTCAGTGTGAGTCAGTGTGAGTCAGTGTGAGTCTAACCCTGAGTCAGTGTGAGTCTGTGTGAGTCAGTGTGAGTCTAACCCTGAGTCAGTGTGAGTCAGTGTGAGTCAGTGTGAGTCAGTGTGAGTCAGTGTGAGTCTAACCCTGAGTCAGTGTGAGTCTGTGTGAGTCAGTGTGAGTCTAACCCTGAGTCAGTGTGAGTCTAACCCTGAGTCAGTGTGAGTCAGTGTGAGTCTAACCCTGAGTCAGTGTGAGTCTGTGTGAGTCAGTGTGAGTCTAACCCTGAGTCAGTGTGAGTCTGTGTGAGTCAGTGTGAGTCTAACCCTGAGTCAGTGTGAGTCTAACCCTGAGTCAGTGTGAGTCTAACCCTGAGTCAGTGTGAGTCTAACCCTGAGTCAGTGTGAGTCTGTGTGAGTCAGTGTGAGTCTAACCCTGAGTCAGTGTGAGTCAGTGTGAGTCTAACCCTGAGTCAGTGTGAGTCTAACCCTGAGTCAGTGTGAGTCAGTGTGAGTCAGAGTGAGTCTAACCCTGAGTCAGTGTGAGTCAGTGTGAGTCAGTGTGAGTCTTCACTGTATTTTTTGGGCCAAAATCTGATGCTTTGTATGAAAGTGTTTGTATCTGCACAACTGTTTTCCTTTCTTCTGTGTTAGTGTTTAACGATGTGCCTGAGTGAACTTAGCAGGTGTTTTGTTTTGTTATTTTTATACTGTTATGTTTGATCCACCAGGGCCTTGGGGACTTCAGCTGGCTCTGATCTCATGAATGTGACATAGACCCATAAACTGTTATTGACTCTGGACCTGGACCTGGACCTGGACCTGGACCAGGACCAGGACCAGGACCAGGACCAGGACCAGGTGGTAGTTAGTGGCGTGCGGGTCATTGTGGTTCTCTGTGTGCTGATGCTGCAGAGATGGATATTCTTACTTACATTTTTACTGACTTTAGCCCTGATGATATCGTTGGTGCAATGTCAGTGTTTATTTATGACAGGACGGTGGCTCTTGTGTGACTGCATTACTAAAACAAATGAATTGAATAAATTATTATTGAAGCTTTTCCAATAAACAATGTAACAAACATTTGTCTTTGTCTTGTATATCTTGGCGGTAGTTTTACTTGGGCTGAAAGTCTGAGCGACTGTAGCATATGTTACCAGAAGCTAAAGACTAGTAGCTAGTGGTATAACAAGTGTACTTTAGTTTTAATCACCATATGCTAACTAGGTAGGATCCACACTTGGAGAGAGGAGGCAGAAACTGTAGATACATTTTGCTAGCACCATGTAATGCTCGAGTGAGATATTTACAACACAAAATTAAAAGGTTCCAGTTTTAATTCAAGACTCAGGTGTGCAATAGACACAGCTTCATGTTCTGCAAAGTGTGAGTGCAGCAACTTAGTCCAGTTCCAACACAAAGAAATCCCAATGTGCTTGGGATTCTCTAGCACTGAATATTGTGATCAACGGTTGCAGAGGGAAAAGGTGTGTCCAAGGAGTGGTGGGTTTCACAATATCAAGATCACAATAAAGTGCTATGTGCCAGAGCCGCCTACCAGCCCAGGACCAGTGGTGGAGGAGACGCTCCCTCAAAGTCCAGACTGAGGTTCAGCTTCCATTGGACTCAGCTCGTCTCGCTGGTCTCAGTGTCTTTACAAGTGACAGGTTCTGTTCTAATGCCCCCAATGGAACCAGGAAACATGTTCTGGGTGTTTCTTGTTTAATTAAATACTTCTGTTATTTCTCAATGAGAAGATGATTAATTTATTATTCATTCAATGCTGATTCTTTAAACAGGGAATACCTTTTTGAAATGTTAAAACATAAAAATAAGTATTTATTTTATAACAAGGATTAATGTGGGTGTGGATTATTATTTTCATTATTATTATTGTTAATATATTATATTTTCTTTCTTCTAGCAGTAGTAGTGCGTGTGTTGGAGGCAGAAGAGCGCTGCTTTGGGGGTGATTGCAGCCACTGTTTTATTTCTATTTCTGAGACTTTGAAAGTGGGTTTTTGGTTGATACATTTAGATTTATGAATGTTTTTCGAAGTGGTTTGTTTTTACGTCCACGCGTCCCCTACGCACGCACAGTGACGCAGTGTTTACGTCCACACGCCCCCTACGCACGCACAGTGACGCAGTGTTTACGTCCACACGCCCCCTACGCACGCACAGTGACGCAGTGTTTACGTCCACACGCCCCCTACGCACGCACAGTGACGCAGTGTTTACGTCCACACGCCCCCTACGCACGCACAGTGACGCAGTGTTTACGTTCCTCCATCACTTCCGCAGACCGCTCGGAATAAAACGCGTAGAAAACCATATTCATTCCGAAAAAGACCGCGTCTCTTTGTTTACACCAATGCTGTGTCTGTGTGTTTGACAGATGAATAGAACCGAGTCGTGTGAACTTAATTCTTTACGTATTTTCACGTTGTTCTTCCTCATGAGTCGGTGTCAAAGCTAACATCCATGAAGCTAACTAGCTTAGCCTAGCTGTGGTTAGCATCCGCAGCCCTGCACTCTGACCCCTGTGTTCTGGCAGTAAATTGAATAAAACTAATAGGAAATCATGGCCACCAGGCGTCTGACCGATGCCTTCTTGTTAATGCGGAACAATGCTATCCAAAACCGGCAGATTTTGGCAGAGCAAGTGAGTACAGCCCCCCGTCTGAGTCTGAGTACACGTAGCACTGCTGCGGTGAGTGCTGCTCCGATCCTCTACTGTCTATGGGCTAGGGTTCTGTGTCTGTGTGAGGTTCTGTGTCTGTGTGAGGTTCTGTGTCTGTGTGAGGTTCTGTGTCTGTGTGAGGTTCTGTGTCTGTGTGAGGTTCTGTGTCTGTGTGAGGTTCTGTGTCTGTGTGAGGTTCTGTGTCTGTGTGAGGTTCTGTGTCTGTGTGAGGTTCTGTGTCTGTGCTGAGGTTCTGTGTCTGTGTGAGGTTCTGTGTCTGTGTGAGGTTCTGTGTCTGTGTGAGGTTCTGTGTCTGTGTGAGGTTCTGTGTCTGTGTGAGGTTCTGTGTCTGTGTGAGGTTCTGTGTCTGTGTGAGGTTCTGTGTCTGTGTGAGGTTCTGTGTCTGTGTGAGGTTCTGTGTCTGTGTGAGGTTCTGTGTCTGTGTGAGGTTCTGTGTCTGTGTGAGGTTCTGTGTCTGTGTGAGGTTCTGTGTCTGTGTGAGGTTCTGTGTCTGTGTGAGGTTCTGTGTCTGTGTGAGGTTCTGTGTCTGTGTGAGGTTCTGTGTCTGTGTGAGGTTCTGTGTCTGTGTGAGGTTCTGTGTCTGTGTGAGGTTCTGTGTCTGTGTGAGGTTCTGTGTCTGTGTGAGGTCTGTTCTGTGTCTGTCTGTGAGGTTCTGTGTCTGTGTGAGGTTCTGTGTCTGTGTGAGGTTCTGTGTCTGTGTGAGGTTCTGTGTCTGTGTGAGTTCTGTGTCTGTGTGAGGTTCTGTGTCTGTGTGAGGTTCTGTGTCTGTGTGAGGTTCTGTGTCTGTGTGAGGTTCTGTGTCTGTGTGAGGTTCTGTGTCTGTGTGAGGTTCTGTGTCTGTGTGAGGTTCTGTGTCTGTGTGAGGTTCTGTGTCTGTGTGAGGTTCTGTGTCTGTGTGAGGTTCTGTGTCTGTGTGAGGTTCTGTGTCTGTGTGAGGTTCTGTGTCTGTGTGAGGTTCTGTGTCTGTGCTGAGGTTCTGTGTCTGTGTGAGGTTCTGTGTCTGTGTGAGGTTCTGTGTCTGTGTGAGGTTCTGTGTCTGTGTGAGGTTCTGTGTCTGTGTGAGGTTCTGTGTCTGTGTGAGGTTCTGTGTCTGTGTGAGGTTCTGTGTCTGTGTGAGGTTCTGTGTCTGTGTGAGGTTGTGTCTGTGTGAGGTTCTGTGTCTGTGTGAGGTTCTGTGTCTGTGCTGAGTTCTGTGTCTGTGTGAGGTTCTGTGTCTGTGTGAGGTTCTGTGTCTGTGTGAGGTTCTGTGTCTGTGTGAGGTTCTGTGTCTGTGTGAGGTTCTGTGTCTGTGTGAGGTTCTGTGTCTGTGTGAGGTTCTGTGTCTGTGTGAGGTTCTGTGTCTGTGTGAGGTTCTGTGTCTGTGCTGAGGTTCTGTGTCTGTGTGAGGTTCTGTGTCTGTGTGAGGTTCTGTGTCTGTGTGAGGTTTGTTCTGTGTGTCTGTGTCTGTGTGAGGTTCTGTGTCTGTGTGAGGTTCTGTGTGTCTGTGTGAGGTTCTGTGTCTGTGTGAGGTTCTGTGTCTGTGTGAGGTTCTGTGTCTGTGTGAGGTTCTGTGTCTGTGTGAGGTTCTGTGTCTGTGTGAGGTTCTGTGTCTGTGTGAGGTTCTGTGTCTGTGTGAGTGTTCTGGTCTGTGTTGTGAGGTTCTGTGTCTGTGTGAGGTTCTGTGTCTGTGTGAGGTTCTGTTCTGTGTGTTCTGTGTCTGTGTGAGGTTCTGTGTCTGTGTGAGGTTCTGTGTCTGTGTGAGGTTCTGTGTCTGTGTGAGGTTCTGTGTCTGTGTGAGGTTCTGTGTCTGTGCTGAGGTTCTGTGTCTGTGTGAGGTTCTGTGTCTGTGTGAGGTTCTGTGTCTGTGTGAGGTTCTGTGTCTGTGTGAGGTTCTGTGTCTGTGTGAGGTTCTGTGTCTGTGTGAGGTTCTGTGTCTGTGTGAGGTTCTGTGTCTGTGTGAGGTTCTGTGTCTGTGTGAGGTTCTGTGTCTGTGTGAGGTTCTGTGTCTGTGTGAGGTTCTGTGTCTGTGTGAGGTTCTGTGTCTGTGTGAGGTTCTGTGTCTGTGTGAGGTTCTGTGTCTGTGTGAGGTTCTGTGTCTGTGTGAGGTTCTGTGTCTGTGTGAGGTTCTGTGTCTGTGTGAGGTTCTGTGTCTGTGTGAGGTTCTGTGTCTGTGTGAGGTTCTGTGTCTGTGTGAGGTTCTGTGTCTGTGTGAGGTTCTGTGTCTGTGTGAGGTTCTGTGTGTCTGTGTGAGGTTCTGTGTCTGTGTGAGGTTCTGTGTCTGTGTGAGGTTCTGTGTCTGTGTGAGGTTCTGTGTCTGTGCTGAGGTTCTGTGTCTGTGTGAGGTTCTGTGTCTGTCTGTGTGAGGTTCTGTGTCTGTGTGAGGTTCTGTGTCTGTGTGAGGTTCTGTGTCTGTGTGAGGTTCTGTGTCTGTGTGAGGTTCTGTGTCTGTGTGAGGTTCTGTGTCTGTGTGAGGTTCTGTGTCTGTGTGAGGTTCTGTGTCTGTGTGAGGTTCTGTGTCTGTGTGAGGTTCTGTGTCTGTGTGAGGTTCTGTGTCTGTGTGAGGTTCTGTGTCTGTGTGAGGTTCTGTGTCTGTGTGAGGTTCTGTGTCTGTGTGAGGTTCTGTGTCTGTGTGAGGTTCTGTGTCTGTGTGAGGTTCTGTGTCTGTGTGAGGTTCTGTGTCTGTGTGAGGTTCTGTGTCTGTGTGAGGTTCTGTGTCTGTGTGAGGTTCTGTGTCTGTGTGAGGTTCTGTGTCTGTGTGAGGTTCTGTGTCTGTGTGAGGTTCTGTGTCTGTGTGAGGTTCTGTGTCTGTGTGAGGTTCTGTGTCTGTGTGAGGTTCTGTGTCTGTGTGAGGTTCTGTGTCTGTGTGAGGTTCTGTGTCTGTGTGAGGTTCTGTGTCTGTGTGAGGTTCTGTGTCTGTGTGAGGTTCTGTGTCTGTGTGAGGTTCTGTGTCTGTGTGAGGTTCTGTGTCTGTGTGAGGTTCTGTGTCTGTGTGAGGTTCTGTGTCTGTGTGAGGTTCTGTGTCTGTGTGAGGTTCTGTGTCTGTGTGAGGTTCTGTGTCTGTGTGAGGTTCTGTGTCTGTGTGAGGTTCTGTGTCTGTGTGAGGTTCTGTGTCTGTGTGAGGTTCTGTGTCTGTGTGAGGTTCTGTGTCTGTGTGAGGTTCTGTGTCTGTGTGAGGTTCTGTGTCTGTGTGAGGTTCTGTGTCTGTGTGAGGTTCTGTGTCTGTGTGAGGTTCTGTGTCTGTGTGAGGTTCTGTGTCTGTGTGAGGTTCTGTGTCTGTGTGAGGTTCTGTGTCTGTGTGAGGTTCTGTGTCTGTGTGAGGTTCTGTGTCTGTGTGAGGTTCTGTGTCTGTGTGAGGTTCTGTGTCTGTGTGAGGTTCTGTGTCTGTGTGAGGTTCTGTGTCTGTGTGAGGTTCTGTGTCTGTGTGAGGTTCTGTGTCTGTGTGAGGTTCTGTGTCTGTGTGAGGTTCTGTGTCTGTGTGAGGTTCTGTGTCTGTGTGAGGTTCTGTGTCTGTGTGAGGTTCTGTGTCTGTGTGAGGTTCTGTGTCTGTGTGAGGTTCTGTGTCTGTGTGAGGTTCTGTGTCTGTGTGAGGTTCTGTGTCTGTGTGAGGTTCTGTGTCTGTGTGAGGTTCTGTGTCTGTGTGAGGTTCTGTGTCTGTGTGAGGTTCTGTGTCTGTGTGAGGTTCTGTGTCTGTGTGAGGTTCTGTGTCTGTGTGAGGTTCTGTGTCTGTGTGAGGTTCTGTGTCTGTGTGAGGTTCTGTGTCTGTGTGAGGTTCTGTGTCTGTGTGAGGTTCTGTGTCTGTGTGAGGTTCTGTGTCTGTGTGAGGTTCTGTGTCTGTGTGAGGTTCTGTGTCTGTGTGAGGTTCTGTGTCTGTGTGAGGTTCTGTGTCTGTGTGAGGTTCTGTGTCTGTGTGAGGTTCTGTGTCTGTGTGAGGTTCTGTGTCTGTGTGAGGTTCTGTGTCTGTGTGAGGTTCTGTGTCTGTGTGAGGTTCTGTGTCTGTGTGAGGTTCTGTGTCTGTGTGAGGTTCTGTGTCTGTGTGAGGTTCTGTGTCTGTGTGAGGTTCTGTGTCTGTGTGAGGTTCTGTGTCTGTGTGAGGTTCTGTGTCTGTGTGAGGTTCTGTGTCTGTGTGAGGTTCTGTGTCTGTGTGAGGTTCTGTGTCTGTGTGAGGTTCTGTGTCTGTGTGAGGTTCTGTGTGTCTGTGTGAGGTTCTGTGTCTGTGTGAGGTTCTGTGTCTGTGTGAGGTTCTGTGTCTGTGTGAGGTTCTGTGTCTGTGTGAGGTTCTGTGTCTGTGTGAGGTTCTGTGTCTGTGTGAGGTTCTGTGTCTGTGTGAGGTTCTGTGTCTGTGTGAGGTTCTGTGTCTGTGTGAGGTTCTGTGTCTGTGTGAGGTTCTGTGTCTGTGTGAGGTTCTGTGTCTGTGTGAGGTTCTGTGTCTGTGTGAGGTTCTGTGTCTGTGTGAGGTTCTGTGTCTGTGTGAGGTTCTGTGTCTGTGTGAGGTTCTGTGTCTGTGTGAGGTTCTGTGTCTGTGTGAGGTTCTGTGTCTGTGTGAGGTTCTGTGTCTGTGTGAGGTTCTGTGTCTGTGTGAGGTTCTGTGTCTGTGTGAGGTTCTGTGTCTGTGTGAGGTTCTGTGTCTGTGTGAGGTTCTGTGTCTGTGTGAGGTTCTGTGTCTGTGTGAGGTTCTGTGTCTGTGTGAGGTTCTGTGTCTGTGTGAGGTTCTGTGTCTGTGCTGAGGTTCTGTGTCTGTGTGAGGTTCTGTGTCTGTGTGAGGTTCTGTGTCTGTGTGAGGTTCTGTGTCTGTGTGAGGTTCTGTGTCTGTGTGAGGTTCTGTGTCTGTGTGAGGTTCTGTGTCTGTGTGAGGTTCTGTGTCTGTGTGAGGTTCTGTGTCTGTGTGAGGTTCTGTGTCTGTGTGAGGTTCTGTGTCTGTGCTGAGGTTCTGTGTGTTGTGTGTTGAGGTTCTGTGTCTGTGTGAGGTTCTGTGTCTGTGTGAGGTTCTGTGTCTGTGTGAGGTTCTGTGTCTGTGTGAGGTTCTGTGTCTGTGTGAGGTTCTGTGTCTGTGTGAGGTTCTGTGTCTGTGTGAGGTTCTGTGTCTGTGTGAGGTTCTGTGTCTGTGTGAGGTTCTGTGTCTGTGTGAGGTTCTGTGTCTGTGTGAGGTTCTGTGTCTGTGTGAGGTTCTGTGTCTGTGTGAGGTTCTGTGTCTGTGTGAGGTTCTGTGTCTGTGTGAGGTTCTGTGTCTGTGTGAGGTTCTGTGTCTGTGTGAGGTTCTGTGTCTGTGTGAGGTTCTGTGTCTGTGTGAGGTTCTGTGTCTGTGTGAGGTTCTGTGTCTGTGTGAGGTTCTGTGTCTGTGTGTGAGGTTCTGTGTCTGTGTGAGGTTCTGTGTCTGTGTGAGGTTCTGTGTCTGTGTGAGGTTCTGTGTCTGTGTGAGGTTCTGTGTCTGTGTGAGGTTCTGTGTCTGTGTGAGGTTCTGTGTCTGTGCTGAGGTTCTGTGTCTGTGTGAGGTTCTGTGTCTGTGTGAGGTTCTGTGTCTGTGTGAGGTTCTGTGTCTGTGTGAGGTTCTGTGTCTGTGTGAGGTTCTGTGTCTGTGTGAGGTTCTGTGTCTGTGTGAGGTTCTGTGTCTGTGTGAGGTTCTGTGTCTGTGTGAGGTTCTGTGTCTGTGTGAGGTTCTGTGTCTGTGTGAGGTTCTGTGTCTGTGTGAGGTTCTGTGTCTGTGTGAGGTTCTGTGTCTGTGTGAGGTTCTGTGTCTGTGTGAGGTTCTGTGTCTGTGTGAGGTTCTGTGTCTGTGTGAGGTTCTGTGTCTGTGTGAGGTTCTGTGTCTGTGTGAGGTTCTGTGTCTGTGTGAGGTTCTGTGTCTGTGTGAGGTTCTGTGTCTGTGTGAGGTTCTGTGTCTGTGTGAGGTTCTGTGTCTGTGTGAGGTTCTGTGTCTGTGTGAGGTTCTGTGTCTGTGTGAGGTTCTGTGTCTGTGTGAGGTTCTGTGTCTGTGTGAGGTTCTGTGTCTGTGTGAGGTTCTGTGTCTGTGTGAGGTTCTGTGTCTGTGTGAGGTTCTGTGTCTGTGTGAGGTTCTGTGTCTGTGTGAGGTTCTGTGTCTGTGTGAGGTTCTGTGTCTGTGTGAGGTTCTGTGTCTGTGTGAGGTTCTGTGTCTGTGTGAGGTTCTGTGTCTGTGTGAGGTTCTGTGTCTGTGTGAGGTTCTGTGTCTGTGTGAGGTTCTGTGTCTGTGTGAGGTTCTGTGTCTGTGTGAGGTTCTGTGTCTGTGTGAGGTTCTGTGTCTGTGTGAGGTTCTGTGTCTGTGTGAGGTTCTGTGTCTGTGTGAGGTTCTGTGTCTGTGTGAGGTTCTGTGTCTGTGTGAGGTTCTGTGTCTGTGTGAGGTTCTGTGTCTGTGTGAGGTTCTGTGTCTGTCTGAGGTCTGTGTTGTGAGGTTCTGTGTCTGTGTGAGGTTCTGTGTCTGTGTGAGGTTCTGTGTCTGTGTGAGGTTCTGTGTCTGTGTGAGGTTCTGTGTCTGTGTGAGGTTCTGTGTCTGTGTGAGGTTCTGTGTCTGTGTGAGGTTCTGTGTCTGTGTGAGGTTCTGTGTCTGTGTGAGGTTCTGTGTCTGTGTGAGGTTCTGTGTCTGTGTGAGGTTCTGTGTCTGTGTGAGGTTCTGTGTCTGTGTGAGGTTCTGTGTCTGTGTGAGGTTCTGTGTCTGTGTGAGGTTCTGTGTCTGTGTGAGGTTCTGTGTGAGGTTCTGTGTGTGTGAGGTTCTGTGTCTGTGCTGAGGTTCTGTGTCTGTGTGAGGTTCTGTGTCTGTGTGAGGTTCTGTGTCTGTGTGAGGTTCTGTGTCTGTGTGAGGTTCTGTGTCTGTGTGAGGTTCTGTGTCTGTGTGAGGTTCTGTGTCTGTGTGAGGTTCTGTGTCTGTGTGAGGTTCTGTGTCTGTGTGAGGTTCTGTGTCTGTGTGAGGTTCTGTGTCTGTGTGAGGTTCTGTGTCTGTGTGAGGTTCTGTGTCTGTGTGAGGTTCTGTGTCTGTGTGAGGTTCTGTGTCTGTGTGAGGTTCTGTGTCTGTGTGAGGTTCTGTGTCTGTGTGAGGTTCTGTGTCTGTGTGAGGTTCTGTGTCTGTGTGAGGTTCTGTGTCTGTGTGAGGTTCTGTGTCTGTGTGAGGTTCTGTGTCTGTGTGAGGTTCTGTGTCTGTGTTGTGTTGTGAGGTTCTGTGTCTGTGTGAGGTTCTGTGTCTGTGTGAGGTTCTGTGTCTGTGTGAGGTTCTGTGTCTGTGTGAGGTTCTGTGTCTGTGTGAGGTTCTGTGTCTGTGTGAGGTTCTGTGTCTGTGTGAGGTTCTGTGTCTGTGTGAGGTTCTGTGTCTGTGTGAGGTTCTGTGTCTGTGTGAGGTTCTGTGTCTGTGTGAGGTTCTGTGTCTGTGTGAGGTTCTGTGTCTGTGCTGAGGTTCTGTGTCTGTGTGAGGTTCTGTGTCTGTGTGAGGTTCTGTGTCTGTGTGAGGTTCTGTGTCTGTGTGAGGTTCTGTGTCTGTGTGAGGTTCTGTGTCTGTGTGAGGTTCTGTGTCTGTGTGAGGTTCTGTGTCTGTGTGAGGTTCTGTGTCTGTGTGAGGTTCTGTGTCTGTGTGAGGTTCTGTGTCTGTGTGAGGTTCTGTGTCTGTGTGAGGTTCTGTGTCTGTGTGAGGTTCTGTGTCTGTGTGAGGTTCTGTGTCTGTGTGAGGTTTGTGTCTGTGTGAGGTTCTGTGTCTGTGTGAGGTTCTGTGTCTGTGTGAGGTTCCTGTGGTCTGTGCTGAGGTTCTGTGTCTGTGTGAGGTTCTGTGTCTGTGTGTGAGGTTCTGTGTCTGTGTGAGGTTCTGTGTCTGTGTGAGGTTCTGTTCTGTGTGTCTGTGTCTGTGTGAGGTTCTGTGTCTGTGTGAGGTTCTGTGTCTGTGCTGAGGTTCTGTGTCTGTGTGAGGTTCTGTGTCTGTGTGAGGTTCTGTGTCTGTGTGAGGTTCTGTGTCTGTGTGAGGTTCTGTGTCTGTGCTGAGGTTCTGTGTCTGAGGTTCTGTGTCTGTGTGAGGTTCTGTGTCTGTGTGAGGTTCTGTGTCTGTGTGAGGTTCTGTGTCTGTGTGAGGTTCTGTGTCTGTGTGAGGTTCTGTGTCTGTGTGAGGTTCTGTGTCTGTGCTGAGGTTCTGTGTCTGTGTGAGGTTCTGTGTCTGTGTGAGGTTCTGTGTCTGTGCTGAGGTTCTGTGTCTGTGTGAGGTTCTGTGTCTGTGCTGAGGTTCTGTGTCTGTGTGAGGTTCTGTGTCTGTGGTCTGTGTCTGTGTGAGGTTCTGTGTCTGTGTGAGGTTCTGTGTCTGTGTGTGAGGTTCTGTGTCTGTGCTGAGGTTCTGTGTCTGTGTGAGGTTCTGTGTCTGTGTGAGGTTCTGTGTCTGTGTGAGGTTCTGTGTCTGTGCTGAGGTTCTGTGTCTGTGTGGGTTCTGTGTCTGTGTGAGGTTCTGTGTCTGTGTGAGGTTCTGTGTCTGTGTGAGGTTCTGTGTCTGTGTGAGGTTCTGTGTCTGTGTGAGGTTCTGTGTCTGTGTGAGGTTCTGTGTCTGTGTGAGGTTCTGTGTCTGTGTGAGGTTCTGTGTCTGTGTGAGGTTCTGTGTCTGTGTGAGGTTCTGTGTCTGTGTGAGGTTCTGTGTCTGTGTGAGGTTCTGTGTCTGTGTGAGGTTCTGTGTCTGTGTGAGGTTCTGTGTCTGTGTGAGGTTCTGTGTCTGTGTGAGGTTCTGTGTCTGTGTGAGGTTCTGTGTCTGTGTGAGGTTCTGTGTCTGTGTGAGGTTCTGTGTCTGTGTGAGGTTCTGTGTCTGTGTGAGGTTCTGTGTCTGTGTGAGGTTCTGTGTCTGTGTGAGGTTCTGTGTCTGTGTGAGGTTCTGTGTCTGTGTGAGGTTCTGTGTCTGTGTGAGGTTCTGTGTCTGTGTGAGGTTCTGTGTCTGTGTGAGGTTCTGTGTCTGTGTGAGGTTCTGTGTCTGTGTGAGGTTCTGTGTCTGTGTGAGGTTCTGTGTCTGTGTGAGGTTCTGTGTCTGTGCTGAGGTTCTGTGTCTGTGCTGAGGTTCTGTGTCTGTGTGAGGTTCTGTGTCTGTGTGAGGTTCTGTGTCTGTGTGAGGTTCTGTGTCTGTGTGAGGTTCTGTGTCTGTGTGAGGTTCTGTGTCTGTGTGAGGTTCTGTGTCTGTGTGAGGTTCTGTGTCTGTGTGAGGTTCTGTGTCTGTGCTGAGGTTCTGTGTCTGTGTGAGGTTCTGTGTCTGTGTGAGGTTCTGTGTCTGTGTGAGGTTCTGTGTCTGTGTGAGGTTCTGTGTCTGTGTGAGGTTCTGTGTCTGTGTGAGGTTCTGTGTCTGTGTGAGGTTCTGTGTCTGTGTGAGGTTCTGTGTCTGTGTGAGGTTCTGTGTCTGTGTGAGGTTCTGTGTCTGTGTGAGGTTCTGTGTCTGTGTGAGGTTCTGTGTCTGTGTGAGGTTCTGTGTCTGTGTGAGGTTCTGTGTCTGTGTGAGGTTCTGTGTCTGTGTGAGGTTCTGTGTCTGTGTGAGGTTCTGTGTCTGTGTGAGGTTCTGTGTCTGTGTGAGGTTCTGTGTCTGTGTGAGGTTCTGTGTCTGTGTGAGGTTCTGTGTCTGTGTGAGGTTCTGTGTCTGTGTGAGGTTCTGTGTCTGTGTGAGGGTTCTGTGTCTGTGTGAGGTTCTGTGTCTGTGTGAGGTTCTGTGTCTGTGTGAGGTTCTGTGTCTGTGCTGAGGTTCTGTGTCTGTGTGAGGTTCTGTGGTGGAGGTTCTGTGTCTGTGTGAGGTTCTGTGTCTGTGTGAGGTTCTGTGTCTGTGTGAGGTTCTGTGTCTGTGTGAGGTTCTGTGTCTGTGTGAGGTTCTGTGTCTGTGTGAGGTTCTGTGTCTGTGTGAGGTTCTGTGTCTGTGTGAGGTTCTGTGTCTGTGTGAGGTTCTGTGTCTGTGTGAGTTCTGTGTCTGTGTGAGGTTCTGTGTCTGTGTGAGGTTCTGTGTCTGTGTGAGGTTCTGTGTCTGTGTGAGGTTCTGTGTCTGTGTGAGGTTCTGTGTCTGTGTGAGGTTCTGTGTCTGTGTGAGGTTCTGTGTCTGTGTGAGGTTCTGTGTCTGTGTGAGGTTCTGTGTCTGTGTGAGGTTCTGTGTCTGTGTGAGGTTCTGTGTCTGTGTGAGGTTCTGTGTCTGTGTGAGGTTCTGTGTCTGTGTGAGGTTCTGTGTCTGTGTGAGGTTCTGTGTCTGTGCTGAGGTTCTGTGTCTGTGTGAGGTTCTGTGTCTGTGCTGAGGTTCTGTGTCTGTGTGAGGTTCTGTGTCTGTGTGAGGTTCTGTGTCTGTGTGAGGTTCTGTGTCTGTGTGAGGTTCTGTCTGGGGGTCTGTCTGTGTGAGGTTCTGTGTCTGTGTGAGGTTCTGTGTCTGTGTGAGGTTCTGTGTCTGTGTGAGGTTCTGTGTCTGTGCTGAGGTTCTGTGTCTGTGTGAGGTTCTGTGTCTGTGTGAGGTTCTGTGTCTGTGTGAGGTTCTGTGTCTGTGTGTGAGGTTCTGTGTCTGTGTGAGGTTCTGTGTCTGTGTGAGGTTCTGTGTCTGTGTGAGGTTCTGTGTCTGTGTGAGGTTCTGTGTCTGTGTGAGGTTCTGTGTCTGTGTGAGGTTCTGTGTCTGTGTGAGGTTCTGTGTCTGTGTGAGGTTCTGTGTCTGTGTGAGGTTCTGTGTCTGTGTGAGGTTCTGTGTCTGTGTGAGGTTCTGTGTCTGTGTGAGGTTCTGTGTCTGTGTGAGGTTCTGTGTCTGTGTGTGAGGTTCTGTGTCTGTGCTGAGGTTCTGTGTCTGTGTGAGGTTCTGTGTCTGTGTGAGGTTCTGTGTCTGTGCTGAGGTTCTGTGTCTGTGTGAGGTTCTGTGTCTGTGTGAGGTTCTGTGTCTGTGTGAGGTTCTGTGTCTGTGTGAGGTTCTGTGTCTGTGTGAGGTTCTGTGTCTGTGTGAGGTTCTGTGTCTGTGTGAGGTTCTGTGTCTGTGTGAGGTTCTGTGTCTGTGTGAGGTTCTGTGTCTGTGTGAGGTTCTGTGTCTGTGTGAGGTTCTGTGTCTGTGTGAGGTTCTGTGTCTGTGTGAGGTTCTGTGTCTGTGTGAGGTTCTGTGTCTGTGTGAGGTTCTGTGTCTGTGTGAGGTTCTGTGTCTGTGTGAGGTTCTGTGTCTGTGTGAGGTTCTGTGTCTGTGTGAGGTTCTGTGTCTGTGTGAGGTTCTGTGTCTGTGTGAGGTCTGTGTCTGTGTGAGGTTCTTGTTGTGTGAGGTTCTGTGTCTGTGTGAGGTTCTGTGTCTGTGTGAGGTTCTGTGTCTGTGTGAGGTTCTGTGTCTGTGTGAGGTTCTGTGTCTGTGTGAGGTTCTGTGTCTGTGTGAGGTTCTGTGTCTGTGTGAGGTTCTGTGTCTGTGTGAGGTTCTGTGTCTGTGTGAGGTTCTGTGTCTGTGTGAGGTTCTGTGTCTGTGTGAGGTTCTGTGTCTGTGTGAGGTTCTGTGTCTGTGTGAGGTTCTGTGTCTGTGTGAGGTTCTGTGTCTGTGTGAGGTTCTGTGTCTGTGTGAGGTTCTGTGTCTGTGTGAGGTTCTGTGTCTGTGTGAGGTTCTGTGTCTGTGTGAGGTTCTGTGTCTGTGTGAGGTTCTGTGTCTGTGTGAGGTTCTGTGTCTGTGTGAGGTCTGTGTCTGTGAGGTTCTGTGTCTGTGTGAGGTTCTGTGTCTGTGTGAGGTTCTGTGTCTGTGTGAGGTTCTGTGTCTGTGTGAGGTTCTGTGTCTGTGTGAGGTTCTGTGTCTGTGTGAGGTTCTGTGTCTGTGCTGAGGTTCTGTGTCTGTGTGAGGTTCTGTGTCTGTGTGAGGTTCTGTGTCTGTGTGAGGTTCTGTGTCTGTTCTGTTCTGTGTGAGGTTCTGTGTCTGTGTGAGTTCTGTGTCTGTGTGAGGTTCTGTGTCTGTGTGAGGTTCTGTGTCTGTGTGAGGTTCTGTGTCTGTGTGAGGTTCTGTGTCTGTGTGAGGTTCTGTGTCTGTGTGAGGTTCTGTGTCTGTGTGAGGTTCTGTGTCTGTGTGAGGTTCTGTGTCTGTGTGAGGTTCTGTGTCTGTGTGAGGTTCTGTGTCTGTGTGAGGTTCTGTGTCTGTGTGAGGTTCTGTGTCTGTGTGAGGTTCTGTGTCTGTGTGAGGTTCTGTGTCTGTGTGAGGTTCTGTGTCTGTGTGAGGTTCTGTGTCTGTGTGAGGTTCTGTGTCTGTGTGAGGTTCTGTGTCTGTGTGAGGTTCTGTGTCTGTGTGAGGTTCTGTGTCTGTGTGAGGTTCTGTGTCTGTGTGAGGTTCTGTGTCTGTGTGAGGTTCTGTGTCTGTGTGAGGTTCTGTGTCTGTGTGAGGTTCTGTGTCTGTGTGAGGTTCTGTGTCTGTGTGAGGTTCTGTGTCTGTGTGAGGTTCTGTGTCTGTGTGAGGTTCTGTGTCTGTGTGAGGTTCTGTGTCTGTGTGAGGTTCTGTGTCTGTGTGAGGTTCTGTGTCTGTGTGAGGTTCTGTGTCTGTGTGAGGTTCTGTGTCTGTGTGAGGTTCTGTGTCTGTGTGAGGTTCTGTGTCTGTGTGAGGTTCTGTGTCTGTGTGAGGTTCTGTGTCTGTGTGAGGTTCTGTGTCTGTGTGAGGTTCTGTGTCTGTGTGAGGTTCTGTGTCTGTGTGAGGTTCTGTGTCTGTGTGAGGTTCTGTGTCTGTGTGAGGTTCTGTGTCTGTGTGAGGTTCTGTGTCTGTGTGAGGTTCTGTGTCTGTGTGAGGTTCTGTGTCTGTGTGAGGTTCTGTGTCTGTGTGAGGTTCTGTGTCTGTGTGAGGTTCTGAGGTGTCTGTGTTCTGTGTGTGTGAGGTTCTGTGTCTGTGTGAGGTTCTGTGTCTGTGTGAGGTTCTGTGTCTGTGTGAGGTTCTGTGTCTGTGTGAGGTTCTGTGTCTGTGTGAGGTTCTGTGTCTGTGTGAGGTTCTGTGTCTGTGTGAGGTTCTGTGTCTGTGTGAGGTTCTGTGTCTGTGTGAGGTTCTGTGTCTGTGTGAGGTTCTGTGTCTGTGTGAGGTTCTGTGTCTGTGTGAGGTTCTGTGTCTGTGTGAGGTTCTGTGTCTGTGTGAGGTTCTGTGTCTGTGTGAGGTTCTGTGTCTGTGTGAGGTTCTGTGTCTGTGTGAGGTTCTGTGTCTGTGTGAGGTTCTGTGTCTGTGTGAGGTTCTGTGTCTGTGTGAGGTTCTGTGTCTGTGTGAGGTTCTGTGTCTGTGTGAGGTTCTGTGTCTGTGCTGAGGTTCTGTGTCTGTGTGAGGTTCTGTGTCTGTGTGAGGTTCTGTGTCTGTGTGAGGTTCTGTGTCTGTGTGAGGTCTGTGTCTGTGTGAGGTTCTGTGTCTGTGTGAGGTTCTGTGTCTGTGTGAGTCTGTTCTGTGTCTGTGTGAGGTGTCTGTGTCTGTGTGTGGTTCTGTGTCTGTGTGAGGTTCTGTGTCTGTGTGAGGTTCTGTGTCTGGGTTCTGTGTCTGTGTGAGGTTCTGTGTCTGTGTGAGGTTCTGTGTCTGTGTGAGGTTCTGTGTCTGTGTGAGGTTCTGTGTCTGTGTGAGGTTCTGTGTCTGTGTGAGGTTCTGTGTCTGTGTGAGGTTCTGTGTCTGTGTGAGGTTCTGTGTCTGTGTGAGGTTCTGTGTCTGTGTGTTTTGTCTGTGTGAGGTTCTGTGTCTGTGTGAGGTGTCTGTGTGAGGTCTGTGTCTGTGTGAGGTTCTGTGTCTGTGTGAGGTTCTGTGTGAGGTTCTGTGTCTGTGTGAGGTTCTGTGTCTGTGAGGTTCTGTGTCTGTGCTGAGGTTCTGTGTCTGTGTGAGGTTCTGTGTCTGTGTGAGGTTCTGTGTCTGTGTGAGGTTCTGTGTCTGTGTGAGGTTCTGTGTCTGTGTGAGGTTCTGTGTCTGTGTTGTGTGAGGTTCTGTGTCTGTGTGAGGTTCTGTGTCTGTGTGAGGTTCTGTGTCTGTGTGAGGTTCTGTGTCTGTGTGTGAGGTTCTTGTGTCGTCTGTGTGAGGTTCTGTGTCTGTGTGAGGTTCTGTGTCTGTGTGAGGTTCTGTGTCTGTGTGAGGTTCTGTGTCTGTGTGAGGTTCTGAGGTTCTGTGTCTGTGTGAGGTTCTGTGTCTGTGTGAGGTTCTGTGTCTGTGTGAGGTTCTGTGTCTGTGTGAGGTTCTGTGTCTGTGTGAGGTTCTGTGTCTGTGTGAGGTTCTGTGTCTGTGTGAGGTTCTGTGTCTGTGTGAGGTCTGTGTCTGTGTTCTGTGTCTGTGTGAGGTTCTGTGTCTGTGCTGAGGTTCTGTGTCTGTGTGAGGTTCTGTGTCTGTGTGAGGTTCTGTGTGTTCTGTGTGAGGTTCTGTGTCTGTGCTGAGGTTCTGTGTGTGTGTCTGTGTGAGGTTCTGTGTCTGTGCTGAGGTTCTGTGTCTGTGTGAGGTTCTGTGTCTGTGTGAGGTTCTGTGTCTGTGCTGAGGTTCTGTGTCTGTGTGAGGTTCTGTGTCTGTGTGAGGTTCTGTGTCTGTGCTGAGGTTCTGTGTCTGTGTGAGGTTCTGTGTCTGTGTGAGGTTCTGTGTCTGTGTGAGGTTCTGTGTCTGTGTGAGGTTCTGTGTCTGTGTGAGGTTCTGTGTCTGTGTGAGGTTCTGTGTCTGTGTGAGGTTCTGTGTCTGTGCTGAGGTTCTGTGTCTGTGTGAGGTTCTGTGTCTGTGCTGAGGTTCTGTGTCTGTGTGAGGTTCTGTGTCTGTGTGAGGTCTGTCTGTGTGAGGTTCTGTGTGAGGTTCTGTGTCTGTGTGAGGTTCTGTGTCTGTGCTGAGGTTCTGTGTCTGTGTGAGGTTCTGTGTCTGTGTGAGGTTCTGTGTCTGTGCTGAGGTTCTGTGTCTGTGCTGAGGTTCTGTGTCTGTGCTGAGGTTCTGTGTCTGTGCTGAGGTTCTGTGTCTGTGTGAGGTTCTGTGTCTGTGTGAGGTTCTGTGTCTGTGTGAGGTTCTGTGTCTGTGTGAGGTTCTGTGTCTGTGTGAGGTTCTGTGTCTGTGCTGAGGTTCTGTGTCTGTGTGAGGTTCTGTGTCTGTGCTGAGGTTCTGTGTCTGTGCTGAGGTTCTGTGTCTGTGCTGAGGTTCTGTGTCTGTGTGAGGTTCTGTGTCTGTGTGAGGTTCTGTGTCTGTGTGAGGTTCTGTGTCTGTGCTGAGGTTCTGTGTCTGTGTGAGGTTCTGTGTCTGTGTGAGGTTCTGTGTCTGTGTGAGGTTCTGTGTCTGTGTGAGGTTCTGTGTCTGTGTGAGGTTCTGTGTCTGTGCTGAGGTTCTGTGTCTGTGTGAGGTTCTGTGTCTGTGCTGAGGTTCTGTGTCTGTGCTGAGGTTCTGTGTCTGTGTGAGGTTCTGTGTCTGTGCTGAGGTTTCTGTGTCTGTGTGAGGTTCTGTGTCTGTGTGAGGTTCTGTGTCTGTGTGAGGTTCTGTGTCTGTGTGAGGTTCTGTGTCTGTGCTGAGGTTCTGTGTCTGTGCTGAGGTTCTGTGTCTGTGTGAGGTTCTGTGTCTGTGCTGAGGTTCTGTGTCTGTGTGAGGTTCTGTGTCTGTGCTGAGGTTCTGTGTCTGTGTGAGGTTCTGTGTCGGTGTGAGGTTCTGTGTCTGTGCTGAGGTTCTGTGTCTGTGCTGAGGTTCTGTGTCTGTGTGAGGTTCTGTGTCTGTGTGAGGTTCTGTGTCTGTGTGAGGTTCTGTGTCTGTGCTGAGGTTCTGTGTCTGTGTGAGGTTCTGTGTCTGTGTGAGGTTCTGTGTCTGTGTGAGGTTCTGTGTCTGTGCTGAGGTTCTGTGTCTGTGTGAGGTTCTGTGTCTGTGTGAGGTTCTGTGTCTGTGTGAGGTTCTGTGTCTGTGTGAGGTTCTGTGTCTGTGTGAGGTTCTGTGTCTGTGTGAGGTTCTGTGTCTGTGTGAGGTTCTGTGTCTGTGCTGAGGTTCTGTGTCTGTGCTGAGGTTCTGTGTCTGTGTGAGGTTCTGTGTCTGTGTGAGGTTCTGTGTCTGTGCTGAGGTTCTGTGTCTGTGTGAGGTTCTGTGTCTGTGTGAGGTTCTGTGTCTGTGTGAGGTTCTGTGTCTGTGCTGAGGTTCTGTGTCTGTGTGAGGTTCTGTGTCTGTGTGAGGTTCTGTGTCTGTGTGAGGTTCTGTGTCTGTGCTGAGGTTCTGTGTCTGTGCTGAGGTTCTGTGTCTGTGTGAGGTTCTGTGTCTGTGTGAGGTTCTGTGTCTGTGTGAGGTTCTGTGTCTGTGCTGAGGTTCTGTGTCTGTGTGAGGTTCTGTGTCTGTGCTGAGGTTCTGTGTCTGTGTGAGGTTCTGTGTCTGTGTGAGGTTCTGTGTCTGTGTGAGGTTCTGTGTCTGTGTGAGGTTCTGTGTCTGTGTGAGGTTCTGTGTCTGTGCTGAGGTTCTGTGTCTGTGTGAGGTTCTGTGTCTGTGTGAGGTTCTGTGTCTTAACAGTATAAATGATCTTGTTCTTGCTGTTGGATGAAGATGATAGAACCCTCTGACGTCACGCATGTATGATGAAGATTATTATTAATGTCTTTATGAAACAATGTATGAATATAGTTGTTATTTTGACAGGTTTTGTCATAAAATGTTCTTTCCTCCAAGTTCGTTCTGTGAAGGTTCTCCTGACCAGGTTTGAACCCTGAGATAAAATAAAATACATAAAAGTTCGTACTGAGTAAGCTCTTTTTTTCCTTTCAAATGAAATGGAGCCACTCAAATATCCGGCAGTAAATTATAGTTTGTTTGGGGATGATCATTTTCTTTCTCTTCCAAATATATGCCCCAAACATCCTCAAAATGTAAATGTCCCTAATCTTACATGTCTACGATAAAAACCATCAAAGTCATGGGGTGACTGTAAAGTCCACATTAGTCCCAGATCTGGATTTAAACGTGGACCAGAAGGAGGTCTGAACAATCAAGTAAAAGGAAAGTCCACAAAAACCACTACGTCCAGAATGCACTGTAAAAACTGTAAAAACTGTACAAAGTGTAAAAAGTGCAGTCCTGGTTCAGTCTCTTCAACAGAAGTCTAGACTCTGTGGGTCTAAAATCATTCCAAAGTTAAATCAGGAGCTAAATCTAATAATCTTTAAAGCAGCACTAAACGGTAACAGAACCACAGTTTGAGAAGCACTTCACAGTCACAGCCTCTGCTCTAGTTAGAATCACGTGGTGTTGTAGATTTATAAGTTCTAGTTGTGTATTTTTGTTCCACACTTTTTCTGTCTGTGTAAAATGACACTTAGTCCGTTTAGGATTATTTATCTACAGAAGTTTAAAATGTCATTAAATGGACCATAACGGCACAAATAAGGTGACATGTTTGTGTCAAAGTGCTGCGAGCTGTGTCTGACTAAAGTGCTTTAGATCTTATTCACAATCAGCATTATGTCTACTGTTCATCTGTGCCAAAATGGCTGAGTAAGAACTCATGTTAAAGCTGTTTACATGTTGCACAATGTGTTTTAACGATGTGTTCATGTTTAAACGTGAAGTGCTTGATCCTGTTTCTGCGGCACTTTATTAAAGAGCACCGTCCTTTCAGCAGAGTGTTGGTTCTATTCCCATCTGGTTTATCAAATCTATTCATCATCTGTTCCTCATCTATTCATCATCTATTATTCTGTTCATCATCTGTTCATCATCTATTCATCATCTATTCATCATCTATTCATCATCTATTCATCATCTGTTCATCTATTCATCATCTATTCATCATCTATTCATCATCTGTTCATCATCTATTCATCATCTGTTCATCTATTCATTATCTATTCATCATCTGTTCATCATCTATTCATCATCTATTCATCACCTATTCATCATCTATTCATCACCTATTCATCACCTATTCATCATCTGTTCATCATCTATTCATCATCTATTCATCACCTGTTCATCATCTGTTCATCATCTGTTCATCATCTATTCATCATCTGTTCATCTATTCATTATCTATTCATCATCAGTTCATCATCTGTTCATCATCTATTCATCATCTATTCATCACCTATTCATCACCTATTCATCATCTGTTCATCTATTCATCATCTGTTCATCATCTATTCATCATCTATTCATCATCTGTTCATCATCTGTTCATCATCTATTCATCACCTATTCATCACCTATTCATCATCTGTTCATCTATTCATCATCTGTTCATCATCTATTCATCATCTGTTCATCATCTTTTCATCATCTATTCATCACCTGTTCATCATCTGTTTATCATCTGTTCATCATCTGTTCATCATCTATTCATCATCTATTCATCATCTGTTCATCTATTCATCATTTATTCATCTATTCATCACCTATTCATCATCTGTTCATCATCTGTTCCTCATCTGTTCATTATCTGTTCATCATCTATTCATCATCTATTCATCACCTATTCATCACCTATTCATCATCTGTTCATCATCTGTTCATCATCTGTTCATCTATTCTTCACCTATTCATCACCTATTCATCACCTATTCATCATCTATTCATCACCTATTCATCATCTGTTCATCATCTGTTCATCACCTGTTCATCACCTGTTCATCACCTGTTCATCACCTGTTCATCATCCATCATCTGTTCATCACCTGTTCATCATCTGTTCATCACCTGTTCATCACCTGTCATCACCTGTTCATCACCTGTTCATCACCTGTTCATCATCCATCATCTGTTCATCACCTGTTCATCATCTGTTCATCATCTGTTCATCATCTGTTCATCATCTGTTCATCACCTGTTCATCACCTGTTCATCACCTGTTCATCACCTGTTCATCGCCTGTTCATCACCTGTTCATCATCTGTTCATCACCTGTTTATCATCTGTTTATCACCTGTTCATCACCTGTTCATCATCCATCATCTGTTCATCATCTGTTCATCATCTATTCATCACCTATTCATCATCTATTCATCATTTATTCATCATTTATTCATCATTTATTCATCATTTATTCATCTATTCATCACCTATTCATCATCTGTTCATCATCTGTTCATCACCTGTTAATCTGTTCATCACCTGTTCATCATCCATCATCTGTTCATCACCTGTTCATCACCTGTTCATCATCCATCATCTGTTCATCACCTGTTCATCACCTGTTCATCATCTGTTCATCACCTGTTCATCACCTGTCATCACCTGTTCATCACCTGTTCATCACCTGTTCATCATCCATCATCTGTTCATCACCTGTTCATCATCTGTTCATCATCTGTTCATCATCTGTTCATCATCTGTTCATCACCTGTTCATCACCTGTTCATCACCTGTTCATCGCCTGTTCATCACCTGTTCATCATCTGTTCATCACCTGTTTATCATCTGTTTATCACCTGTTCATCACCTGTTCATCATCCATCATCTGTTCATCATCTGTTCATCATCTATTCATCACCTATTCATCATCTATTCATCATCTATTCATCATTTATTCATCTATTCATCACCTATTCATCATCTGTTCATCATCTGTTCATCACCTGTTAATCTGTTCATCACCTGTTCATCATCCATCATCTGTTCATCACCTGTTCATCATCTGTTCATCATCTGTTCGTCATCTGTTCATCACCTGTTCATCACCTGTTCATTACCTGTTCATTACCTGTTCATCACCTGTTCATTACCTGTTCATCACCTATTCATCATCTGTTCATCACCTGTTCATCACCTGTTAATCTGTTCATCACCTGTTCATCACCTGTTCATCATCCATCATCTGTTCATCACCTGTTCATCATCTGTTCATCATCTGTTCGTCATCTGTTCATCACCTGTTCATCATCTGTTCATCACCTGTTCATCACCTGTTCATCACCTGTTCATCACCTGTTCATCACCTGTTCATCACCTGTTCATCACCTGTTCATCACCTGTTCATCATCTGTTCATCATCTGTTCATCACCTGTTCATCACCTGTTCATCACCTGTTCATCATCCATCATCTGTTCATCACCTGTTCATCATCTGTTCGTCATCTGTTCATCACCTGTTCATCATCTGTTCATCACCTGTTAATCTGTTCATCACCTGTTCATCACCTGTTAATCTGTTCATCACCTGTTAATCTGTTCATCACCTGTTAATCTGTTCATTACCTGTTCATCACCTGTTAATCTGTTCATCATCTGTTCATCACCTGTTCATCACCTGTTAATCTGTTCATCACCTGTTCATCACCTGTTAATCTGTTTATCACCTGTTCATCACCTGTTAATCTGTTCATCATCTGTTCATCACCTGTTCATCACCTGTTAATCTGTTCATCACCTGTTCATCACCTGTTCATCACCTGTTAATCTGTTCATCACCTGTTCATCATCTGTTCATCACCTGTTCATCACCTGTTAATCTGTTCATCACCTGTTAATCTGTTCATCACCTGTTAATCTGTTCATCACCTGTTAATCTGTTCATCACCTGTTAATCTGTTCATCACCTGTTCATCACCTGTTAATCTGTTCATCACCTGTTCATCACCTGTTAATCTGTTCATCACCTGTTCATCATCTGTTCATCACCTGTTCATCACCTGTTAATCTGTTCATCACCTGTTAATCTGTTCATCATCTGTTCATCACCTGTTAATCTGTTCATCACCTGTTCATCACCTGTTAATCTGTTCATCACCTGTTCATCATCTGTTCATCACCTGTTAATCTGTTCATCACCTGTTAATCTGTTCATCACCTGTTAATCTGTTCATCACCTGTTAATCTGTTCATCACCTGTTAATCTGTTCATCACCTGTTAATCTGTTCATCACCTGTTAATCTGTTCATCACCTGTTCATCACCTGTTAATCTGTTCATCACCTGTTAATCTGTTCATCACCTGTTCATCACCTGTTAATCTGTTCATCACCTGTTAATCTGTTCATCACCTGTTAATCTGTTCATCACCTGTTAATCTGTTCATCACCTGTTAATCTGTTCATCACCTGTTAATCTGTTCATCACCTGTTAATCTGTTCATCATCTATTCCTCATCTATTCATCATCTATTCATCATCTATTCATCATCTATTCCTCATTGATACTTAAACAGGACGCAGCCTATTCATGTCTGATTTCATGTATTTTATTATTATTATTGAAAAGTCTTAGATAAAATCTAAATTAAGAATCCAAATAACTTCCACACATGTCCAGGCAGTTCCTTCTGTTTCTATTTTAACTTTTTTAACTTTAAATTTGCTGATATTCTTGCTGCTTATTGTGATTTTCTGCTCAAAGCGAGTGTGCCGGAGCTTCCTGTCCTCTATATTTCCACATTCCTTGTTTATTTAAATATTTCTGAAGCTCACTCTGGGTCATTCTGTCTCTTGTCTTCCCTGATCTTTGGATGGACCTGCCAATCAAATTAGGAGCTGGACGAGGTATTGCTCCTTCCTTTTCCTGTAGGTTCTGTGACTTTACATTTGGACCTGGGATCAGAATGGTTCTGTTTGTGTTTCCGTAGTTGGCCGATGACAGAATGGCCCTGGTGTCTGGGATCAGTCTGGACCCTGAAGCTGCCGTCGGGGTCACCAGGAAACTCCCGCCCAAATGGATCGATGGCGTAGACGAGGTGACAGCTACGTTTTTATTCACTAATTAATTATTGGTCATATTTGTTTTTCAGGAACTTGTAAAATCACCCATAGTGTTTAATTTACTGGGGATTAATCCAATTACTGCCAACTCAAACAGCGGGAACTCAGGCTGGAGGCATATGTTCACAAGCACTGTGCCCCCTATTGTTAATCCTGGTTTAGTCCTGGTTTAGTCCTGGTTTAGTCCCGGTTTAGGTCCTGGTTCAGTCCTGGTTTAGTCCTGGTTTAAGTCCTGGTTTAGTCCTGGTTTAGGTCCTGGTTTAGTCCTGGTTCAGTCCTGGTTTAGTCCTGGTTTAGTCCTGGTTTAGGTCCTGGTTTAGGTCCTGGTTTAGTCCTGGTTCAGTCCTGGTTTAGTCCTGGTTTAAGTCCTGGTTTAAGTCCTGGTTTAGTCCTGGTTTAGGTCCTGGTTCAGTCCTGGTTTAGTCCTGGTTTAAGTCCTGGTTTAGTCCCGGTTTAGGTCCTGGTTTAGTCCTGGTTCAGTCCTGGTTTAGTCCTGGTTTAGGTCCTGGTTTAGGTCCTGGTTTAGTCCTGGTTCAGTCCTGGTTTAGTCCTGGTTTAGTCCTGGTTTAGGTCCTGGTTTAGGTCCTGGTTTAGGTCCTGGTTTAGTCCTGGTTCAGTCCTGGTTTAGTCCTGGTTTAGTCCTGGTTTAGTCCTGGTTTAAGTCCTGGTTTAGTCCTGGTTTAGTCCTGGTTTAGTCCTGGTTTAGTCCTGGTTTAGTCCTGGTTTAGTCCTGGTTTAGTCCTGGTTTAGTCCTGGTTTAGGTCCTGGTTTAGGTCCTGGTTTAGGTCCTGATAGCAGCAGGTGCTTCCCGAGGAAAAAGTGAATCTCTTGCTTTTGCCGCATGAGTCTCTGAGTCCACTGCCTCTGCTGCACACGCCTCTGCTGCACACGCCTCTGCTGCACACGCCTCTGCTGCACACGCCTCTGCTGCACACGCCTCTGCTGCACACGCCTCTGCTGCACACGCCTCTGCTGCACACGCCTCTGCTGCACACGCCTCTGCTGCACACGCCTCTGCTGCACACGCCTCTGCTGCACACGCCTCTGCTGCACACGCCTCTGCTGCACACGCCTCTGCTGCACACGCCTCTGCTGCACACGCCTCTGCTGCCACGCTGTTCCTCACACGGATGTGCAGAACTATTGACACGGCACTGAAACACAATCCATAGATCCATGGACGCTTCACATGGTGCATTGTCCCTGTCTATAAACGGCCTTTAGCATGAGCTAGTTTAGACGTTAGCATTGTCCCTGTCTATAAACAGCCTTTAGCATGAGCTAGTTTAGACGTTAGCATTGTCCCTGTCTATAAACAGCCTTTAGCATGAGCTAGTTTAGACGTTAGCATTGTCCCTGTCTATAAACAGCCTTTAGCATGAGCTAGTTTAGACGTTAGCATTGTCCCTGTCTATAAACAGCCTTTAGCATGAGCTAGTTTAGACGTTAGCATTGTCCCTGTCTATAAACAGCCTTTAGCATGAGCTAGTTTAGACGTTAGCATTGTCCCTGTCTATAAACAGCCTTTAGCATGAGCTAGTTTAGACGTTAGCATGGTCTCATCTGTAAAAGTAATGAAGCCTTCTCGCTCTTTTCCAGATCCAGTACGAGATCTCTCGTGTCGGACACAAGATGAAGGAGCTGGCAGCGCTTCACGACAAACACATGAACCGACCCACTCTGGATGACAGCAGCGAAGAAGAACACGCCATCGAGATCACCACGCAGGAGATCACGCAGGTAACACGCCATAACACGCCAGTAATTGGATTTTCACTACGAGGAAGACGAGAAAGTGAAAACAAATATCTTTAGACGATTGTAGAAGAAAGTCAGTTTACCCAGAATTCCATTTGATCTTCCTTCGTTCAGACAATCATTAATAGTTGGAGTTAAAGATAAAACTAACTTTTGTAAAAATCCTGTCACACTTTGTCATCTCAAGGAACTATGTAAAAATGTCTGACTCTGAGCTGAGAGCTGATTGGCTGCTGAGTGTCTGATTAAAGGGGATGTCTCAGACGGGTTAAAGGGGATGTCTCAGACGGGTTAAAGGGGATGTCTCAGATGGGTTAAAGGGGATGTCTCAGACGGGTTAAAGGGGATGTCTCAGACGGGTTAAAGGGGATGTCTCAGACGGGTTAAAGGGGATGTCTCAGATGGGTTAAAGGGGATGTCTCAGACGGGTTAAAGGGGATGTCTCAGACGGGTTAAAGGGGATGTCTCAGACGGGTTAAAGGGGATGTCTCAGACGGGTTAAAGGGGATGTCTCAGATGGGTTAAAGGGGATGTCTCAGATGGGTTAAAGGGGATGTCTCAGACGAGTTAAAGGGGATGTCTCAGACGGGTTAAAGGGGATGTCTCAGATGGGTTAAAGGGGATGTCTCAGACGGGTTAAAGGGGATGTCTCAGACGGGTTAAAGGGGATGTCTCAGACGGGTTAAAGGGGATGTCTCAGATGGGTTAAAGGGGATGTCTCAGACGGGTTAAAGGGGATGTCTCAGACGGGTTAAAGGGGATGTCTCAGATGGGTTAAAGGGGATGTCTCAGACGGGTTAAAGGGGATGTCTCAGACGGGTTAAAGGGGATGTCTCAGACGGGTTAAAGGGGATGTCTCAGACGGGTTAAAGGGGATGTCTCAGACGGGTTAAAGGGGATGTCTCAGACGGGTTAAAGGGGATGTCTCAGATGGGTTAAAGGGGATGTCTCAGACGGGTTAAAGGGGATGTCTCAGATGGGTTAAAGGGGATGTCTCAGATGGGTTAAAGGGGATGTCTCAGATGGGTTAAAGGGGATGTCCTGTGCAGATGTTCCACCGGTGTCAGCGGGCCGTCACGGGTCTTCAGTCTCGTTGCGGTCACTGCACTGAGCAGGAGGAGAGGCTGCTCCGGAACGTGGTCTCGTCTCTGGCCCAGAGTCTCCAGGACCTGTCCACAAACTTCAGACACACTCAGTCCGGATACTTAAAAAGTACTACACTTTCTGCTCACTCTTCTGGAAGTTACTTAACCAAGTGCCATATTACTGAAATCTTATTTTGTTTTCTGCAGGAATGAAGAACCGAGAGGAGCGATCTAAGCACTTTTTTGACGCTGGCCCTTTAATGGAGGAAGACGAGGATTTAGCAATTTATGAAAGAGTGAGTTTTGTAACATGAGGATAAACTAAAACTGAACTTTATCCATAAAGTGTTTCAAAGACATGTTTCTGTGTCGTCTGGCCAACAGTGGTACTGCAGCCTCTCCCACTCTCCCTGACTCAGGTTGCCAGATATGCAGACGAATCCAGCTGGGACCATAACAGCTGAATAGACAAGAGTTTTGTCAACAACAAATCTATAACCAACACCTTTTTCACAAAGATAGAAATCCTGGTTTTATTCCTTGTTTTGTCGTTAATGATTTGAGAATCATAACGAGACCTTTTTTAGTTCTGCGCCACATGGTACTTTACCAGTGAGATTAGCTCCACATGGTACTTTACCAGTGAGATTAGCTCCACGCGGTGAGTTCTGGCGCCCGGATCACAGACTTTCTGATTGGTGAAACGGTGGAGGGCGGGACATCGAAATGAAAACAATAACAAGATTTAGAGGCTGGAAAAGTAATTCTCATGTCCTCTGTCCTCCTCTCTCCTCTCTCCTCTCTCCTCTCTCCTCTCTCCTCTCTCCTCTCTCCTATCTCCTATATCCTATCTCCTATCTCCTATCTCCTATCTCCTATCTCCTATCTCCGATCTCCGATCTCCTATCTCCTATCTCCTATCTCCTCTCTCCTCTCTCCTCTCTCCTCTCTCCTATCTCCTATCTCCTATCTCCTATCTCCTATCTCCTATCTCCTATCTCCTATCTCCTATCTCCTCTCTCCTCTCTCCTCTGTCCTCTGTCCTCTCTCTCCTCTCTCTCCTCTGTCCTCTCTCCTCTCTCCTCTCTCCTCTCTCCTCTCTCCTCTGTCCTCTCTCCTCTCTCCTCTCTCCTCTCTCCTCTCTCCTCTCTCCTCCTCTCTCCTCTGTCCTCTCTCCTCTCTCCTCTGTCCTCTCTCCTCTCTCCTCTCTCCTCTCTCCTCTGTCCTCTCTCCTCTGTCCTCTCCTCCCCTCTCCTCTCCTCCCCTCTCCTCCCCTCTCCTCTCTCCTCTGTCCTCTCTCCTCTGTCCTCTCTCCTCTGTCCTCTGTCCTCTCTCCTCTCTCCTCTGTCCTCTGTCCTCTCTCTCCTCTCTCCTCTCTCCTCTCTCCTCTCTCCTCTGTCCTCTCTCCTCTCTCCTCTCTCCTCTGTCCTCTCTCCTCTCTCCTCTCTCCTCTCCTCTCTCCTCTCTCCTCTGTCCTCTCTCCTCTGTCCTCTGTCCTCTCTCCTCTCTCCTCTCTCCTCTGTCCCAGGGCTTCACAGACGATCAGCTGATGTTGGTGGAGCAGAACTCGGTGTCGGTTCAGGAGCGAGAGAGAGAGATCCGGAACATTGTTCAGTCCATCTCAGATCTGAACGAGATCTTCAGAGATCTGGCCACGATGGTGGTGGAGCAGGTGAGGAGCATAACATATTTATATATACTGTACATTAGGGCTGCACGATGTATCGAAAAAATATTGTTATGGCGATATTAGTGCGTGCAATATCCACATCGAAAATATGCGCAATAAAAAAATAAACAGACACATTAACAAGAACAACAAACAAACAAAGTATATAAAAATATGAAGAGTCACAATCACAGCGTAAACAACAACAACCGCAGGGAACGAAGGAACAGCAGCAGGAAAAGAACAGAGGATGATGATGATGATGATGATGATGATTTTCATGTCATTTTCACAGTTTTACTTCTTGATCAAAATGGATTTATAGCATTTAAGCATAATTTCCAATATCGTGCAGCCATACTGTGTATATATATATATATATATACAGTGCCTTGCGCAAGTATTCGCCCCCTTGAACCTTTCAACATTTCGCCACATTTCAGTCTTCAAACATAAAGATATAACATTTTATTTTTTTGTCATGAATCAACAACAAGTGGGACACAATCGTGAAGTGGAACGAAATTTATTGGATAATTTAAACTTTTTTAACAAAACAAAAACTGAAAAGTGGGGCGTGCAATATTATTGGGCCCCTTTACTTTCAGTGCAGCAAACTCAGTCCAGAAGTTCAGTGAGGATCTTTGAATGATCCAATGTTGTCCTAAATGACTGATGATGATAAATAGAATGCACCTGTGTGTAATCAAGTCTCCGTATAAATGCACCTGCTCTTTGATAGTCTTATCTGCAGTTCATCCAGAGTGATCATGGGCCTCTTGGCTGCATCTCTGATCAGTCTTCTCCTTGTTTGAGATGAAAGTTTGGAGGGACGGCCGGGTCTTGGTAGATTTGCAGTGGTCTGATACTCCTTCCATTTCAATATAATTGCTTGCACAGTGCTCCTTTAACCTGGCAAAAGCCAGATTGATGATTGTGTAGAACTCTAACGCGTTCTCCTCGATATCAATCTGGGATTTCTCCCGGAGAATCCTTTCGGGGAAAGGAGGGGTAAGCAGCAGAATACTTGAAGCTGATTGGGCGAAGTGACGCTGTGTGCCCGCCTACCAAGGTTGCCGTCCAGAAATGTACAAAGCGCCTCTCGCTGTTCATCTTTCAAAAAAGAAATTGGAGATTCTGCTAAAATTGACTTTGCGTCCGTCCCATGTTTGTTTTGCTTCGGCCCGGCACTTCTTGCTTTCGTCAAACCCGGATATCCCGCCCTAAACCCCCAGACTGGCGCGTGATTGGCTCGCACACCCAGTGGTTCGACTCGAAAAGTGTAAGCGGGAGCGGTACAAGATGTATTCTCGAGTGTTTGTGAACTCACAAATACCGCGAGAATTCAGCTTGCAGGCAAGGTTAGTGCTCCTTGAGATGTTTAAAGCTTGGGAAATCTTTTTGTATCCAAATCCGGCTTTAAACTTCTCCACAACAGTATCTCGGACCTGCCTGGTGTGTTCCTTTGTCTTCATGGTTCTCTCTGTGCTTTAAACAGAACCCTGAGACTATCAAAGAGCAGGAGGCTGCTCTCTGAGTGTGAGCATAGCCTTGATCTTTCAGTGGGGGCTTTGGGCAAAGTGGGGTTAAGTGTCTTGCCCAAGGACACAACGACAGCAGTCATCAGTGGGAGTCTGTGGAGAAGGTGTAGAGGTGGGAATTGAACCCACGACCTTCAGGCCTGAAGGCCAATGCTCTACCAACTGAGCTACTGTCGCTCGTATAATATAATATAATATATTTATTTATGTATGTATGTATATAAATCCGGGTGATGATAGTAAATGGTACTTTGAGAGATTTAAAAACTTCTTCTTCTGTTTTAGGGAACAGTCCTGGACAGAATCGACTTCAACGTGGAACAAGCGTGTGTCAAAACAGACGAAGGCTTAAAACAGTTACAGAAGGTAACACCAGTGTTTGTTCCAGCGCTGGTCTGATGTTTCTGGTGTTTGTTCCAGCGCTGGTCTGATGTTTCTGGTGTTTGTTCCAGCGCTGGTCTGATGTTTCTGGTGTTTGTTCCAGCGCTGGTCTGATGTTTCTGGTGTTTGTCTGTTTCAGGCCGAGCAGCACCAGAAGAAGAACAGGAAGATGTTGGTTATCTTGATCCTGTTCGTCATCGTGGTCGTGTTGATACTGATCCTGTTTTGGACTAAATTCTAATCATGGCGCCGCCGTTCTGTCCGTGTGGCGCCGCCGTTCTGTCCGTGTGGCGCCGCCGTTCTGTCGTGTGGCGCCGCCATTCTGTCCGTGTGGCGCCGCCGTCTGTCCGTGTGGCGCCGCCGTTCTGTCGTGTGGCGCCGCCGTTCTGTCCGTGTGGGCGCCGCCGTTCTGTCCGTGTGGCGCCGCCGTTCTGTCGTGTGGCGCCGCCGTTCTGTCCGTGTGGCGCCGCCGTTCTGTCGTGTGGCGCCGCCGTTCTGTCCGTGTGGCGCCGCCGTTCTGTCCGTGTGGCGCCGCCGTTCTGTCGTGTGGCGCCGCCGTTCTGTCCGTGTGGCGCCGCCGTTCTGTCGTGTGGCGCCGCCGTTCTGTCGTGTGGCGCCGCCGTTCTGTCCGTGTGGCGCCGCCGTTCTGTCGTGTGGCGCCGCCGTTCTGTCCGTGTGGCGCCGCCGTTCTGTCGTGTGGCGCCGCCGTTCTGTCGTGTTGGTTTGTGGTGCTTCTGTGTGATTCTATTGAAGGAAAACTTTATCAACCAGAAACTTCCCACGTTCCCACGAAGCATCGAGACCTTTTCTGTTTCAAAGACGGAGAGAGTCGTGTCTGAATCCACGGCCCAGGACTAAATTATAGCTTTAGTTTCTGCTGAAAAACTGTTTTCATTCTAAAGGAGCTGTACTTGAGATTTTATTCCACCTTTTCTTGTAAATTGTTTTTGTCAAATCATCTCCATCCTCCTCCTTTGCTCTTCTTCCTCTGCTCCTCCTCCTTTGCTCTTCTTCCTCTGCTCCTCCTTTGCTCTTCTTCCTCTGCTCCTCTTCCTGTGCTCCACCTCCTCTGCTCCTCTTCCTCTGCTCCTCTTCCTCTGCTCCTCTTCCTCTGCTCCTCCTCCTCTGCTCCTCTTCCTCTGCTCCTCCTCCTCTGCTCCTCTTCCTCTGCTCCTCTTCCTCTGCTCCTCCTCCTCTGCTCCTCTTCCTCTGCTCCTCTTCCTCTGCTCCTCCTCCTCTGCTCCTCTTCCTCTGCTCCTCTTCCTCTGCTCCTCCTCCTCTGCTCCTCTTCCCATGCTCCTCCTCCTCTGCTCCTCCTCCTCTGCTCCTCTTCCTCTGCTCCTCTTCCTCTGCTCCTCCTCCTCTTCTCCTGCTCCTCTGCTCCTCCTCCTCTGCTCCTCCTCCTCTGCTCCTCTTCCTCTGCTCCTCTTCCTCTGCTCCTCTGCTCCTCTTCCTCTGCTCCTCTTCCTCTGCTCCTCTGCTCCTCCTCCTCTGCTCCTCTTCTTCTGCTCCTGTCTGCCAACGGCTTCATCTCAGACACTTGGAGCCTGAAGGGACTCCAGTGTAACGCTTCTGTCCATGTTTGATGTTGACAGTAATGAAAGAGCTCCATCTGGTGGTAGAAGATGGAAAGACTGACTTCTTTTCTCCTTAGCTCCATTTTTCTCACATTTTTCCACGGTTTTCACAAAGCTGTAAATCCAGGCACAGCTCCTTTGTGAACGTTTGGAGTTTTATGGATTAGAATCGTCTGTGTTTTTGATTTATCAAAGCATCATGATGTGGAGGACCAGCTTTGATCTGTGCTGCTCTAAAGATTATCCGAGACCAAGCGTCTGAAAGAGAAAGTATCCAGTCCTTGGAGGGCGCCCCCTGGTGTTGGTCCTTTGAACTTCTTGCAGTTTGCACATTGATGAGATATGGATGTAATACTACTGTCTTTATAAAACTATTTATTTTGTTGAAGTGTGAGGTCGTAGAGAAAGTGTGACGTCAGGTTCTTTCAGCCGCAGAGCCACGTCAGACACTTTTATTCTATTTAAGGAGATCCAGATCCTGAAGAGACGGAACATGACTCTGGCCCTTTATCACCTAAAACACAACATATAAACTTAATACTTTAAGGTTTTCAAAGTAAATGAAGGACATTAATCTCCTCTTTTCTCATTTACCTGATTTAAAACTCTTTGGTACCAATGTTTGTCAAAATCTAAATGTGTAAAACCTCAGTCTAAAGATGGCTCTGGTCACATAAACATAATGTCTGTGGGTTTGGATTAGACCGTCTTCAGACCCTCCAGAGACTGACCAAAACCTCCCTTCATCATGGTCCGATGGACCAGACCATGACAGTCCGTGACGTGGACGAGGCGTTTGAATCATTGTCTTTGATGTGAAGAGTCTGGAACAAACTGAGAAGATCGTTTAAATAAACCCAGAGTCTGAGCGTCACTGGTTTGAGAAACTCAAGGTCAAAGAACCGCTGTCATAAAAGTGTAAGTTATTAAAGAGAAAATAATAAATATATCTGTGAATGTGGATACGACCGACAACAGAGCACAGGTACGCTGCAGACGTAGAGGAGAGCACAGGTACGCTGCAGACGTAGAGGAGAGCACAGGTACGCTGCAGACGTAGAGGAGAGCACAGGTACGCTGCAGACGTAGAGGAGAGCACAGGTACACTGCACAGGTACGCTGCAGACGTAGAGGAGAGCACAGGTACACTGCACAGGTACGCTGCAGATGTAGAGGAGAGCACAGGTACGCTGCAGACGTAGAGGAGAGCACAGGTACGCTGCAGACGTAGAGGAGAGCACAGGTACGCTGCAGACGTACAGGAGAGCACAGGTACGCTGCAGACATAGAGGAGAGCACAGGTACGCTGCAGACGTAGAGGAGAGCACAGGTACGCTGCAGACAAAGATGATGCATCGAGAGGTTTATGGTTTCATATGAATGGGTTGAAGGGTCTAAAGCTGAGGAGCGTAAACGGCTGTTACACGGTGGGTGATGAAGGGGATGAAGGTGATGAAGGGGATGAAGGGGAGGAAGGTGATGAAGGGGATGAAGGTGATGAAGGGGATGAAAGTGATGAAGGGGATGAAAGTGATGAATGGGATGAAGGTGAGGAAGGGGAGGAAGGGGATGAAGGTGAGGAAGGGGAGGAAGGGGATGAAGGGGAGGAAGGGGAGGAAGGGGATGAAGGTGAGGAAGGGGAGGAAGGGGATGAAGGGGAGGAAGGGGATGAAGGTGAGGAAGGGGAGGAAGGTGATGAAGGTGAGGAAGGGGATGAAGGTGAGGAAGGTGATGAAGGGGATGAAGGTGAGGAAGGGGAGGAAGGGGATGAAGGTGATGAAGGTGAGGAAGGGGATGAAGGTGAGGAAGGGGATGAAGGTGATGAAGGTGAGGAAGGGGATGAAGGTGAGGAAGGGGATGAAGGTGATGAAGGTGAGGAAGGGGATGAAGGTGAGGAAGGGGAGGAAGGTGATGAAGGGGATGAAAGTGATGAAGGGGATGAAGGTGAGGAAGGGGAGGAAGGGGATGAAGGTGAGGAAGGGGAGGAAGGGGATGAGGTGATGAAGGTGAGGAAGGGGATGAAGGTGAGGAAGGGGATGAAGGTGATGAAGGTGAGGAAGGGGATGAAGGTGAGGAAGGGGATGAAGGTGATGAAGGTGAGGAAGGGGATGAAGGTGAGGAAGGGGATGAAGGTGATGAAGGTGAGGAAGGGGATGAAGGTGAGGAAGGGGATGAAGGTGATGAAGGTGAGGAAGGGGATGAAAGTGATGAAGGGGAGGAAGGTGATGAAGGGGATGAAGGTGATGAATGGGATGAAGGGGAGGAAGGGGATGAAGGTGAGGAAGGGGAGGAAGGGGATGAAGGTGAGGAAGGGGAGGAAGGGGATGAAGGTGATGAAGGTGAGGAAGGGGATGAAGGTGAGGAAGGTGATGAAGGGGATGAAGGTGATGAAGGGGATGAAGGTGAGGAAGGGGAGGAAGGGGATGAAGGTGATGAAGGTGAGGAAGGGGATGAAGGTGAGGAAGGGGAGGAAGGGGATGAAGGTGATGAAGGTGAGGAAGGGGATGAAGGTGAGGAAGGGGATGAAGGTGATGAAGGTGAGGAAGGGGATGAAGGTGAGGAAGGGGATGAAGGTGATGAAGGTGAGGAAGGGGATGAAGGTGAGGAAGGGGATGAAGGTGATGAAGGTGAGGAAGGGGATGAAAGTGATGAAGGGGAGGAAGGTGATGAAGGGGATGAAGGTGATGAATGGGATGAAGGGGAGGAAGGGGATGAAGGTGATGAAGGTGAGGAAGGGGATGAAGGTGAGGAAGGGGATGAAGGTGATGAAGGTGAGGAAGGGGATGAAGGTGAGGAAGGTGATGAAGGTGAGGAAGGGGAGGAAGGTGATGAAGGGGATGAAAGTGATGAAGGGGATGAAGGTGAGGAAGGGGAGGAAGGGGATGAAGGTGAGGAAGGGGAGGAAGGTGATGAAGGGGATGAAGGTGATGAAGGGGATGAAGGTGAGGAAGGGGAGGAAGGGGATGAAGGTGAGGAAGGGGAGGAAGGGGATGAAGGTGATGAAGGTGAGGAAGGGGATGAAGGTGAGGAAGGGGATGAAGGTGATGAAGGTGAGGAAGGGGATGAAGGTGAGGAAGGGGATGAAGGTGATGAAGGTGAGGAAGGGGATGAAGGTGATGAAGGTGAGGAAGGGGATGAAGGTGAGGAAGGGGAGGAAGGTGATGAAGGGGATGAAAGTGATGAAGGGGATGAAGGTGAGGAAGGGGAGGAAGGGGATGAAGGTGAGGAAGGGGAGGAAGGTGATGAAGGGGATGAAAGTGATGAAGGGGATGAAGGTGAGGAAGGGGAGGAAGGGGATGAAGGTGAGGAAGGGGAGGAAGGGGATGAAGGTGATGAAGGTGAGGAAGGGGATGAAGGTGAGGAAGGGGATGAAGGTGATGAAGGTGAGGAAGGGGATGAAGGTGAGGAAGGGGAGGAAGGGGATGAAGGTGATGAAGGTGAGGAAGGGGATGAAGGTGAGGAAGGGGATGAAGGTGAGGAAGGGGATGAAGGTGATGAAGGTGAGGAAGGGGATGAAGGTGAGGAAGGGGATGAAGGTGAGGAAGGGGATGAAGGTGATGAAGGTGAGGAAGGGGATGAAGGTGATAGAAATAGCCTGTTAGACTCACAGACACTGGTAATGAATGAGTGGAGTTACAACCACAGCCCACAAGGGGGTGCTCTAACTACAGATGAGAAACTAACTCTAAAGCTTTAACAGAGAAAGATAAATGTCTAAACTATACACGCTGGAAATAAAGGTAAATACTTTGAACAACATTAAAAACACAAAACTCACGTCGCACAGACGCACACAGCTCTGGACACGGGAGGCCCCTGGGAACTACAACCCTAACAGGTGCATGATGGGAAATGTAGTGACGGTCTTTTAAGCATGTGAAGAAGCTCGCCTCTCACAGATCTGACCTGTCCTAAACTTATACATTTTATGAATCTTCTTTCCTTATACCATGTTGTGTCTGGATTATGACACTTTTACAGGTATCAGAAAATGCGTAAGAAACTTCTACTTTTGTTTATATTTTTGGTCAACCCGGAAACGTAGCGTTCATACTTTTCAAACTAAAACCAAGGCACTTTTTACACATGATATAATCCATAACGACCCAGAAACAGTCCAGAGCCAGTGGATTCAGCAGGAAACCTTTGGATTTATATGTTTTTATAAAGCTTTGCTTTGACAGAACTGAGCGTGTGACCTGGAAACAGTTCTTTACAGTCTATGGTCAGACCTGAGGCTGTTTACACCAGACATGGAAGAAGAAACAGAAAACCCAGAAAACCCATTTCCAGCAGAAGTTTGTCTTTTTGAAGAGACTTTCTCCAACGACAGTGTTTACAGAGTGGGAGGACAGGACCTGCTCATCAGGCAGAGGTTCGGGGGAGACCTGGGGGTCTCTGCAGCAGTCTGGGACTCGGTAGACATATAAATATACATTATACATATATACATATATATACATACATATATATATATATATACACATATATATATATTTATTATATGACTTGGACCGTACGCGTGCTCTGATTGGTTGATTTGCGGTCTGATATTTTCCCATCTCGGACCGTTACCATGACAATCTGTCCGTATCACACAAAACCAAGTCGGACATGAACATACTTCACAAATATCTCAAAAGCATTGGACACAGACGAGAGTCATATAATAAAACATTTATTAACCTCGCCACGACTCGGTCTGTGCATTAAGGCTCGGTCTGTTCATTAAGGCTCGGTCTGTGCATTAAGGCTCGGTCTGTGCATTAAGGCTCGGTCTGTGCATTAAGGCTCGGTCTGTGCATTAAGGCTCGGTCTGTACATTAAGGCTCGGTCTGAGCATTAAGGCTCGGTCTGTACATTAAGGCTCGGTCTGAGCATTAAGGCTCGGTCTGTGCATTAAGGCTCGGTCTGTGCATTAAGGCTCGGTCTGTGCATTAAGGCTCGGTCTGTACATTAAGGCTCGGTCTGTACATTAAGGCTCGGTCTGTACATTAAGGCTCGGTCTGTGCATTAAGGCTCGGTCTGTGCATTAAGGCTCGGTCTGTGCATTAAGGCTCAGTCTGTGCATTAAGGCTCGGTCTGTACATTAAGGCTCGGTCTGTGCATTAAGGCTCGGTCTGTGCATTAAGGCTCGGTCTGTGCATTAAGGCTCGGTCTGAGCATTAAGGCTCGGTCTGTACATTAAGGCTCTGTCTGTGCATTAAGGCTCGGTCTGTGCATTAAGGCTCGGTCTGTGCATTAAGGCTCGGTCTGTGCATTAAGGCTCTGTCTGTGCATTAAGGCTCGGTCTGTGCATTAAGGCTCGGTCTGAGCATTAAGGCTCGGTCTGTACATTAAGGCTCGGTCTGAGCATTAAGGCTCGGTCTGTGCATTAAGGCTCTGTCTGTGCATTAAGGCTCGGTCTGTGCATTAAGGCTCGGTCTGAGCATTAAGGCTCGGTCTGAGCATTAAGGCTCGGTCTGTGCATTAAGGCTCACTCTGTGCATTAAGGCTCGGTCTGTGCATTAAGGCTCGGTCTGTACATTAAGGCTCGGTCTGTGCATTAAGGCTCGGTCTGTGCATTAAGGCTCGGTCTGTGCATTAAGGCTCGGTCTGTGCATTAAGGCTCGGTCTGTACATTAAGGCTCGGTCTGTACATTAAGGCTCGGTCTGTACATTAAGGCTCGGTCTGTGCATTAAGGCTCGGTCTGTACATTAAGGCTCGGTCTGTGCATTAAGGCTCGGTCTGTGCATTAAGGCTCTGTCTGTGCATTAAGGCTCGGTCTGTGCATTAAGGCTCGGTCTGAGCATTAAGGCTCGGTCTGAGCATTAAGGCTCGGTCTGTGCATTAAGGCTCACTCTGTGCATTAAGGCTCGGTCTGTGCATTAAGGCTCGGTCTGTGTATTAAGGCTCGGTCTGTACATTAAGGCTCGGTCTGTACATTAAGGCTCGGTCTGTGCATTAAGGCTCGGTCTGTACATTAAGGCTCGGTCTGTACATTAAGGCTCGGTCTGTACATTAAGGCTCGGTCTGTGCATTAAGGCTCGGTCTGTACATTAAGGCTCGGTCTGTGCATTAAGGCTCGGTCTGTGCATTAAGGCTCAGTCTGTGCATTAAGGCTCGGTCTGTGCATTAAGGCTCAGTCTGTGCATTAAGGCTCGGTCTGTGCATTAAGGCTCAGTCTGTGCATTAAGGCTCGGTCTGTACATTAAGGCTCGGTCTGTGCATTAAGGCTCGGTCTGTACATTAAGGCTCGGTCTGTGCATTAAGGCTCGGTCTGTACATTAAGGCTCGGTCTGTGCATTAAGGCTCAGTCTGTGCATTAAGGCTCAGTCTGTGCATTAAGGCTCGGTCTGTGCATTAAGGCTCGGTCTGTACATTAAGGCTCGGTCTGTGCATTAAGGCTCGGTCTGTGCATTAAGGCTCGGTCTGTACATTAAGGCTCGGTCTGTGCATTAAGGCTCGGTCTGTACATTAAGGCTCGGTCTGTGCATTAAGGCTCAGTCTGTGCATTAAGGCTCGGTCTGTGCATTAAGGCTCGGTCTGTGCATTAAGGCTCGGTCTGTGCATTAAGGCTCAGTCTGTGCATTAAGGCTCGGTCTGTACATTAAGGCTCGGTCTGTGTATTAAGGCTCGGTCTGTGCATTAAGGCTCGGTCTGTACATTAAGGCTCGGTCTGTGCATTAAGGCTCGGTCTGTGCATTAAGGCTCGGTCTGTGCATTAAGGCTCGGTCTGTGCATTAAGGCTCGGTCTGTACATTAAGGCTCGGTCTGTACATTAAGGCTCGGTCTGAGCATTAAGGCTCGGTCTGTGCATTAAGGCTCGGTCTGTACATTAAGGCTCGGTCTGTACATTAAGGCTCGGTCTGTACATTAAGGCTCGGTCTGTACATTAAGGCTCGGTCTGTGCATTAAGGCTCGGTCTGTACATTAAGGCTCGGTCTGAGCATTAAGGCTCGGTCTGTGCATTAAGGCTCGGTCTGTACATTAAGGCTCGGTCTGTGCATTAAGGCTCGGTCTGTACATTAAGGCTCGGTCTGTACATTAAGGCTCAGTCTGTGCATTAAGGCTCGGTCTGTGCATTAAGGCTCGGTCTGTACATTAAGGCTCGGTCTGTGCATTAAGGCTCGGTCTGTGCATTAAGGCTCGGTCTGTACATTAAGGCTCGGTCTGTACATTAAGGCTCGGTCTGAGCATTAAGGCTCGGTCTGTGCATTAAGGCTCGGTCTGTGCATTAAGGCTCGGTCTGTGCATTAAGGCTCGGTCTGTGCATTAAGGCTCGGTCTGTGCATTAAGGCTCGGTCTGAGCATTAAGGCTCGGTCTGTGCATTAAGGCTCGGTCTGTGCATTAAGGCTCGGTCTGAGCATTAAGGCTCGGTCTGTACATTAAGGCTCGGTCTGTGCATTAAGGCTCGGTCTGTACATTAAGGCTCGGTCTGTACGTTAAGGCTCGGTCTGTACATTAAGGCTCAGTCTGATAGACCTCGCGCTCGGTTAATAAGCCGTTAATATATATGTATATATATGTGTCTGTATTTACAGTATATACTTGTGTCTTATTGTACCTGTTCTGTGGTTCTGAGGCTGTACAGTTGAGTGAGTTCCTGCAGAGTTTGGAGCTAAAAGGAAAACGAGTGATTGAACTGGGATCTGGAACTGGACTGGTGGGAATCTGTGCTGCACGCCTGGGTACGTATGGTCCTACCCATGGTCCTACCCATGGTCCTACCCATGGTCCTACCCATGGTCCTACCCATGGTCCTACCCATGGTCTTGTGTTGGTTCCAGATCAGTGCATCTCTAACTAATGTAATAATAATAATAATAATAATAATAATAATGTTAGTGTCAGGGATGAAGCAGACAGAGACGGATCGTGGTGAAACTCTGGAAGTTTATTTAAGTTTCTCTCAAGTTCCAATGGTTTCTTTTGTTTCTTTCTCTCAGACAGAATAAAGGCAGTACACAGTTTATATAGTCATTGTCACGTCACACATGGAAAGACATACGTGTCACAAAGAGACAGTCACATCAGAGTCATAACATGGAGTCATCAGAGTCTGCGTACAGTCCTGCAGTTTGGCCAAATCACTCTCTAATCCTAACAATAGTAACAATAGTAACAATAACAATAATATTAATAATAATAATAAAGCGTTGCTCTGTGGTTCCAGGCGCAGCCGTGACCCTCACAGACCTGCCCCGGGTCCTGCCTCAGCTGCAGCATAATGTGAGTGCTAATGCGCCCCCTGGTGGCTGGAGGCTGACCCCCGCAGTGCGGCCTCTGTCCTGGGGTGAGGACCAGCATGTGTTCCCCCCGCAGTGGGACCTGGTGCTGGGGGCAGACATCGTGTACCTCCCCCACACGTTCCCGTCTCTGCTGGACACGCTGCTGCACCTCTGCGGCCGCTCCACGCTGCTCCTGCTCTGCTCCAAGATGAGACGCGAACACATGACGCACACGTTTTATGATCAGTACCTGCGGCGAGAGTTCCAGGTGGAGCTGCTGCGGCAAGACCCAGAGCAGAACATCAACATCTACACGGCTGCTCTGTGGACCTAGAGCAGAACATCAACATCTACACGGCTGCTCTGTGGACCTAGAGCAGAACATCAACATCTACACGGCTGCTCTGTGGACCTAGAGCAGAAGGATCGACAGTTTCTAAACAGTTAGAACCAGAAAATATGGAACAAAAGGAAGATTTTGGTTTTTATTTTGGTGCATTCTTGAGTTTCTCAATAATGTTGTTTGTCCTCGAGAAGCGTCTGAGTCAGAGAGAAGTGGGTTAGTTTAGGTCCTGCTGTGGTCCTGCTGCGGTCCTGCTGCCGTCCTGCTGCGGTCCTGCTCTGGTCCTGCTGTGGTCCTGCTGTGGTCCTGCTCTGGTCCTGCTGCGGTCCTGCTGTGGTCCTGCTCTGGTCCTGCTGCGGTCCTGCTGCGGTCCTGCTCTGGTCCTGCTCTGGTCCTGCTGCGGTCCTGCTGCGGTCCTGCTGAGGTCCTGCTGCGGTCCTGCTGCGGTCCTGCTGCGGTCCTGCTGTGGTCCTGCTGCGGTCCTGCTGTGGTCCTGCTGTGGTCCTGCGGAACTGATTTACATTAAAATGGTGTTTTAGTTGATTTTTAAAAGAGCTGTATGTTGGGCATTCTCTTACAGTGTACTTTAGTACTCATAGTGACCAGTAACAGACACCATCAAACCTATACTTTAGTACTCATAGTGACCAGTAACAGAGACCATCAAACCTATACTTTAGTACTCATAGTGACCAGTAACAGACACCATCAAACCTACAGTACGTCTGTAGGGCGGTGGTTCCAACACTGACCTCTGACCGGCAGCGGTGGAGCGCTCTCCACATCTGCAGATCTCATGGAGTCAGGTTCATTTAGTTTATTTATTTGTGAATATTTAATTGTTTGTTTGTGTTTAAACATTTGATTAAACTTTTAAACTGAGTCTGTTTCATTCACTTTTTATCGATTCACAAACAGTGTTACACGAACCTGCACGTTGTGTCCTTAGGCAAGACACGTCCCCCTCAGCAGGAGTCTGGTGTGTGGAGGTTTCAGAGACACTCAGGACTCGCTGCTGTTTCCAGAACGTTCTAAACCGCTTCATGGCTCTGATGGCACAGGTTCTGGAGCGGGACCGGAGGACTTGGTCTGATTCTGGTCCTGGTTCTGGTCTTGGGTGGGACCAGGACGATACCAACCATTGAAAGTTGCTGATGGTGACGTTGCTGCTGGAGCCAAAGCCCGGTCCAAAGCCCGGTCCAAAGCCAGGTCCAAAGCCGGTCCTTTCAGTCGCTGCTGATCACAGGTTTCTGTTCAGAGGAAAATCCTGTTTGTTCCGCTGCAGGGGTTTGAAGAAAGAGGAGCTCGGGCCTGATCCCTGCTCCCTCTGCATCAGCTACACACAGCTCTCTCTCTGTGTTAGTGTGTGTGTGTGTGTTAGTGTGTGTGTGTGTTAGAGACATCGTTAATAACAGTGTTAATGACAGTGTTAATAACAGTGTTCATGACAGTGTTCATGACAGTGTTAATGACAGTGTTAATAACAGTGTTCATGACAGTGTGCATGACAGTGTGCATGACAGTGTTCATGACAGTGTTCATGACAGTGTTCATGACAGTGTTCATGGCAATGTTCATGACAGTGTGCATGACAGTGTTAATAACAGTGTTAATAACAGTGTTCATGACAGTGTTCATGACAGTGTGCATGACAGTGTTCATGACAGTGTGCATGACAGTGTTCATGACAGTGTGCATGACAGTGTTCATGACAGTGTTCATGACAGTGTTCATGACAGTGTTCATGACAGTGTTCATGACAGTGTTCATGACAGTGTTCATGGCAGTGTTCATGGCAGTGTTCATGGCATTGTTCATGACAGTGTTAATGACAGTGTTAATAATAGTGTTCATGACAGTGTTCATGCAGTGTTCATGACAGTGTTCATGACAGTGTTAATGACAGTGTTCATGACAGTGTTAATAACAGTGTTCATGACAGTGTTCATGACAGTGTTCATGACAGTCCAGGGGGAGTATCTCTCGCAGCTCTTTAAACGTGGCTTATCTCCAACAACAACAGAAGCAGCGGCGCCGCTCGCTCTGACGGTATTTACTCCTCATCACTTTGTTCTATATATATATATATATAACTAATTATATATATATATATATATATATATATATAATCTAAATGTATATGCTTGATCTGGAGCAGTGCAGATGGACCGTTGGACGCTCAGACCTCGGCACAGACAGCTCCACACTCTTCACTCTCGGAGCCTCACACAACAGTAGGTTCTGATGTTATTTACTTTAACAACAGTAGGTTCTGATGTTATTTACTTCAACAGCAGTAGGTTCTGATGTTATTTACTTTAACAACAGTAGGTTCTGATGTTATTTACTTTAACAACAGTAGGTTCTGATGTTATTTACTTTAACAGCAGTAGGTTCTGATGTTATTTACTTTAACAACAGTAGGTTCTGATGTTATTTACTTTAACAACAGTAGGTTCTGATGTTATTTACTTTAACAGCAGTAGGTTCTGATGTTATTTACTTTAACAACAGTAGGTTCTGATGTTATTTACTTTAACAACAGTAGGTTCTGATGTTATTTACTTTAACAACAGTAGGTTCTAATGTTATTTACTTTAACAACAGTAGGTTCTGATGTTATTTACTTTAACAGTAGGTTCTGATGTTATTTACTTTAACAGCAGTAGGTTCTGATGTTATTTACTTTAACAGCAGTAGGTTCTGATGTTATTTACTTTAACAACAGTAGGTTCTGATGTTATTTACTTTAACAGCAGTAGGTTCTGATGTTATTTACTTTAACAACAGTAGGTTCTGATGTTATTTACTTTAACAACAGTAGGTTCTGATGTTATTTACTTTAACAGCAGTAGGTTTTATAAAAGTAACTGATTTTTGTGCTTCATAAACTGAACAGTTTAACGTCAGATTTAAACACTTTCAACCGTCAGTGTCTGTGACCGTCAGTGTCTGTGACCGTCAGTGTCTGTGATCGTCAGTGTCTGTGACCGTCAGTGTCTGTGACCGTCAGTGTCTGTGACCGTCAGTGTCTGTGATCGTCATAAACCGTCAGTGTCTGTGACCGTCAGTGTCTGTGATCGTCATAAACCGTCAGTGTCTGTGATCGTCAGTGTCTGTGATCGTCAGTGTCTGTGACCGGCAGTGTCTGTGACTGTCAGTGTCTGTGACTGTCAGTGTCTGTGATCGTCATAAACCGTCAGTGTCTGTGACCGTCAGTGTCTGTGATCGTCATAAACCGTCAGTGTCTGTGATCGTCAGTGTCTGTGATCGTCAGTGTCTGTGACCGTCAGTGTCTGTGATCGTCAGTGTCTGTGACCGTCAGTGTCTGTGACCGTCAGTGTCTGTGACCGTCAGTGTCTGTGACCGTCAGTGTCTGTGATCGTCATAAACCGTCAGTGTCTGTGACCGTCAGTGTCTGTGATCGTCATAAACCGTCAGTGTCTGTGATCGTCAGTGTCTGTGATCGTCAGTGTCTGTGACCGTCAGTGTCTGTGACTGTCAGTGTCTGTGATCGTCAGTGTCTGTGACCGTCAGTGTCTGTGACCGGCAGTGTCTGTGATCGTCAGTGTCTGTGATCGTCAGTGTCTGTGACTGTCAGTGTCTGTGATCGTCAGTGTCTGTGACCGGCAGTGTCTGTGATCGGCAGTGTCTGTGATCGTCAGTGTCTGTGACCGTCAGTGTCTGTGATCGTCAGTGTCTGTGACTGTCAGTGTCTGTGATCGTCAGTGTCTGTGACCATCAGTGTCTGTGACCCTCAGTGTCTGTGACCGTCAGTGTCTGTGATCGTCAGTGTCTGTGACCGTCAGTGTCTGTGACCGTCAGTGTCTGTGACCGTCAGTGTCTGTGACCGTCAGTGTCTGTGATTGTCAGTGTCTGTGACCGTCAGTGTCTGTGACCATCAGTGTCTGTGACCATCAGTGTCTGTGACCGTCAGTGTCTGTGATTGTCAGTGTCTGTGATCGTCAGTGTCTGTGATCGTCAGTGTCTGTGACCGTCAGTGTCTGTGATCGTCAGTGTCTGTGACCGTCAGTGTCTGTGATTGTCAGTGTCTGTGATCGTCAGTGTCTGTGACCGTCAGTGTCTGTGATCGTCAGTGTCTGTGATCGTCAGTGTCTGTGACCGTCAGTGTCTGTGACCCTCAGTGTCTGTGATCGTCAGTGTCTGTGACCGTCAGTGTCTGTGACCATCAGTGTCTGTGACCGTCAGTGTCTGTGACCGTCAGTGTCTGTGATTGTCAGTGTCTGTGATTGTCAGTGTCTGTGACCGTCAGTGTCTGTGACCATCAGTGTCTGTGATCGTCAGTGTATGTGACCGCCAGTGTCTGTGACCGTCAGTGTCTGTGATCGTCAGTGTCTGTGACCGTCAGTGTATGTGACCGCCAGTGTCTGTGACCGTCAGTGTCTGTGATCGTCAGTGTCTGTGACCCTCAGTGTCTGTGATCGTCAGTGTCTGTGACCAAAGAGACAGAAGTGTTTCTATCGTCGTCACAGGGAGTTGAACCTAAGACCTTCTGCTTTCTGCTTTCAGCTGTGACAGACGTCTTCATCCAGAGCACTGTGAGGAGAACCATGGGGGCACCATGGAGACGGGACACTACTGGTCTCAGCGGGACGTCCCAAACTGGTCTTACCCAGAGACTACGGCAACATCTCAGTTTCCTTTTACCCTCGACCACGGAGCCCACGGAGCCTTCCCTCTGGAGCCCCAGGAGAGAGGGGCTCAGGCCGGAGTCTGGTCCTCCCACTCTGAGCTCTACAGACGGGACAGAACCAAGAGGAGCGACAGCTTCAGGGAGCTAGAGGCGTGGGCACTGCGCTACAGCCACTCACTGCCCAGACGGAGGCGGATGGAGGCGGAGCTCAGGGGCGGCCTGCGAGAGCCCACGGACTCAAGAGAAAAGCAGGACGGAAATATGCATCAATTTACATCAGGAGGCTCAGCGAGCAGACAAGCTTTGGACCACAGTCCACCCGGCCAAAACATGGACACGATCTCTTATAAAACCAAGTTCTACCACCACCCGCCGCATTACAGCGCCCCGCCCCCGTACAGGGTCCAATCTCCAAATGTTTTACAACAAAGATATGGAAAAGAAAGCTGTGAGTTGCCACAAGTTCTTAGAAAGACAGAAAAACAGCTTTTTGAAAAATGTGCAGCAGACGTGGATCCAAAGGGTTCCAGCAGTGAAGCAGCCAGAGTTATTGAAGGTAGAAAGTTTCAACTGAACCAAAAAGCTGGAGGTTTGACCATTTTCTGTCTGGTGTCACGAAACGCTGACCCAGAGCCAGAGAACCTGCAGCGTTCACTAAATGCTCTGCAGAAGCCGGTAAAGCTCGCAGACGAAGTAGATTTCAGAGTTCCAACATCTACAAAACATGTCAGAAGTTCGTTCTCTAAACTACAAGCCATTCCCATTTGTAAAGAGGCTTTGACCAAAATGGCAGAGAAGAATGTGCCAAAACCAACTGAGGGTTCAACAGTTGGAAAACTGGCTTCCAAATTCCCATTATGGAGACGACCGAGTTTCACAAACAGTTTGGACACAGATCCTTCAGCTACAACTTACTCAAAAGAGACGATTCTGGATCAAGAAACATACTCAAAAACCAGAAGCAAAGCTGACACAGAAAGTCAGACCTCTTCAATCGAGGACGAAGCCTTTCTGGATGAGCCCACGTGTGTTTTAGTCAAAACTGAGTTATTAAAACAACCAAAGACGGAACACGTTTTGAATCCGAATTCAGAAAACTGTCCTAAAGATGAAGAGAATCCAGAGGTCGAGGCTGAACTGTGCAAACAGGAAAACACAGGTTTGGAGAAAACTAATCCAGAAGCACTGGAAGAACAAGCAAACAGAACATTAGAGCTGCAGGAACCTGAGGAAGAACAACAAGACGGTTTGGATTTGGAAGAATTTACTGAACCAAAAGACGTGGAGTCTGACAAAAGTAAAAGTGAAAATCTGCAACAGTTAAACGTGACTAGTTTTGAAGCGATGGACTTTGGAGAAGTCGCTGAGTTCAAAGAAAATAAAGTAAATAATGTAAAAACAGAAATTGAGATTAAAAGTTCAACAGTTGGAGCCGATGTTGAAGAAGGATCCATTGTTGAAATGAGAAATGAAAAATGCAAAGAGACAGATTTAGAAGATTCAAAAGATCGTTCAAATAAGTTTGAATCGAGCGAAGAAGGAAAAGATGAAAGCATTTTGGAAAGTATTCAAAGTAACGTTTTCACTGATCCACATTTACAGACCGAGAGTCCCGAGAGTCCCGAGAGTCCCGAGAGTCCAGAGAGTCCAGAGAGTCCCGAGAGTCCAGAGAGTCCTGAGAGTCCCGAGAGTCCCGAGAGTCCAGAGAGTCCAGAGAGTCCAGAGAGTCCAGAGAGTCCCGAGAGTCCCGAGAGTCCCGAGAGTCCCGAGAGTCCCGAGAGTCCCGAGAGTCCCGAGAGTCCCGAGAGTCCAGAGAGTCCAGAGAGTCCAGAGCAGAGAAGGTGTGAAAGTGAAGACTTCTCCAACAGTGAGTCGGTCCAAGACTCAGGAGCGGACCACAACAACACCGAGGGCTCAGAGAGTCAAAGTGCAACATGTTCAGAGACTCCTGAAGAACACACAACGACTTCTGAAGAACACACAACAACTCCTAAAGAACACACAACGACTCTTGAAGAACACACAACGACTCCTAAAGAACACACAACGACTCTTGAAGAACACACAACGACTCCTAAAGAACACACAACGACTCTTGAAGAACACACAACGACTCCTAAAGAACACACAACGACTCCTAAAGAACACACAACGACTCCTAAAGAACACACAAAGACTCCTAAAGAACACACAACAACTTCTGAAGAACGCGCAACGACTCCTAAAGAACGCACGACTCCTAAAGAACGCACAACGACTCTTGAAGAACGCACAACGACTCCTGAAGAACGCACAACGACTCCTGAAGAACACACAACGACTCCTGAAGAATACACAACAACTCCTGAAGAACGCACAACGACTGAGGTGTTTCCAAACAAACACAACAAAGAAGTGGGTCGTGATGAGGTCCAAACCCGTGACTTTGAGATTCAAGAACAGTCTGATGTTTGGGAAACGACCCAAAGAGAAACTTCTGTGGAAACGACTTTGGATCAAGGAACGAAAGAAGAAAAAGAACAAAAGCAAGAAGTTGACATTTTGGTGACGTCAAAAGAAACTGAAAACAAGTTGAAGGAGAAATGTGAACCCAGCGTCTGTGCGACTGAAGGCGGGAGTCGAACCAATGATGACGTCCAGCATACTGCAGCTGAGCGAGACCAGGGTCTGACCAATTTGACTCAAGAAGAAATGATTTCAGAAAATATTGAAAATGAAGACGTTTTAAGAGAGTTGAACCCTCGGACTAACAAAACTAACACTGCTGCAGAAGAAGGAGATGTTAATGCACAGAAAAGTGAAGTCTGTGCCGAGGAGAGAATCATCAGGACAGATCCAGACCCACAAGACCGGGACGAGACTAAACTAATTTCAGAAACACAAGTCATTTTGGACGACAGTGAAGCTCAACCTGAAACACAATGTTTTTTGGATCAAAAGAGTGAAATAGAAACGTCAGAATCTGGTCCTGACTTAGATTTGGAGCCGAGTGAATGGAACGAAGAGGAAGACGTCCGTGAGGCTCATGGTCAAAGTCCAGACACAAAACTGGAGCTTCTCCAACCCCCGACTCGAGACCCCGACTTTACCCTTTTGGACTGTCCTTCAGTTGAAAATCTCGCATCTAAAGACGTCTGGGACCAGTCTGCGTCCGTTTGTCCAAGAGAAAACCAGGACGAGGGGAATTGCCCACGGTCGCTGTGGGACGCCGTCAGTCGAATCAGAAAACACACGGCTCCAGACTCAGAGAACGACGAAGAGGAGGAGCTCACGGACTCCTGGGACAAGGACAGCCTCCTAAATAGGTTTGAAAATATCACAACATCAAGTGACTTTTCAGCATCAGAAGAATGTGAGGATTCCATGGACCGAAGTGACTCACGGTGCAGCGGCAAGAGTCAGGAGTCAGACGGGACCATCGTGGACGAGGACCTGGATTCCAGAGAAATGTGGACCGAGGACCTGGATTCCAGAGAAATGTGGACCGAGGACCTGGAGTCCAGAGAAATGTGGACCGAGGAGCTGGAGTCCAGAGAAATGTGGACCGAGGACCTGGAGTCCAGAGAAATGTGGACCGAGGAGCTGGAGTCCAGAGAAATGTGGACCGAGGACCTGGAGTCCAGAGAAATGTGGACCGAGGAGCTGGAGTCCAGAGAAATGTGGACAGAGGACCAAGAAACTGCAGCAGAACGAGACGAGACCGAAGAGGGTTCAAATCTCGGAGGAACAGGAAGCAGACGATCTGTGATGAACGTAAACAATCAGTGACATCACCAAAAATATCTGCGTGAAACACAACATCGTTATAGATTTAGAAACTAACGAGCTGCGAGTTCACTCCCGCGATAAAACTTATGTCGATTTGTTTTATACAGAGCTGCAACAGACAGAGAATTAGAGACTGCCTTTAAGAAGGTCCTGAAGGTCCTGAAGGTCCTGAAGGTTTTGAAGGTCCTGAAGGTTTTGAAGGTCCTGAAGGTTTTGAAGGTCCTGAAGGTTTTGAAGGCCTTGGAGCTGATTGTAGATGAATCTTAGCAAAGGACGCAGAGACTTGTCTTTCTCTCCTCACGTTTGATAATCTGAGTTCAGTTGAAAGTTGTCGTCGGTGAAAACTGAATAAAGAGTGAATAAAAATCCTGTTTCATCTGAATTTATTTTCCTCTTTTTGAATCGCAGCAAAAGAAACATTTTCAACAAACGGTGAATACTATAAATATTCTTAGTAAACATTAGATTAAAGGAGTAAATGCAGAAGTTGCACAAAAGTATTTGAGTTTTTAAAAGTTCAGATTCAGAACAGGGCGACAGTAGCTCAGTTGGTAGAGCATTGGCCTTCAGGCCTGAAGGTCGTGGGTTCAATTCCCACCTCTGCACCTTCTCCACCGACTCCCACTGATGTCTGCTGTCGTTGTGTCCTTGGGCAAGACATTTAACCCCACTTTGCCCAAAGCCCCCACTGAAAGGTCAAGGCTATGCTCACAGTCAGAGAGCAGCCGTCCTCCTGTGGACTCACCACCTGCAGAGGGTCAGTGAGGGGCTGGTGCTATGAGACTTGGGTGGCATCTCTGACTGCCACCCCCCTGACCCAGAAATGGATTAAAGGGTAGAACATGGATGGATGGATGGATGGATGGATGGATGGATGGATAGATTCAGAACATTTGACACAACACACTGACATCAGAATAAATGTTTTATTGTGTTTAAAAAACTGTTTAATTCTCTAAAGTCTGGACTTTTGTGCATCACACATCGATAGAACAAAGTAACGATACATTAAACACAAAGTAGAAAAACAAATAGAAAACTGAAGAGAATCACCAATAAATACTGAGTTAGTTTTGGTTCGTGAGGTTTAAGGTTTTTAACTGCACTAAAACGTTTCATGTGGATCTCATTCAACTTTATTCATTGTTGACGATACATTTGTGGCTGTTTTCTATCGACCAATCAGATCCTCTATCGACCAATCAGATCCTCCGTCCTGTGTCAGAGCTCGTCGTGGGGAAGGTTGAGGGCGCGGTCACAGAGATCTGAGCAGAAAAAACACAAATTAATCTAAATAATCATCAGAGTCAGAGTGTGAAGAGCAACAGTCTGTTTGTCATGGGTTCAACTCCCTCACACGACATATTAGCACCCACTGACACACCTGTGCGTCTGCTGCAGAGATGGTCTGTGTGTAAAGCACGGTGGCTGAGTGGATAGCACTCTCGCCTTTCAGCAAGAAGGTCCTGGGTTCGAATCCCGGCCGGACCAGGGCCTTTCTGAGTGGAGTTTGCATGTTCTCCCCGTGCCTGCGTAGGTTTCCTCCGGGTACTCCGGTTTCCCCTACCACTAAAAATATGTACAATAGTTCTGGCATGCGCCTCCTGTACTGGCCCCGCTCCCATCTCTGTGTGGAGTGAGAGGACAAATGCCCCAAAAAAAAAAAAAAAAAATTACAATTGTAAACCGCTTTGTGACTCTGGTCTGTGAAAGGCGGTATATAAATAAAGCTTACTTACTTACTTACTAAAGTCACACACACCTGTGCGTCTGCTGCAGAGATGGTCTGTGTGTAAAGTCACACACACCTGTGCGTCTGCTGCAGAGAGGGTCTGTGTGTAAAGTCACACACACCTGTGCGTCTGCTGCAGAGAGGGTCTGTGTGTAAAGTCACACACACCTGTGCGTCTGCTGCAGAGAGGGTCTGTGTGTGTAAAGTCACACACACCTGTGCGTCTGCTGCAGAGAGGGTCTGTGTGTAAAGTCACACACACCTGTGCGTCTGCTGCAGAGAGGGTCTGTGTGTAAAGTCACACACACCTGTGCGTCTGCTGCAGAGAGGGTCTGTGTGTAAAGTCACACACACCTGTGCGTCTGCTGCAGAGATGGTCTTTGACGTTTTCCATTTCATGGGAGAAAAACTCGATCATTTCGTCCTCGTGCTGCTCCACGATCGTCTCACACTGAAGAAGAAGAAGATTCACTAAAACACACCTATTTCTGTATCTGTATCTGTCTGTCTGTAACTGTCTGTCTGTCTGTGTCTGTATCTGTCTGTCTGTGTCTGTATCTGTCCGTCTGTATCTGTCCGTCTGTATCTGTCTGTCTGTATCTGTCTGTCTGTATCTGTCTGTCTGTATCTGTCCGTCTGTATCTGTCCGTCTGTATCTGTCTGTATCCGTCTGTCTGTATCTGTCTGTCTGTATCTGTCTGTATCTGTCTGTCTGTATCTGTCCGTCTGTATCTGTCCGTCTGTATCTGTCTGTATCCGTCTGTCTGTATCTGTCTGTCTGTATCTGTCTGTATCTGTCTGTCTGTATCTGTCCGTCTGTATCTGTCTGTATCTGTCTGTCTGTATCTGTCCGTCTGTATCTGTCCGTCTGTATCTGTCTGTCTGTATCTGTCTGTCTGTATCTGTCCGTCTGTATCTGTCTGTCTGTATCTGTCCGTCTGTATCTGTCCGTCTGTAACTGTCCGTCTGTAACTGTCTGTCTGTATCTGTCCGTCTGTATCTGTCCGTCTGTATCTGTCCGTCTGTAACTGTCTGTCTGTATCTGTCCGTCTGTATCTGTCCGTCTGTCTGTATCTGTCTGTCTGTATCTGTCCGTCTGTATCTGTCTGTATCCGTCTGTCTGTATCTGTCTGTCTGTATCTGTCTGTATCTGTCCGTCTGTATCTGCCTGTATCCTTCTGTCTGTATCTGTCTGTATCTGTCTGTCTGTATCTGTCCGTCTGTATCTGTCTGTCTGTATCTGTCTGTATCTGTCTGTCTGTATCTGTCTGTCTGTATCTGTCTGTCTGTATCTGTCTGTCTGTATCTGTCTGTCTGTATCTGTCCGTCTGTATCTGTCCGTCTGTATCTGTCCGTCTGTATCTGTCTGTCTGTATCTGTCCGTCTGTATCTGTCTGTATCTGTCCGTCTGTATCTGTCCGTCTGTATCTGTCCGTCTGTATCTGTCCGTCTGTATCTGTCTGTCTGTATCTGTCCGTCTGTATCTGTCCGTCTGTATCTGTCTGTATCTGTCCGTCTGTATCTGTCCGTCTGTATCTGTCCGTCTGTATCTGTCCGTCTGTATCTGTCCGTCTGTATCCGTCTGTCTGTATCTGTCTGTCTGTATCTGTCTGTCTGTATCTGTCCGTCTGTATCTGTCCGTCTGTATCTGTCTGTCTGTATCTGTCCGTCTGTATCCGTCCGTCTGTATCTGTCCGTCTGTATCTGTCCGTCTGTATCTGTCCGTCTGTATCTGTCCGTCTGTATCTGTCCGTCTGTATCTGTCTGTCTGTATCTGTCTGTATCTGTCCGTCTGTATCTGTCCGTCTGTATCTGTCCGTCTGTATCTGTCTGTCTGTATCCGTCCGTCTGTATCTGTCCGTCTGTATCTGTCCGTCTGTATCTGTCTGTCTGTATCTGTCTGTATCTGTCCGTCTGTATCTGTCCGTCTGTATCTGTCCGTCTGTATCTGTCTGTCTGTATCTGTCTGTCTGTATCTGTCTGTCTGTATCTGTCTGTCTGTATCCGTCTGTCTGTATCTGTCTGTCTGTATCCGTCTGTCTGTATCTGTCAGTCTGTCTCTACAGTCTTTGTACAGACCACTGTATAATTATTTATTTTAAACACACTTTCTGATAAACATAAATAAATCGTTACTTTGACCTTAATCCAACGAATAATAATGAGAACGTCTTCACTCCAAGTTTATCACTTTATAACAATTAAACAAACAAACCTGAAGTCACAGGGACACACCCATTTTAGGAATGATTCTTACATTTTCACTACAATTTGAGACAATTTGAGTTTATTAAAAACATCCAAACACTGAGAGCACAAAGGCTCAGCAGAAATGTACTTTTCATAAAATATTTTCAAATGTGAATAAACCTGTGGATGTTAAGGCCTTAAAGGAGCTATACCGCCTCCCAACTCGCTCAGAGGCTTCTCATTTCCACCAAGCGGAGGCTTCTGGTATTTGCAATCTGAAGCTAACATTAGCATTAGCGCAATTTAAGCTGTACAACAATCACTGATGAAATGGCACAAAAGCAACGCACTGCTAACAAAATATATAACTGAAAGATTACTGCTAGTTTCATGTCCAAATGTAGACAGAGCATAGATAGTCCGAGCGTAGATAGTCCGAGCGTAGATAGTCAGAGCGTAGATAGTCAGAGCGTAGATAGTCAGAGCGTAGATAGTCAGAGCGTAGATGGTCCGAGCGTAGACGGTCCGAGCGTAGACAGTCCGAGCGTAGATAGTCCGAGCGTAGATAGTCCGAGCGTAGATAGTCCGAGCGTAGATAGTCCGAGCATAGATAGTCCGAGCGTAGATAGTCCGAGCGTAGATAGTCCGAGCGTAGATAGTCCGAGCGTAGATAGTCCGAGCGTAGACAGTCCGAGCGTAGACAGTCCGAGCGTAGACAGTCCGAGCGTAGACAGTCCGAGCGTAGACAGTCCGAGCGAGAGATAGTCCAAACGCAGATGGTCCCAGCGTAGATAGTTCGAGCGTAGATAGTCCGAGCGTAGATAGTCCGAGCGCAGATAGTCCCAGCGCAGATAGTCCCAGCGCAGATAGTCCGAGCGTAGATAGTCCGAGCGTAGATAGTCAGAGCGTAGATAGTCAGAGCGTAGATAGTCCGAGCGTAGATAGTCCGAGCGTAGATAGTCCGAGCGTAGATGGTCCGAGCGTAGACGGTCCGAGCGTAGACAGTCCGAGCGTAGATAGTCCGAGCGTAGATAGTCAGAGCGTAGATAGTCCGAGCGTAGATAGTCCGAGCGTAGATAGTCCGAGCGTAGACAGTCCGAGCGTAGACAGTCCGAGCGTAGACAGTCCGAGCGTAGACAGTCCGAGCGTAGACAGTCCGAGCGTAGACAGTCCGAGCGTAGACAGTCCGAGCGTAGATAGTCCGAGCGTAGATAGTCCAAACGCAGATGGTCCCAGCGTAGATAGTCCGAGCGTAGATAGTCCGAGCGTAGATAGTCCGAGCGTAGATAGTCCGAGCGCAGATAGTCCCAGCGTAGATAGTCCGAGCGTAGATAGTCCCAGCGTAGATAGTCCCAGCGTAGATAGTCCCAGCGTAGATAGTCCCAGCGTAGATAGTCCCAGCGTAGATAGTCCGAGCGTAGATAGTCCCAGCGTAGATAGTCCCAGCGTAGATAGTCCCAGCGTAGATAGTCCCCAGCGTAGATAGTCCCAGCGTAGATAGTCCGAGCGAGATAGTCCAAACGCAGATGGTCCCAGCGTAGATAGTCCGAGCGTAGATAGTCCGAGCGTAGATAGTCCGAGCGCAGATAGTCCCAGCGTAGATAGTCCGAGCGTAGATAGTCCGAGCGTAGATAGTCCCAGCGTAGATAGTCCCAGCGTAGATAGTCCCAGCGTAGATAGTCCCAGCGTAGATAGTCCCAGCGTAGATAGTCAGAGCGTAGATAGTCCGAGCGTAGATAGTCCGAGCGTAGATAGTCAGAGCGTAGATAGTCAGAGCGTAGATAGTCCGAGCGTAGATAGTCCGAGCGTAGATAGTCCGAGCGCAGATAGTCCGAGCGTAGATAGTCCGAGCGTAGATAGTCCGAGCGTAGATAGTCCGAGCGTCCGAGCGTAGATGGTCCGAGCGCAGATAGTCAGAGCGTAGATAGTCAGAGCGTAGACAGTCCGAGCGTAGACAGTCCGAGCGTAGACAGTCCGAGCGTAGATAGTCCGAGCGTAGATAGTCCGAGCGTAGATAGTCCGAGCGTAGATAGTCCGAGCGTCCGAGCGTAGATGGTCCGAGCGTAGATAGTCCCAGCGTAGATAGTCCTAGCGTAGATAGTCCCAGCGTAGATAGTCCGAGCGTAGATAGTCCGAGCGTAGATAGTCCGAGCGTAGATAGTCCGAGCGTAGATAGTCCGAGCGTAGATAGTCCGAGCGTAGATAGTCCCAGCGTAGATAGTCCCAGCGTAGATAGTCCGAGCGTAGATAGTCAGAGCGTAGATAGTCAGAGCGTAGATAGTCCGAGCGTATATAGTCCGAGCGTAGATAGTCCGAGCAGAGATAGTCCGAGCGCAGATAGTCCGAGCGTAGATAGTCCGAGCGTAGATAGTCCGAGCGTAGATAGTCCGAGCGTAGATAGTCCGAGCGTAGATAGTCCGAGCGTAGACAGTCCGAGCGCAGATAGTCCGAGCGTAGATAGTCCGAGCGTAGATAGTCCGAGCGTAGATAGTCCGAGCGTAGATAGTCCGAGCGTAGATAGTCCGAGCGTAGATAGTCCGAGCGTAGATAGTCCGAGCGTAGATAGTCAGAGCGTAGATAGTCCGAGCGTAGATAGTCCGAGCGTAGATAGTCCGAGCGTAGATAGTCCGAGCGTAGATAGTCCGAGCGTAGATAGTCCGAGCGTAGATAGTCCGAGCGTAGATAGTCCGAGCGTAGATAGTCTGAGCGTAGATAGTCCGAGCGTAGATAGTCCGAGCGTAGATAGTCCGAGGGTAGATAGTCCGAGCGTAGATAGTCCGAGGGTAGATAGTCCGAGCGTAGATAGTCCGAGGGTAGATAGTCCGAGCGTAGATAGTCCGAGCGTAGATAGTCCGAGCGCAGATAGTCCGAGCGCAGATAGTCCGAGCGTAGATAGTCCGAGCGCAGATAGTCTGAGCGTAGATAGTCCGAGGCGGTCCCGCAGGTCTCTCCCATAGACCAGTCTCTCCAGAGGATACGATGTAAGCTAGCTCTGTTCAGGGCTTGGTTTCTTCTTTGATCATGTTCTGGCTTCTTCTCTTCCTCACTGTTGTGTGGTTTGGGCTGTTTTGCTGTGTCTGCAGTTACAGCCAGAGGAGTTATAGCCACTTATGCTAACATGCTACTGTGTTTAGCAGCGCTGTAGAGGCTAGAGGACGCAGCCTCGCTCTGTGATTGGAGGAGAGCGGGCGTCACGCTAAGTCTCTACTCAGCACTTTTTACTGAGTTCATCCACAGCTGAATCAATGAGCTTACGTTATCAATTAAATTACGGATTATAATACAATTTGTATGTAGTAATAAGCATTTTTATGAACTCATTAGAAAATAAATTGGGTATAGCTTCTTTAAACGGCGCTTCCTCAAATAGAACGTGTGAATGATTAAAGTGAACTGGACTCACTGCAAACTTGAGTCCGGCCGAGACCCTGGAGTCCAGCGTGGCCTCAGACAGGTCCAGACCGTCTCCGCTCCTCGACTTGATCCTGATGTAAGTTTTTCTCTCAGAAGAATCCGACACTTCTCCATAATCCTCCATCCGCTCACAAACCACCTCCAGCAGGTCCAGCAGGTTCCCCTCGGAGCGAGCCAGAGGAACCTACACAACACACTATACATTTATACATGGACCACAACATGGACCACAACATTCATACAACATGGACCACAACATTCATACAACATGGACCACAACATGGACCACAACATTCATCACAACATGGACCACAACATTCATACAACATGGACCACAACATTCATACAACATGGACCAAAACATGGACCACAACATGGACCACAACATTCATACAACATGGACCACAACATGGACCAAAACATGGACCACAACATTCATACAACATGGACCAAAACATGGACCAAAACATGGACCACAACATTCATACAACATGGACCAAAACATGGACCACCACATGGACCACCACATGGACCACCACATGGACCACCACATGGACCACCACATGGACCACCACATGGACCACCACATGGACCACCACATGGACCACCACATGGACCACCACATGGACCACCACATGGACCACCACATGGACCACCACATGGACCACCACATGGACCACCACATGGACCACCACATGGACCACCACATGGACCACCACATGACTGTGTGTCTTATTGAAACTTTATGGGACATATGAAGGTCTGTCTTGTCTTAGAATCGTTTAATCTTCTGCAAACTTTGGGCTCAGAGCTGTCAATGTTCTGTCTGAAAAATCATCCAATAAACCAGACTTTAAAGAGTGAGGAAGTTGGAACTATTCAATGAGATGAATCCATCTCCTGTGGTTCCATAGTTTATAATATATATATATATAAATATATTATAGCACCACAGTCTCACCTCTCTGATGGACTGACTCCCGTCGGGGTTGATCCTGAACGACCCGGTCTGGACCGTCTTTTTGGGATCTACTTGTGAAATCGCCCACTCCATCTCATCCACCAGTGCCCTGCAAGCTGCGGCCAAAGGTCACACACAGACGTACAGATGTGTGTAGATGTGTGTACAGATGTGTGTACAGATGTGTGTACAGATGTGTGTAGATGTGTGTACAGATGTGTGTAGATGTGTGTACAGATGTGTGTACAGATGTGTGTACAGATGTGTGTAGATGTGTGTACAGATGTGTGTACAGATGTGTGTACAGATGTGTGTACAGATGTGTGTAGATGTGTGTACAGATGTGTGTACAGATGTGTGTACAGATGTGTGTAGATGTGTGTACAGATGTGTGTACAGATGTGTGTACAGATGTGTGTACAGATGTGTGTACAGATGTGTGTACAGATGTGTGTAGATGTGTGTACAGATGTGTGTACAGATGTGTGTACAGATGTGTGTACAGATGTGTGTAGATGTGTGTACAGATGTGTGTACAGATGTGTGTACAGATGTGTGTACAGATGTGTGTACAGATGTGTGTAGATGTGTGTACAGATGTGTGTACAGATGTGTGTACAGATGTGTGTAGATGTGTGTACAGATGTGTGTACAGATGTGTGTACAGATGTGTGTACAGATGTGTGTACAGATGTGTGTACAGATGTGTGTACAGATGTGTGTACAGATGTGTGTACAGATGTGTGTACAGATGTGTGTAGATGTGTGTACAGATGTGTGTACAGATGTGTGTACAGATGTGTGTAGATGTGTGTACAGATGTGTGTACAGATGTGTGTACAGATGTGTGTACAGATGTGTGTGCACTGTGCGCAGAGAAACTCACCTCCACACCGGACGTCCTGCGGCTGCCTGGCTGCGGGAGCGATGCCCAGGAGCAGAACTATGCAGACTGTGATAGAAAGGAGCTCAGAGAGTCTCATGTTCGCAGCTCTCTCCCGCGGATGGGGCTGGTGTTGCTGGTGTTGCTGGTGTTGCTGGTGTTGCTGGTGTTTGAGGTCAAACTTCCTCCAAAGCTGGAACTAAAAGAATCAAAGTGAAACTGAGTGAAACTGAGTGAAACTGAGTGAAACTGAGTGAAAATGAGAGAATGTGTGACTTTCGTGTGAACTTACAACGTTAACAGTGTTGTTGACTGTTGCACTGAGCCAAAGCAATTTCCAAGTCTGTGACCTCCCGTTACTTACGTTGGCAATAAAAATGATTCTGATTCTGATTCTGTTTTTTACTCCAGAGATCCACGTTGGAGAGATGTGGTGACGTCACGGTGACGTACGCAACGTCAGACAAAGCGGAAGTAAGCAGCGACCCCGCGTGGACAGGAGAACGTTACCAAGGAAACGAAACGATACAACACAAAGAAAAACCTTTGTCTTTTATCGAAACGGAAGAAAAACGCTTCAAAACGAATCTATATCAGAAGGAAAACAAGTGAGAACATCTGCCTCCATGTTCTGTTTAGACTTTAATACTTTAGTTTAGTTTCATAGTCTGTGGGGGACTGGCCCTGTCCAGTTCAGATGCTCACAGATGGCAGAAGGAGCTAATCCAGGCCCAAGTGTGCTAATGGCACTGAGCCCAATATAAACTATAACTATACCCAGGGGACCAGGAGGAGACCAGGAGGAGACCGGGAGGAGACCAGGAGGAGACCGGGAGGAGACCAGGAGGAGACCAGGAGGAGACCAGGAGGAGCCCAGGAGGAGACCGGGAGGAGACCGGGAGGAGACCGGGAGGAGACCGGGAGGAGACCGGGAGGAGACCAGGAGGAGACCGGGAGGAGACCAGGAGGAGACCAGGAGGAGACCAGGAGGAGACCAGGAGGAGCCCAGGAGGAGACCGGGAGGAGACCGGGAGGAGACCGGGAGGAGACCGGGAGGAGACCGGGAGGAGACCGGGAGGAGACCGGGAGGAGACCAGGAGGAGACCGGGAGGAGACCGGGGAGGAGACCGGGAGGAGACCGGGAGGAGACCGGGAGGAGACCAGGAGGAGACCAGGAGGAGACCGGGAGGAGACCGGGAGGAGACCGGGAGGAGACCAGGAGGAGACCGGAGGAGACCAGGAGGAGACCAGGAGGAGACCAGGAGGAGCCCGGAGGAGACCGGGAGGAGACCGGGAGGAGACCGGGAGGAGACCAGGAGGAGACCGGGAGGAGACCGGGAGGAGACCAGGAGGAGACCGGGAGGAGACCGGAGGAGCCCGGGAGGAGACCGGGAGGAGACCAGGAGGAGCCCAGGAGGAGACCGGGAGGAGCCCAGGAGGAGACCGGGAGGAGACCAGGAGGAGACCGGGAGGAGCCCAGGAGGAGCCCAGGAGGAGACCGGGAGGAGCCCGGGAGGAGACCGGGAGGAGACCAGGAGGGGACCAGGAGGAGACCAGGAGGAGACCAGGAGGAGACCCAGGAGGAGACTAGGAGGGGACCGGGAGGAGACCAGGAGGAGACCAGGAGGAGACCGGGAGGAGACCGGGAGGAGACCGGGAGGAGACCAGGAGGAGACCAGGAGGAGACCAGGAGGAGACCAGGAGGAGACCGGGAGGAGACCGGGAGGAGACCGGGAGGAGACCGGGAGGAGACCAGGAGGAGACCGGGAGGAGACCAGGAGGAGACCAGGAGGAGACCAGGAGGAGCCCGGGAGGAGACCGGGAGGAGACCAGGAGGAGACCGGGAGGAGACCAGGAGGAGACCGGGAGGAGACCGGGAGGAGACCAGGAGGAGACCGGGAGGAGACCGGGAGGAGCCCGGGAGGAGACCGGGAGGAGACCAGGAGGAGCCCAGGAGGAGACCGGGAGGAGCCCAGGAGGAGACCGGGAGGAGACCAGGAGGAGACCGGGAGGAGCCCAGGAGGAGACCGGGAGGAGACCAGGAGGAGCCCAGGAGGAGACCGGGAGGAGCCCAGGAGGAGACCGGGAGGAGACCGGGAGGAGACCGGGAGGAGACCGGGAAGAGACCAGGAGGAGACCAGGAGGAGACCGGGAGGAGACCGGGAGGAGCCCAGGAGGAGACCGGGAGGAGACCGGGAGGAGCCCAGGAGGAGACCGGGAGGAGACCGGGAGGAGACCAGGAGGAGACCGGGAGGAGACCGGGAGGAGCCCGGGAGGAGACCGGGAGGAGACCAGGAGGAGCCCAGGAGGAGACCGGGAGGAGCCCAGGAGGAGACCGGGAGGAGACCAGGAGGAGACCGGGAGGAGCCCAGGAGGAGACCGGGAGGAGACCAGGAGGAGCCCAGGAGGAGACCGGGAGGAGCCCAGGAGGAGACCGGGAGGAGACCGGGAGGAGACCGGGAAGAGACCAGGAGGAGACCAGGAGGAGACCGGGAGGAGACCGGGAGGAGCCCAGGAGGAGACCGGGAGGAGACCGGGAGGAGCCCAGGAGGAGACCGGGAGGAGACCGGGAGGAGCCCAGGAGGAGACCGGGAGGAGACCGGGAGGAGACCAGGAGGAGACCAGGAGGAGACCGGGAGGAGACCAGGAGGAGACCAGGAGGAGACGTGAGGATGAAAGTGGCTGAAACACGAAGAGCACTCCTCCAGCAGGTGGCGCTGTTGTGGTCCTGTGCAGCTTCACCGTCAGAGAAGTTTTTACCAAATAAATATAAAACATTGTGTTGAAACAAACCGAGGATTCTCAAATGCACTTCATAAAAACACATTTTTATACAGTTTATTTATTAAAATGTTAATTTAAAACATGTTTTAAAACATCTGACAATTCTTAAAATGCCTCAATTATTTACATTCAATGTATAAATATTTAACAATAAAATAGTAATAAATACTATTAAATATTGTAAGAAACATCTGGTCTGGAGCCGCACCAATCCACAACCTCCAGGTTTCAGACGTAAGAATATATTATTTAAATCTTATTTGGGGCTGATCAGCTGTTTTTATGTTGTTGTGGGATAAAAACAAGTGTGCTGTGTGCAGTGGTTAGTTAATATCACTAGTATAATAACTAGTATAATACTTGGCCTTTGAGCCTGAAGGTCGTGGGTTCAAGCCCACCATTAGACCTACTTCACGACTCCCACTGATGACTGCTGTTGTGTCCTTGGGCAAGACACTTAACCCCACTTTGCCTGGAGCCCCCGCGAAAAGATCTCAGCTCCTGTGGACTCAGCACCTGCAGGAGGATCAGTGAGGGGCTGGTGCTCTGACTGCCACCCCCACCCAGACATGGATTAAGGGGAAGAAGATGATGGATGGATAATAACTAGTATTATATAGTTACTACACCTAACTACAGGTGTCTGCTATACTTGAAGAATATTTAAAAATGTCATTTTTTTCACAGAAACAAGAGCTGGATGGATTTACAAAATAAAGCATGAAAGTTGAAGTTTTCAGTGTTTTAAAGCTAAAATAATGACATTATTACATAACATTAAATATGAACAAAACAATGGCACAAACTTGACTTTTAGCTAAACCTAAAACTGGCCTTTATGTTGGAAAACCATCCCAATAAACAGTTAATTCATATTTACAAATGATTTTTGTTAAAACAAAAAGTATTAGTCTACAACAGGAATAAAATATGTTAGTCTTTGTTTCTGTTGAGATTGTTCCTAAACAAAAACATGAAGGCACTGATGTGATCTTTAGAAATGGTAATGTTTAAAACTAGTTTTACAGCAAAGTTTGTTTTATATTTGCCTTCAATATTACGTTTAAGGAAAATACTGCTCCAGAATGACCCTGGTTTATTCACAATCCACAATATTTAGTTTTATTCAGACCTGGCTTAGACTTAGTGTAGTCCTGTTAGTCCTGGGCCGTTTACATCAGAACCAGGCTGGGCTAAACCAGGCTGTGACTGGACTGAGACTGGACTGAGACTGGACTGTTGACATGACACAGGAGGGGTCCAGAGCAGACATGGTCCTCATGTCCCGGTCCATCCTGTTTGTGATTGTTCCAAATCAATAAATACATCCAGAGAAAGACACATCTCAAAGAAGTGTCTCGAGTCTTTTAGCAACAATAATGTTAGCATCAGTAATATCACTGTAGAGGGTATAGCATCAGGTGGAAGACAAGTGATGCTTGTAGCAGCAGTAGCAGCAGTAGTAGTAGTAGCAGTAGTAGCAGCAGTAGTAGTAGTAGTAGTAGTAGCAGTAGTAGCAGTAGCAGCAGTAGTAGTAGCAGTAGCAGTAGCAGCACTAGCAGCAGTAGCAGTAGCAGCAGTAGCAGTAGCAGTAGTAGCAGTAGTAGCAGCAGCAGTAGCAGCAGTAGCAGCAGTAGCAGTAGTAGCAGTAGCAGCAGCAGTAGTAGCAGTAGCAGTAGTAGCAGTAGCAGCAGTAGCTTAGCAGTAGTAGCGTAGTAGCAGCAGCAGTAGCAGCAGTAGCAGTAGTAGCAGTTCGCAGCAGTAGTAGCAGTAGCAGTAGCAGCAGCAGCAGTAGTAGCAGTAGCAGCAGTAGCAGTAGTAGTCGCAGTAGCAGCAGTAGTAGCAGCAGGTAGCAGTAGCAGTAGCAGTAGCAGCAGCAGCAGTAGTAGCAGTAGCAGCAGTAGCAGCTAGTAGCAGTAGTAGCAGTAGCAGCAGTAGTAGTAGCAGTAGCAGTAGCAGCAGTAGCAGCAGTAGCAGTAGCAGCAGTAGCAGTAGCAGTAGTAGCAGTAGTAGCAGCAGCAGTAGCAGCAGTAGAAGCAGTAGCAGTAGTAGCAGGAGCAGCAGCAGTAGTAGTAGTAGCAGTAGTAGCAGTAGCAGTAGCAGTAGCAGTAGTAGCAGTAGTAGCAGCAGCAGTAGCAGCAGTAGCAGTAGTAGCAGTAGCAGCAGTAGTAGCAGTAGCAGTAGCAGCAGCAGCAGTAGTAGCAGTAGCAGCAGTAGCAGTAGTAGCAGTAGCAGCAGTAGTAGCAGCAGTAGTAGCAGTAGCAGTAGCAGTAGCAGCAGCAGCAGTAGTAGCAGTAGCAGCAGTAGCAGCAGTAGCAGTAGTAGCAGTAGCAGCAGTAGTAGCAGCAGTAGCAGCAGTAGCAGTAGTAGCAGTAGCAGCAGTAGTAGCAGCAGTAGTAGCAGCAGTAGCAGCAGCAGTAGCAGCAGTAGCAGTAGCAGCAGTAACAGCAGCAGTAGTAGCAGCAGCAGTAGCAGTAGCAGTAGTAGTAGCAGCAGTAGCAGTAGTAGCAGTAGCAGCAGTAGTAGCAGCAGTAGTAGCAGTAGCAGTAGCAGCAGCAGCAGTAGCAGTAGCAGCAGCAGCAGTAGCAGTAGCAGCAGCAGTAGCAGCAGTAGCAGTAGCAGCAGCAGTAGCAGCAGTACTAGTATTAGTACTACATGTGTATCTGATACTGCAGTATATTGAGCCCCGTCTCTTTAAGCCTGTGTTATCTTTCTGTTGGTTCTGTTTCCATGTCGTTGAGTAAATAAATATCAATGCGACGAGAAATGGCCGCCGGCATCTGCAAGAGAAGAAAGACACCTTTAACTCATTGACTGCCAGCCCATTTCAAAACAGGTACTCCCATATTGCCAGCCGTTTCTGGTGGTTTTTACTGATTTTTCAAGACCCACAGAATATTGTGTACTTTGACTATCTGAAATCTAAAACTAGATTCTGAAAGAATGGGCTGTCTACTCTCACCAGCAAAAAGAATTTTGTTTCTATCTTGTTTAGTTCTTCTGTAATCCCCAGTTGAGTAGAGGGAAGTTTTATTGAAATCACCAGAAAGCTGAGAAAAAAGGGCCACAAACAGTGCATCTAGCTGTGTTCAAACCATTCATAGCGCAATGCTGCCATCTGCTGGCTCCATAAAGTATTGCCTCAAGCCAATCTCCACATATTAGATTCAATGGACAGCTGGGAACGTAAAAATAGCGGGAAACGCAATTCGGGCGTTCTGCTCTCCCAAAATTCCATCCACTGAGCGGCGCTGTGATCAAAAAATGACACCGTTTGTTGCCCAGTTCACTTCCGGTTGATTTCATACAATGGCGAATATGGCTCACGAAAACAACAAGCGATTGACAGTGCCTGAATTGCGTGAAAGGTTGAAGCGAAAGGGTATTTGCAGTGTGGGAAAACGAAAGGAGGAATTGTTGTTGCTAGTTCAACGAGCGGATGGTGTTTATGAAGATTTAGAAGAAGATGACAGCGAGCAGAGTGAACGAAAACGGCTGTGTGTGCGAGTGACAGATGGTAACAATGAGAATGAAGTTCAGCTAAGAGGGAAGAATGTGAATTGGACGGATGATTTGCGCGATATGCCACTAGTTAGAGACGGGAATGTATTTGCATAATGTAAAATGACGAAAACACTCAACCATTTAGAGAAAATGCGCCGGGCAGAGAGAACCGGAAGTTGCGAAGGCAAGTGTTACCCATAATGCAACGCAAAATTCAGTCGCTCCCCCGCCCATCGGATGGAATTTTGGGAGAGCAGAACGCCCGAATTGACGTGTTAACACGTCATTGGCAGACAACGTTACTATTTAGTTTGACGTGTTAACACGTCAATGGCAGTCAATGAGTTAATACTTATTTACTCACTTCTTTACATATTTACTCACAGCTGCAGACGTTCACTAAAGCTGAACTCGGTTTAGTTTAAATCTTTGAAGTTGGTTTAATCCATTCTTAGATTTATTGTAAATGTTCTTTTTGCTTCAGCACAAAACTCTCGATGGGAATAATAAAATATAACACAGCAGCAAAGATAAATATCTCACCGTTTGATCACTTTAATGAATTAGTTTAGGTTAAGAATATGACTCTGAGATAAAGCAGAAATATAAATGTATATATTCTGGGATGTACTCAGTTTGCAGTCTGACAGTGATGTTTGCTCATGTCCCTCTGGATTTACACGACACAAGACACAACAAATGTCTTAGTTCAAAAATAAGTGTTTTATTTTGAACAAAATCAGACACATTAGTTTAAAGAAGAGTTAACCTTTGATCTTTATACTTCATTATTACATTTATATCAAAATATATTTTTCAAACCAAAGACAAAGTGTGATTTCATGAAAAAGTCACAAAAACTTTATGACAAACAAAAATGGGACGTCTTTAGGGTTTGGGTTATCATTATTAATATCATTATTAACAATAATATCATTATTAATATCATTATTAACAATAATATCATTATTAATACCATTATTAACATTAATATCATTATTAATACCATTATTAACAATAATATCATTATTAATACCATTATTAACATTAATATCATTATTAACAAAAATATCATTATTAATACCATTATTAATATCATTAACATTAATATAATTATTAACAATAATATCATTAACATGAATATCATTATTAATACCATTATTAACATTAATATCATTATTAACATTATTAATAATATTATCAACATTAATATTATTAATATAAATATTGCTGTGTTCTGTTGTCGAAGGATAAATTAGAAACTGGTTTGTAACGAATCAATTGTAATTTTCTTGATTCTTTGAGGCTCAAACAAACATTTCCCAAAACGACTCCTGAAAAGCTGCGCTAACGTAAACAAAGTGCTATGAAGTGAGTCAGGGCGGAGTGAGTTAGCTCAGGTCAGAGTGAGTTAGCTCAGGTCAGAGTGAGTTAGCTCAGGTCAGAGTGAGTTAGCTCAGGGCGGAGTGAGTTAGCTCAGGTCAGAGTGAGTTAGCTCAGGTTAGCTCAGGTCAGAGTGAGTTAGCTCAGGTCAGAGTGAGTTAGCTCAGGTTAGCTCAGGTCAGAGTGAGTTAGCTCAGGTCAGAGTGAGTTAGCTCAGGGCGGAGTGAGTTAGATCAGGTCAGAGTCAGGTCAGAGTGAGTTAGCTCAGGTCAGAGTGAGTTAGCTCAGGTCAGAGTCAGGTCAGAGTGAGTTAGCTCAGGTCAGAGTGAGTTAGCTCAGGTTAGCTCAGGGCAGAGTGTTTCTGTGTGAAGATGGAATAATAAAGTATTTTCATTCAGACTTTTACAGATCTGTTTCTTCTGACACTCAGTAAAACAGTGTTTTGGCTAAAGTAGTAAAAAAGAATGGGATAAAAAAAGGTTTATTAAATATCAGCTGGTGTTTATTCACGTGTTTTTAAAATGTTCATATAAATGTTTAAATAATCATGGATTGTGTCGTAAGAATGTATAAAAGTAGAACGTTATGGTTTTTATGAAAAAACAATTAAAAATGCTTCAATGGACAAAGAAAAGACAGACTTTGCAAATGTTTTCTATTTTCATCAATAATGACACAAAAAGAAACGTCTCCAAACATTCTATTATTAGCATCGACAATTTGGTAAAAACAAATCACCAGCCGATATTTATGGTCTCAGAGACAGTAGAATATTTATGGTCCAGACTCAGAGACAGTAGAATAACGTTCAGAGAGTCCAGTTTAAGAAGCTGCATCAGTCTCCTCCTCCTCCTCCAGCTCAGAGTGTCTTACCGAGCTCCTGAAGTCCAGACACGACAGCCCCAGAGACACCAGGCAGTGCCACACCTGAATAACGCATGAATAACACATGATTAACGCATGAATAACACATGATTAACACATGAATAACGCATGATTAACACATGAATAACACATGAATAACACATGATTAACACATGAATAACACATGAATAACACATGAATAACACATGAATAACACATGAATAACACATGAATAACACATGATTAACACATGATTAACACATGATTAACACATGAGTAACACATGAGTAACACATGAGTAACACATGAGTAACACATGAGTAACACATGATTAAAACCTCAATAACACATGAATAACACATGATTAACGCATGAATAACGCATGAATAACACATGAATAACACATAATTAACACATGAATAATGCAAGATTAACACATGAACACATTAATAACACATGATTAACACATGAATAACACATGAATAACACATGATTAACATGGTCTGAACTGCTGTAGAAATGATTCTCACATTACCATCCAACCATCATCACATTAGTAAGTAAGTAAGTAATGTTTATTTATATTGCGCATTTTACAAAGCGCTTTACAATGTTCAGACTCAGATATTGTTCCAATCGTTCCACACATGGTGATGACAAACCAGTTATAAACCAGGTTCACACCATGTGGGTGTTACCCAAGGATCATTTTTGTCCTTCTGTCTCTCTTCCAGGCACTACCCAAGCCACAAATCGCTTAGCTCTGGATATCCAATAAGATCAAGGTTTAGCCATGAATTATTCACTGCTGTTAATAACAAGTTTCTGTAGCTAGCTAGTTTCTGTAGCTAGCTAGCTACATCAGGGAAGTACTTGTGGTTTGTTTGATCCACTAAATGAACAGTTCAAAGCTGGGATTATTTAAATCTGTGGATGGTTTTAAAGACACTTCTCTGGACTTTCATACACTTTCCTTTTGTAAATGTCTCCGTCGTGAGGAGAATAAAGTTGATGAACTCACCAGATAACCCACGAAGAGGAGGTAGGCCACGGACAGCAGCGACGCCACCACGTAGAGCGCCGTGTTGTCCAGATTCGTTACATACACCACCACAAAATACATGTTTATGGCACAGACCACCAGGGTCAGGACACCACCAAACACTTTCCAAATCCTGAGGAGCAGAGAGCAAGACAGAAACATATAAAGATATAAATAGATCTTATATAAAGATATAAATATATCACATATAGACATATTGTTGTTTCTGTGAGCACTGGTTCTCCTCAGGGATGTATTTTGAGTCCTTTGCTTTTTACTTTGTACACTCATGATTGTGTGTCCTCCTCTGACTCAAACTTGATCATCAAATATGCTGATGACACCACCATCATCGGTCTCATCAGTGACACTGATGAATCCTCTTATAGAGCAGAGATACAAAATGTGGTTCAGTGGAGTCAAACTAACAACCTCCAGCTGAACGCATCCAAAACATGTGAACTGGTCTACGACTTCAGTCGCAATAGTTCTCATTTGCCTGTCGTAATCGACAACTCCCAGGTGCAGATTGTAGAGGAGCAAGTTTCTGGGTTTAACTCTGTCTAACCTGAAATGGGTTAAAAACACTGACCGAGTCGTTAAGAAAGCTCGTCAGCGTCTCTACTTCCTGTGGAAACTTAGAGAATTTACCACTAACTCTAAGATTGTGCTTAACTTTTATGGCTGCACCATTGAGAGTTTACTTGTTGGTTCTGTGTCTGTGTGGTTTGGAAACATCACAGATAAAGAAAAGAGAGCTTTAAACAAGGTGCTCCGCTCTGCAAAGAGGACCGTGGGCTGTGAGCTTCCTGTTCTGGAGGTTCTTTATAAATCCAGACTTTTAAACAAAGCTCTTAGGATTGTTAATGACTCTTCTGGCCACCCTGGAAAAGCCATGTTCCAGCTTCTTCCCTCTGGCAGAAGATATCGCTCTCTGAGATGCAGGACATCTCGTTACGCTAACAGTTTTTATCCACAGGCTGTTATCAGTGTGAACAGAGCACTTTAATGATTTGCACTTGTTTGAACTGTTTTAGTCGATCGATTTCACAGTGACATTTGTTTACTGTTTTATTTGTTTTATTTTTGTCTTTTAATGTTGTTTTATGTCTGTATTTGTCTGTGCACACTGGAGACTTTTGCTAATGTATTCCAATGTGGTTTTTTTACTGCAAATGGCAAAATAAACTGAATCTGAATCTGAATACCAGGCAGATACTTACAGTCCGTTGGCGAAGTCGTTCATGATGGTGGAGACGCTGGTGAAGGTGAGAATTGGGATCAGAGCAAATGGAAGCTGAAAAACACATCATTTCAGGTATAAATAACAGTTACAGATTATTAATCTTATAGATTAACACGGATATCACACACTTCTAGTTTTTTGCTTGTGCTATAAATGTATATTGTATGGTCTGTCTCCATCATTGGTTCATGTGTTTACTGTAAAAGGCTCTGTGGGTGTTTGACACCCTTGGGTGCTGCTCTCGTATTCACTTGATGAAGAGTAACGTCACACTCCCAATCAATCCTTTTTATTTGGCAGTAGGACGTGTGCGGGACTCAATCTCTCTATTCTACAACATCATAATCCTTTAATGATTTAGGATTTTAGGAGAAGTTATTAAAGTCCATAAAATTGATTATTCTCAGTTGTGGAGGAGCAGCAGATTCACTCTGAGCTCCTGACCCATCTCTACAAACACTGTGTGTCTCAGACTAAAGTCAAACCCATGTCTTGAGGATGTTTGAGGCTGTGGCACCTGCATGCTCTGGAGCACGTTGAGGAAGTCGTTCATTCCTGTTAAATGTTGAACGTCCTGAAAAATGGCCACGAGGAGAGTGGGCGCGATGGCGATGGACCGAGTGAGCAGGACACGAGCGAAACGAGACCAACGTAGGTTCAAGAAGCCCTGGAAACACAACAGAGTCTAGAATAACCCTCTGGAAACACAACAGAGTCTAGAATAACCCCCTGGAAACACAACAGAGTCTAGAATAACCCTCTGGAAACACAGCAGAGTCTAGAATAACCCTCTGGAAACACAACAGAGTCTAGAATAACCCTCTGGAAACACAACAGAGTCTAGAATAACCCCCTGGAAACACAACAGAGTCTAGAATAACCCTCTGGAAACACAACAGAGTCTAGAATAACCCCCTGGAAACACAACAGAGTCTAGAATAACCCTCTGGAAACACAGCAGAGTCTAGAATAAGCCTCTGGAAACACAGCAGAGTCTAGAATAACCCTCTGGAAACACAACAGAGTCTAGAATAACCCTCTGGAAACACAACAGAGTCTAGAATAACCCTTTGGAAACAAAACAGTCTAGAATAACCCTTTGGAAACACAACAGAGTCTAGAATAACCCTCTGGAAACACAACAGAGTCTAGAATAACACTCTGGGAACACAACAGAGTCTAGAATAACCCTTGGGGAACACAACAGAGTCTAGAAAAACCCTCTGGAAACACAACAGAGTCTAGAATAACCCTCTGGAAACACAACAGAGTCTAGAATAACCCTCTGGAAACACAACAGAGTCTAGAATAACACTCTGGAAACACAACAGAGTCTAGAATAACCCCCTGGAAACACAACAGAGTCTAGAATAACCCTCTGGAAACACAAAACAGTCTAGAATAACCCTTTGGAAACACAACAGAGTCTAGAATAACCCCCTGGAAACACAACAGAGTCTAGAATAACCCTCTGGAAACACAACAGAGTCTAGAATAACCCTCTGGAAACACAACATAGTCAAGAATAACTCTGGAAACACAACAGAGTCAAGAATAACCCTCTGGAAACACAACAGAGTCTAGAATAACCCTTGGGAAACACAACAGAGTCTAGAATAACCCTTGGGAAACACAACAGAGTCTAGAATAACCCTCTGGAAACACAACAGAGTCAAGAATAACTCTCTGGAAACACAACATAGTCTAGAAAAACCCTCTGGAAACACAACAGAGTCTAGAATAACCCTCTGGAAACACAACAGAGTCAAGAATAACCCTCTGGAAACACAACAGAGTCAAGAATAACTCTCTGGAAACACAACAGAGTCTAGAATAACCCTCGAGAAACACAACAGAGTCAAGAATAACTCTCTGGAAACACAACAGAGTCTAGAATAACCCTTGGGAAACACAACAGAGTCTAGAATAACCCTCTGGAAACACAAGTGAGTCAAGAATAACTCTCTGGAAACACAACATAGTCTAGAATAACCCTCTGGAAACACAACAGAGTCAAGAATAACCCTCTGGAAACACAACAGAGTCAAGAATAACTCTCTGGAAACACAACAGAGTCTAGAATAACCCTTGGGAAACACAACAGAGTCTAGAATAACCCTTGGGAAACACAACAGAGTCTAGAATAACCCTCTGGAAACACAACAGAGTCTAGAATAACACTCTGGAAACACAAGAGTCTAGAATAACACTCTGGAAACACAACAGAGTCTAGGATAACCCTCTGGAAACACAACAGAGTCTAGAATAACCCTCTGGAAACACAACAGAGTCAAGAATAACCCTCTGGAAACACAACAGAGTCAAGAATAACTCTCTGGAAACACAACAGAGTCTAGAATAACCCTTGGGAAACACAACAGAGTCTAGAATAACCCTTGGGAAACACAACAGAGTCTAGAATAACCCTCTGGAAACACAACAGAGTCTAGAATAACACTCTGGAAACACAACAGAGTCTAGGATAACCCTCTGGAAACACAACAGAGTCTAGAATAACCCTTTGTTACACTGTGACTCCAGGATACAGTGTTGCTAACGAGACATACATCTGTGAGTATAGTGTTGGTTAAATTATATATATATATATTTATTATATATATATTTATTTATTTATTTTTCACCTCCATAACGAACTGTCCGGAGTATGTCCCAGTCATGGTGGAGCTCTGTCCTGCAGCGAGGATCCCGATGGCCCAAATGTAGAGAGCAGCTGGACCGAAAAAACAGCCCAACACCACGCCCTGGGACAGCACACCATGGGTCAGCACACCATGGGTCATGTTTATTTATATAGCACCTTCACAGACCAGACACAGAGCACTTTACAACTGATAATCACTACAGTCAAAGGGAATGTGAACGTTCTATTGCAAAAATAAGGAGCTAAGTAAGTAATGTTTTTATTTATATAGCACATTTTACAGACCAAGGTCACCCAAAGCGCTTTACAAAGTTAATTCTCTCCACACGGTGATGAAGTGAGACCTGAAGACACTGGACCATCAAAGCCTCCGACCAAACACCCTCCATTCACTCACTACATTCAGACTTATTGTACATGTTTTTAGTGGTAGGGGAAACCGGAGCACCCAGAGGAAACCTACGCAGACACAGGGAGAAGATGGAAACTCCCTGTTCCAACCAGGAGTCGAACCTATGAGAAGCGAGAGTGCTAAACACTCAGTCTGAAAGTCTGGACACCCCGTATGTGACACTATACATTAGTATAGAGTCTGTGTGTGACTGTATCTGTATTTAAAACACATACAAACAGCAGTTTTACTAACATAGGGTCGATACCCACCCCTTTGTAGATATCCACCTCCAGAGTTCCATTGGAAGGAAATAACTTTGAGTAATTAAAGTGACTTCCTGTTTGATTGCATTGTTGAAGCTGCAGAGAAAAGGATGAGACATGAAACGATCTAAGAACAACAGAGCAGTGAAAGAGCAGGATACTCACCACGTCATCATTGGTTCTATTGTAAAAGGCCTCGGCAAAAACCGCTACCACGAACACGTTAATGAGGAAGGAGACGAACAGCGCAATACTGGACTCGATGAAAAAATACTTGTTGGCTTCTTTAACTTCCCTCTTGTTTTTACGATCCACGTCTCGGGACTAGGAGCAGAAGAACAGTTAAAACCGTGGAACTGCAGGTCATGTCCACTTTAGTTTTACTGTAGTAATGTTATAATTATGTTTATGACTGCTCCCACTGTACATTTATAACATTATGCCACACAGATTTCCTCAGGATTTTATTCGTACTTCAGCAGTAGTTTATATTTTTACAAATGTGATCAACGACAAACTGTGTTCCTGGAGTTCAGGGTCGAAAGATCAATGTCTTAAAGAAAAGGATGCAGTATTGTTGACCATTAAAAACTAACCTTCTTACTTTGCCCTTTCATGTTTTAGAAAATATACATTAAAAGTGAAGTTTGAAGAGTTAGGGTCATCAGCCTGCCGCTCCCTGTGCTGCCACCAGAGGGAGGTGTTGTGTGTCACAGCCCTCACCTTGACGAGAGCCGAGTGGAGGTAAATGTTGTGAGGCATGATGACGGCGCCCACGATGCCCACGGCCTGCTCCAGCTGCACCGGGCCACAGCCGGAGCAGTACGGCACAAACATCCCCTTCAGGAGCTCCCCCTGGTCCGGCTTCACCAAAACATACTGACACAGAAGAAGAAACTGTTATCTGTGTCCCACTCTCAGCAACAGTAGGAAATGTATGTATCCACAGTATCCAGAGTCCTAAAGTCAGCTCTAAAGAAGCATCCTCTGTACTTTACCAAACTGACCAGGACTCACTTCATAACCAAAACTTATGGCCATCACAGCGATGAGAAAGGCAAAGAAAGCTTCAAGTTTCCTCAGACCTGAAACAAGACGTTTAAGGTACTTCAGATTCTACCTAACTTTGACATTTATCCAAAACATGACTCACATTTATCCAAACTCACCGTATTTATCTAAAAAGAGGAACACAAATGTGTCTGTGATCGTGATGAGGACACCTCCCCACAGCGGGATCCTACACACATACAACAGTCAGAGACCAGAGAGAGACTAGAGAGAGACCAGAGAGAGAGACCAGAGAGACCAGAGAGAGACCAGAGAGAGACCAGAGAGAGACCAGAGAGAGAGACCAGAGAGACCAGAGAGAGAGACCAGAGAGAGAGACCAGAGAGAGACCAGAGAGAGACCAGAGAGACCAGAGAGAGACCAGAGAGAGACCAGAGAGAGACCAGAGAGAGACCAGAGAGAGACCAGAGAGAGACCAGAGAGAGACCAGAGAGAGACCAGAGAGAGACCAGAGAGAGACCAGAGAGAGACCAGAGAGAGACCAGAGAGAGACTAGAGAGAGACCAGAGAGAGAGACCAGAGAGACCAGAGAGAGACCAGAGAGAGACCAGAGAGAGACCAGAGAGAGAGACCAGAGAGACCAGAGAGAGACCAGAGAGAGACCAGAGAGAGACCAGAGAGAGAGACCAGAGAGACCAGAGAGAGAGACCAGAGAGAGACCAGAGAGAGACCAGAGAGAGACCAGAGAGAGACCAGAGAGAAAGACCAGAGAGAAAGACCAGAGAGAGACCAGAGAGAGACCAGAGAGAGACCAGAGAGAGAGACCAGAGAGAGAGACCAGAGAGAGACCAGAGAGAGACCAGAGAGAGACCAGAGAGAGAGAGACCAGAGAGAGACCAGAGAGAGACCAGAGAGAGACCAGAGAGACCAGAGAGAGAGACCAGAGAGAGACCAGAGAGAGACCAGAGAGAGAGACCAGAGAGAGAGACCAGAGAGAGACCAGAGAGAGACGAGAGAGAGAGACCAGGGAGAGACCAGAGAGAGAGACCAGAGAGAGACCAGAGAGAGACCAGAGAGAGAGACCAGAGAGAGAGACCAGAGAGAGACCAGAGAGAGACCAGGGAGAGACCAGGGAGAGACAAGGGAGAGACCAGAGAGAGACCAGAGAGAGACCAGGGAGAGACCAGAGAGAGACCAGGGAGCGACCAGAAAGAGACCAGAGAGAGACCAGAGAGAGACCAGAGAGAGACCAGAGAGAGACCAGAGAGAGACCAGAGAGAGACCAGAGAGAGACCAGAGAGAGACCAGAGAGAGACCAGGGAGAGACCAGAGAGAGACCAGAGAGAGACCAGAGAGAGACCAGTGAGAGACCAGAGAGAGACCAGAGAGAGACCAGAGAGAGAGACCAGAGAGAGACCAGCGAGAGAGACCAGAGAGAGACCAGAGAGAGACCAGAGAGAGACCAGAGAGAGACCAGAGAGAGACCAGAGAGAGACCAGAGAGAGACCAGAGAGAGAGACCAGAGAGAGACCAGAGAGAGAGACCAGAGAGAGACCAGAGAGAGACCAGAGAGAGACCAGAGAGAGAGACCAGAGAGAGACCAGAGAGAGACCAGAGAGAGACCAGAGAGAGGGACCAGAGAGAGACCAGAGAGAGACCAGAGTGTCTGTTCAGTACCTGCCCACTGAGAGGAGGTTGAGGGCAATGGCACAGCCGATCACCTCCTGCATGTCTGAGCCGATAATGGCCAACTCCACCATAAACCACAGGATGATGCGTGGAACCTGGAAACACAACAATGGTGTCTGTACGTTTGAAGCACAAAGAAGTGTTGGAGCAAAGTTGCTGAGCTCACGGTTGAATACTGGCGGTTGCAGACTTCAGCCAGGTGCATCCCCGTGACCACGCCCAGGCGAGCGGCAAGCCTCTGCAGCAGGAGCCCGATGATGGTGGCCACGAGCAGGATCCAGAGGAGCTGAGGAGAGGAGAGAGGAGAGGAGAGGAGGAGGGGAGGGGAGAGGAGGAGGAGAGGGGAGAGAGAGGAGGAGGAGAGGAGGAGGAGGGGAGAGAGAGGAGGAGAGGGGAGAGAGAGGAGAGAGAGGGGAGAGAGAGGAGGAGAGGGGAGAGAGAGGAGGGGAGGGGAGAGAGAGGAGGAGGGAGGGGAGGAGGGGGAGAGAGAGGAGGAGAGGGGAGAGAGAGGAGGGGAGGGGAGAGAGAGGAGGGGAGGGGAGAGAGAGGAGGAGAGGAGAGAGAGAGGAGGGGAGGAGGAGAGGAGAGGGAGGGGAGGAGAGGGGGAGAGGAGAGGAGGTGAGAGAGAGGAGGAGGGGAGGAGGAGAGGAGAGAGGAGAGGAGAGGAGAGGAGGGGAGGGGAGGGGGGAGGAGGGGGGGAGAGGAGAGGAGAGGAGGAGGAGGGGAGAGAGGAGAGAAAGGAGGAGGGGGGGAGGGGAGGAGGAGGGGGGAGAGGAGAGGGGGGGGGAGAGGAGGAGGAGAGGAGGAGGGGAGAGAGAGGAGGGGGAGGGAGGGGAGAGAGGAGGGGAGGGGAGGAGGAGGGGGGAGAGGGAGGAGGAGGGGAGAGACGGAGAGAGGAGGAGGGGAGAGAGAGAGGAGGGGGGAGGGGAGGGGAGAGAGGAGGGGAGGGGAGGAGGAGGGGGGGAGAGGAGAGGAGGAGGAGGGGAGAGAGAGGAGAGAGAGGAGGAGGGGAGAGAGAGGAGGAGGGGAGAGGGGAGAGAGAGGAGGGAGAGGGGGAGAGAGAGGAGGGGGAGTGGGGGAGAGAGAGGAGGGGGAGGGGGGGAGGGGAGAGAGAGGAGGAGAGGGGAGAGGAGAGGAGGGGAGGGGAGAGATGAGGAGGGGAGGGGAGAGAGAGAGAGGAGGAGAGGAGAGAGGGAGGGGAGGAGGGGAGGAGGAGGAGGGGAGGAGGAGGGGGGAGAGAGAGGAGGAGGTGGAGAGAGGAGGAGGGAGGAGGAGAGGGAGAGGGAGAGGAGAGGAGAGGAGGGGAGGGGGGGGAGGAGGAGGGGGGGGAGGAGAGGAGAGGAGAGGAGGGGAGGGAGAGAGGAGAGAAAGGAGGGGGGGAGGGGAGGAGGAGGGGGGAGAGGGAGGAGGAGGGGGGAGAGGAGAGGGCGGAGGAGGAGGGTGAGGGAGAGAGGAGGGGGGAGGGGAGGGGAGAGAGGAGGGGAGGAGGAGGAGGGGGGGAGAGGAGAGGAGGAGGGGAGAGTAGGGAGAGGGGAGGGGGAGAGAGGAGGAGGGGGGGAGAGAGAGGAGGGGGAGGGGAGTGGGGGAGGGGAGGGGGGAGGGGAGGAGGAGGGGGGAGAGAGTGAGGAGGAGGGGGAGGAGAGAGGAGAGAGAGGAGGAGGGGAGAGAGAGGAGGAGGGAGAGAGGAGAGGAGAGGTGGGGAGGAGGAGGGGGGAGAGTAGAGAGGAGGAGGAGGGGGGGAGAGAGAGGAGGAGGGGGGGAGGAGAGGAGAGAGGAGAGGAGAGGGGGGAGGAGGAGGGGGGAGAGGAGAGAGAGGAGGAGGGGGAGGAGAGGAGGTGAGAGGAGAGGAGGAGGGGAGAGAGAGGAGGGGGAGGGGAGAGGAGGAGAGGAGGGGAGGGGAGGAGGAGGGGGGGAGAGTAGAGGAGAGGAGGAGGAGGGGAGAGAGAGGAGGAGGGGAGGAGGAGAGGAGAGAGGAGAGGAGAGGGGGGGGAGGAGGAGGGGGAGAGGGAGAGGAGGAGGAGGAGAGGAGGAGGAGGGAGGAGGAGAGGAGAGAGGAGAGGAGAGGAGGAGGGAGGGAGGAGGAGGGGGGAGAGGAGAGGAGAGGAGGAGGGGAGAGAGAGAGGAGGGGGAGGGGAGGGGAGGAGGAGGGAGGAGAGGAGAGGAGAGGTGGGGAGAGGAGACGAGGAGGGGAGGGGGGAGAGGAGAGGAGAGGAGGAGGAGGGGAGGAGGAGGGGAGAGGAGGGGAGGGGAGGAGGAGGGGGGAGAGGAGAGGAGGAGGAAGAGGAGGAGGAGGGGAGGAGGAGGGGAGAGGAGAGGAGAGAGGAGGGGAGGAGGAGGGGGGAGAGGAGAGGAGAGGAGGAAGGGAGAGGAGGGGAGGGGAGGAGGAGGGGAGAGGAAGAGGAGGAGGAGGGGAGGAGGAGGGGAGAGGAGAGGAGAGAGGAGGGGAGGAGGAGGGGGGAGAGGAGAGGAGAGGAGGAGGAGGGGAGGAGGAGGGGAGAGGAGGAGAGAGAGGAGGAGAGGAGAGAATAAACTTTATTGATCTCTGATGTGACATCACAGACAGACGTGTGGAACATGTTAAAGGTTGAATAAAGTCTGTGCAGGACATAATGAGGTAGAACTAAGAACATGTAAAGTGGCAGCAGCAGTGCAGGGTTTTAGTGATTTAAAGTGCCCCACACAGAGAACTTTATTGTTTTAATGTTTTAATGTAACTGTAGTTGTTTAGGTTTTGAATACAAGTCCTTTGGTTCAGAAAAGCATGTGAAGACTCTGACTCTGTGTCTTTAGGCAAGACACATCAGGTTGACATACAGTGGGTAGATTTACAAAGAATACATGATATTGCCGTCTTGGTCATGGAAAGAATATTTATCATGTTTTAAGTACAGTGATAATAACCTGTGCGGAGGTGGTCTATAACAATACCTTAAACCCTGCTTTAGCTCCAGACTGCAGATCAGATTCAATATTCCCCGGATCTAGATAAGCAATACTCATCAAGAACCCGGGTCCAGTGAACGCCCACAGCTTCCGGAAACTGAACATCTGCAGAAGATTCAGACACGATTCAAAGGTTTAGGAAACGCTCAGAAACTCAATCTCTAATTTGTCAAACATTACTTTGAGATTATTACATTTACACATGTGTTCTTTGGACCTGTAGAGGGACTAGACCTCATGTTTGGACCTGTAGAGGGACTAGACCTCATGTTTGGACCTGTAGAGGGACTAGACCTCATGTTTGGACCTGTAGAGGGACTAGACCTCATGTTTGGACCTGTAGAGGGACTAGACCTCATGTTTGGACCTGTAGAGGGACTAGACCTCATGTTTGGACCTGTAGAGGGACTAGACCTCATGTTTGGACCTGTAGAGGGACTAGACCTCATGTTTGGACCTGTAGAGGGACTAGACCTCATGTTTGGACCTGTAGAGGGACTAGACCTCATGTTTGGACCTGTAGAGGGACTAGACCTCATGTTTGGACCTGTAGAGGGACTAGACCTCATGTTTGGACCTGTAGAGGGACTAGACTTCATGTTTGGACCTGTAGAGGGACTAGACCCCATGTTTGGACCTGTAGAGGGACTAGACCTCATGTTTGGACCTGTAGAGGGACTAGACCTCATGTTTGGACCTGTAGAGGGACTAGACCCCATGTTTGGACCTGTAGAGGGACTAGACCCCATGTTTGGACCTGTAGAGGGACTAGACCTCATGTTTGGACCTGTAGAGGGACTAGACTTCATGTTTGGACCTGTAGAGGGACTAGACCCCATGTTTGGACCTGTAGAGGGACTAGACCTCATGTTTGGACCTGTAGAGGGACTAGACCTCATGTTTGGACCTGTAGAGGGACTAGACCCCATGTTTGGACCTGTAGAGGGACTAGACCCCATGTTTGGACCTGTAGAGGGACTAGACCTCATGTTTGGACATGTAGAGGGACTAGACCTCATGTTTGGACATGTAGAGGGACTAGACCTCATGTTTGGACCTGTAGAGGGACTAGACCCCATGTTTGGACCTGTAGAGGGACTAGACCTCATGTTTGGACCTGTAGAGGGACTAGACCTCATGTTTGGACCTGTAGAGGGACTAGACCCCATGTTTGGACCTGTAGAGGGACTAGACCTCATGTTTGGACCTGTAGAGGGACTAGACCTCATGTTTGGACCTGTAGAGGGACTAGACCTCATGTTTGGACCTGTAGAGGGACTAGACCTCATGTTTGGACCTGTAGAGGGACTAGACCTCATGTTTGGACCTGTAGAGGGACTAGACCCCATGTTTGGACCACAGGGACTAGACCCCATGTTTGGACCACAGGGACTAGACCCCATGTTTGGACCACAGGGACTAGACCTCATGTTTGGACCACAGGGACTAGACCCCATGTTTGGCTCACAGGGACTAGACCCCATGTTTGGACCACAGGGACTAGACCTCATGTTTGGACCACAGGGACTAGACCTCATGTTTGGACCACAGGGACTAGACCTCATGTTAGTACCTGGTTTGCATCCTCGGGGATAGGAACTTTCTCTTCGTAGTAGGTGGAGAAGCGGTTGTCCTGCTCTGAGGGCGTCGATGGAGACGACACTGAGCTGTAAGCTCCATCCCCCGGAGGTCCTTCGTCCTCTGGAACAAGCACAGTGACCTTTAACCCTTGGTCCAAACAAACAGCCGTGTGGTAGATTTTGTGATGGAAGCATTAATTGGATACATTATAAACCAGAAAAGATTAGTCTGTGATTAAATAAGTAAATAAATATAATACTGATAAAACTAGAACTAGTCTGAGTCTGTACTCACTGAGCCGAGAGCGCTCCATCTGTCATGTGACCTGACCACTTATCTAATGTGTTCAGGTCACATGACCACAACACTGACAGACAGGTCACATGACCACAACACTGACAGACAGGTCACATGACCACCACACTGACAGACAGGTCACATGACCACCACACTGACAGACAGGTCACATGACCACAACACTGACAGAGACAGGTCACATGACCACAACACTGACAGAGACAGGTCACATGACCACAACACTAACTGAGACAGGTCACATGACCACAACACTGACTGAGACAGGTCACATGACCACAACACTGACAGACAGGTCACATGACCACAACACTAACTGAGACAGGTCACATGACCACAACACTGACAGACAGGTCACATGACCACAACACTGACAGACAGGTCACATGACCACAACACTGACAGACAGGTCACATGACCACAACACTGACTGAGACAGGTCACATGACCACAACACTGACTGAGACAGGTCACATGACCACAACACTGACTGAGACAGGTCACATGACCACAACACTGACTGAGACAGGTCACATGACCACAACACTGACAGACAGGTCACATGACCACAACAGAGACTGAGACAGGTCACATGACCACAACACTGACTGAGACAGGTCACATGACCACAACAGAGACTGAGACAGGTCACATGACCACAACACTGACTGAGACAGGTCACATGACCACAACAGAGACTGAGACAGGTCACATGACCACAACAGACAGACAGGTCACATGACCACAACCGACAGACAGGTCACATGACCACAACACTGACTGAGACAGGTCACATGACCACAACACTGACTGAGACAGGTCACATGACCACAACACTGACTGAGACAGGTCACATGACCACAACACTGACTGAGACAGGTCACATGACCACAACACTGACTGAGACAGGTCACATGACCACAACACTGACTGAGACAGGTCACATGACCACAACACTGACTGAGACAGGTCACATGACCACAACACTGACTGAGACAGGTCACATGACCACAACACTAACTGAGACAGGTCACATGACCACAACACTGACAGACAGGTCACATGACCACAACACTGACAGACAGGTCACATGACCACAACACTGACTGAGACAGGTCACATGACCACAACACTGACTGAGACAGGTCACATGACCACAACACTGACTGAGACAGGTCACATGACCACAACACTGACTGAGACAGGTCACATGACCACAACACTGACAGACAGGTCACATGACCACAACACTAACTGAGACAGGTCACATGACCACAACACTGACAGACAGGTCACATGACCACAACACTGACAGACAGGTCACATGACCACAACACTGACAGACAGGTCACATGACCACAACACTGACAGACAGGTCACATGACCACAACAGAGACTGAGACAGGTCACATGACCACAACACTGACTGAGACAGGTCACATGACCACAACACTGACAGACAGGTCACATGACCACAACAGAGACTGAGACAGGTCACATGACCACAACACTGACTGAGACAGGTCACATGACCACAACAGAGACTGAGACAGGTCACATGACCACAACACTGACTGAGACAGGTCACATGACCACAACAGAGACTGAGACAGGTCACATGACCACAACAGACAGACAGGTCACATGACCACAACCGACAGACAGGTCACATGCCCACAAGCGACAGACAGGTCACATGACCACAACACTGACTGAGACAGGTCACATGACCACAACAGAGACTGAGACAGGTCACATGACCACAACAGACAGACAGGTCACATGACCACAACCGACAGACAGGTCACATGCCCACAACACTGACTGAGACAGGTCACATGACCACAACACTGACTGAGACAGGTCACATGACCACAACACTGAGACAGGTCACATGACCACAACACTGACTGAGACAGGTCACATGACCACAACACTGACTGAGACAGGTCACATGACCACAACACTGACAGACAGGTCACATGACCACAACACTGACTGAGACAGGTCACATGACCACAACACTGACTGAGACAGGTCACATGACCACAACACTGACTGAGACAGGTCACATGACCACAACACTGACTGAGACAGGTCACATGACCACAACACTGACTGAGACAGGTCACATGACCACAACACTGACTGAGACAGGTCACATGACCACAACACTGACTGAGACAGGTCACATGACCACAACACTGACTGAGACAGGTCACATGACCACAACACTGACTGAGACAGGTCACATGACCACAACAGACAGACAGGTCACATGACCACAACAGACTGAGACAGGTCACATGACCACAACTGACTAAGACACATTTACAGGAAGTCCTTTTCCAGAAACAGGGAACAGTGACAGTGAGAAAAAGTACAAACCTTCTTTCATGTGGTCACATGACCCTCTGATCACATGACCCTCTGATCACATGACCCTGAGATCACATGACCCTGAGATCACATGACCCTGAGATCACATGACCCTGAGATCACATGACCCTCTGATCACATGACCCTGAGATCACATGACCCTGAGATCACATGACCCTGAGATCACATGACCCTGAGATCACATGACCTTGGGATCACATGACGGTCGGCACTAGATCATATACGGAATCGGGACGGAAGCGGAAGTAAATATAAAAAACTACCTATTTATGCCTAAACTTAACCAGCCATTACCATAAAATAACCCCAACCCAGCCTTAACCCTAACCTTAACCATCTTAATTAGACGCCTAAAACTTAACCAGTCTCCACTTAAGGACTTTTTAGTCTAAAACTAATTCGAAAGTAGGAATGTTACTTCCGGTTTCGTCCCGATTCCGTATATGATCTAGTGCCGACCATCACATGACCCTCTGATCACATGACCCTCTGATCACATGACCCTCTGATCACATTGTAACGCTCAGCCCCTCGGAGCGCGCACTACAAAATACATCGAGGTAACTGTGACGCTTTATACCCGCTGTGATTGACCTAGCGCTGATCAAAGAAAAACAACCACTCATTAATCTACTGTGCGTAACTCCATTGTACTCCACTGTACTCCAGTTATTCAGTACTCAGTCCAAAACAAGCAATAATCATAAACAATATAAAAGACTTAGTCCTCCCCGTGCCCACTGTCAAACCTGGTGACGAGTACGTGGCTCCGGTGATAGTCAGTGTAGTTCAAAAGGCAAATCCAAGAGTTGACAAAACGATGTAAGTAATCCAAACAGAACGGGAAAGTAATCCAAACGTTAAGAGTGTGGGCAGAGCGCAGTGGGTGAGTGCGCTCTCCCTCTCCAGCGTATAAAGTTCATAAACAAAACGCGCACAGGCCGTGCGTGAGCGGCAACCGGGCTCTCCTGCCGGGTCCGTCCCGAGGGTCTGTACAGTCCGCTACAATAATCCCCCCCACAGATCTCCGACTCAAGTCTCTCGTGGTCTCCTCGAGCCGTGTCCCAAAACCAAAGCAGCAGAGAGTTGTAGTATTTAGCCTGGCGAACCTGGTGTACCCCCATCCTTTTCCTTACCTCTTCCCCTAGTTTTTGTTGTCGCTCAACCGCATCATAAGAGTCTTTTTGCTCAGGGCTGGGTGGTTTGTGAATGAGTCTTTGTAACGGACCATGAAGTCGCCGACCCAGAGCCAGCTCTGCCGGAGTCCTACCAGTAGTTTCTTGCTGAGCAGTGTTGATAGCAAAACGAATCTCTGGTAGCCACTGGTCCCACATCTCATGGGAGGGCCCTACGAAGGATGCGGTCATGGTTTTGATGGTCCGATTGAACCGTTCAGTGAGGTTAGTTTGAGGGTGGTAACTGGTGGTGAGTTTCTGTATCACCCCCCATGCTTTGCAGAGGTCAGTCAAGAGGCCAGCAGTAAATTGTGGACCTCGGTCCGAGACGAGAAATTTGGGAACCCCCCAACGAGTGAAGATCTCCTCTCGCAGGATCTTAATGATACGGGGAGTTTTGCTATCCCGTAGTGGGAATACCTCCACCCATTTTGAATAGTAATCAACCACCACCACCAGGTAACAGTTTCCCTTTTTGCTTCGGGGAAATGGGCCCATCAGGGTGATGCCCAGCATCTCTCCTGGAGCAGTCACCTGTGTGGACTGGAGATATCCATGCGGTTTGGTGTTCTCTGGTTTATAACGCTGGCAGCTCTCACAGGACTTTGTGTGTTCCCATACATCTTTGCGTACAGTAGGCCACCAGGCAACCTCCAACACCCTCAGTAGGGTCTTCAGCCGTCCTAGATGCCCACCTAGAGGGTTATCATGGAAATACTGGAGGAACTCTGGGGCTAGGACTTGAGGGACGACAAGCTGGTACTTTTCTCCACCGTCTATTGGAACCTGGCGATAGATCACACCTTGGTGGTTAACAAAAGTGATCCGGTTGGGTTTGGCCTGTCCTGCTTTATTGAGTGTCAGGTCATGGATAAACGGGTCTTGTGTCTGTGCTTTGGCAATCTCGTCTAAGGCGGTTGGCAGGTTTTTGCTGTGTTTCCATCCAGTGCTAAACAGGGAGTGTTCTGGGATTGTTTCTCACAGGATCGTGACAGTGCGTCTGGTGCAGTGTTAAGGCACCCTTTGCGATAGTGCACTCTGAAGGTGAACTGTTGCAATCGCAGGATCCAGCGTGTCAGACGGCAAGAAGTTTTTGGGCAATTGAAAGCCCAGGCCAGAGCAGCATGGTCAGTGAAGACATCGAAATGGATACCCTCCAGATAGTGCCTCCACTTCTCTATGGCCCATACCACTGCCAGGCACTCCTTCTCTGATGTAGAATAGTTCTTTTCAGGGCCTCGAAGCATCCGTGAAGCATAGGCTACCACCCTTTCTCCCTCAGGAAAGAGCTGTGGGAGTATGGCTCCCAGCCCAGCCTCACTGGCATCCGTGTGAACTTGGAATGGCAGATTTTGGTTTGGTTGTGCCATAACAGGTGGGTTGTTGAGAGCCTGCTTGAGGGCCGTGAAACTGGCTTGGCATTCAGAAGTCCATTTCCATTCCATCCCCTTCTTCTTGAGATGGTTCAATGGGGCGGCCATGTCCGCGAAGCCAAGAATGAATTTGTGGTACCAGCCCGCGAGCCCCAGAAAACGCTGCAGTTCTTTAATGTCCTGTGGCACGGGGAACTCTGACACTGCTTTGGTTTTGGATGGATCCACCTCCACACCTCGAGAGGACACAATATGTCCCAAGAACTTTAGTTCTCTCTTGAAGAACTGACACTTCTTCATGTTCAGGCTGAGATTGGCTGCCTGTAGCTTTTGGAAGACCGAGTTCAGGTCTCTAGAATGTTGTTCACGGGACGTAGAGTATACAATGATATCGTCAATGTAAACAAAGCACATCCTGCCTCTCAGCTCTCCCAACACCTTCTCCATAAATCTTTGAAAGGTGGCCGCCGCGTTCCGCAAACCAAAGGGCATGCGTTTGAACTGGAAGAGTCCCAGAGTTGTGATGAAAGCTGTGTTTTGTTTGCTGTTTTCATCCATGGCTATCTGCCAATACCCCGACTGTAGGTCCAAGGCGCTGAACCATGTCGCACCCTCTAGTGACTCGAGGATCTCATGGATGATTGGCATGGGGTAAGCGTCTGGGAGAATTTTAGCATTAACTTTGCGAAAGTCTATACAGAATCGCTCCCGGCCATCAGGACGATCGACCATGACCACGGGTGAGGACCAAGAGGACTGAGACGGCTCTATGATGTCCTCGTCCAGCATTTTTTCGACATGCTCTTCAATTATTCTCTTTTTGAGGGGAGATACCCTGTAAGCTCGCGATTTAACTGGCACCTCATCCTGGGTGTAAATTGTGTGCTTTTCCACTGTGGTCTTGCCGAGCACACTGGAAGTCACTGTGGGTCTGGCATTAATGAGTTGAGAAAGTTCATTGGGCTGGTCGACAGAGACAGAGTTCATCATGAGCGGATACGAGGTCCAATATGGCAGGAATCTGCCCGGTTGGGGTGCGTAATATAAATGCACCCTCGGAACAGTTCTCGTCCATGGACCCGGTCTTGTGGGCGGCAGAAGGAAGGGATGGAAAACATAACCATTTGCTGTTTGTAATCCATAAACGCGTTTAGCCAGGTCTAGGATGACCCCAGCATCAGTCAGAAAATCCAGTCCGATTATCATGGGAAAAGCGAGATGTCTGTCGTCCATAACATGCGCCTCGACACTCAGCTTTCGACCATGCCAGTCCAGTCCGAAGCGTTGTTTTCCCAGGGCAACATGCGTGGTTCCATCCGCCATGACAAACCTCTGGTCCTCTGATGGAATCAAGTCTCTTGAGGTGCCATGGAGGTTCCTCCATAGACTCTCTCGCATGAGCGTGTAGGTACTTCCAGTATCCACCACAGCTACTCCCTGGACATGGCATATGGTAAGAGGAACCAACAGCAGCTCGGCTCTCGGCATTTGGGGCGGTGGAGGTTGGGTGACAACTGCATTGAATTTATTCCCACCTCTTTTTTCTAGGGCCCTTTTCCCAGTTCCCTCGGTGGAGGCATGCACTTTCTGCCAATAGCCTTTAGCGCTACCACAGTCTTTCTCCACCATGGACCCCACTTTCACCAGGTCTGTGACCGTATGGACAGTTCCTCTCAAACACCCCGCTACTTTTGGATTTGTGTTGTTAAGTATGCGTCTCACGATTTCTTCCTCGGACATATCCGGTTTCCATTTGAGACACAGGGCCTGGTAATCATAAGCAAAATCCCGCAGACGTTGGTCGGGCTGCTGCACCAGCTCCCTCAGCTTTTCCTCCACTTCCGCCATATAGTCCGTGGGAAGGAATGCGTTCAAAAATGTCTCTTTAAACATACTCCAATCAAGCACCTGGCCTTTTGCAGCTTTCCACCAGCTTAGCGCGGGTCCCCTCAACACGGAGGATAATGTCCCCATCAGTTCTGGTACCGAGAGTGGGCGTAACTCCAAAAAGTTCTCCACTTGTTCCACAAAACTTAACACGTCCGCGGTTTCACAACTAGGTCCAAATGTGGGGAAATCCAAACGGACTGGAGGCTTGAAGTAGAACGGGGATACACCAGGCATACTAAAGGTGGCATTAAGGGGAGGGGGACCACCCATGTCAGTGGATACAGCAATGGTTCTCTGATTAATAGGGGTACTAGTGGGACGCAAAGTACTAATCTCTCTTTGCCACTTCTCATCCCTCCTCTTTAAACAGCTAACCATGTTCTTCTCTAACACCTCTATCTTGTCCTGGAATTCCTGTTCCATTTTTGCCAAAGCCCTTTCAACACTCTCCCTAAAGGATGTTTCTCTGTTGAGAGAACTAGACACAGACTCTCTGTGAGTTGTCTCCAGAGCTCCTAGGTGACATTCCAAAACCCTCATTCTGTTCTGCATACTGTCCCAGTCAGTCTGGGAAATGTCCACTCTATTCTCCCTCTGCACCACTACAGGAGTGAGGGGCTCCAACAGCCCTCTCCCAAGAGCTCCCAAAGCCTCCTCCCCATTCTGACTAGTATGGTCGGAATTTTCCTCATTAACTCTGTCCTGTGATTGAGCCCGTGCTATTCTGTCATCTCCATTCAGACTGACGTCTCCATCATGAAGATACAGTGAGTCTAACAGTGACTCGATCTCCCCCGTAGGATTTCTGCGAGCTACGAACGGCCCTGCGGTAAAGTCTGGGTTGTCCTGATCTGCGCTCTCCTGATCCCCCATGTCAATGTAACACACCCACACACACACCCGAGTGGTATAAAAAAAAACAAGCGTCTACAAAAGTACAAATCACAGACAAAATCACAAGTCCTCGTACGGGCCACCATATGTAACGCTCAGCCCCTCGGAGCGCGCACTACAAAATACATCGAGGTAACTGTGACGCTTTATACCCGCTGTGATTGACCTAACGCTGATCAAAGAAAAACAACCACTCATTAATCTACTGTGCGTAACGTGTACTCCATTTACTCAGTACTCAGTCCAAAGCAAGCAATAATCATAAACAATATAAAAGACTTAGTCCTCCCCGTGCCCACTGTCAAACCTGGTGACGAGTACGTGGCTCCGGTGATAGTCAGTGTAGTTCAAAAGGCAAATCCAAGAGTTGACAAAACGATGTAAGTAATCCAAACAGAACGGGAAAGTAATCCAAACGTTAAGAGTGTGGGCAGAGCGCAGTGGGTGAGTGCGCTCTCCCTCTCCAGCGTATAAAGTTCATAAACAAAACGCGCACAGGCCGTGCGTGAGCGGCAACCGGGCTCTCCTGCCGGGTCCGTCCCGAGGGTCTGTACAGTCCGCTACAATAATCCCCCCCCACAGATCTCCGACTCAAGTCTCTCGTGGTCTCCTCGAGCCGTGTCCCAAAACCAAAGCAGCCCCCTCGTCTCTCTTTCCTCGCACCTGATGGCAGGTCTCTGATGAGCCCTTCCTCCCGGGACACGCCCCCCCAGTTCATTCACAAAACAGACCTGTCCCATTAGGCCCAAAACATAAACAAATATACCTAAACACACATTAACACTTTTTAAACATTTGTGGCTATGCTACAACATGACCCTCTGATCACATGACCCTCTGATCACATGACCCTCTGATCACATGACCCTCTGATCACATGACCCTCTGATCACATGACCCTGGGATCACATGACCCTCTGATTACATGACCCTTGGGTCACATGACCCTGGGATCACATGACCCTCTGATTACATGACCCTTGGGTCACATGACCCTGGGATCACATGACCCTCTGATTACATGACCCTTGGGTCACATGACCCTGGGATCACATGACATGTGGACTGTGTAAACTACTGCTATAGCCACAGCTGCCCTGGGGCAGACAGTTGGAAGTAAGAACGTTTTGATACAATTATAATTGTTTTTGATGATGACTAATTCCATGTAGAATATATTTATGCTCCTGAGAAGAATAGTTTTAAAATCAGCAACAGTCCAGAAGTGTTTGTGAATCGGTCTGAGGCCCGTGGACTTCAAAGCTCAGTGAGTTTAACAATCGCAGCACTTATACATATGTATACTTTTATACACATGTATACTTTTATATACATTTGTATATAAAATAGGGTTGGGCGATATTTTTTTTGTACCGGTATAAGTAAATTAAATGATAAGAAAATGCCTTATACCGGTGAAAACGATCATTTAACACTGAAAACGGCGAGCGGAAGACACGTTTGTGTGCGGCGCACTTTGATGATGCATCTGCGCGGCACGTGTAGCAGAGCGGCGTGCAGGGACAACAACAACAGAGCAGAGAGCAAACATGGCTGAGGGCGGCGGTGAAGACCATGGTGAAGACATGCAGATTGTAGAAGACATTGTGCCAAAACGCGGAGCTACCTCAAACATATGGGAGTAGTTTGGGAACTAGATAAAAAGAAGCAGTTGTGTGTAACTATGGACAGTGGATCTAATGTTGTGAAAGCAGCTGCCCTAAATCTCTCTCTCTCTCTCTCTCTCTCTCTCTCATAGTGCCATTGGTAAGCTTTATTTACTGTTTACTGTATTCATTTTACTTCAATGCATGTGTTTGTCTACATTGCAATATAATTACAAATAAGTTATAATTACATAATTATAGAAATTATAGAATTATAGCAAAAGGATACAAAAAATATATACAGTATTTGATCATTTTGACTATATTGGGATTAGGAAACATAAGCCAAAGTGATCAAATAATTATTTGATAATGCTACACTTGTTATATTACAAAGGACAAACTTTTATATATTTTACAAATTACAAATGTTCACCTTTATTACATGTTGCCTGCAATTTTCAGTATGTACAAAACAGAATTCTCTACAATTCAGTTTTGTTAATACGTTTTATATACAATAGCTGTATTACAAATGTTGCTGCCAATAAATCAGTAAATGCACTTTGAGGCAAGTGTGTTTAAAATGATCAGTGCTAAGTTTTTATAGCTTTTATATGAGGCTTTGTTCAAATTATCATATCGTCATATCGTGATACATACCAACAAAAATCGTGATACATGCTGAGGCCCATATCGCCCAACCCTAATATAAAAGTATACATATTAATACTCCATCCATCCATCCATTTTCTTCCGCTTCATCCGTTGCCGGGTCGCGGGGGCAGCAGTCTAAGCAGAGACGCCCAGACTTCCCTATCCACACACACCTCCTCCAGCTCGTCCGGGGGGACCCCAAGGCGTTCCCAGGCCAGCTGAGAGACATAGTCTCTCCAGCGTGTCCTGGGTCTTCCCCGGGGCCTCCTCCCGGTGGGACGTGCCCGGAACACCTCCCCAGGGAGGCGTCCAAGAGGCATCCTGAACAGATGCCCGAGCCACCTCAACTGGTTCCTCTCGACGTGGAGAAGCAGCGGCTCTACTCCGAGCTCCTCCCGTGTGACCGAGCTCCTCACCCTATCTCTAAGGGAGCGCCCAGCCACTCTGCGGAGGAAGCTCATTTCGACCGCTTGTATCCGCGATCTCGTTCTTTCGGTCATTACCCAAAGCTCATGACCATAGGTGAGGGAGGGAATGAAGATTGACCGGTAAATCGAGAGCTTCGCCTTTCGGCTCAGCTCCCTCTTTACCACAACGGTCCGATACAGCGACCGCATCACTGCGCACGCTGCACCGATCCGCCTGTCAATCTCACGCTCCATTCTTCCCTCACTCGTGAACAAGACCCCGAGATACTTGAACTCCTCCACTTGAGGAAGGACCTCTCCACCCGCCTGAAGAGGGCAAGGCACCTTTTTCCGGTCGAGCACCATGGCCTCGGATTTGGAGGTGCTGATTCTCATCCCAGCCGCTTCGCACTTGGCTGCAAACCGTCCCAGTGCATGCTGCAGGTCCTGGTTCGTTGGAGCCAGCAGGACGACATCATCCGCAAAAAGTAGAGATGAAATCCTGTGGTTCCCGAACCGGACCCCCTCCGGCCCCTGGCTGCGCCTAGAAATTCTGTCCATAAATACAGTGAACAGAACCGGTGACAAAGGGCAGCCCTGTCGGAGGCCAACATTCACCGGGAACAGGTCTGACTTACTGCCGGCAATGCGAACACAGCTCTGACTCCGGTCATACAGGGACCGGACGGCCCTCAGCAGAGGACCCCGGACCCCGTACTCCCGGAGGACCCCCCAAAGGACAACCCGGGGAACACGGTCGAACGCCTTCTCCAAATCCACAAAGCACATGTGGACAGGTTGGGCGAACTCCCATGAACCCTCGAGTATCCGATGGAGAGTATAGAGCTGGTCCAGTGTTCCGCGACCGGGACGAAAACCACACTGCTCCTCCTGAATCCGAGATTCGACCATCGGACGTAGCCTCCTCTCCAGTACCTTGGAGTAGACCTTACCAGGGAGGCTGGGGAGTGTGATCCCACGATAATTGGAACACACCCTCCGGTCCCCCTTCTTGTAGAGAGGGACCACCACCCCGGTCTGCCACTCCATTGGTACCGCCCCCGATCGCCACGCGATGCTGCAGAGACGTGTCAGCCAAGACAGTCCTACAACATCCAGAGACTTTAGATAGTCAGGACGGATCTCATCCACTCCCGGCGCCTTGCCACCATGGAGGCTGCCAACCACCTTGGTGACCTCAGCCAGGGAGATGTAAGTATCCGCCCCAACATCCTCAGCCTCTGCCTCCTGGACGGAGGACGTGACGGGGGGATTGAGGAGAACCTCAAAGTATTCCTTCCACCGCCCGACAATATCCCCAGTCGAGGTCAGCAGCCCTCCACCCGCACCATACACGGTGTTGGCAAAGAACTGCTTCCCCCTCCTGAGGCGCCGGACGGTTTGCCAGAACCTCTTCGAGGCCGACCGATAGTCATGCTCCATGGACTCTCCGAACTCCTCCCAGTCCCGGGTTTTTGCCTCTGCAACAGCCCGGGCCGCGGCACGTTTGGCCTGCCGGTACTGGACAGCTGCCTCAGGAGTCCCACGAACCATCATTGCTCGATAGGACTCCTTCTTCAGCCTGACAGCATCTCTTACTGCCGGTGTCCACCACCGGGTTCGGGGATTGCCGCCGGGACCAGCACCAGAGACCTTGCGACCACAGCTACGAGCCGCCGCATTGGCGATAGAGGAAGAGAACATGGTCCACTCGGACTCGATGTCCCCCTCCTCTGCCGGGACCTGGGAGAAGCTCTCCCGGAGGTGTGAGTTGAAAGTCCGTCTGACAGGGGGCTCAGCAAGACGTTCCCAGCAAACCCTCACTACACGCTTGGGCCTGCCAGGTCTGTCCGGCCTCCTGCCCTGCCAGCGGATCCAACTCACGACCAGGTGATGATCGGTTGACAGCTCCGCCCCTCTCTTCATATTAATACTTTTATAGTGTATTTGCAGTTACCTTCCACAGTCTGTCCTCGCTTCATTGTAGCAGGGTCCAGGAAACTCAAAGATCAATCACTGCAAAAAGAAGGACATCAGTAACACACACACAGACACAGACACAGACACACACACACACACACACAGACACAGACACAGACACACACACACACACACACACACAGACACAGACACAGACACAGACACAGACACACACACGTTATTATTTAAACTTCCTTTGAGGAGTGAGAACAAGTGCAAACCCTTTTGAAAGTTCCCCTCTGTGGTCACATGACCCTGTGGTAACATGACCCTGTGGTCACATCCTTCAATAACATAGTTAAAGTGTTTCCCAGAGAAAGTGAAGATAATACGTCTGGTCTGTTTACACATACAGACATGTTGTATTTTGTGTAAATGAAATGGAACCAAACACATATTTAACTGTGATGAGAGGATTCATGATCCACGCTGGAGTCTTAGTATTTAATCCAACAGTTTTGTTCTTGAATCTCTTTAACCGCATTGATTTTAAAACTAAATATTCACGAATAAAACCTCCTGTGCGTAAATAACTAATAACTAATGAAAATACTCTGATGAAGGCCCTAAATGTTATTATATTAACCATAAACTAAAGTCCATGACTACAATAAACAGCTGTAGCTCAGCGTCGTCATACTTATTAATCAATAGAAAATAACTCGTAGAGCACAGACTTCTGCCTAGTGGAAAATCACTGAGTAACATAGCTCACAGAAAAACAGACAGAGATTGGTGATCACTTTACCTCCTGAGCTGAGCTAATAAATAATGTATTGAAATATGTTGAAATGTATTGCATATTGTGAGGGAATTGACTGCAACTATAAACCCACAACTTTAACGGACAAATGTAATCTACAGAGAGCAGCTTTCACAATCTGAGAATCTACGACACCTCCCACAAAGCTGGAAGAATGGGTTTGTGTGAGAGGGAGGAAGGAGGAGGAGGAATCCCAACACGTTATATCACTACATACATTAAACATGATAGTTTACACGTTAGTCAACACTGGATAGAAGTAACATGGCTCTGTAACAAGAGATTAGTGAGGATAAGGATTCAAACTGTAGAGTATATACATAAATACATACTGTAGTGTATATACCATACATACAGTATCCATACATACATACATACTGTACACATACTTACACACTGTACTGTATATACATACAGCATACAAACAGCACAGAGCAAAAGTGTGGACACCCTCTCTCCTTCACTGAGTTCTTTTCATGACTATTGCTGTAGACCCGCACCAGGCTGTGTAAGGGCCGGACCTGAACCCAGTCCAGATGGTTTTGGACCTGAACCTAGTCCAGATGGTTTTGGACCTGAACCCAGTCCAGATGGTTTTGGACCTGAACCCAGTCCAGATGGTTTTGGACCTGAACCCAGTCCAGATGGTTTTGGACCTGAACCCAGTCCAGATGGTTTTGGACTTATTTTTTTAGTACGTACATAATTCACATGAGTTCATTCATAGTTTTGAGGCCTTCAGTGTGATTCTACAATTTTCATAATCATGAAAATAAAAAACTCTTTGAATGAGAAGGTGTGTCCAAACTTTTGGGTTGTACTGTACATACATACAGCATATACATAACAGTACACATACATTTAAATTGTATTCCTTAGAAGTGTTGCTGATTTTTTATTATACCTTCTCTATTCTAATTCTACTTCTGGCTCAAAGGCCAACGCTCTACCAACTGAGCTACTGCCGCCCTTATATACACACACACACACATTTATGTGCTTGATGCGCTTGACACGTATTACTATTCATCCAAAAACATCCAAGAACAGATAAAACTCGAAGATAAAAACAATCAAACTGTTAATTACTTAAATAAAAGTGTGTATGCATCTACCAGCTAGCTAACTAGCTAGCTGGTAGATGCCGAGGTAGCTCTTCGGGCATACGGAAGGACATGCGTGTCATAAAGTGACCGGTGTCTTCTTACCTGGTGTTTCTTGGTGGTGAATAAATAAAAGCAGTTGTATGAACCCGTAGTGATCCAAAGCAGCGACATGTGCACATTTTAAGTTTGAATAAGTCAGATTTAGCTGAAGACTTTCCTCACGTCAGCCATGGTCCGCGCCGGAGCTTCTGCGCATGCGTGCAACCAAGAGAAACTAACAATTAGTTTTATTTTAAGAATGCATTAGAATTAGATGTATATAGGTTAAATACTATCATAGACTCAAACATTTAATAATATTTAGTCATTCTAAAACATTAATTCCATATTAACGAATCTGAAGTCCCGCTTGAGATCTCGCGATGCCTCATCATGGCTAAGTGCAGAAGGGCTAAAGCTAAGCTACCTCGGTCTTGCTCAGTGCTATGTAGTCAAATGTACCCCCCTCAGTCTTAATGAAGGCGAGCACAGGCTGAGCACATTATGGACTTAAGAAACATCACGGACGAGGTAATTGTAATGAATAAAGTATTGTAGTGTCTGGGGTAGAGCTGGCTGTCATCATCTCTGCGCACAGCCGGCTAGTCCTTTAGCGAGACGACGAGAAAAGTTCATCCAAAATATAAAACATACACAATATTGTGACGCATGTTGTCTGCTGTGCTGCTGGAATGTGTTGGTTTGCATGCTTTTTCAGTTCAATGTGTTGTGCAAATATTTCCTTCTGGATGAGTTAGTGAATTGGGTCATTGTTACTGCACTATGACCATGCACTGTACCAAGTTTGTGATGCGTGATTTATTTGAGTCTTGATCTAAAACCAACACCTGTGTTGCAGGCTCCGTTACTGCAGGCCATATTCAGCAGAAACACAGAGGAGGTGGCGTTTCTGCTGAGCCATAATGAACAAGTCAATGCACTGGTAATATGTGTGTGTGTTACGTCTGTGTGTGTCACATCTGTGTGTGTCACATCTGTGTGTGTTACGTCTGTGTGTGTTATGTCTGTGTGTGTTACATCTGTGTGTTACATCTGTGTGTCACACAGGTGTGTCACACAGGTGTGTCACACAGGTGTGTCACACCTGTGTTATAGTTTAGTTTATTTCTTATTTTGGTGTCTTGCACCTAAAGAGCCCGTATGGGCTTATAAGACACACAGATGTAGGCAGACATCAGAAATACATCAAACAAAGACTGTCCTCTTCTGTTGTTACCTGTGTCACACCTGTGTTACACCTGTGTCACACCTGTGTTACACCTGTGTCACACCTGTGTTACACCTGTGTCACACCTGTGTTACATCTGTGTTACATCTGTGTTACTTCTGTGTTATGTCTGTGTCGCACCTGTGTGTTGTTACATCTGTGTGTGTTACGCCTGTGTTACGCCTATGTTACATCTGTGTGTGTTACGCCTGTGTTACACCTATGTTACATCTGTGTGTGTTACGCCTGTGTTACACCTATGTTACATCTGTGTGTGTTACGCCTGTGTTACACCTATGTTACATCTGTGTGTGTTACGCCTGTGTGTTACACCTATGTTACATCTGTGTGTGTTACGCCTGTGTTACACCTGTGTTCCGTCTGTTCTCAGGATGAAAATCAAAGCACTCCTCTTCACGCTGCTGCTTATTTGGGAGACGTCCCGATCATGGAACTGCTCTGTTCTTCAGGTATTTAAGGTTTATACAGGGTCAATACAGGATCAACTGATACAGTATCAACTTATACAGGATCAACTGATACAGGATCAAATTATACTGGATCAAATAACACAGGATCAACTGATACAGGATCCACTAATACAGGATCAAACCAAACTCCAAAGAGACATGAGTTTAAAGTGTGATAGTAAGTTGTGACAGCGTTGCCTGTATTACACTAACAGCTGTGTAGAACAGCTGTGTAGAACAGCTGTGTAGGGCAGCTGTGTAGTTGAATATAGTTTCTGCTGATGTCAGATGTTTTGTATGTATTCTGAAGTGATCTTTAATCTTATTTTCTTTATACAGGTGCTGATGTCACATGTTTTTATACAGGTGCTGATGTCACATGTTTTATACAGGCGCTGATGTCACTTGTTTTTATACAGGCGCTGATGTCACATGTATTTATACAGGCGCTGATGTCACATTTTTATACAGGTGCTGATGTCACGTGTTTTTATACAGGTGCTAATGTCACATGTTTTATACAGGCGCTGATGTCACATGTATTTATACAGGCGCTGATGTCACATGTATTTATACAGGCGCTGATGTCACGTGTTTTTATACAGGTGCCGCTCTAACGTGTTTTATACAGGTGCCGATGTCACGTATTTTTATACAGGTGCCGATGTCACGTGTTTTTACACAGGTGCTGATGTCACGTGTTTTTACACAGGTGCTGATGTCACGTGTTTTTATACAGGTGCCGATGTCACGTGTTTTTATACAGGTGCCGATGTCACGTGTTTTTACACAGGTGCCGATGTCACGTGTTTTTACACAGGTGCCGATGTCACGTGTTTTTACACAGGTGCCGATGTCACGTGTTTTTACACAGGTGCCGATGTCACGTGTTTTTACACAGGTGCCGATGTCACGTGTTTTTACACAGGTGCCGATGTCACGTGTTTTTACACAGGTGCCGATGTCACGTGTTTTTACACAGGTGCCGATGTCACGTGTTTTTACACAGGTGCCGATGTCACGTGTTTTTACACAGGTGCCGATGTCACGTGTTTTTACACAGGTGCCGATGTCACGTGTTTTTACACAGGTGCCGATGTCACGTGTTTTTACACAGGTGCCGATGTCACGTGTTTTTACACAGGTGCCGATGTCACGTGTTTTATACAGGTGCTGATGTCGATGCCAAGGATCGGTCTTTAGTGACTCCTTTACATCGAGCGGCGGCTTCAAGAAACGAAGTGAGTTTAAACTGTATTGCAGAGGACTGTTGTGTTACTGTTGTGTTACTGTTGTGTTGTGTGTTGCAGAAGGCTGTTGTGTTACTGTTGTGTCATGTGTTGCAGAGGACTGTTGTGTTGTGTGTTGCAGAGGAATGTTGTGTTACTGTTGTGTTGTGTGTTGCAGAGGACTGTTGTGTTACTGTTGTGTTGTGTGTTGCAGAGGGCTGTTGTGTTGTGTGTTGCAGAGGACTGTTGTGTTACTGTTGTGTTGTGTGTTGCAGAGGACTGTTGTGTTACTGTTGTGTTGTGTGTTGCAGAGGGCTGTTGTGTTACTGTTGTGTTGTGTGTTGCAGAGGGCTGTTGTGTTACTGTTGTGTTGTGTGTTGCAGAAGGCTGTTGTGTTACTGTTGTGTTGTGTGTTGCAGAGGACTGTTGTGTTACTGTTGTGTTGTGTGTTGCAGAGGACTGTTGTGTTACTATTGTGTTGTGTGTTGCAGAGGACTGTTGTGTTACTGTTGTGTTGTGTGTTGCAGAGGACTGTTGTGTTACTGTTGTGTTGTGTGTTGCAGAGGACTGTTGTGTTACTGTTGTGCTGTGTGTTGCAGAGGGCTGTTGTGTTACTGTTGTGTGTTGCAGAAGGCTGTTGTGTTAGTGTTATGCTGTGTGTTGCAGAGGGCTGTTGTGTTACTGTTGTGTTGCAGAGGGCTGTTGTGTTACTGTTGTGTTGTGTGTTGCAGAGGGCTGTTGTGTTACTGTTGTGTTGTGTGTTGCAGAGGGCTGTTGTGTTACTGTTGTGTTGTGTGTTGCAGAGGTCTGTTGTGTTACTGTTGTGTTGTGTGTTGCAGAGGTCTGTTGTGTTACTGTTGTGTTGTGTGTTGCAGAGGACTGTTGTGTTACTGTTGTGTTGTGTGTTGCAGAGGGCTGTTGTGTTACTGTTGTGTGTTGCAGAAGGCTGTTGTGTTAGTGTTATGCTGTGTGTTGCAGAGGGCTGTTGTGTTACTGTTGTGTTGCAGAGGGCTGTTGTGTTACTGTTGTGTTGTGTGTTGCAGAGGGCTGTTGTGTTACTGTTGTGTTGTGTGTTGCAGAGGTCTGTTGTGTTACTGTTGTGTTGTGTGTTGCAGAGGTCTGTTGTGTTACTGTTGTGTTGTGTGTTGCAGAGGGCTGTTGTGTTACTGTTGTGTTGTGTGTTGCAGAGGGCTGTTGTGTTACTGTTGTGTTGTGTGTTGCAGAGGAATGTTGTGTTACTGTTGTGTTGTGTGTTGCAGAGGTCTGTTGTGTTACTGTTGTGTTGTGTGTTGCAGAGGGGGGCTGTTGTGTTACTGTTGTGTTGTGTGTTGCAGAGGGCTGTTGTGTTACTGTTGTGTTGTGTGTTGCAGAAGGCTGTTGTGTTACTGTTGTGTTGTGTGTTGCAGAGGGCTGTTGTGTTACTGTTGTGTTGTGTGTTGCAGAGGAATGTTGTGTTACTGTTGTGTTGTGTGTTGCAGAGGGCTGTGGAGCTGCTGCTGACACATGGAGCGGTGGCAGAGCCTGAGGACACACACAGACACACACCGCTGCACATGGCGGCTGCCAACTGGGCCATCGGCTCCACACACACTTTACTCACTCATGGATGTGACGTAGACGCTGCAGACACACTAGGACGCACTCCTCTTCATCAGGCTGCGCACAGCGGACACACACAGGTGACACACACAGGTGACACACACAGGTGACACACATAGGCGGACACACACAGGTGACACACACAGACGGACACACACAGGTGGACACACCCACAGACACACACAGGTGGACACACACAGGTGGACAGTGGACACACTCAGGTGGACAAACACAGGTGGACAAACACAGGTGGACACACACAGGCGGACACACACAGGTGGACAAACGCACAGACGGATACACACACACACACAGGCAGACACACAGGCGGACACACACAGATGAACACACAAAGGTGGACACAAGCAGACACACGTTGGTGGACACACACAGACACACAGATGAACACACACAGATGGACACACACAGGCGGACACACACAGGTGGACACACACAGCGGACACACACACAGACACACACACACTGAGATGACTTTGTGTTTCCTGCAGATGGTGAACCTGCTCCTCAGACATTCTGCAAACATCAAAGCCAAAGACAAGAAAGAGCGGCAACCAACCCACTGGGCTGCACATCTGGGTAACACACTATACTACACAACCCACTGGGCTGCACATCTGGGTAACACACTATACTACACAACCCACTGGGCTGCACATCTGGGTAACACACTATACTACACAATACTACACAACCCACTGGGCTGCACATCTGGGTAACACACTATACTACACTATACTACACAACCCACTGGGCTGCACATCTGGGTAACACACTATACTACACAACCCACTGGGCTGCACATCTGGGTAACACACTATACTACACAATACTACACAACCCACTGGGCTGCACATCTGGGTAACACACTATACTACACAATACTACACAACCCACTGGGCTGCACATCTGGGTAACACACTATACTACACAATACTACACAACCCACTGGGCTGCACATCTGGGTAACACACTATACTACACAATACTACACAACCTACTGGGCTGCACATCTGGGTAACACACTATACTACACAATACTACACAACCCACTGGGCTGCACATCTGGGTAACACACTATACTACACAATACTACACAACCCACTGGGCTACACATCTGGGTAACACACTATACTACACAATACTACACAACCCACTGGGCTGCACATCTGGGTAACACACAATACTACACAACCCACTGGGCTGCACATCTGGGTAACACACTATACTACACTATACTACACAACCCACTGGGCTGCACATCTGGGTAACACACTATACTACACAATACTACACAACCCACTGGGCTGCACATCTGGGTAACACACTATACTACACAATACTACACAACCCACTGGGCTACACATCTGGGTAATCAATCAATCAATCAAAGTTTATTTGTAGAGCGCCTTTCATACACAGGGCAACACAAAGCGCTTCACAGTCCACATCACAAATCATCACATAAAACAAACACCAGAATCACAATTAAAACATTAAAATCACACAAAAGATTAAAACACAATTAAAACATTAAAATCACACAAAAGAATAAAACCATTAAAACTTTCAAAATTACACAAGAAATTTAAAAAAATAAATAAATGACAGCAGTGCATTAAAAATGGAGATAAAATCCTTCAGTTATATGCACAGGCAAACAGAACAGTCTTTAACCTGGATTTGAACATTGACAGAGTAGACGCCTCCCTCACATTTTCAGGGAGATTGTTCCAGATCTTAGCTGCATGGATCTGAAACGCAGCCTCCCCATGTTTGGTTCTCACTCTGGGCACCAGCAGGAGGCCAGTCCCTGTGCTCCTCAGAGTCCCAGCAGGAGTCCAGTCCCTGTGCTCCTCAGAGTCCCAGCAGGAGGCCAGTCCCTGTGCTCCTCAGAGTCCCAGCAGGAGTCCAGTCCCTGTGCTCCTCAGAGTCCGGGCTGGTTCATATGACACCAACATGTCACTAATGTATTCTGGTGCAAGGCCATGGAGAGACTTGTACACAAGCAGAGCCGTTTTAAAATCTATTCTTTGAGCCACAGGAAGCCAGTGCAGAGACCTGAGGACCGGACTAATATGGTCATACTTCCTGGTTCCTGTCAGGACTCTAGCTGCTGCATTTTGGATGTACTGCAGCTGCTTACAGGTCTGTTTGGACAGACCTGTAAGCAGGCCATTGCAGTAGTCTAGCCTGCTGGAGACAAATGCATGGACAAGAATCTCCAAGTCTGCCCTGGACACTATATTTCTAACTTTGGCAATGTTCTTCAGATGGTAAAAAGCTGTTGATGTTATTGATTTTATGTGGCTATTGAAATTTAGGTCTGAGTCCAGTATTACCCCCAAATTTCTGACCTTGTCTGAAGGAAGTAGGGAGAGAGACTGAAGTTGACAAATGACGCCCTCTCTTTGTTTCTGGGGACCAAAGACAATGATTTTGGTTTTGTCTGCATTTAGCTGGAGGAAATTATTTTGCATCCAGTCACTGATCTGTTGGATACAGTGAAGGAGCAAATCCAGTGGTCCATGTTCTCCTGCAGTCAGTGAGACATAGATCTGAGTGTCGTCAGCGTAATTGTGGTAGGACACTTTGTTTCTTTGTATTAACTGACCTAACGGCAGCATGTAGAGATTAAATAGGAGAGGTCCCAGGATCGACCCCTGTGGTACACCACAGGTCAGGGCCACATCATCTGAGACGCAGTCTCCAATCTCCACAGAGTACTTCCTATCCTCCAGGTAAGACCTAAACCAGTCTAGGGCTGTGCCAGTGACACCAACCCAGTCCTCCAGTCTCTGCATGAGGATCTCATGGTCGACAGTGTCGAACGCGGCACTAAGATCTAACATGACCAAAACTGTGACTTTACCTGCATCAGTGTGAAGTCGAATGTCGTTTGTTACCTTCACTAGAGCGGTCTCAGTGCTGTGGTGGGGTCTAAACCCAGACTGGAACATATCAAAAGAATTATTCATTGTTAAAAATTCAGTAAGTTGTTGGGAGGCCACTTTTTCAAGAATTTTTCCAATAAATGGCAGATTCGATATGGGGCGATAATTTTGAAGTCCCGCAGGATCCAGGATCTTTTAGGAGAGGTCTTATGACTGCTGTTTTTAGGGCCATAGGAAATGTTCCTGACGACAGAGACATGTTTACTATTTGTGTCAGTGAAGGTAACTAACTGCTCAGGACGGACTTCAGAAATTTAGAGGGCAATATATCCAGGCTACATGTGGAGGAGCTCAGACTCATGATTATCTTTTTGACAGTTTCAGTATCCACAGGTGCAAAGTGAGTTAGCTCAGAAAGCTTCTCTGGCTGTTGCATTGTTATACGTGCTGTGGAGGTGATAGTGTTTTTGATTCCTTGTACTTTGTCATTGAAAAACTGTGCGAACTCATTACACCTAGATTTAGAGGAAAATTCTAGGGGCAACTTTACAGGGGGGTTCGTTAATCTACCAACTGTTGAAAACATAACACGAAAATTGTTACTGCAACCTCCAATAATGTCAGAAAAATACATTTCTCTTGTTCTACGTAGAACCCGGTTAAATTCACCCAACTCATCTTTAAAGATTTCATAATCGCCCTGGAAATTGGACTTTCGCCACTTCCGTTCGGCCCTCCGGCACTCTTGCTTCTGTGCCCTAACCGAGTCTGCCTTAGTCCATGGGGCCTTTTTCTTACTGGTAACTATTTTAACCGTCACAGGAGCAATGGCGTCCAGAACAGTCAGAACACTGGTGGTGACAGAGTTATACAATTCATCAACAGTTGAGCATGGTGTTTTCTCAAAATTTAGCATTCCCATGAACAGTTCACTTGTGTTTTCATGTATGTGTCTTCTTCTAACAGTTGTAAATTCAGCTGGTGGTTTGCTAGCAAAACACATGTCAAAAAATACACAGAAATGATCTGACAAAGCAACATCAACTACATTAACATTTGATACATTAACCCCCTTTGTAATTAGCAGGTCAAGAGTGTGCCCCCTGCTGTGGGTGGGGCCACTCACGTGCTGAATGAAACCAAAGGTCTCAAATACAGAAGCCAGCTCCTTTGCATTTCTGTCATCAACATTATCAACATGTACATTAAAATCACCTGTAATAACTAAACTATCAAAATCTGTGTACACGAATGAAAGTAGTTCAGTAAAATGGTCAATAAAATCGCAACATGACTGTGGTGGCCTGTACAGGACAATGAAAAGAGTAGAAGATTGCTTTTGTTCCATTTTAAAAGAAATATACTCAAACGATGAAAAATTTCCAAGGGGCATTCTATGGGAGACAAAGTGCTCTCTAAAAACTGCAGCTATGCCTCCCCCCCTTTTGTTTTCTCGTATTTCGGATTCGAATTTAAAATTGGGTGGTGTTGCTTCTATTAGAACTGCATTTCCTGTATTTTGGTCGAGCCATGTTTCAGCCATAAGCATAAAATCAAGATCATAAGAAGTGATAAAATTATTAATTAAAAATGATTTGTTACATAGAGATCTGACATTAAGCATAGCAAGTTTAAAAATAACGTCAGAGTCGATTAATGTGGTTGATTGATTTCTACAGGGAACAGAAATTAGATTTGCAGAGTTGGACCGTCTAACTGCTGTCCTGTTTTGATTTCGTTTTTTAGAATTTAAAAACATTTTTGAGCTGGTGCGAGGAACACAGACCAGAAAGAGAGAGGGACCAGAGAGAGACCAGAGAGAGACCAGAGAGAGACCAGAGAGAGACCAGAGAGAGACCAGAGAGAGACCAGAGAGAGAGACCAGAGAGAGACCAGAGAGGGACCAGAGAGAGATGACCAGAGAGACCAGAGAGACCAGAGAGAGACCAGAGAGAGACCAGAGACAGAGGGACCAGAGAGAGACCAGAGAGAGAGACCAGAGAGAGAGACCAAAGAGAGAGACCAGAGAGAGACCAAAGAGAGACCGGAGAGAGACCAAAGAGAGAGACCGGAGAGAGACCGGAGAGAGACCAAAGAGAGAGACCAGAGAGAGAGACCAAAGAGAGAGACCAGAGAGAGACCAGAGAGAGAGGGACCAGAGAGAGACCAGAGATAGACCAGAGAGAGAGGGACCAGAGAGAGACCAGAGAGAGAGGGACCAGAGAGAGACCAGAGAGAGACCAGAGAGAGACCAAAGAGAGAGACCAGAGAGAGAGACCAGAGAGAGACCGGAGAGAGACCGGAGAGAGACCAAAGAGAGAGACCAGAGAGAGAGGGACCAGAGAGAGAGGGACCAGAGAGAGACCAGAGAGAGAGGGACCAGAGAGAGACCAGAGAGAGACCAGGGAGAGACCAGAGAGAGACCAGAGAGAGACCAAAGAGAGAGACCAGAGAGAGAGACCAGAGAGAGACCGGAGAGAGACCGGAGAGAGACCGGAGAGAGACCAGAGAGAGAGACCAGAGAGAGACCGGAGAGAGACCAGAGAGAGACCGGAGAGAGACCAAAGAGAGACCGGAGAGAGACCAAAGAGAGAGACCAGAGAGAGAGAGACCAGAGAGAGACCGGAGAGAGACCGGAGAGAGACCCGAGAGAGACCGGAGAGAGACCAAAGAGAGAGACCAGAG